TCTGAAAAAATAGCTGTCAACAGTTTCACTTCATGCAGTGATTTTAAAGTCTCTGCAGCTGGTGCCAGTGCAAATTATTGTCTGTCACTCTGGTATTCATGCACATGTGCGCCTTTTAAAGTATTTCGATTTAGGAACAAGTGCCTTACGCAACATTACAGGTGTAAAAACCTCAGTGTGCCTACACAAGCCATGTTGCCATGGTAGCTCCATTGGATGTCTTATTGATTATAAAGATTATACGTTTACATACTAAATTTCAGGTCATTTGCAAACATTGGACTTTCCTTATTGCTTGATTAAGTGATTCATATGGACACACATTTTACACAATTATATTTGAGGTACCTCAATGAGTCTCTGAGGGATTATCAGTGGTCACTGAATCCAAAAATCTTTTATCAATAATGGTAATAAAAAGTTATATTAGTGCTTGTATCTAATCCATAAACATCTTTGTACATTAAACTTCAGGTCTTGGTTTTCCTGCATCCACCTTTGCTTTTTCTTTTGCTCAGCAGTGCAAATGTATTGATCTGTCAATCACATGTAGTGAGGTGTTTGTAGCAGAAGTGATGCTGAGGCTTGTGTTGGATGTTGTACGGCAGGTGCGACCCTCCATGCACAGGGCACTGTCACATGATACATCTCCTGCTTCAGTGGCTCAGACAAGGGTAGAACAAAGCCCCCGGGGCAGACGATAGAGTGAGGGAAACAGGTTGCCTTCATTTCAAGGTCAACCAGCTGCCACAGTCAATGAGGCTCTTCAGTCAAAGTCAACAAAGGCCACAACCGCGTTCAGCTCGGCTCAGTCATATACAACCCACTGACAAAAGCACTCAGGAGGCACAATCCTCTCATGAGCTCAGTGGGAAATTCTGTCGCTCGATGCATGTTTCCAGCACTTGGCTTTGACCACACAAGTGGTCATGACACCATTTGGTCCTGTATGTTTGTATTTACCCTTGTAGCTCTGTAAAGGGACACAACGCTGCATTGTCTTTAGGAGAAACCTCCTCTGCTGCATTAGAGTTATTAAATCAACTCAGGGGGATAATGGATTCCCATGATGCCTGTTGTTGCGGACCAGACAAGGATTCATTTACACTTCATCCAACCTGATTACCTAAGACACGTGACGTTTTGACATGTTTATTACTGTAATTTGTTTTGCAGTTTTTCAGTTGTGGGGTCATTTCTTACCTCCCTCAGAAAATGTATTTTTGGATAAAAATATCAAACGTATTTTTATTTCCTCATGACTTGAGTGCAGCATTGCAGTGACCATTTCAAGTAGATAGTACAAGAATGGTTCATACATGACGACAGAATTACTTTACACCACTTTACTGGAGTGATGTGTCTGCATCAATTATTTGTTTTTTGTGAAAGCGATTGAAGTTCAATGATGACAACATTTAAAGGAAGTTATCTTTTATCCATTATGGTGAAATTGTGGCATAGATACATTAATGGTGTTTAGTTGCACTGGGGAGGATTCTTCCTCCACCTCTTTGTGTCTCGCTTGCTACCTCTCACGTGCCAATATTCTTTGGCTGCTGCCATAGCAATTGTCACATAAACTCCACCGGATGTGATGTGTGCATAATGTCTGTTGCTTTTTTTTTTTTTACAAGCCCGCAGTTTTCAGGGTCCATCAGAACTGATTTTATATTGGTGTTGTGTTAGTCATCAGCATTATCAGTTGAAGCAGATGGGTCCCTTTGTGTAATGGTGGCTTTCTTGCCCAAACCCCAAATCGGCAATGAGAACAGGATCCTCACCTCCAGGCACTATAAATGATTAGAACCTCTTCCATATCTCATGTTCTTCATGTTCAATCAACCTCCATTCTTCTACTTTGTCTCCCCAGCCGCCATATCTAAACTTGTTGCATGCTCACCTTTCCTTGATTCTCCTTTGTGACAGTGCTGGAAACATCCCAGCTTACATGTTCAGATAAATGCAGACCCTAATGTGTAAATACTCGTTCCCCTCCCGAATCCACCCCCCCATCCCGTTCCCAGCCTAATCCCCATCAGACCACCACCGTCATCAGCCCTTATCTCACTCCACCAATTCTGCTGTGACTCACAACAATTTCCTCTCATTTGCGATTTCGCTGCCCACCCCCATCACGTGAACCTCTGTCAACCTAGCTACCCCCGAATTAAACCATCTTCACCTCCTCAAAACCCCATTACTACCCATCCAGTGCGAACCCCACCCAGTCTCACATGCACAAACACGTACACAAATGCACTCACACGTGTCGCCATAAGAATGACGGCCTGCCGTGTGTAAGGGGGCGACTTCCACTGTCATCCAGCGGAGCCAAGGAAGAACTGCAGTGTGACGTCACATTGGACAAGACGCCGCTGGTTGGAGGAGCCCATCTACGTGTGTTTGATTCTGGGCATGTGGTGGGGACTAGGGGAGCCGGGGGAGTACAATTTGGAGGTGGGTGGACCCGGTGGGCCTCGCTGCATCACTGAGCGAGGAAAATAAATGAGCGCCTACGCAAGGTGTCACCCCATCCCTCTCCAGGCAGCTGTTCTTTCTCTTTTCAGTGTATTTGTTGCAAGGTTTAATCTTTCCTCTCTCATGGGCCCTAAACAAAGTTATAGCTAATAATGTCCAGCAGTGGTGGCTTCATATTAAAGTGCTTGAGCCAGACGAGGAAGAAGGGAAGTTTGATCTCAGTTGATAACAGTTTTTATAATCCTGTATTGAAAGTTGATTGAACACACAAAGGAGTTACAGAAATTGTAATGCTTTTCTTATTTGAGAAAAACAGCACCATCTAATGGATTTCCTCCAAACCACAGATGTTGAGTATGATTTTGGTAATATTTAAAATGTTCTGCCTTGCCTGAACAGCAATATCTAACAAGTTGCGTCATTGGTTTTGAGCTTTGTTTGACCTCCCAGATCTGCTTCTCTGTTTATAATTTACAGAAGATAAACTCCAAATAAAAGGGCAGAAGTTGTTAATTCCAAACTATTAAGGAGATGGATAAACAGAAATCCCAATATTCCAGACTTGCGCAAAATGCTTTAATAGCATTTTTCCCATATTTTGAACTCTCTTTGCAACTTTTCTCCAATACATGTCCAACCCGAAAGTGTATGTTATTGTCAGGGAAATAAAAAAGTGAATCTATTATCTTTACATATCATACATACAGTATAATAATAAATATTTTTTTAAATGCATTGGTTTTATACAGCACTATTTATGACACTCAAAGAGTCTTCACATGCCATTATTATTTCACTTACATACATCGTGATAAAAACAATTGCAGGCACAGCCGCCTTGGAGCAGACTGACAGAAGTGTGGCAAGAAGTATGTGCCATTGACTTGTAGGCGAAGTGTCTTGGCCCTGCCCCCCTCAATTTCTGAGGTGTGACGGGATGAGACTTTCACGAGCAGGTGGCATTCCATATTCTGATACATCTGAACTATTTCTTGAGCACTTCTTTGGGTTGCAGCAATCAATAATGTCAGTAAACACTTGTTTACTGACATTATTGATTATCTATTAATCTATTGATTAATGCCTTTGATTTGATGAATGAGAAATCTATGAATTGTTTTAGATCAGTCTGTGTGTGTGTGTGTGCGTGCGTGCGTGTGTGTATGATCCATGGCTTGTAGCACTAAACTTTACAAAATACAATAACAATAACCACATATTGTGGTCACGTGGCAGGAGCATGTGTCACAAGGTGATGTAATGTATTCAATAGCTAAGTGAGCGGTTATTGATTACAGTGTCTTAACCCTAACACTCTGTCCAGTTAAAGTTCCACTTCACTATAGAACATGATCATTGTTTGCACCGTAGCGCAGCATGGACAGTGATGGAGAAAATGGGACAAGAAAAGCTGAGAAAGTGGCTTCTTCCTCGGCTTATGATGTTGAGTCATGCTGCGGCTCCTGCACAAGGAACATCAAGATTCCCGCTGTTTACAAAAATGAAATAGTGCAGCTTTTCACACTGGCAGGACCCGTGGTAAGTTCACTACATCTTCAGCACATACATGGCAAAAAATCAATTCAAGGTTTTTGTGTGTGAATAAAACATGTAAATTATTTAGAAACAAAGTATGTACAAGAAGATAATATTAAAAGGATCAGCCTGTCAGAAGATTCTAATACTCTTCTAGTATTAAAAAGTAGAAAAAGATTCTAATTTTTTCTAGTTGTATTTTATTTAGACTTAATTAAGCTTTCATATGCAGGCACAGGATCTATAGTAAATACTATTATGATATGATCATGTTGACAGTACATACTGATACTATTACAAAATAGCAAGGATATCACAGTAAACTTTTGTTTCATTTGTCTTTGACTTTTGAAAGTCCTTTTTAGTGACTCTCTACAGCTCTAATCATTAGACAAAGGAAATACCAAAAGTCTTTCTAAAGTCGTTAAAAATGCATTTAGCCCAAATCATATTGTATTCATCAGTTACAGAAGTTCACGTTGATGAGGTATTCATGACAGGCTCATAAAGAATGTAATAGTTTTTCAACTTAATAACTATATTGAGTCACACTTGTGATGTACATTCTGTGGCATAATCGACAGTTACTACTTGACTACTTGAGGGACAGATCTACATTGTGGGTAATAAGGACATTTAGTTCTTTTTTTGCAAAGCTTTTCATGCCAGCTGCTGTCAAATCTTTCACCTCTCACTTTCTCAGACAATTTTTTTTAAGAAGAAAAGGGAATTGTAAAGGTGTTATGAGTGCACAAAAGAGCAACAGGAAAAGTCAGGCATAACAAAAGTCAGCTGCCAGCTCAATTGAGAACTTTTAGCACACAGTTCTTTTGATATGAATGAGACCTGAGAAAGTGTGGCTGCATTCAGTAATTCCATCGATGGATTAAATAGATTGAATCGTAATATATCATTGTTTATGAGTTGATTTCTCTTTATGAGTTGATTTCTATTTTCAGATAATTTCACAGTTGATGAGCTTTATGATCGGGTTCGTCAGCATGGTGTTCTGCGGTCACCTGGGGAAAACAGAGCTGGCGGGGGTGGCCTTGGCAATAGCGGTGAGACGACATAAACTTTGAGTGTTTTTGTACGGACAATCACACATTGGGAAACCTTAAACTAAGCTTATTCTTTCCTTTAATCCTTGCTCATGTTATGGTAATTCTTCATAAAACTCCATGAAAACATTATTAATAGTCACTTGTGGTCATCTAATGTGCTGTGCCTAATACACCTGAGACAAGCTCCGATCCGTCCCCTTCACTGTCCCTATGTTGTATGATCAACATTATTGGTAATAATAAAGAATTAACAGAGTTGGCAGCACTGGTCCATGGTTCATCTTTATAACAAGTCTGTTTTCAACTCTTCTTATTGGCCAATTTGCAGGAAATAAATAAAATACAAATTAGAATACACACACCAAAATTAACATGTAATAATATAAAATGGTATGTAAAAATATAAAGCCAGTGAAAAAGATAGACACAAAGATAATCCTAATAAAAACACATATAGTACGGACCAAAAGTTTGGACACACCTTCTCATTCAAAGAGGTTTTTATTTTTAGTTTCATGACATGAAATTGTAGATTCACACTGAAGGCAAAACTATGAATTAACTCATGTGGAATTATGAACATTCTAAAAAAAGAAGTATGAAAATGTCTATATTCTAGGTTCTTTAAAGTAGAACCTTTTGCTCTGATCACTGCTTCGCACACTCTTGGCATTCTCTTGATGAGCTTCAAGAGATAGTGAGCTGAAATGGTCTTCCAACAGTCTTGAAGGAGTTCTAAGAGAGGCTTAGCACTTGTTGGCCCTTTTCGCCTTCCCTCTGTGGTCCAGCTCACCCCAAAACCGTCTGGATTGGGTTCAGGTCCGGTGACTGTGGAGGCCAGGTCATCTGGCCCAGCACCCACCACTCTCCTTATTGGTCAAATAGCCCTAACACAGCCTGGGTGTGAATCTACAGTCAATAGTCATGAAAAGAAAGGAAACTCATTGAATGAGAAAGTGTGTCCAAACTTTTGGACATAAAGAATGGAAGAAAAGGGAGTGGGGAAGGAGTGACTTTTATTAGTGGAAATATCCTTATCGTCAGCAATAAGTACAAAAATAGTTATCTTTGTGATGAAGTCTGTGCTGGACCCCATGTTTCAGGAACATGGGGTCATTGATTGCATGTTTCATTGCTTGAAAATGTACATTCGTCCTGTGAAGGACCTAGGTCTGAACAGAGAATTTGAATTTAAATCACTCCAATGGAAATGATTTGTCACTGTAAAAGTTACATAGTGCACTTTTAAAAGTATCATTTAATAAAACATGCCTGATGCGCATTGGCTTGTATGTTTGATTAGTCTCTTTTGTATTTTAAGATCATAAATGTTACGGGTCTCTCCATTGGTTCTGGTCTTTCCTCAGCTTGTGACACTCTCATATCACAGGTACTTTATCATCACAGTAAACAAAAGTCTACCTACTTCTGGCTCTAATGTTGTCTTGGTTTCTGCAGACATATGGGAGTGGAAACTTTAAGCATGTCGGAGTCATTTTGCAAAGGAGCATTTTGATTTTACTTTTGTCCTGCTTCCCTTGCTGGGCTGTGCTTATTAACACAGAGGCCATTTTGTTGGCTGTCCGGCAAAGTGCTGAAGTTGCTAGGTGAGGTTCTCTATTTTTTACAGTTGTTTATTTTGTTATTATCAAACTGTTGCAAAGTTTTACAGGAACTGAGACACACACTCAAAAAATAAAAATACTTGAAATACTTAATACTGAAATACATAATAAAAAGTAATAATTATAATAATTAATAACTCTTCTGGCCACCCTGGAAAAGCCATGTTCCAGCTTCTTCCCTCAGGCAGAAGATATCGTTTGTTGAGATACAGGACATCTCGTTTTGCTAACAGCTTCTTTCCACAAGCTGTTATCAGTTTAAACAAGGCACTTCAAATTATCTTGCCTTTGTATTGAAATCATTTTAGTTTCCTTGTTTTACTGCAAACGGCAAATAAATTCATCTGAATCTGATTTAATTTTCTCTTTGGGGTCCGGCCCCCGAGGAGACTGTCCGATAATATTCTGGCCCTCTGACAAAGATAGTTGATGACCCCTGTACTTGACCCTGACTGCTTCAGAGGTCTGACAGGATCTGGCTTTCACCTGCCTGTGGCGCCACCTGCATTTTTTTAATGATAAAGCATTAAATAATACCAATAATAAACTACAAAATAGAATACTGATACAAGCTTCTCTAGAATATCACGTGTTTACATACCAACAAGTTTTTCTGTACTTTTCTTTCTTTTCAATTTATAAATACCATGTCTTCTAAATGCCCTAATACTGAACATACCATGTATACGCTCAAGAAAAGAATGTTGAAATAAAAGATTGTAAATGGTTGCTAAAAATATATTTCAAATCTTCGTCATTATTGTTTGTGACATCACACTTTCTTTGTATCCCTCAAAAGACTCGCTCAGCTGTATGTGAAAATCTTCATGCCTGCTCTGCCTGTGAGTTCCACTTCCTTTTTAATATTCTTTTGAGACAAGATGATTTTGTGTCTTTCTATATATTGCCCTGGAGCCGCTTCTCAGTGACGCACTATTGATCTAATTAATGCTATTCATCGCATTGTGGCTTTGTAGGCGGTCTTCATGTACCAGCTGCAGGGGAGGTATCTCCAAAATCAGGTGCTCTTCTTGAGTTCGGTTCAATACCGGAGTAATTATAATTTGCGTACAAACAAGTGCTGCTTTTTCTCTCTTCCAGGGAATCATCTGGCCACAAGTTATTTCCGGAGCCATCGGAAATGTTTTTAATGTAATTACCAACTATGTTTTCCTTCATGTTCTGAAACTTGGAGTTGAGTAAGTCAAATTTGCACATTTCAAATATTTATCAATAAACTGCAAAAAGGCAATGTAGTGAGGTGAAGATCTGGTGAAACAAAACTAGAACTAGAAAGCTCAGAGGGGGTCATAGAATCGACTGTTTCATATTTAGATTTTGTTGTAAGAATGAGTACCTGAGAAATCCATGATTATATTAAACTAAACAAATATTCCATAAATTATACAATGGATCCTTTAACATTTGAGAAGAGAGGCCCAAAATATACTAATTTAAGCAAAAAGTTGTATACAGTATTATAGTAAAATATAAAATAAGTCTAAGATGAAATAATACTTTATTGTCTGACCACAGATACAAGTCTTGACACAATGACAAAAACAACATTACATACGGACAGTTGTGGAATTTCTGCACAGGCCGAGAGAAAAGAGCTGTAATACAATCAAAGTGTCCATTTATTCATTAGTAAATGTGCACATATACAATGAATAACAGAACCGAGACCAATACCACCGGGCAGCCGTCTGAAACCGACTGCCTCGAATCAGGAAATTACCAGACACTAAATAGACAAGAGTAAACAAAGACATACAGTATCTACTCTAGACATAAAACAATGAAGTCAGCATTGAGCCGTGTGGTTCAAGGATACTTCCTAACGCTGATGCATCTCCGAAATCTTCTCTGTCCAGGACGCATTGTTCTTAGACACAGATATGGTCAAAGATACTGTATGTTGAAACACGTCTCCCATCTAACAGGACAACAGAGTATATGTGCTGTATTTGAGTAAAGAATTGAGCATTAGTTAATAACTTACTCTTACAACTATACAATGTTAATTTAGATTGCTTTATTCATAAGATTTCTATAACAGGACAAAAAAATAGAGAATAGTTTAAAAATAATTTTAAAAGAGCAAAGGGTTTTTAGCAGATATATTGATCAGACATCTTCAACTGTCTATGAGGAAAATGGGCTTGAATGTTTTAAATATTGTATTTTGTTAACATACAATTTTTGTTACCTATTGTGATTCAGAGGTTCGGGAGCTGCCAATACCATCTCACAGTTCAGCTTAACTGTGATTCTGTTTCTGTATATTTACATCGGGAAACTCCACAAAGCCACATGGGATGGTAAAAAGCAAAACAATAATAATCAATGCACTGGACTTTATGCAAACACATGTCACTCCCCTCAGGCTGGTCCATGGAGTGCCTCCGAGAGTGGGGCCAGTTCCTCAGCCTGGCCCTGCCCAGTATGATCATGATGTGCTCCGAGTGGTGGCTCTATGAAGTAGCTAGTTTCCTGGCAGGGGTCATCAGCGAGGTGGAGCTGGGGGCTCAGTCTATAGTCTACGAGCTGGCTATTATTGTCTATATGGTAACATTTACATTATAGCAATAGCCATATTTTGGAGATTATGATTACACACATTTTATTATTTTATTATTTTTTATTTATTAATTTATTTCAGGCAATGGCAAAAGTGAGAAAACGAGGTAATTAAAAGCAATTAAGTAATATAAATAATATAAAGCAAAAAACAAAACAGACAAACACAATAAAAAACAAACAAACAAAAAAACAGTGTAAACAAAAAATGTATAAACAAAAAACTATGGTTTAACATGGCCATATATTTCTGCCTGAAAAGGAGTGGGAGGAAGAAAAAACGTATTTAATCCCACCCCTATATCCCCATTTCAGTGATTAAACGATCAACTTCACTGTTACAGTTCAAGCCAGTATCATACCAGAGTGGCGTTATCCTGGGCAACAAGTACATTTACATTGTAACAACAGTTACCAATAATGGTAATAGAAAATATACCAACAATGGTAATAGAAAATATACCAACAATGGTAATGAACAAAAAAAGAAAAAAACAACAATAGCAAGATTCTATATACTAACAAGGTAATGGAACATTGAGCACATGTTACACTATGAGACAGAGAAAATCTGATTAAATTAAAGACCCTCATCTCTATATTGTAACCAGACCTTATGTTTATAGAACAGTTTAAATCGATGAATAGTTTTACATTGCTTATGTTGTGAGTCCAGTTTATTCCAAAGTTTTACTCCACATACTGACAGACAAAAACATTTACGAGTGGTTTTTGATCTCGGCAGTGAAAAATATCCAAAACCCCTCAAGTTATGAGCTCGCTCAGGAGTCGTAAAGAAACGCTGCAGGTTAGACGGTAATAATTTGTTGAATGCTTTATACAAGACTATTGATGTATTATATTTAACAAGATCATCAAACTTTAGCAGCTTTGACTGAGTAAAAAGATTATGAGTATGTTCCAGAAAACCAACCTTATGGATGATCCGCACTGCTCTTTTCTGTGATATGATGAGAGGTTGTAGTGTGTTGTGGTAAGTGTTACCCCAGACCTCAACACAATACGTCAGGTATGGAAGAACCAGGCTGCAGTATAATGTACGGAGTGCATTTCCATTTAGGTATAGTTTTGCTTTGTTAATAATTGAGAGGCTTTTGGAAATTTTGGTTTTTATGTGTCTGACATGGGGTTTCCATGACAACTTGCTATCCATTTTTACTCCCAAGAACTTAATTTCACTTACCATTTCAATTTGGATATCATTAATACTTATTCACGATTCAGACGTTAGGTTGCGATTCCCAAACATCATCATCTTAGTTTTATTTACATTCAAGGATAATTTATTTGCATCCATCCACTTTTTTATTTGATGTAGTTCCTTGTTTACAGAGATTACAAGCTCATTATAATCATCACCACTGTATAGAATAGTTGTGTCGTCAGCAAATAGAATTAGTTTTAGTACTTTAGATGTATTAAAAATGTCATTCATATATATGTTAAACAGTTTAGGACCCAATACTGACCCCTGGGGGACACCGCAAGTAATGCCAACCGTGTCTGAAAAATACTGACCCATTTTAACAAACTGTACCCTCCCTGTTAAGTAACTTTTGATCCATTCCCCAGCCAGTCCTCTAATTCCGTATCTTTCCATCTTTTTTAGTAGTATTGAGTGGTTAATGGTGTCAAAAGCCTTTTGAAGATCAACAAAAATACCAACTGTATACTTTTTCTGCTCTAATGCATTTGAGATTTCTTCAATTGCTTCAATTACTGCCATTGATGTTGTTCTTTTGGATCTGAAACCATACTGACCTTCATTTATTATATGATGTTTCTCCAGAAACTTTTCAAGTCGTGAATTGAAAAGCTTCTCGAGAATCTTTGAAAACTGAGGCAATAGAGAGATGGGTCTGTAATTGGAAAATTCATGTTTGTTTCCATTTTTGAACAGTGGAATTACTTTCGCAATTTTCATTTTATTTGGAAAAGAACCGGCTGGAATGATAAATTACAGATGTAAGTTAGGGGTTTAACAATATTCAGAATAACTTTTTTAATCACGGTCATATTAATATCATGACAGTCAGTGGACGACTTACTTTTACATGTCTGTACGATTTGTGTTACTTCCTGCTCATTTGTTGCTGAGAGGAAGAACGACCAAGAATTTTGTTTAATAGGGGATTCTGTAACTTCATTGTCTTGAATATCAGCAGCTAATTTAGACCCAATATTTGCAAAGTAATCATTAAACTTATTTACTATATTTCTAATATTATAATCTTCACCATTTTCAAGAACAAAATGATCAGGATATGTTAACTTTGAATGTCCTTGTTTGATTAGGCTATTCAAAGTATCCCAAGTTCCTTTCATATTGTTTTTATTTTCATACAGTTTGTTTTCATAGTATAACCGTTTACTTGTTCTTATGATATCCGTTAATTTATTTTTGTATTTCTTATATCTTTGTTCCACTTCTGCTGTTTTAACTTTGAGAAACATTCTGTAGAGATTGTTTTTCTTTTTACAGGCATTAAGTATTCCTTTTGTAATCCAAGGGCTTTGTTTACATTTTTCCTTTATGAAATATTCCTTTACCGGGCAGTGCTTATCATGCAATGAAGTAAAGATGTCTAAAAAGGTACAATAAGCACTGTCCACATCTGGTTCGTTGTAAACCTTGGTCCAATCCTGGAGCAACAGACTGTTGTTTAGGGTGAGGATTGTTTCATCAGTGATTATACGTTTAAATATTTTTGCTGTATTGTCCTGAGTTTTTTTTAGATTACAATCGTACAGAGTAAATATAGGTAAGTGGTCAGTGATGTCACATACCAAAAGTCCACTGCTGATTTTATTCCCGATTATGTTTGTAAAGATATTGTCAATGATGGTGGCACTGTGTGATGTTATTCTGCTTGGTTTTGTTATAGTTGGACATAGAGAAAGGCTGTACATGGTGTCAATGAAGTCATCAACAGTTTTTAACTTGGTCGGATTAAGCAAATTGATATTAAAGTCACCACAAATAAATATGTTTTTTTGATTGACAGAAGAAAACAGTTTACCCATCCACTCATTAAAGCTGTCTATACTCGAACCAGGTGTCCGATATATACAGCTCATGAAGATATTAGTCTTTTTCTCATTTAGTATTTCCACTGTTAAACATTCAAACAAGCCATCCACAGCTATTGACATATTTTTTACAACATAAAATGTTATTGATTTGTGGATGTATATGGCAACACCACCTCCTGTTTTGTTTGTTCTATTTGTGTATCTTAGTTCATAATCATCGAGAAAAAATATATTATCTTTGTGCTCATTGAACCAAGTTTCAGTTATTGCAATGATACTAAATGGATGAGTAAATTGCTTCAAGTAATCTTTTATGGCTTCAAAGTTAGTGTACATGCTTCGACTGTTAAAATGTATGATTGACAGCTTGTTTTCTGATTTTACATTGTTTACATATTGATCTTGGGTGAAATAAGTGCAATTGTGAGAAATTGAAGAGAGAAAGTTATTGTCCGGGTCTATATCACTGTCTGTCTCTGTTGTGGTGTGCTCATGGTACTCACACGTCTCCAGGTCCGTTTGCTGATATTGTAGGGTTGACTGTAACATGTCCATGTCCATATTTGATGCAGTCTGTGTTCTCGGCTTGGGCATTGTGATGATGGAGAATGACACAAGTTAATTTGAGAATTGTTGATACTGGTCTAGGTCTTCCATCTTCCTTATCACCAAGACTTTTGCGCTTTCTGGTGGGCCATTTAATTTAATGAAGATTTAACAGTTTGTTACCCAGGTTTGTTGAATTCGGCCTTGTTTTTTCAATTGTCGTGCGATTCTTGCCATGTCTGCGTTCTTCTTTGTCAGGTGCTCGTTTATGAATACATTTGTGCCTTTGAGTTTGCGTCCTTGTTTCAGCAGTGCAGTTTTCTTTTTTCGGTTGGTGAATCTGATGATTACGGCTGGTGGTCTCTGGCTTCTTGTGGGTAGTGGATGACACGCCTCGATGTGCTCCAGGTCCACATATATTATCATTAGTGGTTGTGTGTCAAACATCTTTCTCATATATTTTTTGAGACAATGGTCAGCTTTACCATCAGAGAGGTTAAAGAAACTCATCTGCTACTACCACAAAGGACTCAGAGCTGTCATAATTAAAGGGGAACTGGAATTTGAGTAATTTGGTATTATATTTGAAAATAGAAATACCATAAAGGCAAATCACACAACCCTAAACCAATTTTTTTTTAAATAAAATCTCCAAAATGTGACCAAAATGTATGCCATTATAGTACACGTTTACCAGGATAAACAGCTTGATGTATTATTGTTTAAAAGTGTCCATACAATCACTTTTCCAAAACCCAAACTATAATAATCTATAGTTTTTTCACTTTTTCAGATTCCAGTGGGCTTTTCGATTGCTGCCAGTGTCCGTGTTGGAACTGCTCTCGGGGCTGGAAACATTGAACAAGCCAGAGTTGCCACCAAAGTGTCCCTTGGCTGCACTGGTATGAGTCAAATATCAAGTTTCATTATGTTTCATGCTCATGGATTGCGGGTGCTGTTGCCATTTCTCTGTTTGTGAAGTTTTGTGCCTTTGTATAATTGTTATTTTATGTTTTTCTATTTAGTTGTTGTTTCATGTATTACTGCCATTGTTCTGGGGTCATCTGGGAATGTGATTGCATACATTTTCACATCCGAAAGGTGAGTATTTTGTGTCCATATGATTTATGATCATGTTAGGGCTAATTTCTTTTTTTTCGGAGGCATATTGCATTTTTTCTCAATTGATATTTCATCAGAAAGATATGTTACAATAATTGCATATTTGAAAGCACTGTTTAGATTTTCCACTGCAATAAAAGGAATAAGGAAACAAATGCTTAGTCTTGAACGTCTTAAAACTAAATTTGCCAATGGGATCTCACTTTAAGTGCAGTTGCAATTTAATTTGCATTTCAAAGGGGGTTTTTCTTTTCTTCTTGTCTCGTCTTGTCATAAAATAGTCAAAATGGACTGAAATTAAAAGGTATTTTGCATAATTTATTTCTTATTCTGGCCACTTTTTACAGTGTAAAAGGTACAAGAATGTAAAACAGTAATCACATGCAATTCAGAAGGGGCCTGTTGGTGTTTGAAATACTATTGTTGGCAGATTTAGGTGAAACTAATATGGTTCAAAAGCAAAATTATTTCTCTGATACAACTAACAATGTAAAACCAATATATGATATGGACTCATTATAATATAAGGGACACATGCCAGGCCTTGGTTTGTTTTGTTTATAATATTGATGATGGCTTACAGTCTGATTTCAAAATATTCAAATTTTCTCCATCCATCCATACTCGTACTCCTAAAATACTCCTGAATCATATGACAGTACATTGCATGAACGTAACAATGGGTGTTTACTTGTAGGGAGATCATTGAAAGGGTTGCACTGGTGATGAAGTTCTATGGTTTGGTCCATATAAGCGAGGCTTTTGCAGTGAGTTAACTCCTTGTTGCAGCATTTTGGAATTCCTCTGCATGTCTATCACCTGTTCCGTCTGTAGGGGTGCATGTACGGCATCGTCCGGGGATCAGGAAAGCAGAAGATTGCAGCTGTTGGTATTTTTATATTTTATTATTTTGTTGGATTTCCTGTTGGTGTGTCCATGATGTTTCCCCTTAAATTTGGAATTATTGGTAAGAATCAAGATATTAGTTAATAAAACTTACTATACAAAAATACATTATACACAATTGTTTTTCATCCTTTGCAGGTTTGTGGATTGGATTCCTAATTAGCGCCTTAGGGATCTGCATATTTTTTGCCATTTATTTTTGTAAGTTTAACTGGAAGAACGCCATGGAAGAGGTGAGAGACTTTGATTTGATTATTTTGAGTATGTCACAAAATAATATCTCATGGATTTCTTGGAAAAGGCACAAGGCAGAGTGGGAGGAGTCAGCGGGAAGGATGGCGTTGTTACTGTCAGTGAAAGCCAAGGTATTCAAGTACTACATTGATATTTGTTTGTCTCTTGTGTACGGAGCTCTGTATTGTCACCTGTGCAAGTTCTGGAAGTCCATTTTTTGTTTGCTTTAAGAATACATGAATACTGCTTATTATAACTTTGATATTCACTAAACAGCCTGGCTTTTTGGTATTTTATGATTCCAACAGAAAGAGTCTTGTTTAAGTAACATGTTGTGTTCATCCTGTCCTCATCTTACAAGATACAAGATTTACTTTGCCATTTGCAGTAAAACCACATTGGAAAAGCTGTGTAGCCTACTCCAGTGTGCTCCAGACAGATAGTACACACTAGAGCTCTTGCCACGAGAAGAACCAGAACTGTTTTCAGAGCTAAAAACTTGATGCTAGTTACGTTGTGGCTTCAAAGTTAGGTACTCCAGCTTTGACATAACAACCAAACACTGCATAAAAAATTGTGAAGAGTGAAACATTTTGAAAAGAAGCACTGGTTGGACTCGCCTATGCTCACCCTTTCAACTTCCTGATTGGTCAAAATTAATTAAAATCCTTGAGGCTCCTTGATATTGGAGAAACTATCCCCCTCAACAATATATTATTGTTGAAAAATACTTTCACAATAGTTCAGTGTTCCATGGTTAGAAATATACAATCTTTCAAAATGGATATATACAGTAGCTTAAGTTGCTGAGATCACCTTTAACGCCAAATGTACAATGTATTAGGCACCAAATAGCTGGTTATTTTGGTAAATCTATTTATATTTACACTTCCACAACACAGATGGGTGTCTGTGATCTCCGTAAATTATATTCTCTTTATGAAAATAGTGCAATGACATTTGTGATCCTGATATCACAGTGTTGTGTATGTGTGAATGCTCTCAGAAGTGGTGCTCAGCTGCAGCAAGAGGCCAGTCAGACGTCAGCGGCCACATCGCTGTCGGTCAAACAGCTGGTGGTGCGGCGCAGCTTCACCGTGTTGTTCATGATCGTCATCCTCGCCGCAGGAGTCTTCATCAGTGAGCTGCTTGTCAACGTTCTCCAATTAGAAAACTGACCGCCGTCACGCCACATGTCATTGTCAAGAAAAACACCTTTCAGGAAATAAAGATGACATTATCTAAATTATGAGTGTGACTTTTTGCTTTGCTTTAAACAACAAACAAAAGCAGGTCAAATTCATTTTGCGCAACAGTAACATTCAGAAGATGCCACAAATACATTTATAGAATGATTATATTCTAAAAATAGTCTTGAGATGATCCATTGATGTCTGCTTTCATCATCAAAGACTGTAAAAAGCCTTTTCCCTCTTTTTATTTTCTCTGCTTTGATCTGCGCTGCCAAATTTGGTGATAATGAAAGGTCTACGCTCACAGTGCAAATGCTGGATGCACGAGAGTATGTCCAACTGAGCAAATCAACCACCACCTGCTCCACTCTATCATGAATTTGTGAAATAAATAAAAAATCTTTTTGAAAATTCTGATAGATTTCTTTTCAATATAAGTGTTCATTATCATATTGTGCTCTTTACTTATATGCTATGATTGGTCTCTCGTGTGATACATTTACATAAGCCTGTAACTATTGCAATTTTCAGCAATTGAAAAGAAGACCATCTTTTTGCAAAATCGGTTTCAGCTAAAATATATGGGAGGTTCATTCAGTTTACACAAGAGTCCCCAAATGTAGCCACTTGCTCTTCCGGATGACATAAGTGCAGACAGATTGCTGCTCTATAAAATGCTGCATATTTACTTTCATTTAAATCAGACCTGATTCACTTGTTTCACGTCATCGCTTCATCAGTGAAGACAGTCATCCGGACTCCGTGTAGCGTCTGCAATCAGAAACACGCTGAGGCGTTACAACGACTAGTAACTACAGACAATTATTCGACTCTAATCTTGCAAGTTGGTTGAGCCTTATTTATCAGGATTGAACGCAATTATCAAAATAAGATTATAAACACAACATGTTGAATTTAAGCCGCATGGTCTGAATTTAGAAGTGCTGCAAACCACATGTCGCCATCTGGAAAGTAATGAATTTTAAAATGTAAGATGCAGAATTGACAGTAGGGGCGACAGTAGCTCAGTTGGTAGAGCATTGGCATTTGGGCCTGGAGGTCGTGAGTTCGATTCCCACCGTGGGACCTACTCCAACTGCTCCCACTGATGACTGCTGTAGTTGTGTCCTTGGGCAAGACACTTAACCCCACATTGCCTGAAGCCCCCCGCTGAAAGATCAAGGCTGTTTCACAATTGACGGAGCAGCCATCTTCCTGTGGACTCACCCCCTGCAGAAGATCAGCGAGGGACTGGTGCTATGAGTGTTGGGTGGCAGCTCTCATTACCACCCCCCCCGACCCAGAAATGGACAAAGGGGTTGAAAATGAAATGAAATGAAATGAAAGATGCAGAATGTAAATTAAAAGTAACAGTAAAAAGTTGTCAGAAAGTAGTAAAATATACAAATAATAGTAATAAAAATATGTTGAGGAAACAACATGCTGTCTCAGATTGTTATTATTTTTATTCTGGTCGAGTCTGGTTTGTTCCGTACATGTTTGGAGGGGAAAACATTAGAAAAGTATTATTTCAGTCCATCAAACATTCCCCATCATACATAAGAAAAAAACAACACATATCAGATTTTAAAAAAACAATCAAATAAGGTGAAAAAAATAATGAACTTATCTTTAATCCAACTATAAAAAGTCAAGTGATTTCTGGTCAGCATTGTAACATGAATCAGGTTGTAAAGCTCTATCTGTGTGGAGACATCTGCTGCCTGTTGCCCACGTGTCCCTGCGGCGAGGGATTTGTAAATGTTTCTTGTATTCCCAGCTGAGCGCCTCTCACTGCGTGTTACAACATCATCTTTGTAGAAAATGCTTTGATTCTCGCAATCTCGCTCCTCTTCTCAGGAACCCATTGCTTTGTATCGGACATGTACAGCCGCACACACCGCACACCACAGCGGCAGAGTCCTATAGGGAAATGAAATCTCTCCGCATCTGTGTTATGAGTGGGTTATGACATCCACAGGTGCAGGAGTTGTCCCATTGGCCCAGATCAGTGTAAAGTTTCCCCTTGGGTGCACAAAGAGGTCTGGAGGGGGGAAGATCATGTAGAAAGCAATGCCTACCAACAGCATAAGGGTTAAAATCAGCAAAGTGACTCCCCTTCGCAGTATGAGCTGAGAGACTGAAAGAACAGCCTCTTCGCCAGGGTCACTGAGGTCTTTGTTGCTTGTTGAATTGTTCATGTCATAAACAGTTTTTTCCTCTTGGTCCTGAGTGTTGACTGGATTGTAGCCCTCACTTTTTTCTGCATTTTCACTGCCCACCTGTGGTTAAAAATCAAGAAGGAAAGAATAAAGCTTCATATAATACGCTTTTAATAGTGGCATACTGTAGAAATGATTCATGATTTCAAAAATGTCTTTCTACCAGTGCAGTTTGTTGTTTTGTGCACAGTAAATTACATGTACGCCCGAATGATTGACTATTTCAACAATGTCCTGGTTGGTCAATATTATTTAGTGTTCTGTCGCAACTTGATACATTGAAACACAGTGCACAAAATACTTTTTAACTGTATGTATGGTACTAATATAGATCTGGATTTTCAAAAAGCCAACGTGGTAAAGGGCAACTTGTAAGCCTTATAATCAGTCCACAAAAGTATTATTCTTTTACCATAGTTTCATTGTTCAAATCAGGAGCAGTCGTCTCAGTCTGTACTGTGGTCACCGCCTGATGACCAGTCACCAGAGCTACTTTTCCAGCTCGACGTAGGGCCTGTAGTATCACAAAAAACATCATCCGCACTGGTAATAATACGATTGCTCTTTTACAATTCCAAACACATGAATTCAGTGAAAGTAAACCTTGTATATATTTGTGGGAAACGCTTAATAGTAATTGTTAAATGTGATGTCTGCAATTTCATTTGTAATTTATTTGAATATTTTTGAGTCTTATCAATGGGCTATATGCACAGGGAGGCGTGACGTCATTTCCTGTTAAAAAAGATCAGCCCGTTCACTTCCTGCCAAGACTATCCTATGGCTTTTAGGTGGGTTTTAGTGACGTTTTTTAGTAATTAGATTGATACATTCAGCTGTGAGACTGACCCAAAAGTGTCGCTGTGCTTTCTCTCTGAGGTAGAGCTTTGACTGTGGCCACTCAGAGCGATTTTTAAACTTTATAAAAACACAATGACAGCAAAATCAAAGAGCACTGTTGTGTCCCAAAAATGCCCTGTATCCTCACAGTTTAATTCCCGTTTGAGCATTATTTGGGAAACTCGTGTAAACCACTGCGGAACTCCAGTGAAACTCAAGCTGTTTCCCGCAAACAGGAAGTGAGGTGGGGCTTTAGCTAAAACGCGGAAGTGGTGCGTGCATAGAGCCCATTGTTTGAATTAATTGCATCCAATCAGGAACTTGTGGGGGCGGGTCTTTACTGGTGCATTCAAAACACATCTCATTAACTCACCTTTACGTTAATATTACAGTAATTACACTAAATGTTGATCAAGGAAAAGTCATATCTTGTACTCTTTGCCTTGGGTTAGTATTTCCCAACATGATCCTATAAATCCATCACTCACATTGCATTCATCTTTTTAATTTTTTACCTTTTGTGTCACCTTCTTCCAGTTGAGTTTGAAGATAAGAACAAGGAAGAGTCCAACTTCAAGCAGAACGCAGACAGCAATACCGATCCAGAGACCTACAAGAGACGCCCCATTTGAATAAAGCGATTAAGATGGGTCAGTAAAATCACTGACCTGCCCAGAAGTCCCAATATGTCAAATAGCAAAAATGAGAAGTTAGAATAAAAGGATACTTAATTCCAATACTGTAGCAGGATTGGGGACAAGTTAATTGCAATTCATCAATAGTTGGAATTAGGACAGAAATAAAATGTTGCACAATGCATGCTGCAAATCTTTCTGGCTCCACATTTTCCTTGATCTCTGTAGTCCAAACAGAATGTACTTCACAAGGTTGGATTTTGAAATGTGTCCCCCATTCATGACAAACCTTTGTGGCTGGCTCCACTCTCAGCAGTGGACAGCAAAGTGCTTTTCGCTGGTGGGGGCAAATGGCTGACTGCGGGGAGCTAAATTAATCCATGTTAGTTTTCAGGGCACAATAGCTTGAGCTCTAAATTACTGGGGTTTTAGATAACATCTCACATGACCTAAATTCAACTTTTTTCAGTATAAAGATATCACATTCTTAAATGACCGTATTGGGTGTGCATAACTTTACTCAGATGGCGGATGAAGAAAATGAATACTTGTCACTATGTCATTATCAAACAATTAGGTCATTTAGAAACAATATTCTTTCTTTAAGGAGATTGAGGGGAATAAATGCAAAACAACACATACAAATAATATTAGAAATAAAAATGTTGAGCTTGACTGAGCCTGAATGTAAAGTAATTGGTTCTCTCATGTATTAGATACTTCAGAGTGGTATTTTCACATGGTTCTTTCACATGAGACACAAGATATAGCTTTTATGCAACATGTCCACATACTGAGGAACTGAAAATGACTGGAAAATTCCCACTTTGAGTAAACAGTATTAAAAATAAGAATGAATTACCTATTATCCTTAGTTCTGCATAAAACATGAGTGCGATGCCGATAGGCAGCCCAATGACGTAATAACCCACCAAGTGGGTTACAGCTGCAATTTTTTGCATTCCAGCTCCAATAAGGATCCCTGAGCAGACACACTGCAAACACAAAACGGGGGGGTAAACAAAACAGTTATGATCAAAGCAATGTCAAGTGAAGGTAAGTAATGGCATATATAGCATACTGTATATATATATATGTATATGTATATATATATATAGACACTGCAGATATTGTGTAGTAACAGACCAGAATTGCATCGAAGAACTGTACAATAATGTAGACAGTGAGGCTATGTGAGACTATGTCCACAATGGTCCTGTTGGCAGTCAAAATAAAAGAATAAAGAGAAAGCTTAAAGACATCTACGTTTGAGTGTGGGTGGAAAACTCACTTATCTGAAGTGAATATTAAACCCATGACAGACTTGGATCCCGTTAGAACAAAGCCCTGCAGCAAAGCAAGAAACCCTAGAGTGTAAATGTTAAACATTAGACATAACGTCAGGAGGCCAAGTTCAAAAGCACTAATCAAATATATCAAGACAAACTTCAAATCAGTGCCATTAACTTCCACGTTATAAGAATCCACATTTTCACTAAGGTCTGCACTCTTGACCAAATGATTGCCACAGGATTCCACGTGTCAATTACTCGGCCCAGTGTTAGACATTGTGGTCGCAAATGTCAAGTGTGAGACAGTTAATTGTGCAATTATTTAACTGGGATATTTTTCCATCAAATGTAGTCAAAGGCATGTCCCTTGTAGATATTAATAACAATACACTTGAACAGTGCTTTGATCATTAGCATTTATTCACTGAAAATCTTGAATATGCAAATACCTGACAAGACCAGAGCCACTTTGCAGGTCACTAAGGCCTGAGTGGTTTCTCCAGCCCCAAGAGCGTTACCAACCCGAACACAGGCTGCTGCCTGGACACCAAGAGGGAACTGAAACATCCCAAATGTCAAAGTCAGTTTAATTCGCTTCTTTACAATTCATATTTTCTTAACAAAAGTACTCATCGGTAAGTCCTACCATATATGTTATGGCCCCGATCTCCAGCAGGATATGTTGTGCAGCGAGGTCTGTCTCACCAAGGACACCTACAATTTGTCATAGAGGTATTGATTAATAAAGGCAGGGGAAAATTGAGAATTGAGATTTTACAGTACACATCAATTCAACACTTGAACATTAAAGTGACATTAATCATTCAAGTCTGATTGATGGTCTCATATGAGAGGTTTTTGAAGGGACTACATATTACACAGTCAGGTTCTTGGATCGAAGAATTGGCTCCATTAAATGCAGCGTTGATTTCAACACCAGGGGGCCTCATGGTGATTCACATGCTTACAAGTTTAAATGAATATGTGTAGATAAAAGAAAACCAAAAAGTACTGGTATTTCATCTTAAAAAGTAGCTCTCTATGGGGGAAAAATGTTGGAGAGCCCTGACAATACATACAGGTGCTTTCCTAGACAGTGTCCTGGGCAGCACTTGTGAAATTAAAACCATTGTGCCTATTCTTTCTTCCGTTATTGATAGAATTCGGATTTGTTTGTCAACACTCTAAAAACAGATCAGTTAAACTTTGCCAATCTTGTTGGTAGTTACATGTTCAATCAATATAAACTATAACTAATATAACATAACTAATCTTTAAATGGTTTTGTTTTCAGCCAATACAAATTGGTCACAAGAACAAATTATTAAGACCAAACTATTGGTCAGAATAAGCAATCAAGTCATCAAAGTGAAATCTACGGAGGTATTATGGTTGTGAGGATTGCTTACCAGCCAAAAAGCCCCCAATCTCCCAAATCCACCATTCAAAGCAGACCATGAATAAACTTGGAATGGCTAGTTTCATGTAAGAGCCCCAGTCCTGCAGACACTCAGTGGACCAGCCTGAAACAACAACCACATGTGAGCTGCGCCGCAGCACAAGAGGGTCTTATGAGGACTTTAGGACTTAAGCGCTGACACAGTCCAGCCTCAACTCACCTTCCCATGTCTTTTCATGCAACCTCCTCCATCGGATGTAGCCAAATAACAGCAGGCAAATGGTGATCCAGGAGAGAGCACTGGCGATTGCTGATCCTCTGGGGAAAAACAGGCATTTACTAATGATTTTGATAAAAGAACATTGTCAAGTGCATTTTGTTCCTATTATACTGAATGTGAAGAAGAAAAATAGTAATAGAGCAAAAGAATTCACACAGATCTCCAGTCAGTGCTAAAATAAAAACAGCAGTGGTTCGTGTACATTTATCTAACATTCCACAAACTGTTGTCTGTAGAGGTGTAGAAGTTATATATGCCTCTAACTAGAAGATGGTAAAGAAGAATAAGACCTTCTCAACATTAAAGATTGAAGCGTTTGTCCAGCTGTGAAAGAGCCTCTCTGCTATCATGTTTATTATTGTATTACAAAAGGACTACATCATATTTTTGATGATCCTGAGGCCTTAAATTTTGGGATGGTGTGGTTTAGACTTACATGACACCCAATTCAAGGCTGAAGATTAGAACATAGTTAAAGCCCACGTTAAAAATGTTTGCAACAGCAGCTGTATACATCTGTGGCAGGATGATCCCCTGATTGAAATTGAGAAAACAAACTAATGTTAATAAACATTCAAAAGGCTTCTTAATGTTGTCTATGTATTGACCTTACTTGATTCTGTAAGTAGGCCACTTGCAATTGATGTAGGAACATGGCCTGCATGGACATACATAGTAATACAGATTCAACAATTCTTCAATCACTTTTGTATATTTTATAGAGATTATATTTTAATGACCATGGCCACTTTTCAGGCTAATGGGAATTTTTGGACGTGACCTAAGCTTGTTTGATAAAGCGTTATTGGGGTAAACATATTTTCTGCACGTGATGGGTATACAATATGTGTATTGCAACAGTGCCACCTACTGTTAAGAAAGAATATTACGTCAGTCAATAATATACAGTGTGTAGAACGCGTGTCGCACTGTTTTTGATTTGATTATTATTACTTACAGGAACAGCTGGTAAAAAGGCCATCACGTAAAGCTGTGCTATTCTGTAAATATACAAAAACAAACAACATGTAAGTCGCATTTTAATAAATATTACTGTCCAGGTGCAGGAGACATTTTACTGATATGCACAAAAATAAACACAAAGTTAATGTGAAGAATACATGTTAGAGTAAATTACTGTTTTTTTGTTTTTTTGTTTTTTTTGCATTGTTGACGCCATTGCAATAATATTTCATGTTATTCACCGTGCCACCTCCTCCTCTTGGTGCATGGCGATCAGTAGGCTGTATGAGTTTATCAGAATGCTCCAACATGGAAGACAGAACAGCAGCAGAATCACTGAACTCTTCTGAAGGATGATCCCGACTCGTTTCATGTTTTTGCTCCCAAACGTCTGCACAACACAAACCGGGGTAAGATCACAAAGAGTAATCAGCGTATGTCTGATGGACTGACCTGAGATATAAGTGTATCACAGGCCAGACCCAGGCCCACGCCCGTCGCAGAGGTGGTGACATTGATGGTCTGAAAAAAAATAATCATATAAATCAGACTACTGTATATCTATGCTCTGTTGAGACCTGACAATGTGGTCTCTATATTATTGGTAGTATATCATATATATATATATATATATATATATATATATATATATATATATATATATATATATATATATATATATATATATATACTATACTATATATATTATCAACACTATTATCAACGCTGTATAGTAGAAAGCAGACGTTTACAAACTGTATTTCGTTCTGTTATGCTATATTGCAGAAGTTCTTTCAAAATCACAGTACCGAGAGAAATATTTTTTCTAAATTAACTTTCAGACACAGAGACGGTCTGTGTTTTGACATACCGGTTTTAGTGGCTCCCTCAGAAATAGAAAAGCAAAGTCACACAGGAGGAGCTCGAAGTAGAGCTGCTACTCCTCTACGTTGAAAGGAGCAGACATCTACCTCCTGGAAACGCAGAAGGGACTATGTATGTGTATATGGGACTATGAAATGTGGAGAGGGAAGAAGAAAATTGAGGAATATAAAATTTAAGCTTCTACTGTAAAAGAAAATAGGAAAACTTTCAGGATTTAATTAATTAGATTTATTTTTTTAGATTAAAAAACAATGAATCAAGAATTATGTGTGAGTGATGTATAACATATGAGTGAAACAATGTATTTTTTAATAGTAAGTAAGTATTTATTTATTTAGCGCACATTACACAAACCAGATATTTCTCCGTTCACATACGGTGATGACAGAAGCGAAATGCCGAACACACTGACGCATCAAAGTCCCCATTCAACACCATCCATTCAATCATGCATACCTATTGTACATACAGTATTTCAAGTGGTCCAGGAAACCGGAGCACCTGGAGGAAACCTACGCAGGCACAGGGAGATCACAGGACAAGGCCCTATCCTGACCGGGATTCCAACTCAGAACCTTATTGCTAAGAAGCGAGAGTGCTTTCCACTCAACCATCATGCCGCCCAAAGGTTTATATAGAAGTTCTTCAAAAATAGAGCAATACTTATGGTCCTCTAAACGTTCTAAATGGTGTGATGATGCTTTTAGGATCAGTGGCTTCATCATAACTACTCAAGAATGCTACAGAGTATTCAGAAATGTACTATGACAGACGTACCGCTGAGGCCAATGCATATCCAGCCAGCTCAGCATTACCAATGTGACCACAGAAAATTGTGTTCACAAATGGTAGAAGAAAGTTGAGGATCCGAGACAGCACCTGCCGAGTACAGAGACCATTACTTTAATTGGATTTTGTGTTAAAACTGCTTGCATTTTAGAGTTTGAGTTAACCCTAACCCAGACTTTTAACCATATTGATAGAGATTGTGTGTGAACCCCTTAGCTCTCAGTGTTAACCTTTGATATGTATGCTACTGTTATTACCTTAAATGATGGGACACAATCTTGTACCACATGTAGAAAAGCATCTAGTCAATACATACTTTTGAACAAAATGCATAGACATAAGCCATTGACTCCTATACGCAGTGCAATTCTAAAACATTAATTTGATGCATTAGGGTTGTTCTTGTGGATAAAAACTTGAGTCTTATTTAGAAAATGGGTCTCCTCCACCCTACTAACCTCCAATACAGCTTATAAAATCCATATACTTTAGTCTCCCCTTTTACAATGTGGAATACACCTTATTTGGAAAGAGCTCAGAAAACAGTGCAATTGGCAATGCTCACAAACAACATTTCAACTTTCCCCTACTCACCAGTGGACCCGTGAGCCTCAAGACGTGGTACAGCTCCTCTCTGTAGGCCAGTGGTAGCCAGCGTCGAACTTTTGCACAACGGAACAGTTTGTTGCTGACTGCGTTTAGACCCTCTTCCTCTCGGTCAGGTCCCTGCAGGTTTGCAGCCGGGACAGGTGCAGCTGCCTGTATGGGCCCTGTAAGATCCAGAGAACCCCGCTTCTCCATTCAAAATCACAGGAAGAAATACAGCGAGAGAGAAAAGTGGCATGTAAGTAAGGAGGGAGGGAGGAGTGGAGTGTGAGAGAGAATGAATGAGCAAGATAAACAAACGTGTTTTATGGACTAGAGGTTAATCCAATAGTATATATGCAAATGAACCAAAACACTAGTTGTCCAAATAGCTGCAGACACTGGGGCTGTGTACTGAAGGCGTGTGTTAGTTTGGTCTTACTGGACTAATCTCAAGAGGAATGCTTTCTCTCTCTTTGCAAACCATGCACTCATGCCAATACTGAAAAAAACAATGCTAAAAAAACTATTTTTGTAATCACATAATATTGCTGTAACAAAAATATCTCTGAGAAAAGGATAACACTGGCGATAATGGCGAAGTGGCATGCTCTCTGCCAAGACAATTTCCAAGTGGTAACTTTTGTTTGTTACTTACGTGGCAATAAAAATGATTCTGATTCTGATTCTAAAACCTCTTCCAAGATACAAGGTACAAATGGTACAGGTATGAAACCAGAAGCATGACTCTATTTGATGCTGGGGGTAGATTCTCTCTTGATATAAAGTAGTATTAAATTATAAGATGATTATTTGCAATATTATGATAAGAACTAAATTAGAAGGCTACACATACAAGTTAAAAGATGTATTCCTTTAAATATACAAGATCGGTGTTGTTCTCCAGGTTTACCCAATCATTCTATAGGTTCAGACACATGGATTTAATTGCTTGGTCATTTGTATAGTATGATCTTATCTGTTTTCATGTGTACTTTGCTCTCAAAGGTCTTTCTCTTTAAGAAAGACAAATATCTTTTTTTCCTGACATGGCTCAATAATTTATTCTCCAGCCATATCTGTGTTAATCAGTTACTCAGAAGCCTTGATTCAATCACTTTCATTAGTAATACCGCTACAGTTTATAGCTATTTGTGTGAAAGGAAAACAAATATAGCTGTCTGTCAATATTTACAATAATCAGGAAAAAGTGTCCAACTTTGCAATTAGACACAAAACAATTTATTTTGTGTTGCAACCAGTCAACCTTTGAACCATTCCACGAGCCGTTCTCAGAGTCATGGCTACAATTTAACTGCAGCACTTTATTTTAAATGTAAGTCTGGCAAATGCTTCACCAAAGTGATTTTTTCTGGGGGGAAAGGGCCACTTAAAACAGTTAATTTATAAAAACATCAGTAAATAAGAATCTGTATTCTATGTGTGCGTGTGTGTGTGTGCGCGCGTGCACGTGTGCGTGTGTCTTTTTGGTCTTGGCAACGGTAGCTAAGGAGCTGCTAACCATTTTCTCGTGAGTAAGTGGTCCCTTTTTTAAGAGCGTTGTGAACAACATATGTATTTTAGTAATATGTTATGAGTGTTCCTCATATTTAGATGATGAATAAGAAATTATGGAAATTTGATTGAAAATAATAAACTCCGTATGTACATAAAGCCATTTTTGTGGTGATAAAATCTTTTTATTTTATTTTACTTTCCATCAAGCTTATAGACATGTTGAATATATGATATTTTGTATTTTTTGTCATTCCTAATTGATTTAGATTAGGCCATTTAAGTTGTTTTTCTGAATTGTCCTGAATATAAAAAGTGAAGCGATTGACCACATTGATTATCCCCAGTTTTTATGGCAGGATAAAGTCACAAGCCTATAAAAACAAATGTGGGGACACACCTGTACAGAGACGACAGAAACCGTGACGAAACACTGTAAAAATATGTGCATCTCATTTACTCAAAACCCATAAAATAGCACTGACATCTTCCTTATTCCTAGGTCTGAAGGGCAGTCTACCAACCTCAAGCATCTTCCAGTCTTATACATTTACCATAGATTTGCACATTTAAATCTGTACCATTTGACTTCTTCAGATTTCGACACCAGCACTAGACGCAATGAAGTTGAAGTTCATACCTGCCTTTTTAATCCTTTTCCTTTTCCTTTTTGCAACACAGACATCAGGTATGCTCTAAATGTCTTTTCATTCGTTGCTTTCCTTGTCACACTTATAAGCTACTATTTCTCAACTTTGGATATCTGTTTTAAATAGGTGTAACCATTGAGTCCACCCCAGCGGAAAATGCAGGATATATTCACACAGAGCTTGAAGAAACGGTCTCTCTGACCTGCAAGCACGACAACATATCTGAGGCTGATGATGAGTTGATTTGGCTCAGGAACTACGCCCTGGTTTCTCTGAAGGAAGGGAATAAAAAGGGCCAAAGCAGAGTATGCATTTCTCCGGTGATCCTGGAAGACAGAGAAACCACGTTCACCTGCCACCTGCGAAGCAATGCCTCAAACAGCGTCTCCGTGGTTCTCAATGTCACATGTGAGTATTGTCAAAGTTGTGCGCTTTTTATCATCTATCTTTTGTAGACTTCTGCGAATGTACTTTGAGAAATTATCTTTTTTATCCTTTTATTTTTATTCTCTCCTTTTGTGTGGCGTCTTTCTTCTGACCTGTATGTTCTGCCTGTTGACCTCAGATTTAGGGGTTATCCAAATTATCTTATTTTTATTCTCCCAATAAGACAGAATAGTGAATGCTTCAGTAGGTTGCTGGAAACAGCTTGCTGGAAACTAGGCACTAGAATCTCAAAAACAGTGGAAAGCGAGGAGGCTGCACTGTAAACTTTTATTTGAAGTATAAGTACTTTGATAATTTACATGGGACAAGCCAACATGTCTCAACTCATGAGTATCTTTGTCAGGATCTATCATCAACAGTAATAACTCCTATTTGCTGACAATTAACTACCTTTCATATGTTCATCAGTAGATAGATGAGATTGGAATGTAACTTCAGGTATCATTTTGGTAAATTGCTTTGTGTGTTTGGGATTTTGACAGGATTGCGAGTAAATTACAACATTAACAAAGGCCAGGAGATTTTAACGTTGTTGCTCTTCTTATGATGCATGTGTTTTTTAATCATGTTCAAGCTTTCTAGTATAGCAAGGCATGTTTAACAGATTCCTTGTTGTCTAGACCCCCCACCTTTGACGGATCCAGAGGTGATAACTGTGGAGGAGGAAGCGTCTCTGTCTTTGCAGTGCATGATTGAGGCCAATCCTCCCGTGTCTTCAGTGATATGGACGCTCAACGGGACTGAGGTGGATCTGAAAACAAGTCAATTTACTCTGACCAACAATGGACTCTCTACCAGACTTTTTACCGAGAAAGTCCAGCGCATTCTTCACGAAGCCACGTACCAGTGTACGGCACATTCACCGATGTATGGACTCAAGACCAAGGTGTTCACAGTCAATGTCACAGGTTAGTTTATGCTGTATGTTATTGCTGTGTGGCATGCATTTATTTGGACAGAGACAGGGCACAATGCATGTATTTACCAAGACAGAGTCGTAGGTAAGACACGGTTCCAGGTTGTAGCAGCGACCACTTATCCAAACCTGTTTTCCCTGAGCAGATTAGATATACAAAATGTAACAATGACATTTGAGTTAGGGGTCAAATTTCAGAATCCTTCCACCACAATTCTGTTTGGATGCATCTTGATCATTCGGAATCAGACTCAAATATGTTTGGATTGTTTGTCATACATGCATCTGTTGTGATTTTTGTTTTCTCTTCATTATCTTAGATAAGACCAGGAGGTTCCCTCTGTATCCCATGATTGCTGGGATTGTTGTAGTTATTCTTACTACATTACTTGCTATTGCTGCGAGATGGGAGAAATTAGTAAAGGTATGATCTAAAAATTTAAAGGTTTTGTTTTTTCCCCACACAACTGACTAATATTTGTTTCTATTTTTTCAGTGCTGCAAGTAACTGAAATATGCTTCACATCAATAAGGGAGAATTTCACATATTTAGTCCTATTTGTTTGTTAAGTTTGTATTTTTTTATTATTAAGTTTCATTAAAAAAGGCCATTATTTAATATATAGATGGGATATAATTTTAACAGTACTTTATGGAGAACAAGTTAAAAATAAAATAAATGTTTCATGTTAACTGCCAGACGCTTGTACAATAAATAAAATATTCCAACATAAAATATATGTCAACATTTTGAAGGGCCTGTCTGGTCATGCAAACTGCCACTATACTCTTTTTTTCTTAGTCTTTATAACCCAAATATTTTGTTACAGTTTTTATATTTGTTATTTTTAATGTTTGTTACAGGTCATAATAATATCATTGAATTCCCCACAAATGGACTTTAACATCTGACACAACAATAAAAAGCTTGTTAAAATTGTGTTATACATTTACTTTTAATATAGAAGTGGCCCTGACATTGCTGTCATAAAGGTCAAGGTGCTGTGGAGATGTTCTCGCCAATAAAACTTAAAAGGCTTTTCATCAGGGACACTGCGCCTCTCTCTCTCTCTCTCTCTCTCTCTCTCTCTCTCTCTCTCTCTCTCTCTCTCTCTCTCTCTCTCTCTCTCTCTCTCTCTCTCTCTCTCTCTGGCTGTGAGGGGAGTTCGTAGAGAGGAGTTTACTAACGATTTATTCAAAACAGGATACGTTTTTCATCATCAAAGTCCACAGGTCTTTCCTTCCTCCCGTGGTCGGACTGTAACGACAGAAAGAAAGAAAGAGAAAGAGCAATAATGTGCAATAAGGTAACATGTTTAAGATTAGATAGGTTAAAACTCGGAGATTACATAGGATACAACTTGGAGAAATTAGGCTTAAATCACATAATTTCCCTGCTTAAAGACGGGGAATTTGCATGTTTAAAAAATGAAAAGATATAGAGTATCTTATGTGCAATAAAGTTGTTTTATGTACAATTAGAAAGTGACTATGGCAGTGATAGTTTTCAGTCCGAGTGCAGGTTATCTTTCATTGATTCAGACCTTATTATAATTTATTTTGAAGACATGAATTACTTTAAATATGGGTTTTATGACTTGCTATAGGAAGATTGCAAAATTGTTTTATTCATTATTATTATTATTATTATATTTTTTACGTATGACTTTATTTCATGTGCGGCTTCTGCGCATGCTCGGAGCGTAGGGCAGTGACGTCATGCGCTGGGTGTGTCGCGTTCTGTTTCTGTCGCCGCCAAATTCAAACCGAGAAGATACAACGGAAGACTGCGGAATATCAACCACTGAGGGCTCAACCTTTGGTTTAGGTAATTGCTTTGATTTAAGCGGACTGCTCACATGATGATTCAGAGCTTTGTCCCCACTGTGCTATTAGTTTCTGTTCCTAACATGAATCTAGCTAGCTTATGTGTAGCGTTTGTTACAATGGCTACATATAACATGGCATTTGTGGTTTGCCTTTTATTGTAATTTGTATTTGTACTAAAAGATTGCTACTTTTTTTTGTTTTCGTTTTGGCGAAAGCTGCATAGATGGACACTTCAGTCTACCTAAAAAGTATTATATGACAACACATGTCCACATGGTGCTTATTATATCTGGGTCTCTGGGTGTTACTAAGGGGGTGGTGGAAGTTAAAACGGGACAATAGATCCCAGAGGCTGTTGTCAGGCTCCAGCTGGGCCCATTGTGTCTGTTTTATTCACATCTTTAAATTTCAGCGAGAGAACTGAAGTGTGTATTGATGCTTGTGTCTTCCTCAGACATGGATGGTGTGGGGAAAGCAATGGTGGGTATGTGGCGTGCTCACACAGCCCTGGATGAATCTGACGCAGACTGCTCTCCAGAAGCACCAGACCGTTTCCGGAAGCAGCGCTCCTCTTCTTCCCTCAACAGTCTGAGGATGTCTCTGAGGAAGCGTCTCCCTCTGCGGAGTGTTCAGACCAGCTCTCTTCCTGAGAATCCCACCTGGGAAAACCTAAAAGAGGAAGCAAAACCCAGCAAGGTCCAAAGGCTTTCCAGGAGTGCACGAAATTCTATCACAGATGTCTATCAGGTAAAGTAGGTTTAGTATGTATATGTAGCTTAACCTCATTAAGTAATCTTTAATTATAAAGCGCCTTTCACAGACTAGAGTCACAAAGCGTCTCTCACTCCACACAGAGAAGGGAGTGAGGTCGCCAGTACAGGGGGTGCCCGCCAGACCTATTGGCATGCACCATTAATCAAATATTTGTGTTAACAAAAAATTTAATTATTTCAAAACTAGACACTCATTTGGGAAGAATGTACACTGAAATCATCACAAACAAAAATAATTCTGGAATGAAGATTTATATCTATAGCAGAAAAATCTTAATCTCATCCCATTTCATTTGTCTGAAATGTATTGTGACAACAATCCACAACCAACCTCAACACCAAGAAAAATAAACAACACCTAAAAGATTACATTTAAACTAAAAATAATTCTAATAAAAATAAATAAAAGTGTTTGAGCATGTGCACTGTAAACAAGTGTTTGATAATAGCTGCAAATGTGTGCAACCCACAGAAATTTCAGAGATCCAGGGAGTTTTCTCATGAGAACTGTTTAGTATCAACTCCGGGACGTATCTGTGAAGACGACGAGCCAAGCACTTCAGCCGCTCGCACCCCAAAACGCATCCCACACAGAGCCACGACCCCCAGGCGCACTCCCAGAGCTGCCACACCGGGTCGCACTCCGGGATCCAGGGCACGAAAGACTCCAGAAGCGAGTGTTCGTGGTGTGAAGACCGGAGGAGGCAGGCGGCAGCTGGTTCGCATGGCTGCTCTGCGGAGCCCTTTCGCATCTCCAAACACACAAAACCAGAAGATGTAGGACTTACTTTTATAAGAAACAAGGATGACGTTAAATACAGTTGATAACATGTAATATTGTGTATATTCTACAGTAAGTTTGACAAAGATCTTGACACGGTCTCGAGTGGACTAAGGAGGCTCAAACACCTCTCCAGGGCCTTTGATGAGCTGATCGGCCGAGATGACAGGTATAAAACAACAATTGTACACTGCAGCCTGTTGAAAATTGTTCATATACTCCAGTTATACATGACTTTGATCTTAGCTCAATCGAACAGTCCCAGTTCTGTTGTCCTGTGGAGTGCTCCCCCTCCCCCACATTCTTCCCGCTTCAGTTTGAAACCGGGTCTGTTTCTGGTATTCGGTGAGGGGGGAGAGAGAGAGAGTAGAGTGCCTTGAATGGGGCCTCGTAATATGACAAATATGCCATTGGACAGTAAAGAATAGCTGTGAAATCATATCCTGTTTAGATTTACATTTCTAAAACTTTGCCTTGTTGGTGTCTGTCAAATGGCCTTTTACAAGCACCCCTGTCACAGTTCAACTCCAACAATTTTAACCCCAACAATGTGTTTTCCTAAAACAGGCGGTTCCGCTATTCTGTTATGGATTAACGTGTAGGAGAAGGTAATTTATAAGCAGTGCCATTCTGAACAAACTACAAACAGGAGCATGAAAATAATATTGCATGTTTTACTGTAATGCTTTGTTGCATGGCCTAATGAATGAGCCACTGACCTGTTATGACCTGTGGATGTCTTGCATTGATGTCTCAGCCTCCAATCACCGTGGCTACTGTTACAAAGATGTCCAGAAGCCCATCTATAATTTCATGTCATTCATTTCATGTCATGTTTTCTCATCAGATCTAGTTCAAAGGAGAGTTGTGGAGGTATTGTGATGAGAAAGTTGGACCCGAGCGGTAAACTCTGTCGCTCAAACCTCACTCGTCGTGCAGCCAGCGTCTCAAACACATTGGGAGGCTGGGCACAGATGGCTGCAAACACAATATGTAAACACAACTAATGTGTCAAACAGGACCTTTGTATTTGTTACTGTGGAGTTTGTTACGATATAGTGCCTAGACTATGGAGATAGGGCATTTTATTTGTTCTGCCCTTCCTTTATTCAGTATAGTCAATATATATTCTATGTTTACATATCTCAGGTAGACTAAATACAAAAAAGGCTACCAAATAGAGATATTTATTGTGATGTCTAAACTTATAGCTGCTACGACCAAATGTCTTAGTTACATTTAAAACTACTAATACTTGTTTTGTTTTTCACTTTTATACATAACACTACACACACCAAAATATACATACACTACTAAAACTTCCTCCATATGCAATAATGTTACTAATTTTTGTCATCTCCTTACATATTGGATTTGCCAAAATGTTTTTGTTTTTTTACTTTTTGTGAAGTGGGATTTGTATGCAACGTTTGTATTCAACTGTGATGATTATATTTTTTGCTTTATTATTTTAACATGGCATTATTTACCAAGGGAGCAATTAAGATTTGGTTGATGTTGGCTTGTGATATACAACTGTTGTTGGATTGGTACCCGTCCAGATTATGTTTGTGAAAACTATTTTTTTTATAATGTTTTGTATCTTTTCTTAGAAAATTAAAAAATAATGAATGAATGAAAGGACTTCTTTGGTATCTTAAGGTGAGGGTTGCTAATTATGAAGGAAAAGCATGCCCTGTCACCCCAAAGAAGAAATAATAAGCATGAGTTTCACAATGATGAGAAATAAGCCATAGTCGTCAGCAATATATACATATAGTGTGCATATCATAGACTGCATATGCACAAGTGATTTTCACAACCTTTAATTCTATATTACTTAATAGTTTAGTTTATTGTTTATAAAACAGGGACAATGTACAAAAACCATTAGTCATTACAAAAGAGATGGTTTGCACCAGATTTAGCTGCAGCTACTTTCCATCTGTAGTCCCTGGGCAGGTGAACACACAGATACACTCATCACAAATATAAAAGCAAACGTACCTCACACAAAAATACAATCATATATACATTAAATGTTTTCCTAAAATGACATAGGATAAAATGAATAACATTTCTCATGCTATTAAAGTTCATAAATGTAGACACGATTGACTGTTTAAAATGTGCTTTTTCTAATTAATAGTTAATTAATAGTCGTATGACTGTTATGAACCAAAAAGTGAGGTACCCACCAGTATAATAGATCCATGTATAAGACCCAACGCCAGCTTTCAGGCACTGCAAATGCTAGTTTTTTTCCCGATACGCCCTCCAGTGGCATTTCTTCGTATTTGGTAGACTGTTCTTGTCCCTCGCCGATACCCGTATTGGGCTTGGTTTTTCGCAGAGAGCTCCTCCTTTCCCTCTCCGGCTTTGTACCAGAGCTGAACCACGCCGCAGATATCTTCTCTAGGATAACGGGGCCATTAAACATCGCACCATGGCTCTTCACGTTCCGAAAGCGCCGGGCTTTGCTCAAATGTTAAAAGATGGCGCAAAGGTAAGAGAAGAGTCTGCGTCTGCATCCTTCTCTAACTTGTGTCTGAAGATAACCACGCTTGAGTTAGCATGATGCTAGCTGCCGTAAATCCACTGTCATGCGGAGACACTAGGGCCTTCGGTGTGACAGATGTTTATCTGACACTATGCAAACTATCCTCTTCACAATAAATAAATACACGTGGGTACAATATGTTGTAATGTATGTAGGAAGTCACGGCCTTATAACACCTGATAGGGAAGATGCTTTCATTACCTCCATTGTCATGTCAGTGATTCTTCTCAATACCTATTATATAATTTTGGATTGCTGCCCCACGAAACGAATGTGGTTTAATATAATACAACTACAATACGACGATTACTCCTATCTGTTTATAATATAGAATTAGCTCTGACGTGCATTTACTTTTTGCAGCACTACTCTGGACTGGAAGAAGCAGTTTATCGAAATATCAGAGCCTGCAAGGAACTGTCCCAAACTACACGGACAGCCTATGGGCCAAATGGTATTTATTCTGTAATGATGTTAAATGGACAATTTTGTTTCAGAAACCTTACTTATTAATTTTATATTTAGGTATGAATAAAATGGTCATTAATCATTTGGAGAAGTTGTTTGTCACCAATGATGCTGCAACAATCCTCAGAGAGCTTGAAGTGAGACACATTTTATAACCATGCATACATTTGAATATTTATTGAAATATAATCTGATTTTCTTTGACATAGGTGCAACACCCAGCAGCAAAGATGATTGTAATGGCCTCTCACATGCAAGAACAGGAAGTGGGTGACGGAACCAACTTTGTTTTGGTTTTTGCTGGGGCTCTCCTAGAACTGGCCGAAGAACTTCTCAGGATGGGCCTGTCTGTGTCTGAGGTACTGTACAAATAAAGATGAGAACTTTCATTTTAGATATCCACACGTGATTGCAATTTTTTGTCTGACTTGTAGGTCATTGAGGGTTATGAAAAGGCGTGTAAGAAAGCTATGGAAATTCTCCCTGACTGCGTTTGTTCTTCCGCTTCAAACCTTCATGACGTCAAAGAGGTTGCTTCTCTTATTCGTCCTGCTGTGATGAGTAAACAGTATGGCAATGAAGACTTCCTGGCCAATCTCATTGCTGATGCCTGTGGTGAGTTTTGTGCTAAATCTCAGATATAACATGGACACTTTTCTGTTGAAATGACTCCTCTTTTAATCTCTCACAGTTTCTATCTTCCCTGAAACTGGCAATTTTAATGTTGATAATGTTAGAGTTTGTAAAATCTTGGTACGTATTATGTTATTTACCAGTTGCATTTATCTCATTTGGCTTTTCTAATGGAGTTTTGTGATTCTCAGGGATGTGGGGTGACTGCGTCCTCCATGCTGCACGGCATGGTTTTCAAAAAAGAAGCTGAAGGAGATGTCACATCTGTTAAAGATGCTAAGATTGCAGTGTTCTCGTGTCCATTTGACTGCACTGTTACGGAAACCAAGGTAGAGAAGATTGTAGCTCACTTGATTGTGCTCACGAATACTTGCATCCTTTCAGAATTTTGAGAAATTGTGTCTTCACACAGGGAACTGTTCTTATCAATAATGCAAAAGAGCTCATGGACTTTAGCCGAGGAGAGGAAGACATGATGGAGGCTCAAGTGAAGGCCATCAAAGAGGCTGGTGCAAATGTGGTGGTCACTGGAGGGAAAGTGGCTGATATCGCACTACACTATGCCAACAAATACAAGCTCATGGTTGTCAGGTGAGACTGGTGATAAAATATATGGATACTCTGTATGAATGTTTAAGTTTACTCATTTTGATACGATATTTTTAGGCTCAATTCCAAGTGGGATCTGAGGAGACTGTGCAAGACTGTAGGGGCAGTGGCTCTGCCAAAAATGGTACGCACTCAGTCGCAGATGACGTGTTATTCTTTGTATGTACATACTTCAAAAACATTTTGTTTCATAGACTGCACCAACTCCAGATGAGATGGGCCACTGTGACAGTGTGTACATTTCAGAAGTGGGAGACACCCAGGTGGTGATCTTCAAACATGGTATAGCATTGACCATTTGCTAAATATAGAGTTGGAATATTTATTTATCATCAAGTGTGGTTAAAATACAGCTTCTGTGCCACAGATAAAGAAGATGGTGCCATTTCAACAGTAGTGATCAGAGGCTCCACTGACAACTTGATGGATGACATTGAGAGGGCTGTGGACGATGGCGTCAACACCTTCAAGGTTTTGGTCCGGGTAAGTCACAAAAAAGTTCTTAAATCGCATAGGACACATTTTGTATCCAGTGAGAAAGAATTGTGTAAAAACTGGTTTTTAGATAAATATTATATATTTTGTGTTTACAATTATTTGTGCTTTTATAGGACAAACGACTAGTTCCTGGTGCTGGGGCCACAGATATTGAACTGGCTAAACAGTTGGCATCCTATGGAGAGGTAATAGGCTTGCATTCACTTTTTTTTAATAGTTTGCATTGAAATGTGAATTATTATTATTATCATTATTGTATCTTAATCTTTTCTTTATGTCCTGTAGTCTTGCCCTGGTTTAGAGCAGTATTCCATTAAAAAGTTTTCCGAAGCATTTGAGGCTTTGCCACGTGCTCTGGCAGAGAACTCTGGTGTGAAGGCGAGTGAGCTGATCTCTAAATTGTACGCAGCACATCACGAGGGAGAGAAAAACATGGGCTTCGACATAGAGGTGAGTATGGGGGACAAAGTTTATCCCTTAAAGCTCAAAATTGGATTTTTAATTGTGTTCTGTGATTTTAGGGGGATGGTCCCTCAGTGAAGGACATGAGTGAAGCTGGAATCCTAGAGCCATTCCTGGTAAAATATTGGGGAATCAAACTGGCCACAAATGCAGCAATTACAGTACTCCGTGTTGACCAGGTTAGTATTTATTTTCTATAAGGAATTCCACAAATTTATTTTAGTGTTCCATCGTAATCATTCTGGACGACATCCTAAATGGTTTTGTTGAATCTCCACCGGTTTGGTAATCCCGGCTTGTATGTATATACTGTACTGTCAGATCATCATGGCTAAAGCAGCAGGGGGACCCAAAACTCCCAAGCAAAGAGGCCACTGGGATAAAGATGACTGGGATGAAGAGCCAGATAAATTTGATACTCATCATTAGAGTGCGCCCCAATGCCTTCCCTCAGTAGGTCTTCATATATAGACGTGTGGTTTGCCCTAAAACTCACTGGAAACTGAGTCTGTCACTACTAACACTGGCCATGCAATTCTTGAACATGCAAGGAGAATTTGAAATGTAACATCACTGGTTGGTTTTTCACTCATAGAAAAAAAAAAACAGTCCAAAAGGCACTAATGAGACATGGTGTGGTTGCATGGTGCATGGACTCAATCCTAACCTTTCTTTCCTTAAAGCCAGTAGAAGGTAAGCCCAGCTGCTATCGTATTCTCCCTAGATTTGAATGGAATATACGATTGTGGAAGGGATGTGCACGTTTGATAACTAGGCTTATAAGTAAATGAGATTAAATAGCATTACCTCAAATAGGATAGAATTACCTGTGGTATAATTAAACTGTATAAACACAACCTTGTTTCAAGTCGTAAACCACAGTATCTTACCAGGAGTGGATAATCCTGTTGACCTGACTAATGCATCGCTCCTGACTCTTTTTACACCACCAAACGTGTCTCGGATTAATATAAAGTTTTGCTCTCTTCTCAGATAATCATGGCCAAACCAGCGGGAGGTCCCAAACCACCCCAGGACAGGAACAACTTTGATGAGGATGATTGAATCTGACCTGGTTTGCCTGATACTCCTCATTTCTGCCACACACAAACCCTTTTCTACATGTTTATTTAAAGCTCAGTTTGGTTTATTTTGTAAACGACATGTTGATTGAAAAAAGAAACTAACGTACTGATGGCTCTTTTGATTTTTATGTTCTGCAACCCAAATAAAAGTCACTTCAGTGCTGTCAAAATTGTAGTTGTTTTTGTAAACTGCTTTTCCCTTAACGGCCTAAGAGGTAGATCCACAGAAAAATCATGTGTTGTATTTTGTATTGTAGGCTACTAACAAAGGTGCTATTCCACTTTCAACAGCAGGGGGCGGCTTTACCCCACGTTCCCCCATTGGACGTGTGTACGAGATGTGGGTGGATTTGCTCTGACGTTGTCCATACTGGGATTAACTTGTTTTGTGTCGCCATATCTGTCATTTAGCGCATAGCCAATGTAAACCTGTGCGAGAGTAACTAAATAAATTGGCTGATTTGGCCTTTTGTTTGGGCCTTTGATGTTCATCGTGAAGTATACTGATCCGTAATACGACCGCACCATAATGTGACTAGTAATGGATGAAGAACGCACGTAAACTGCACTGACTGCCTAGTGCCGATGTCCTGTCCCGCAGATGGGGGCCGAGACCAGTAAACATGACGAGGTGAGTCCACAGAAACCCCATGTGACGCACGAAGAGGGGGATCCCAGTTTCCGTCACGAGGGGTGCCCCAAACCCGCCTGTATGTATCACAATGCAGCCGAACAGTGAATGATCCTGCTCAAAATAAAAACGTCCCGAGTGGGATAGAACTGGGACACATGAAGACGATCAAATTGCGATCTTTCTGCTTTGATTAGTTTGGTTAGTTATTCCGTGCCTTTCTGAATAACTGATATGCCTGTATCAGACTGGAATTATCGCATCTTGCACGGCTGATTATACTTATGCTTCAAAGAACAGAATTTCTGCAGTCGAGCCATAACGCTCGGTAGGAGATGTACGATCTTGTCTTCCTGGACTATGCGTGGATCTAACTATTGATCATTTTCACGTTTTCTCTACCTCCAACGTCAAATGGTTTTACTCATAGCATTGATTTTTGTCAAATGTATATGTAGGTATAAATAAAAAAATATGATCTGCTCTCCTCTTCTCTACACGCTATAGTCCTAGTTTGTTAATCAATTCTTATGGATTCAACCTGGTTCATAACATTTTTAAAGAGTAAGCTCGCAAATCATCTTGAAAATGTTGCCACAATTTTGGAACTTCGAAATATTTTTCTTATCAAACCAACTTGTCCTATAAATCTATGCACTACCTGACACTATTCATTCAAATTGATTTCTGGACAATACAATTAATGTAAACTAAAACTAATAAGTGAGGGAGTTTAAATTGAGTGGCATCTCATGGATTGTTTGACTCTTTCAGAGGCCGACAGGACAGGATGACCCCATGTCGTCTGGATGGAGAGGCTTCCTCTCCAGTGTGGGTCTGTCACTGCCCGCCTCTGTGTGTCGTGTGGCCCCTGCTGCTCTGCGGCTTCGGCACCGACGAATGCTCCAGGGAAAGGCCCCAGAAATACCTGAGCATGTGTTGAGACTGGCAGGAGTTGGTCCAGGCAAACTCAGGTCCGAGTGGAGTTTCCCAGGCTTCATCACCATGTTCCTACCAGAGTTCCCACACAAGACTGTGCCTGGACAGGAGCATTTTCAGGTTCAGTCTTATTCCTATTTTGTGCCCTAATCCCCAGTGTTCCACTAGCACACTTACAAACTTTGTGTATGCTTCAGGTCATGAGTTATATTGCCAAAGGCTCATTTGGGCCCATTCTGAAGGTGAAGGACAAAGCCAAACAGAAAACTTATGCTGTGAAGGTAAACTATTTTACCTACTTTTCATCTTTTAAATATACAGTATTATATTTCCATATTTTTGGGCATTTGTGTATATTCTGTGTTTCACAGGTTATTCCTAAATCAGAAATCCTCAGACTTGGTGTTCTGGAGCAGTCAAAGGAAGAAGTTATTGTTCAGGTTGGTGCTGTACCAATGATAGTCAGTGGTTGACTATAACAGATCAAGTCTATTCTCTGCAATAATAGTTCTTTAAAGTACGTCACCTTAGAGTTAGTGAAAAAGCTGCTCAACCTGACATCTGACCTTTTCATTTAGCGTCAGGTTCACCATCCATTTGTCCATGAGCTGCAGGACTGCTGGCAGACGCAGCGCCACCTCTACATTAGTGAGTCAGCAGAGACCAGTGGACAATGCTCTCCCTAACTTTGTTCACTTTCCAAAGTCCCCTCACATCCTTGAACTTTTGTTCTGCAAGCAGCTTTTCCTTCCCCTGGTTTTCCACAGCTTTTATCCTGTTATTAAGTTCCTATTTTTTATGTGACCTTGTACAGTATGTGTGCATTACCAGTCCTGGTTAAGTGATGTGCTGAACCCTGTTGGAGCTTAGTACGTTCTATTGTTGCTTCATATATGTTTCTGATTTATTTTAAATAAAATCTAATTTTAATCAGTTTAGTAGAAACAACATAAGCCACACACCTGCCTGCTAGAACCTCCCTTGCTTCCCACAAAAAAAACTATTTTATTACTGTGCCACGTCACAGAACCTGATTATTACACATTGTATTTGTGTTCATAGTGTGTGACTACTGCAGCACAGGGGACCTCTACACTTACTGGCAAATGAATGGACAGTTTTCAGAGAATACAGCGAGAGTGTTTGCAGCAGAGCTGGGTTGTGCTCTGGGTGAGTTGGCTGCTCTTAAATAATCTGACTTCTGGTTTCTTGTCAGCAACGGTATAGTATGTGTGAAACTCTAGTTTGCTTTAATTCTCTAACATAACTCTGGTTTGTAAAGAACCTACATGAGTTCATAAGCACATTTGTTTGTTCATTTGTGTTTTAGGTTTTCTCCATGACATTGGGGTAATACACCGAGATGTGAAGGTAAGTTCCCGAAATATATATTCAGTAGTGTACTCATTTACTAGATAAAGATGGATCTTCAAAAATGAGTCTGGTAAAGCAATTGATATAAACATTAGAATTAAATGTCTGTTTCTTTGTTATAGATGGAGAACATCTTGCTGACAGAAAATGGTGAGGAGAAATATAAAGCCAATAGATGGCAGCAAAGTACAGCCTTGAAATAGTAAATAAAATGTATCTGATTGGTTCTTCAATCTCAATAATTTACACTTGTAAGAAATACATTTGAAAAATACTTTGACAAGGTAAATGATTTGTGCCAGGACACCTCCGTTTAGCTGATTTCGGATTGTCTCGTCGTCTGGAGAGAGGAGGGAGAGCCTTCACTATTTGTGGAACTATACAATACATGGGTAAGAGCAACTCAAGAGATCACAAACATGGTTTGAATTTTTTGTGTAAAAAACAAATTGAAATACTTCCTTTTGTCCTTTGCAGCTCCAGAGGTGTTGAGTGGTGGGCCTTACAACCATGCAGCTGATTGGTGGTCTCTGGGAATCCTGATCTTCTCATTGGTAACTGGGAAGGTAAGAGACAATGGAACTGGAAACTGCACTGCATATAGTAGTTTGACCTATTGATAAAATTCAGTTACTAATTACACATCAATATATTTAATTTCTAGTTTCCAGTACCACCTGAACCAGACCACTGCAGCATGTTAAGAAAAGTTCGATATTCTCCATATGAAATGCCCCTCAGCTTTAGCCCTCCATTAGCGCTGCTCATCACAGAGGTATTCCGCAATCTTGACATATAAGAATTATAAAAAACTAATCTAATTTATCCCAACAGCTTCTCTGCAAGACTCCTATCCGTAGGCTTAGAACTCTGGATAGATTTAAGCGACAAGCCTTTTTTCGCGGGATGACTTTTGACATTACTCTTATGCAGCGGGAGCCTGTGGAGGTAAGTGATCCTTAAGTTTGTTAGTCAATGATTATTTGAATTGATGCTTGTAAAAAATCAGTAAAGTATATAGGTGGGGACCACCGAATAAGTTGTGTTTCGATTAAGACATTTTGTGGCATGAGTGCAGGTGATCCTGAAGCTGAGAGAGAGACCAGACCGAGCCGCCAAAGCTCGCAGAGGCCTCACTCTGTCTCTGCAGCCACTGAAGGGTTTCGACTATGACTCTCTGCTCAGCCCAGACACTCCAGACTGTCAGGACTGCAGCACACAGACCACAGCAGTTCTACCGGGACCAGTACTGACACCTGCTCCAGTTCCTCACAGAGAAGTCTTTGTATGAAGAAGAAATTTATTGCACTAAATCATAATGGCACACATCTTCAATTGAACTTAAAGCTGCAATGTGCTCTTTAAAAATCTGAAAAGATGCCTGGAGAAAAAATAGTTTAGTAGTAAAATAGTAAAGTGTTTTATTTTTTTGTTCTGCAATGCACTTATCTTTCTTTCTTTTTTCATTTTTCAAGACTATTCTATTTGCACTGTGTTTTGCAAAGAATATTGCGCCATTGAAATGCTCTTTCCTGGTGATTGGTCATGGTTTCCCTTTAACAAAAACTATCAGACATTGTACCATTTGTGTTACACCACAGGAATCTCTTTGTTTGCACAGAAACCAACTTCACCTCTAACCGGAACATTTCTTAACAGGACCAAGTATTGTCCTGGTAATATGAAAATATGTTGGGTTCTTTTGTTGTACCTGTATGTCTTCATCTGTATCTTGTTTATTTGTCTTTATTTGTGTTAATGTCTTGTGATACCTTAAACTGCAACTGCTGTCTGGGGAATGACACAGCAGAATGTTGCTTTTTTTTATTTGTGCATCACACAAAAAGATTTTTGATTTTTGTTTGTTGTAATCACTTACATTTGCCTTCCATATTTTGCATAGCTATAAACTCCAAACATGTACCTCATTTTGTCTTTGACCGGTCCAAGCCCTTTTCTAATCCCCTCATGTAACATGAAATGTGCCCATACAAACACCCTTTGCACTTACGTAAAAACGTAAAATTATCGCCACAATGAAAATGCTCCAAATGCTATACATCAGTTGCATATAAAGTATATTAGTTTAGTAAACATGCTCAAGCTTTTCTGTATTTTTATAAATAAATTGAGAATACATCTCTTTTCTTTTGTGTTTCATTAATGTGGATAATTTTAAGAATTTCAATAAAACATTTTCATTATAACCAAAGGCATTTCAGTTGAATGGATAAACAGTTAAAAACGAGGGGGGGACGAAAAGGAATTGTATACAATGCAGACATTATCGATGTCTGTTGATAGAAAAAAATCGATCACGTTTTGCTCATTTTGTCCTCTGAGGAGGATTTTTTATTTTAATCAATTAAACCACCAAAAACTGTTTTCATTACGGAAAATAGCGACATCGAACACAAAACCATTTAGATGCACTATCACGCTGCACCCACGGTTTACTGCCCCCAAGTGATGCTGACTGACGCATGCGCAGTGACTCAGTGACGCGTAAGGAAGGTCCGCCTCCGGGTTTTAAGTGTCACGTCGCGCTGCAGCAGAAACAAGAGACTTCTCCACCTCTACTGATCTGAGCAAACACCTGCCTGCGCTGATCCTCCACCAAACCGTAGGTAAGACATGGAAGAACTCATATTCTGCTACAATGACCAAAACTGCGGAGTGTCTTTCGATGAGAAGTCTAAAAATGGCGTGAAACAGGACGTGATGCTGCGACACATCCCTGCTTAGCTTCCAAACTTTCCTCCTCGCACAGTTTGCTCTATTTGAGAACATGGCAGTCATTTTCTCGTAATCACCTTTTCAATGTTTCATATTTAATACATGTAACGTGTTTTAATATTACATATGGCTTCAGTTCCTGGTTAGAATGTGCGTCATTGGGGATGAGCGTGGATGACCTTCAGGGAGGAGAGGAGCGGCCCTGTTGCGCCTGGTTTACGTTTTCACATGGTCTAATTGGACAGTTCTCTCGGTGAAAACTGTAAATGATGTAATTATGGTTTAGGAGCAGACTGTGGAAGAGAGGGGGTGGTGGGGGGGGGGGTGTGGTGGTGGTGTGTCTGTGCCAGAGCACGTACGCATCTGATGGGGAGGCGGGGCATCAAACTCCAGAATAATCAATGGGTCTTCAACTAAAAGGATTGAGGTTTAGGTTGTATGTGTTTTCAATCTTTGACGATATACTTTAAAAATGCGTGTTATAAACAGATTCATATTTAGGGGTCATTTTATACGCTGATGTGAGGCTATTGACCAAGTGTTTTATTATTAGTACTAGTATCTTCATCGTCATCATTATTTCATTATTCGTATCACAATTGGCTACTCTGTGCTATAAGAAAATGGATGTCTGTAGTTTGTTTTAGCCACAAAGCACAGTATGTTCTGCAGCAACACGTTAGAACGGTAATCTCTATTGGATGATACATTTTCTCAACAAAAACGATGGAATTTTCCGTTGTTTAGGACCACTGAATGGGGGGGATGTGAGGCTTCCAGTCTTGGAGCAGGCAGTCTGTCTGCTTTAAGGTCTGTATAGGATGTTTAAAAAAAAACACCCCTGGCCTATAATTAAGAAAAAAATGGGAAGATTTAGTCAATGGTCAAATACTAATAAGTCTAAATGTCGCAGTGCAGAAGGACTGTCGTCTTGTGGGGGGGTGACATGGAGTCCTTGAGGGGAGAGTGGAGTTGATGATTCAAAGGCCAAAGCAAAAGCCTGTGGAGAAATGTGACCAACCACTGAGGACTCGTGCAATATCACACTATTGATAGGAGTAACCTGTTGCTATGGCATTTTACTTTAGCACAACTGATTGAACCTATGCTTTAATAGATTCAGATGTTTTCAGTTTGAAATGTCCTCTGGAGTGAGCTGTGATATCACTATGAACTCCAGTTTTGACTGCATGTCTTCAATAAAGTCTTTTATTTTTTTATTAATCAAATATTCTAAGGTCCCACAGAATTGTTTAGTCCGTTAAAATTGTTATCTGAACTTCCCGATATACAGACTGCAGACTTATTGTTGTAGGGCTTCACAAAAGATGACTGGTATTTGCTGAGTGGGGGGTTTTCTGCCTATGAGCAAAGCTGTTACCTCTATAAACACCGGAAAACTTCAGTTGACCAATCACCCCTATGCTAATCTTTAAAGTGAGTCTTATTGATAAAATGTTTATTGTGGCAACTAGATACTGTGTATACCAGCACACAGCGCTGAGACCTCCGAAGATTTAGTTACTCTAAGCCAGGATTAACATGGAAGATGCTGGCACAGCGGCAAATTGTTATGGTAATCTGAATCAAATGGTATTTGTCAAATGTTAAACAATTGTTGTGTTCCGGTTTGTATTCTCAATGTGGCATGCGAGTTTCGTCACAGCATGTTCTTTAGCAAAGTGGGCGTTTATAGGAATGTGTTAAGACTTGTGTCATCTGGGACATTATTGGTTTATTTCCTGTGTTCTGACTTGCTGTGAATACATCATGTCATTTGTTTTTTAATGTGTAACCAGTAGACTGCTGGTTGCACTGTTTAGTGCAAAACTATTGATTTTAACAGTGTTGAGATTCTCGCCATCAAACATGGGGGGAGGGGGGCTAGTGAAAAGCATGGTGAATGTTGCTGAGGAGAGAACAAGTCGTGATGCATCCAGTTCAGCAGCTCTGTCAGAGCTGCATAAATGTTGCATAACTGCTCGCTCTCTGTTCAGCGGAGGGATGAGGTTATATAAGCGATTATTTACGGCAGACACAGGATGGACCAGCCAACAAAATCTTTTTAAAGGCACACCGTGTAACTCTTGGCCACTAGGGGCGCTAGACCTGCAACTTTCACGTTTAGCGCCCCTAGTGGCCACAAGCAACTCAGCACTGTCGCAAAAGTCAACAAACAGTCAGCCGGTGTCTTTTGAGTGTGTATTCAGACAGCATGCACTGGTGTGTGTGTTCAAACTGTAGAGACATGCCTACAGATATTGAGAGACTCTGCTGTGGTCAGCCTCCAGACCGCTGCATTAGTAATCTACCACACATGGACTTCTATATCCTGGATGAGGGAGTTCTGCGTCTAGCTCGTGCTGCGTGGAATGACATCTTTGCAGTCGATGACATCCAGGAACCAGGTGAAGAGCAGCGCTCATACAGACATGCAGCTTACAGCACGATCCCTTTCGCGTTTCCTCTTTTTAGCCTCCTCCAAAGGTTTAAAATTTTTCCTTGCCTCAACCATGACCAGGAGTCGAGCAGGTGAAAAATGAGTAGCAAAAGCCTTAGCTCCATGAGTATATCAGCGCCTGTAGCCGTAAAGCAAGTCTTTCTTCCAAGTCACGTGACCTGGTGGCAGACGGTCCGTCTGCTCGAAACTTACATGGGCGGTATTTCAAGAGGGCAGCCCCGCTCGGAGCATTGCAAGTGTCAAGCGCTGTATATTGGCCCAAGTATTCATATAAAATAACTCATGTGTCAACTCTTTAGGTCACAAAGTCCGCGGTGTGCCTTTAAGGCAGTAGTAGTCTGCACTATGGATGCACAGATCTGGCTGTTTTGTTGCCAAGACCTGATCTCAATACTTCAGCTTTTCAATATTTAATATGACCATGCGGTAGTATAGGGACTGAATCATTATATATCTTGTATGTATTGCAGTGAAATGTTAGCAGAGCTAAAAATGTTTGGCACCATAACGGGGCTCTCATGTTGTGAACAAAGGGGAATTGAATTTGAGGCCCAGGTCTGGCACTCATCCAGTCAGTGCATTGTAAATCAATGTGACCTCATAATGGAACTTTTTTGTTTACAGCCACCATGACTCACCAGTACCCTGCACTGACTCCTGAACAGAAGAAGGAGCTGCAGGACATTGCCCAGAGGATTGTGGCACCTGGGAAGGGCATTCTTGCAGCAGATGAATCCACTGGTAAGTGTTCATGAATTAAGATTAAGAGATCCTTTATTCCTCCCACAGCAGGGACATTTCAGTGTTGCATCACAAGTTACCGAACAGTAGGAATGAGGAGCACAAGATAAGTGGACAATATTTATACTAATTAAAATAAAATAATAATAATAATTATTATTATTATTATTTTTAATTTAAAAAAAAAAATACATTTTGAAAAATAAGAGGCAAGCATTATGTAGTTATATGTTAGCATCTGTACATTTTAGCAGCAGTATGTTTAAATCCGTTCATTTTGCTCGAGCACTCAGTGACTCAGTAAAGTGACAGTGACGCATGTGGTTCTATATGGCACATTCTGATATGAATACAGTGAAGTTAGAATACATGCATTAAGAGTTCCGAGCTTCCGGCTCGACCGCACAGCATTGTGGGTAGGTTGGTGGGCATCAAATCACTCTGCCGTATTGGATTACATGTTGTGAACGTGATCTCTCTCGTTTCCACCCCATAGATTGGTGAATTTTTAAACTATTATACCAATTTCAGACATTTTGAAGGTAAGGTAAAGATTTTTTCATTTAACAAAAAAGCAATGCATTTTTTTCTTGTGGTTTTAGATGTGAACACAACCAACTGACGATAGAGCTACATGCAGCTTATGCTACTTCGAATGCTTACACGCATGCTTTATAAACTTGCCTAAAGCTGTACTTTGGACATATTTGTCTGGTGTGGAGCTTCTGAATGTAGAGAAGGCCAAATACCTGGGGCACGTCATCAGGAGTGACCTCAGTGAAGACTATGACATTCAGAGGCAGTACTGCAAGCTGTATGGACAGGCTAACACTTAAGCACAGAGATTTCACATATGTACAGATAAAGTGTAAATAACTTTGTTTAAAGCACCTCTCTATACTGCCAGCTCACTGTTTGTTCTTAATAATGTCCCCACTCTGAATGTTATTTATCCTCGTAAGTAGTATAAGCTACATGTAGCTCTATAGTCAGTCAGTTGTGTTCACATGTAAAACCACAAGAAAAAAATGCATTGCTTCTTTGTTAAATGGAATTTTTTTTACCTTACCTTCAAAATGTCTGAAATTGGTGAATTTTTAAACTATTAAAACAATCTATGGGCTGGAAACAAGAGATCACGTTCACAACATGTAGTCCAATACGGCAGAGTGATTTGATGCCCACCAACCTACCCACAATGCCGTGCGGTCGAGCCGGAAGCTCGGAACTCTTAATGCATGTATATGAGTTGGAGCTGTTCAACCATGAAGGGATGCGCAACCTTGTTTTTAGCAAATAATTTGAGTTCATTCAAGAATATCCACTATAACATAATTGTAAGAGGCTGTTTTTACTTTGTTTGCTGTATTGTTAATGTAACAATTGCAACACTTAAAGACATCAAACCCAATTCTAAACATCTTTTTTAAATATTTGTCTCTGTAGGCAGCATGGCAAAGCGCCTGAACCCCATTGGTGTCGAGAACACGGAAGAGAACAGGCGCCGCTATCGCCAGTTGCTCTTCACTGCTGACGAGCGCATTGACAAATGCATTGGGGGAGTCATCTTTTTCCATGAGACCCTGTACCAGAACACTGATGATGGTGTGCCATTTGCAAAGCTGATCAAAGACCGTGGCATTGTAGTTGGAATTAAGGTAAAAAAAATCAGATTGTGGTAATTTCATTCCTTTTTGAAAGGAAGGGAAGGAAGGTTTTGTGTAGTATGTGACAACAGTCCCTTGTTTATATATTTAACCATACACGCATTTCCTTGAGGGAAGCCAGGGGCTGAAAGTGCTCATGAATGTTTTATTGTAGGTCGACAAAGGTGTGGTGCCGTTGGCTGGAACAAATGGAGAGACAACCACTCAAGGTTTGTAGTTTGTGCCAAATAAAACCATTATTTATTGTGCAGATTCTAAATTCATTAATTTTCTAGGTCTGGATGGACTCTCTGAGCGTTGTGCTCAGTACAAGAAGGATGGAGCAGACTTTGCCAAATGGAGATCTGTGTTGAAGATCTCAGACACAACTCCGTCTGAACTGGCCATCTATGAGAATGCCAATGTGCTGGCAAGATACGCGAGCATCTGCCAGCAGGTATGTATTGCATGAACTATGTGAAAAGGATTACACTTGCAACAGTTGCTATATATATGTATGTATGTATACATTTGTAGAATGGTATTGTCCCTATTGTGGAGCCAGAGATCCTTCCTGACGGGGAACATGACTTGAAGCGTTGCCAGTATGTCACTGAGAAGGTGAGACATTTTGTTAAGATGGCTATTATTTGGATGAACAGTTCTGTAGTGGATTTCTCACTTTTTGTTCTGTAGGTTCTAGCTGCCTGTTACAAAGCACTATCAGACCATCATGTTTACCTGGAGGGTACCCTACTTAAGCCAAACATGGTGACAGCTGGACACTCCTGCCCCAACAAATACTCTAATGACGAGATCGCAATGGCAACAGTGACGGCCCTTCGTCGCACTGTTCCTCCTGCCGTCACAGGTAAGTAGTTTTTTTTTTTTTTTTTTTTTTTAAGAGATGTGAATTATCACTTTTGAGTAATGCATGTTTTGTCTTTGACTCTCAGGAGTGACTTTCCTGTCTGGTGGGCAGTCTGAGGAAGAGGCGAGTGTGAATCTTAACGCCATTAACACCTGCCCTTTGACCAAACCATGGGCTTTGACCTTCTCTTATGGCAGAGCTCTTCAGGCTTCTGCTCTTAATGCATGGAGAGGAGAGCTGAGCCAAGAAAAGGCAGCCACTGAAGAGTTCATTAAGCGTGCAGAGGTCAGAAAATCTCTGAACCTTTACTCATTCCTATATTCAGTGGTATCTAACATTGTCCCTTTTTATGTGGTTTCTATAGGCCAATGGCTTGGCAGCTCTTGGAAAGTATGAATCATCTGCATCTGGTACTGCAGCGGGAAAATCTCTCTACGTAGCAAACCATGCCTATTAAAACAACCACATTCAGTGTGGCCTACCACTAGTCTTACAATGTATTCACTCAGCTTTTCCCCTCTGCTCCATCAATTACAGGCCTGCGCTGTCTACTGTACTTTAGAGTTGTAAAAGTTAATTAGATGTATGTGTTATCATAATGTAAAACTGCTGTACTAAAAGGTGTACGTTTAATATATTGTTTGCTGGACCAATTTCTCTGCTGAACTCCTTAGAACAATTCATGAAATGTGAGTCCATGATAAACATTTGATGGGTTTTCAACCATACAACATATTTGAGGCAAACCATTTCCATTGTATTAAATGTGACCGTTCAAATCCTTTTTACTTTGTTCCTGGCTATTCCTACAGGTTGGAGTTTGCAGCATTCTGTGTGTATTGCTTCTATGCAGTGTTGGTTCATATTTCCTAAACTAATACATCCCTGACATGGGACCAATGATCATAAGCAACACCAACTTCATATTCATAAAATAACATTGAGAAATGTGTTGACTGAAATTTAAGACTAACCTTGCAGTTTTCATTGTACTGTCAGACAGCTGAGGTCAAAGGAGGATGGAAATGCCCTACACGTGTTTATGTTGACACGCTTTTGATTGCCAGCAGTAGAAGAAATATTTCTTCAATTCCATTTGCTTTAAAATAACAGTTGGTGTTGAATTGTGTGATTGTGTCTAATATATTCTGAAGCCCTATCAAGTTCCCTTGAGCCAACCCCCATAGGATGGTGTCTGTATGATTGAGGGGACCAAGTCAAGGGGTTTGCTGCAAAGGAATGTTCACTGCTGTGTTGGACTACTGTGATATTTGTGACGTTAATACTGTCTGAGCATTGGTATGTCTGTAGTAAATAAACACTTAAACAATATGACGTTAAACGTTTTTTTTCTTCAAACTAAGTACTACCTACCCGGATATTAAAGTTATTTAACTGGAGCTGCTTTGTCCACCTGTCCCTTTCGCAGACCTTAACTACAGTCTATTTTGTCCCTCTTCGTTAGTGCTGCTCTTGTGCTATCCTCGGGTCTTGACCATAGACTGTAAATATTGACCCGCCAGTGATTCAAAAATACCCCAATTTTTTAATTTTTTCCCCCTAACTTGACCAGCCCTGGGTCATTTAGATCTGGTTATACTCGTAATTTAGGGTCTACTTTTAATCACTTTTGCCGGGGTTAGCGCGGGTTGGTATTTCAAGTGGTTTATTTGTTTGAGCACCTCAAATGAGGCGATAACTGGCGACAATCATTTATTATCTATAAATTTAGCAATAGCTGGATAAATATCTTAAATTGATAATGTGGAGGACTAGCAACAGAGTGACAGTGCATTGTTTTTACTCTACTAAACCACGTGGTACTGGATCGCTCGGGTGTGTAGTCCTCTAGCGCGTCCATTCATACCCTGCGATGGCTGCTACGGAAGTGGGTAAGTACGTTTCGATTATGCCAAATTTCTGATGAGCTGACCCAAAACTAGATGCAACTCACTTTTAAAATACTAAATTCTAAACTAAAATGTCCATCCACTGTTTGAAATTGCAATTCTTACACAATAAAACATATAAGCTAACACAACTAGCTAGCAGAACCAGTTTTTTAATGATCTTCCTTCTACAATAGCTTTTGTGTAGCATGTGAATAGATCCTTTCCGATTACACCATAATCTCTCCATAATATGAATACAATATTATCATTCTCTCCATATTTGAGATCTCTCTATAAGGCTAATTTGTTGAATGATATATAACCTTTTACTGCTATTTTCGTATTCTTGTACGTGTATTATGCTGAAGATACATTGCACATATTCAGTTATAGCATTACAGTGATTGGCCTTTTATTGTTGGTCTACTGGTATTTTCCATAAAGTAGCTTCAGCTTCAAGAATCTTATATTTGTCTTAGTCTAGTTCAATGTAGACATGAATTTGAATGACATGCAATTTCCCAATAATACTGGGCTTGTTTTCAATGTGTTGTAATGTGCAGGTATTGGAGCCTTGAAAGATGTTTTTCTGATTTATTTCCCATTTTCTCAGAACGAAGACGAGGTCAGCTTGCTGCGCTGTCCATTGCGGCAGTGGTCATCATTGTAGGTGTCCCTTTGTGGTGGAGAACAACTGAAACCTACCGTGCCTGGTTGCCAGTCAGTCAAATCCAGGAGCTGGCTGATCTTGAGGTTTGTGACAATGTGTATAAAATTATGTTGTTTATATTCTTGTTTATATTTTTTCACTGTATAAATAGCCCATATCTGTGTGTGCAGCTTCAATTAAGTGCTGATGTGGAAATAGTGTTTGCACGAGGAACAGTTACTCCAGAACAACAGAAAAAGATCCCACTAACAATGACAAAGGACGCCGAAAACATAATTGATGGTGTGTTTACAGTTCTTATTTTTAAATACATTTATTTACAGTAGAAAATCTCAACCCTAGACCAGTTATTATTACAAAGTGTCACACAGCCTTCTATTTCTTCCAGAAAACACATCTCTTGGATACAGGTATGAGATTCGATACAGAACAGCAACTATCATGGAGGAAGATGCTCTGAACAAGCCTACTACTGCAGGCAAGTTAAAAGCATGCAATCCAACTATTCCATGTTTGTATGTGTTGATACTGTAGTTTTTTTTGTGTATTTATTTAGAAGCAGATCTGTCACTGTACACACTCAGTGAAAGTCCATGTGGCACCTTGGTGATGTACATCATCCCAGATTCATCACAGTTGCTGCCAGAGGTAAGAGTTTTGTTACCAATCAAATCAATTCTATCATATCATTTATATTTGTTTTTTCAGAACATAGACGTTTACATTGGCCAGCGCCGAACAGCCATGCTACGTCTAGATACTCAAGTGAAAGTTGGAAAGACACTGGATCAGTTGCTGACTAACCTGGAGCCTCGAATTGAGCAGGTTCTACAGGTGATGTCCTTCAGTCACGCTGATGTCACTGCTGCCCTCAGTGACAGAGTCCGGCTCATCCCAGGCAGCAAAGAGAGTATCGCAGACAGTATGAGAACCTTCAAATCAAGCCCAGGTTAGATTGATTAGTAATACATACATGTCCAACTGTAAAGAATCTGTTCTCCCATAAGATAATTGTTGTCATTGCAGGTTATGAGATCACATTTAGTCTTTTAAACCCAGATCCCAAATCACACAGGCTTCATTGGGATATTGAGGGTGCTGTGGAAAACTACATTCATCCTTTAGTTTCAAAACTTGCTCCAGTGGCCAACTTTAGCATCGACTCTCAAGTAATATTTACACTTCAAATGTAACTATTGAAGGGGAAATTTATCTTTACGGCAGTTTTCTGAATCTTTGTGTTCATAGATGTTGTACTATGCCATGCTTGGTGTCAACCCTCGACTTGACAGCAGTCGTAGTGCCTACATACTCAATGCTGATAGTCTTGCTCATGTCATTAATCCTGTTGAAGCTCGACTTGGTGAGGCTTTTTTTTCAAGTGAAGTCTAAACAACCAGTACAATCCATATAGGCCTTTTTCTGATTTGTTTTTTTTTTTTCAGGTTCAAATGCAGCCTCCTCCAATCCAGTATTGAATTTTTTGTTGTATGTTCCTGATGCCAATCATTCACCTCTCTTCATTCAAAATCACAATAAACAAGAAGTACCATCAAATGCATTTCATTCACCACGCTGGGGTGGCATTATGGTAAAGACAACAGAATATTAAAAGGTTTTTAATGTCCCTTTTGTTTAACATTTTTGTTTATTTTTAAAAGGTTTATAATGTTAACAGTTTTTATGGGCCAGATGATACTTTCCCTGTTGACATTGATATCAACATGGCAAAAGTCATGGGAGTATTCCTTGCACAACTCCGGTAATGTGTTTGTAATTATTATTATTATTATTCTTTTACTTTTTCCTTTTCTACTGATCTGACACGTTTTTGTAAACATTCAGACTCTTGTTGGGAGTACAGTCTTCTCTTCTTCCCCCTGGATTTCTGATGGCACCTTGCAATACTTTTGGACTGGCCGATTGGGAACTAGATCGCCTCATGTGGAGCAGAAGTGTTGAAAACATTGCAACAGCCACAACGACTATCACCTCTTTGGCACAATTGCTGGATCAGATTGGCAACATTGTTATCAATGACAATATTGCTCAAGAGGTAAGATTGGTTTATTTTCACTATAATAATCTCACAAACATGACTTTTGTATGAGATTATACAATCATTGTTTTTCTAAGGTGTCCAGGGCTGTCACAGCTTTGCAACTGGCAGTAGCAGAATTGAAAGCAGGGAATCTTGGTTTTGCATTGGAGTACAGCAAAGAGGCAATCCTTGCATCTGAAAAAGCCTTTTTTGATCCATCATTGCTCCACCTCCTCTACTTCCCTGATGATCAGAAGTTTGCAATTTACATCCCTTTGTTTCTTCCAATGTGTGTGCCAATATTCCTCTCACTACTGAAAATATTATCAGAGATTAGACAAAGACGAAAGCAAAAGCAAGTCAAAAAGGACTAAAACATGGACGAATGTGCAAAATTCCTACCTAGTTTTTTTCTATGAATGTAACAATAACCACATTTATTGATTTGGTATATTTATTAAAGGTTTTATATTGTATTGCATGGAGCTTGTAATTTGATACATTGTAGTATTAAATAATGATACAATCTGAAACATTTGATTCTACCATAGCCCAATGTGTTGGTTATTGTTAGATGGTGATGGTCAAAAATGTATGTATTGCTGTAAAATTAATATAGGCTTTTTATTATTATTTAAAAGCAAATTTGTTCTAATTTATGAAATAAAGTTGTTTTTTTTTTAATAAAATTTGTGAGTGTATATCCAGAAGGTGGCGCTAGCAAATATTGCAGGCGACGGATCGCACTCATGCGCAGAGGAACCAAAGAGGAACACGCGCAGGGAAAGAAAGGCCTTGCACTGCTTCAGGTGTGCAGCTCAGACAACGAGAGTAATCACTCTTTTAAGCCGCCATCAAACAGATCATCCAAGGGCTCTTCTTCCAACATTTGTTGCGTGTTCCCGTTTTCGAAGCGGTACAATCGTTACTGAATAGGAAGCTTGTTTTCCCACCACGAGAAGCTTTGGCGCTAAATTAGCTTAGCTCACGCCTGGCGCTAACCTCTTGTTCGCATTAGCCATGTCTGGTATTGTTCGCGGACCTCAAGGCAGCAACGACTGTCGAATTTACGTCGGAAATCTTCCCCCAGACATACGCTCAAAGGACGTGGAAGATCTGTTTTATAAGTATGGAGTAATTCGCGATATTGACCTGAAAAACCGAAGAGGAGGACCACCATTTGCTTTCGTTCAATTCGAGGACCCGAGGTAAGTCTCTCTAGATGCTATATTCGTTGACTAAACCAATTTATTTTTAAACTAAATCGCTTTTTTCCACGTTAGCCTGAGTGTAGAAAAAGCTATTCTTTTTTTTCTTTTAACGAATCTTTATCCCCAAGATACACATGTTTTGACCGTTTATCCACAAGGCTCATAATCTGGCAACTGTGTTGGCTCTTGACTTATAAACACTGTCCTCGTCTTTCCAGGGACGCAGATGATGCGGTTTATGCTCGTGATGGGTACGACTATGATGGGTACCGACTCCGCGTGGAGTTTCCTCGCAGTGGGCGAGGTGGCGGGCCCTCTTCAGGTCCCCCCAGGGGCAGGTTTGGGCCCCCCTCCCGCCGCTCTGAGTACAGAGTTGTGGTCTCAGGTAAGTGGGAAACACTTACGGCTTCTTCCTTTGAATAAGACCCGAGCTTACGTGTCGTTTCACTTGAAGGTCTTCCTCCAAGTGGAAGTTGGCAGGACCTTAAGGATCACATGAGAGAGGCAGGTGATGTATGTTATGCTGATGTTTATCGTGATGGGACTGGAGTGGTGGAGTTTGTACGCAAAGAAGACATGACCTATGCTGTCCGCAAGCTGGATAACACCAAATTTCGCTCTCATGAGGTACGTAAATTGTAAAACCTTTTCTAAACCGAACCAGGTAAGGATTAAAAATGATCACATCTCTTATGATATAAATCAAATTTCTGGAATGGCCGACTCAGCAAAGTTGAGTTTTGGTAAGTTGGTAAACAATGTCTGCTTTGTTTCAGTTGTGTGTTTACTTTATTTTTTATTTATTTTCAATCTTTGTCTTGTTGAATAATGCCATATTGTGTTTTTTGTGTCCAGGGTGAAACCACATACATTCGCGTGAAGAGTGATGGTCCTGGCAGCCCCAGTTATGGCCGCTCTCCTTCACGGAGTCGTAGCAGAAGCCGCAGTCGCAGCCGGAGCAGGAGCGGTTCCCGAAGTTTCTCCCCTCGACGTGGCAGAGGGTCGCCTAATTACTCCCCCCGGCGCTCCCGTTCCCGCTCTCGCACCTAAACCTCAACCCAGAATGATCCAGCGGTGCGAGCTCAAAAGGAGACTTCATACACAAACAGAATCTGCAGTTCTCACGGACCATGTGATTGTGTATACCCCGCTAACACTTCTTTGTCCCTCTTTGTCATTTTTGCATCTTATATTTTAGGTGTTTCCTTTTTCCCTTTTTTTTCTCTGATTCCGCTAACCCATCCATTACCCTTTTCTAATCTTTCCGCACATTTTTACACTGCATTGTTATTGTGTGGATGGTTTTATACAGCGCATGTACTTTGACCTTCTTGTGTGTCTCTCTGTACAGTCCAGAGGAACAGGATAGGATGGGAGTGGATACAGTTCAAGTTAGGATTAACAGGAGGAGGAGCAGGAGTCAAAAATGGCACCAATGGTATGATGGCTGTGCCTTGTCAACTGTGAACACTGCATAATTAGGGCTTTTGAGTTTTCTTTACCAATACTTGTTATCCAAAGTTTTTTTTTTTTCCCAAAGTTTAACTTGGCAGATCTTAACTCATAAATCGTAATTAGTATCTAGAAAATTTACTACATATTTTTTGAATGATTTTTGAAGGTGTGATTCTAACTTGCCTCCTTCTTTTTGATTTTACTGGTATCTGAAGGTTTGGACTGGGCACTGTGTCTGACCATTTCGGAGCTGGATTAGGATTAGCAGTCAGGATGGATGGAGCAGGAGCACGGGAACAGTTTACCCGGGAAGGGATCCCGACCCCTGGCCCTGTCTGCATATCCGCTTCTGGAGATTTAAAATCAAAAAGAAAACTCATAAATTGGCCTTTTAATAAACTGATATTTTCAATTGGAACCAGAGACATTATCACATGCAATGGCGAGGATTCTTTCATGGTATTTTTTTTTTTTTTTTCTCATTAAAAGAAGAGGAAAGCTTGGATCATGCCAGGAGGGCTGGGAAGTGCAGGATGGATCGACTCGCATAAGGAGCGGTAATTTGTGGGTTATTTACAAGAGTGAAAGGGGACGGGGGGAGTGGGACCTCCAGGATGGTTGTTGCTTTCTTAGGCCAGTCTTTTTCTGAAGTTTTAGTTAAGTTTGAGTATGGCATAGCTTTATTCTTTTTTAAATAAACATTTGTAACAAAAATGAGTTGCCTATTTTTCATTTGTCACTAAGAAAATATTTCAATGTACAGTTTCATGCCTATAGGAAGGGGCCACATGACTGCATTCATACTCCTTTTTTCCATATGTGATCTGCTAAGATTTGTATTTACACACCCATCTGATAACTGGTCTCAAAATGTTATGTCAACGGTCGAGAACCAGCCAGATAACTGGTTAAATTCCTATACTGACCCAGACCTTTGTGGTTGTCAATTTGTCCTTTACTGGACAAGTCTCCTGCTCTGGTATTTACAAATGGAGCATCAACATCTGTAGATGGGTCCCTGCTGCACTATAGACAACTGGCATTGGTAGGACAAGGTACACTGAAACCTATCCTAGAGTTGTACAGACATTGTACCAATATTTTCACGAATAATAGAGCCCAATTAGTCATTCTTATTTCGGCGTATTGATAACTTTACATTTCAAAGCACAATACTTTTCAGTTTATTGTATGCATGTACATTGTTAATGATAAAGACATCAAATAAGGTTTTGGAAATATCTGTTAAATATGCCATAACTAAGCAAAGACACCTCGCCACATCTAACACTAATGCCCGTAGTATTAGATGTGGTGAACGGTCATATTTTTTAACACGTTAATTTGGAGTTCATCAATAAAGGGGCTTTGTCATCCTTCAAGCGAAGCGGATAGGACAGCGGTGCATTGTGGGGTGAAATAAGTTGCTGGGCATGTGCGCAAGTAAAAAATGCCTTTGCTCTTGCGTACATCACACCTCAGCCAATGAAACCTGGCCCATGATCGTGTGGAGGGTGGGTCTAAAAAACAGATTTCTGTATTTTCTGGGTGAGCGCCTACCAATCCTATTGCCTCCGTTTGGAAAGTGCTTGTTCAATAACTGAAGCTTCTAAAAGACGAGGTAAGAAATATAAGTTATAAGTCATTGAGTTAAGACGCCAGAACGCCATTATTCCACTCATTCATTGATCAAACACGTGCACACGCCTCCCTTCACGCACGAGCATGATGTGCACATTGTCCATAACATGTAGGCCTACTGGTAAAAGCGTAACCAACTTATCACTAAATACTATTAGATGCTTCATGTAAGGGTGTTGATTAAGGGTACTTTATTAAATATATTTAACCCATTTTATGTTTCAGTAAAGTCCATTGGCGCCATGTCTGAGAAGAAAGCTGTCATAAAAAATGCAGACATGTCGGATGAGATGCAACAGGATGCTGTGGACTGTGCCATGCAAGCCATGGAAAAGTATAACATTGAGAAAGACATTGCAGCGTATGTCAAAAAGGTATAATATTTCACTTCTTAGTTCTTTACTGACCAATTTATCAAGGGTGACGCCAGTTCTCCTTTTCCAGTTTTGCCCAGCTGCAAAACCAGGACTGACTTCTTCAAAAAAGTATATTTAGCGCCGAAAATATTTACAGTGTATGCATAGAATTACATTTTATGAGTCATATATATTAAACGGTCACAATATCCTATGTTCCAATTTTTCTATGACAACATTAGGAAAATTATACAGGCTTTATATGTTGAGAATGTGGTTGTATGAATGGAATATAAAACTACTATGTTAAGACTTGTTATACAAACTACAGATGGAAGGCTCAAAAGGATATCTCAAAGTCTTCCTATACAGTTACTTTACCGATGTGTGGTCTTTTTATTATGTGATAAGGATTATTTTTCAAATCTGATGTCTTTGTATTTCCACTACAGGAGTTCGACAAGAAGTACAATCCCACATGGCACTGCATTGTCGGGAGAAACTTTGGAAGTTATGTGACTCATGAGACAAAGCATTTTATTTATTTCTACCTTGGGCAAGTGGCCATTCTACTTTTTAAGTCTGGCTAAGGAGGGAATGTGCAGCCAGGCTTGAAACCTGTCAACAACATCAGACATGCCTACCTCTCAAGTCGCCTCTGTAAAAGAGATCCCAAACACCCAAGGTTTCTAATAAGAACATTTTCTTTCATGTTAACTTATTTTGATGGTTTGTAAGCAACATCATTTGTATTTGTCTCGTTTTCAATATTGCTTCACACTATGGTAAATGTTTATGGAAACATGCACAATTTTTTTGTACAAAGAAAAATCATGTAGCTGCAGAAATATAAGTTTGATTGCTATTGTCTTTTGTAAAGTTTCATGCAGCAATTAAAAAGAAAAAAATGCCAAACTTAATTTCATTGTTTTGCTTAATGCATATTTACAACATTTAACTTAGTAGGGTGTCCAATATTTAATATTTGAACAGAAATGTCTCAGAAGCATAGCAGCGCAGCTATTTCTAAATAAGACATCTTGAAATACACCTTATTAATCAGTATTTTAGCCTTACTTTATGTTGCAGAAGATGGAGCAGGTAATTGGGACGACACACACTAAAAGTATGTTGCTAAAGTCTTATCACTACAAATTGTATTCAAGGCTAAAAGCCTGCTACCTGTACTTGTCCAAAAAACATTAATGGAAAGAGGTAGAGAATACACATGGAATGTCAAACTTTAAGATCAGAGTGAAACCAGAAACATTTATTCATGGTGTAAAACTGGATGGTTAAATTGGCAGAGGGTTTCAAAGAAATCGTTGTTACTAGCACTAGTTACTTGTCCTTTCACAACTTCAGACCAGCTTTAGAAGTAAAGAGGACCACCCTCAGCATTAAGCACTAAGTGTTCAGAATCAATCAAATGTATTTGTATAGCACAAAATGTACTAAAGTTCTTTACAATACATTCAACAAACACCAGACAAAATTGTTAAAATCACTCAACAATATCAATATTCCATAACAATGAAAAATAAAAACGGTATGCACGCTTCTCTCATATACCCAGGAAGACTGTTCTAGATTTAGCCGTATGAATCTGCGATGCTGTCTCCCCATGTTTAGTACAAATTGGTTCATATGGCACTAATACCTCACAGATGTACAGTGCTTTGGTTCGAGGCTATGGAGAGACTTATACACAAAAAGAGCTGCTTTAAACTGTTTTCTCTGAGCCAATGTTTTTATAGCTCATTGGGAGAGCCCAGTGAGCAGGCTGTTATAGTGGTCTAACCTGGAGACAAATCACCATGGCTGTTTTTTGCTGCTGATTTTACAGATTTGATGGGGCTGTTGAAGTTTAAATCCATTATTATCACAATTTATAACCATATTTTTGAGTTTTATGGAGTGACCTCTGTTTTATCTGGATAGAGCTCAAAAAAGGTGGTTGTGCTAATCTTTTGACTACAGACACAAGTGAATCAACTTTGCTGTTAATACAAAGTAGAGGTGTGTGTCATTTACAGTTGTGAGACATTTTTACAGCAAATCAGCTGGACTAATGGCAACATTGAGATATCGACTATTAGAGGTCCCAGGATTGATGCTTGAGGCGCTCCACAGTTCAAAGCTATACAATCTGAATCACAGTTTCCTCCATCCATCCATCCATGTTCTACCCTTTAATCCATTTCTGGGTCAGGGGGGTGGCAGGTCACAGTTTCCTATCACCACAAAATAAATTGTCCTCTATGTGGGACTTTTAGGTCCAGTCCTATCAACATGGATTTTTTTTCTGAATTTAGGACATGTATTAAGATTGTGAAAGCAAAGCAGGTAGGACAGCGGTGGACTGCGGACAGAGGTGAGACATAGCAATTTATTTATTTCTGCCTTTCGCAAGTGGCCATTTTACTTTTTAAGTCTGACTAATGAGGGAATTTGCTGCCAGGCTTAAAACCTGTCAACAACATCAGACATGCCCACCTCTCAAGTCGCTCCTCTAAAAGAAATCCTGTTTCAAAGAACATTTTCTTTGCATTGAGAGGTGAAATAATAGTTACTTCTAAATACCAGTGTTGGAAGTAACTATGGACATTATGGACATTGGTCATCTTCCCCTTATGGCTCAACTCAATATTGTAACCCGAGTGCATGGCACTCATTACAAAAGTCAAAGTTACACATAAGTAATGTAATAAATGCACATTTGGCTTTGATTTCTCACCGTCTTTTATTATTTTAGGATAACAATATGATAATTTTAGTTCCCCATGTGGGAAACAAAAAACAAATATTGTACAAAAATAATAATAATAATAAAAAATATATATATACATAAATATATATCTATATATAATTGGTGATTAAACCTAGAACTTCAAAGCAGGTTCATTTGATGGCAAAGGCCCAATTTCTCCTCTTGCTTCAGATTAACACAATTCATCACAGGCTCTCAAAGAAAGGGTTAGTTTAACGGATTTAGTATACAGAAAACACAGTTTATAATCTGGATAAATTAGTAGTAAGAATAGAGAAATTAATGAGCACATGCGTTTACATGATATTGTCACTATGGGTTTTAATGTCAAGATTTAAATGTAGGATATTTTATATAGTCTAAATATATTGTTTCCTTTTATATTTCAGTGAAGTCAAAGAAAGGCACCATGTCTGAGAAGAATGCTGTCATAAAAAATGCAAACATGTCGGACGAGATGCAACAGTATGCTGTGGACTGTGCCATACAAGCGATGGCGATGTGTAATATTGAGAAAGATATTGCTGCATATGTAAAAAAGGTATAATATTTAACTTACAGCAGCTCCTTAATCCTTTCCCGTTTTTGTCATTTAAATTGGTGCTGGGGTATATGATTTTCCAACTGCAAGCATACATAGTAGTTTCTAGTTCTGGTCACTAGTTTTTATAAGCCTGATTTTTTTGGCCTCTATCACAACTTCAAACCATTGACTGTAAACCAGATTTTCAGAGGTGGAGATGGCTAGTCTTGCTCAGCCAATCAGCAGCATTTAAAATGTAGTACACGTGCGTCCAGTGCGCATGGACGCTGTGTCAGCAATCTGAACGCCCCTAGTGACCCACCTGGTTTATATTATTTGTTTTTCTAATGTAATGAGATAATGACAGCATGTTGTGGCCTGATTTGTACACATCTGTGTGGTTATTGAACCTTTTCTGTCTTTCAATTTTAGGTCCCTGCAAAATCAGAAGTGTTAGTCAAAACATTCACAATTTCCTATGTACATTTTTGTAATATGTAAACAAAATAATACAATAATAATGTAAAACAATGGTAAAATGTCTGTCATGATTTATATGTTGAAAATGTATTTGCGTAAGATTTGTTTTACTACAGATGGAATCCTCAATTGATATCACATGATGATAATCCAATTTAGTTACAACTTCCTAACAGTGGTCTTGCATTATGTGATAAGGATTATTTTTTAAATATGATTTCTTTGTATTTCCCCTGCAGGAGTTTGAAAAGAAGTACAATCCCACATGGCACTGCATTGTCGGGAGAAACTTTGGAACTCATATGACTCATGAGGCGAAGCATTTTATTTATTTCTACGTTGAGCAAGTGGCCGTTCTACTTTTTAAGTCTGGCTGACAAACCAGAGATTGAATCAGCTGTTTACAAGTTTACATATATCTTATCAACATACTTTTTTCTCAATTCCTGATATTTATTTCAACTTTGAGTACTAGGTCAGATGACAAATTAATTTGTAAGACACAGATTTAAATTGGATGTGGATAAATGTGGATTCTATGAGACAGAGGATTTTTATCATTCGCTTTTTTTGTATGTGAATCTGTCCAGGGATTCTGGTTTTTTTTCCAACAAGGAATACGGGCGGAAGGTATTCTACTGCCAAATCTAAATATGAATAAAATAACGTTTGGTATTTCACTTAATAGTTTAATTATAATAAGAATGGTATTCGAGCAGAGCGGTGATGGTTTATGTCTGTGTTACTGTGTTGTGTTTTTATGTGTGTCTTATGTGTATTTTCAATGGGACATAATACATTATCTTGAATCTTGAATCTCAATTGTTAAACTGACTCTGCTATTAACAATCTTACATTGTTAGCTAAACACTGCATACACAAATTAAGTTTTTTTCCCGTCCCTAACTCCATTCATTGGAGGAATGAGATTCCTTAATCTCATTAATACTAAAATGCTATTGAACTTATCTCATTTATTGATACAAGCCCTTTACATTCCCAGATAACAGCAAATACCTAAATGTATGCCCCGGTTTTATTATTATTTTTGTCTTACTACAGTAGATATATGCTGAAATAGTACCTTAAAGGCACCTGTTTGGTTTGTATTATTATTAACTATAATAATAGCACCCTAAACTTAAATAAATACATAGATAAACAAATTGAATACTTGAATACGAGAGAGTGGACTCTTACAAGTACCTGGGTGTTCATCTTAACCACAAACTGGACTGGACTCATAACACAGACGCCCTCTTCAAGAAGGGCCAGAGCCGCCTCTACCTGCTGAGGAGGCTTAGGTCTTTTGGAGTGCAGGGGCCACTACTGAAGACCTTCTATGACTCTGTGGTGGCATCAGCCTCTTGTACGGTGTGGTCTGCTGGAACAGCAGTATCACAGAGAGGGACAGGAAGAAGCTGGACAAGGTCATCAGGAAGTCCAGCTCAGTCCTGGGCTGTTCCCTGGACACAGTGCAGCAGGTGGGGGACAGGAGGGTCCTGAGCAAACTAACATCTATGCTGGACCATATCTGTCACCCCCTGCAGGACACTCTCTCTGCTCTGGAGAGCAGCTTCAGTGGCAGACTTATTCATCCTCAATGTGTGAAGGAGAGGTTCGGTAGGTCTTTCCTTCCTGCTGCTGTCAGACTGTATAATAAGAACTGTAAATTTCATTCATCTGTAATTAAGTAAATTCTTAAATCATGTGCAATGTGCAATACTGCAACTTCAGAATGTCACAGAACAATGTCACTTTACCTCATGTCACTTTACTTATATACTTTTTATCCTGCACTATTTAACTGTACAGTATATAACTACTACATATATATATATTTTGACTGGTATCGAAGCATTTTCAGCATCTACAGCTAGTTATGTTAGTTAAGAAACATAGCTACTTCTTATTTGTATATATTGTGTGTGCTCCCTGTGTGCTCTTACTACTGTCCGATGCAACATCGACATTTCCCCACTGTGGGACGAATAAAGGAATTCTTATCTTAAAAATAGATCTATTGGAGACCTCTTCAAAGACCATTGAATGTTTATTCTAAATTGGTTTGCATACATTAAATGCCTCCTTCAATGCCAGGAAAAAACCATAATATGGTTCAATCATAGACTGTAAAAATTAAAGGTATATAGGAGGATTTTCTACTTCCGGGTAGATCATTAAGACTTCTTTCCAATTGTCAATCATTCTGATGATACGTGCTAGTCAAATAAGACCGGAGAGTTTGGTTTAAAAAGTGGATAGGGCGGTTCTGTCCTAAAATTTGGTGTAATATTTACAGTCTTTGCATGAGGATGTGACTATGCCGGATCGCCAGGGGACAGTATAGTTCCATGTGCACCATGAGCGCATAAGCATGGCGGCGCACTGCTCCACCTCGAGACCGGCTTTAGGGTCTTCAGGCTCTGGGTGTCAGGAGGTCGCTTCACCCCCGGGCTCTCTGTCCGCAGAGGCAGCTCCCTTCAGCCCTCGGGACTCTTCTGACGCAGATAAACAGTTTTCTCACTGTTACGCGAAAATACGAGGTCTACGGCCGCACTCTGAGCTCCTCAGGGACCAACTCAACTTGCTGTTTGATAAGTTGCTGTCCGAGAACTACAACAAAACATTCAATCCAGACATCAGCATCCGCCCAGAGGTGCGCCCACCACATACACTGTACACATGTCTCCTGAGGGTCTGTCTGTGGTCCCATACACTGTACACATGTCTCCTGAGGTCTACTGTCTGTGGTCCCATACACTGTACACATGTCTCCTGAGGACTACTGTCTGTGGTCCCATACACTGTACACATGTCTCCTGAGGGTCTGTCTGTGGTCCCATACACTGTACACATGTCTCCTGAGGTCTACTGTCTGTGGTCCCATACACTGTACACATGTCTCCTGAGGACTACTGTCTGTGGTCCCATACACTGTACACATGTCTCCTGAGGTCTACTGTCTGTGGTCCCATATACTGTACACATGTCTCCTGAGGTCTACTGTCTGTGGTCCCATACACTGTACACATGTCTCCTGAGGTCTACTGTCTGTGGTCCCATACACTGTACACATGTCTCCTGAGGTCTACTGTCTGTGGTCCCATATACTGTACACATGTCTCCTGAGGTCTACTGTCTGTGGTCCCATACACTGTACACATGTCTCCTGAGGTCTACTGTCTGTGGTCCCATACACTGTACACATGTCTCCTGAGGACTACTGTCTGTGGTCCCATATACTGTACACATGTCTCCTGAGGTCTACTGTCTGTGGTCCCATACACTGTACACATGTCTCCTGAGGTCTACTGTCTGTGGTCCCATACACTGTACACATGTCTCCTGAGGTCTACTGTCTGTGGTCCCATACACTGTACACATGTCTCCTGAGGTCTACTGTCTGTGGTCCCATACACTGTACACGGTGCGGCACGGTGGCTGAGTGGATAGCACTCTCGCCTCTCAGCAAGAAGGTCCTGGGTTCGAATCCCGGTCGGACCAGGGCCTTTCTGAGTGGAGTTTGCATGTTCTCCCCGTGTCTGCGTAGGTTTCCTCCGGGTACTCCGGTTTCCCCTACCACTAAAAACATGTCCAATAGTTCTGGCATGCGCCTCCTGTACTGGCGACCCGGCTCCCATCTCTGTGTGGAGTGAGAGACAAATGCCCAAAAATTAACAATTGTAAACCGCTTTGAGACTCAGATCTGCAGTGAAAAGGCGGTATATAAATAAAAACTTACTTACTTACTTACTACTTACACATGTCTCCTGAGGACTACTGTCTGTGGTCCCATACACTGTACACATGTCTCCTGAGGTCTACTGTCTGTGGTCCCATACACTGTACACATGTCTCCTGAGGTCTACTGTCTGTGGTCCCATACACTGTACACATGTCTCCTGAGGTCTACTGTCTGTGGTCCCATATACTGTACACATGTCTCCTGAGGTCTACTGTCTGTGGTCCCATACACTGTACACATGTCTCCTGAGGTCTACTGTCTGTGGTCCCATACACTGTACACATGTCTCCTGAGGTCTACTGTCTGTGGTCCCATACACTGTACACATGTCTCCTGAGGTCTACTGTCTGTGGTCCCATATACTGTACACATGTCTCCTGAGGTCTACTGTCTGTGGTCCCATATACTGTACACATGTCTCCTGAGGTCTACTGACAAAGCAAAACCTCAACGTCTGAAGATAGGGCTTGGGCGCTACACTGCGTCGGCCCCAGGTCAAATGCAGAGGAAAAAATTCCCTATGGGGACAATACAGTACAACTTAAATTAACTTTAAATTAACTCTCTGTGCCCATACATTGTACATATCTCCCTAGGTCTACTGTCTATGGCCATACACTGTTTATACAATTGTCCAGGAGAGCTTTGCTTATACTGCATAGTTTAGTTTACAGACAAAAAGGGCGTTAAGTTGTTTTTGGAGTGGGTATTCATATTATTCTCCATGTTTTTGGCCTTGTCACGCAACCCTTCAAAATCTAGGTTTTGTCAATTCAGTGGGTTTGTACCTATCCTCACAAGACAATCTCATTTTCATGTTAGTCGTGACTGATCTGCCTGTTTTCAGGACGTGTGTACCCTGTTGAAGCATGCCAGTTCACTTGTTCCATTTCATCAAGAGCATTTGGTTGTTAAATTCTGTCAGCTCATGCACCACCTTTTGAACCAGCTGAAGGTAAGGAGAATTACATCTGACACTTAATGAGTTTGTGTGCAAACACAAATGCACTTTATTTTTATGTTAAGGTCATAATGGATGAGCTCACGTTAAATGTGCTGATGAACTACGTAACCTGGTCACTTAAGAAATGCAGTGCTTGGACACATTCGGATGTCCTTTTGGCGCTGTCCACTGTAGTCTATGAAAATGGACCTCAGTGTCACCAGGTACATTCAGATTCTTCAAATCGAATACTGCAGGCCAAAAATATTTGCTACCAATTGTTGTAATTTTACTGTAGCACCTAGAGCACCTTCTTGGTGAGAATGGTGTCCTTTTGGAATACAGCACACCCACTCAACAGGATCTAGAGTTGCAGCGTGTGTCTTTGAACTGTATGGCCAACATATGCCTGAGGTGTGAGAATGCTTGGTTAAATTAAGTATATTTTCTCTCCTTTTATGAATCCATTTAACAAATGTTCCATTTTTCTTTGATTTTAGGATTCCTGGTCAGGCGCCTCTTGATGATCAATATAGGCTTGTGTGTTTCCGGGCTTTTCTGAAAACACTTCACTCACCCAAACCTGCCAATGCAGAGGAGCTCTTCTACTGCATGGTAAACAAACGTGATATGATGATATGTTGGATGTCCCCATTCCTTGTTTAAAAAAAAAATGCAATATGTGTTTTGTGTCTGAAGGTTTTACGGTCAGCACTAAAAGGACTTCAATACTGTCTGTCTGGTGGAAGGTGGAAATTTGGTAGCGGGGACGATTTGGGGTCCGTTCTTGCTGTGCTGAAGGTGCAACATTTGGCTAAATAAACGCATAACTATTTTTAGGTCATTCAAATAATGACATGATTAACCCCCTGATTATTTGACATGCTTGTTCAATTGGAAATGTTGGAAACTAGAAAAGTTTTTAAATTCTTATTCTAACTTTTTCCATATTCATAGTCAAATAATAAATATAACGGTACTTTGTTGTGTTGTAGTGTAACAGGGTGCCCATGAAAAGTCTGGAACTCTCATGAGCCCTCCCTGTATAACTATAGATGATAAATAATATGTTTGTGTGATATCTATTGTATATTTCAGCAAATGATGTTCCAGGGATCTCCAGGTGTGAGTATTGAATGGCCTTCTGTGCTTTACCCAGCTCCTCTGCCACCATACGAAGGGCCGTCCTCATCAAAACCACCAGAGACGCCGAAGCCCAAAAGCACCACAGGCCGAAACAAGCCTTCTGCAGTAAGTCCAGGATGATTTGTACAATCTTAAAAATCTGTCTGATCCACTCATCCGTTGCTTCTTCTAAGAATAAAAAATGGAAATCCAGAGGGAAAGGAAAGAAAAATGCTACAGAAGAGACCAAAGATAAAGATGATGATGATGATGAAGATTCCACAACTAAACCAGAAGCTTCAAAGGAACAATGTGCTGACCAAACAGAGAATGTTCCAAAATTATCATCTCAAAGTCTTTATCCCTCGTGGAAACAGACCAGCTCGGATTCAGAGTTGTCCGATCCTGAAGGTGGCGCTCAGAGCAAACTGAGGTACGTCATAGAAGCAGTCAATTTGCATATTGTGGTGATTGCATGAAATTATTATTATATTTGTCAGGTTATATCATGTCCGTGTGCGACAAGGAGCCCTCTTGTGTCTGCTGGCGGCGGTCAAGAGTGTTGAAAAGCGATCACTTTATGGTTATTGGTCTTCATTCATTCCTGATTCGCCCATCGGAGGACCTCCACAACTCACCCTCCTCACCACAATATTAAAGGACCCCTCCCCCAAGGTATCGCATACTATTACATTGTTTAATTCACCTTAAAACCAGCTGAAATGTCCTCTTTTCCATCGCTCAGAGGAAGTGAATAACTGCTTCTTTGTCGTGCTGCAGGTGCGTGCGTGTGCTCTCCAGGTCTTGTCGGCCATGTTGGATGGGTCTCGACAGTTCCTCGCTGTGGCCGAAGATGTAACGTCCTCTCGACCATCGTACACGTCATTTTCTTTTTCTTTGGCCACTTCTGTCAGAGAGCTGCATCGATCCCTCAGCTTGGCTCTGTTGGCTGAAACTTCGCCACAGACGCTCACACAGATAATCAAGGTATATTCATATCTAATGTTATGTCTCTGTTAACGTCAGTAAAATGGCTGCTTTTTCATCTGAAATAGTGCCTGGCATATTTGGTGTCTAATGCTCCATACCAACGCCTCAAACCTGGTCTACTCAGTCCACTGTGGAAGCAGATCCGTTCATATGTGCGTTACAGAGGTTTGTAAAAGTCCTTATCTTTGTGTTCTTCCTTGGGCAACTTGAGCTAGCGTTTAAAAACTACTACAGAAGTTGGTAGTGGCACGGTCGCTGAGTGGATAGCACTCTCTCTTTTCAGCAAGAAGATACTGGGTTTGAATCCCGGTCGGAACAGGGTCTTTCTGAGTGGAATTTTCCTGTTTTCCCCGCGTCTGATCCGGTTTTGCCTACCACAAAAAACATGCACAGTAGGTCAAATCCTCCAGCTCCGTTAGTCCTGACCAAACAGAGTACCAACATCTGGAGATGGGTCCCTGGGCGCTGTACTACGGCGACCACTGCTCCTGATGGAAGCCTTAGTGGCGACAGGATGGGTCAAATGTAGAGGAGAAATTTCCCTTTGGGAACAAAGTGCACATTTACATTTAAAACATTTTTGCTGCGATGTGTTCAGTGCGAACCCGAACAAATATTCTTGGGTTTTATTAAATTGGCCTGTAGGGGGCGAATGAGCAGAGGTGGGACAATTAAGTTTTGCTCCTATTGAAAACCATGTAAATCGTGTCTGTTTTGGGGTCAAAAGGCTCTCATCATGTGCGGTTATTGTAACAGTTGTTGTAACAGGGAAAAAAACGCCCGCTTCATTCGAGTTTTTCAAAGTGTACTCCTTTACTTGAGACCACAGTTGGAACACGGAAAAAACTTGTCTTTCTCTCTCTTTCTCTATTTTTCTACATCACACAAAAAGATAACATTTTGACAGCACTTCTTCTTCTACTACATCTCCGTGTATATACCCGGCAGACTGCACCGCCAGGGTACGTCACGTCCGGTCCCGCGTTTGTTATCCGCGCCACTGCCCTGACGTCATATGAAACTCAAGAATAGTGGTAATTAAGATGAGAAGAAAGTCCTTTTTGTCTTTAAAACTTCACACATATCAAACAAGAAACAATACTAGAATGACAAAATGTGGTCTGTTGCACTGATCATTCTTTTTATAAAGATTTCCTGGTAAAAAAAATGATACTGTATATTGCTCCATGTGGTTGATAAGTTTGCAGTAGTTTCTTGTAGTGCTATTCTCTTCGCACGGAGCTGTTATTTTAGAATAATTAATTTGAAAGTTGGAAGTTTGTTATGATCCTCTTATTATGGCTCGTTCTGGTCTTCCCTGTTGTGAAAAGCAGATTTAAACACCCTAAGAAATCTCACTGTTGTCCCGGGTCAAAGCAGCCTTTAAAAATGTTGTGTTAAATAATTAGATTTATGAATGTTAGATTTTTGACTTCGTTTTATAGATTTCAAATCGTTGTTGTGTATCTTTACTAACACGCACATTCTATTGTCTCTGTAATGTATTTGTGCAGATGTGGATGTGCGTGTCTCTGTTTTGACGCTCTACGGCGCTTTAGTGACCACTCAGGCTCCTCTGTCAGAGGTGCAGCTCCTCCTTCGCCAGCCAGAAAGCAGCAGCATCCTTGGGTCTTACATGCCACAAGACACCAGTTTGAGCTGGCGGCAGAGGGAGGGCGTGCCTTCTCCTTGTCGTACCCCGGTAAAACTGGACTCGCCGCTGAACTCCCACACCCCAAAGGAGGACGACGGCACGACTGCTCCGTGGCTACTGCAGATGTGTGTGTCCTTGATAACACAACCACGAGAGAGTCTATCGGACAGTGAGGACGCCGGAACTTATGTCTTTGAGCCCCTACCTGTCCGCCTTCAAGCTTTACAGGTAAACTCCTATTTGTATTATTCATTCAACTTGTACTTTAAAGCTAATATGCCTAACTCTCTAACCACAAAAAGCTATGCAATAAAATCAGTTATTCTCTAAAGTTAATTTCTATCACTGGTTTTCACATGCATCTATTTTTGGCCTTTTTTTACATCTTCAGTTCGGTTTTTTCAGACAGAAGGGTGAAAAAGTGTGTACCGCCCTCAGTACCACTCTCTCTCGCACAGCTCTCAAACTAAAGCGTTAAATAGTCACTCACAGGGTACTCTGATTGCATGTTGTGGTCTGACTTCACTTTGACATGACTTTTTGTTGGAAGAAACTAAAGTGTTATTTGTTTGGTAACTCAGATTAACCCATTATAAATTCTGACCCCTGTCTCCACTTGTGGTTCTTTTTTAGGTTTTGTCTTATTTGGTGCGTGGTTACTTCTCCTTATGCCAGTCCCATTTGTTTGAGATTGGTCAAGTGAGCGCTCGCTGCCTGAGTGAGACTGATGCATCCATTCAACTTCACGGCACTAAGGTAATCATCAATATTTTATTTGAATTGTGTAAAATGATCTACTTTCACCTAAAAAAAAATGATTTTCTAGTTACTGGACGAGTTGGGAACTGGGATAATTCAGCAATATCGAGCCGAAAACAACATACCTGAAAATCAAAGAATTCCCATTGACAAAGTACAGTTTTCTCTCACGCTATCTGAAATTCTTACGCAGTAAATTATGTCCAAGTTTGTCTCCGCTGTTCTTTTAAGGTGGTGACATTTTGGTCTGAGGTTCTGAGCGGACCGTTAAATGCTGCTTTACAGAATGAGCAACATCCCTCGCTGCAGACAAGCGCCTGTGATACGCTCTCATCCATCCTTCCTCAGGCATTTGCACTGCTTCCTGTGAGTGTCGATTATTGTATGAACGTGATTTTAACTGATAGGATTTCATAATTCACAGGATTATATGTACCTCTGGATGTTTCAGGACAAGACTCAGCTCATGTGCGTCACTGTCCTGCTGGGACTGACCTACAGTGAAAACTATTTGGTGAAGACCGCTGCTGTCAGAGCTCTGGGAATTTACATTATTTTCCCCTGTCTCAGAGAGGTTTTTACCGATTTTACTATTGTTTTGTAATTTTTTTAAAGTTAGTTGATCTATTAATGTGTCAAATCCTGTTTATTTCATTCTCTTCTAGGATGTAATGTTTGTGGCAGACACGGCAAACACTATCCTGGCTGCCCTCGAAGATCGATCTCCAAATGTCCGAGTGAAAGCTGCCTGGTCGCTGGGCAACCTCACCGACACATTGACGGTCAACATGTAAGTGCATGCTGACTAAGCTGGAATACCTAACTTAAAGATGCAGTCAGTGATTTTTTTTTCCAGAGGCATTTTTTTGATTATTGTGGGAAAACGTCCTTAAACCCTAAAAGTACTCAAGTTATCATTTGTTTTCAAATAGTATTAGAATTGACCAGATGCCCATTGTCTCCAAAAAGGAATAAAACATATTTTGGAGCTGACCGATAAAAATAAACCAATAGGATTTGATCCTCCCCAACGAACCAATGGGATGCGTTTTACCCCCTTCACCCTCTTCCTGTTTCTTGCAAGTGCGCTCACCTGAGTTATCGGATTTTCTAAAACATAAAATGGCTGAACAGAAAATTTCAAGTTTGCCACCTACTCTCCCTGTTGTGACACAGAAAAGAAAATGTTGGATGTTTTGTTTGGTGGAGAGGCGAGGGGAGGGGGGAGTGGTTTCAAGTTGATGCTAAGGCTAATCTAACAAAATCGCTTACTGCATCTTTTAATTTTTGGTTTCATAAATACTTTATATTCGCCTCGACAGAAGGTCTCTTAAATAACATTTTGTGAACAAATTAGACCACAAGATGCAGTCGTTATCTTAGTAGGATTGCCTTTTTGAAAGAGACCGAAAATACATACATGTGAAAACGATTGATGGAACCAAACAGTTTTGAAAGTTGCATAGATTTTATTTCTTCCTGATGTCATATGTAGGTACTCTTTACAGCTCTAAACTACAGCTTTAAGTAGCTTAGCTTTAATTTGTGTGCATTTTCTTTCAGGGAGAGTGAATGTGTGGATTTTCGGGAAGAGCTCTCTGATATGTTGCTGCTCAAGATGTTGCAAACTGCGACTCGAGCATCAGCGGATAAAGACCGAGTAAGTGTACATCATCGAAACGACGATATAACAAAAGCAACTCGTCTAATCTCCAGTATTCCCTTTTCGCCCAGGTGAAGTCCAATGCCGTGCGAGCTTTGGGAAATCTCCTTCACTTTCTGCGAGGGTCTCAGTTGTCTCGGTCTGTCTTCAAGCAACCTCTGGAGGATGCAGTTCGTGCTTTGGTGAAAACTGTCCAATCAGAGGCTATAATGAAGGTCCGGTGGAATGCATGTTACGCTCTTGGAAAGGCTTTCAGGAACCCTGCACTTCCACTCGGTAAACACTGAACACTTATTAATGTCATAGTGGTAGAGTTAAGAATATACAGAGCTGTTTCTTTGAAGAGATGACCGATGGGTTTTCTGTGGCCTCTCCCAAATGCATTATGATTCACTGGCTGATTTGGTACTAATGCAAATGCAGTAGTTGGCAATCAGAACTTTTTTATTTTTTATATAGATATATATTATGTATAATTGCTGAGACATACTTTTAGGAGAGGAAACTTGAGTACAAAGATTCCCAATGTTTAATTTGTATATCCAAATACTTGTCTCATTCTTGGATATGATTTGAATAAGTTGATGTGACGACTGGCTGTGCAGCAGTAGTCTGTGAAAAATGCAAAAACGGAAGACTATTCAAATGCAATGCCCTATCTGACTTCACTTACTAATTTTTTTGTCCACAACTTGTCCAGTTATTCTACATACTTGTCTTTTAGATTTATTTTTAAACCAGTGATTTGTGTGTTTTCTTTTTGTAATTTTTCTTTCTCAGAATCAGCCTCTTGGTCTCACGACGCCTTCTCGGCCCTCTGCAATGTTGTGACCTCCTGTAAAAACTTTAAGGTGCGAATCAAGTCTGCCGCAGCGCTGTCAGTTCCCGCACAACGCCGCTGCTATGGCGATGCGGCACGCTTCTTCTGCGTGTGGCAGGCTTTAGCGACTGCACTCGAAAACAGCGAAGACACAAACGACTTTTTGGAGTATCGCTACAGCGCCAGCCTCAGACACACGCTGTCGCAAGCTCTTCTGCATCTGTTGAGTCTGTCGCAAGCTCACGACATGGCCGCGCTCGCCAAGTCTCTCGCTGGAGCGGAGGGCGCCGCCATTCGGGTGCATTTGGTGAAGTATCTGAGAGCAGAAGAAGGGGCAACAGAAGGAGCCGAGGAGGAGAGGCATGGAGATAGTTTCACCCCTCAAGAGAGAGTCAAAGCACTGGAGCAGAATGTGGTGCGACTGAGGGCGCTGCCAGCTGAAATGAACAAGGAGACTGTTGTGGACTTTCTAGAAGATTTACTGAAGAGCTGTGATGAGTCATAACAATTCAAGACAATAATATGCCCAAACTCCAACCTTAATCATTATACAATAGGTTGGTTCAGGTGACACATTCCAAAGACTCAATAATGTAAAATTTTTCAAATCCACAAAAATGTTTAAGTTCAACGTCTTCTTTGTCACAACATGTCAACTATGGTCTTTATTATTATTATTATTATTTTTAATATTTTTATTTGACCATAACGTGCCTACGCCATGATTAAAAACATGTGCATGATGTTGGCCACTAGGAGGGTCTTTCCGACATGATTACATAATGATCTGGGAAAGCTTTTTTTTCATTTGAATGCAACCCATTAAATACAAAAATAATTAACTGAATTTATGTATGTGTAATATATGTAACTATTTTACACTCTTAACTGCTCTTCATTAATTTAATTTGTTTATTTTCACAATTTTACTTATAAGTGTATATTCACGTCTTTATTATCCTTTCAAATAAATCCATGTCATATTTCATGACAATGATTGTACAAACCATCAACTCTCTCTATTTATTTGACATTGGTCTAAAATACAGTGGTTTGGGAGATGATCAGGATTAGTTTAAACATATTTTGAATAGGTTCTCATGTTGGTGCTTTGCTGTGGCTGGTGATCTGAGAATTGGGCGGCAGCTCTAAAGGCCACCCTCCCTGACCCAGCAATGAACTAAGGGGTGGAAGATGAATGAACGTTCTCATTTTTATCTACACTGAAATTTTGTTTCCTGTTTTGTGGGTATCAAGCTATTTATTTTCGAAAGAATTGAAACCGTTTCATATCACAACTGCTTGTAGCTTCTTACCTGACGCCACATTTTAAAAATTAACAAATTGACAATATCGAATAAGAAAACATAATTTGTACAGTGGAAATTGTAGCCATCAAAAATGAGAGGATAAACTCTCAGTTCTTTATCTGACGTTTATAGAACATAACTAGACTTAATATAAGGAAATGTCCTCTGCAAGGTTAGCAATAGTTTGCAGTCTAAATCAATGTATTTTTGTATCAGCCCAAAACAGTTGTCTCAAACAATACAAATAAGAATCGCCAGATTATCATACATTGCGTAACTATTTATTTGATAATGTCGGTTGTTTGTCCCAACAGAAAGTAAAAGGTTGTGAACTAATCAGAGCACATCATGCTTAATCATCTTATCAGAAAACATGTCTTTTGCATACTTACAGGAAGAGTCTTGTGATTAGGGTGTATTTGACTCTATGGCAGAGAGCTGATGGATGAGGACGGTCTTCTTTTTTTCACTTCTCTTTCTGATCTAAACATGTAACCGAGACCAGATGGTTTCGTACGATTGTATTAATAGCCCACTTTCTGGGATTTTGAAACTAGGTACCCCAGATTTTTATTTATATAGTCTCTATGTTCCAAATGTTAAAAATTAAGCAAATGAATACATTGCCCTGAGCATTCCCTGTCCTTAAATCCATGTCCTTAGACCAACTTTATTTGAAATTAGTAAGTTATATCCAGGGGAAACACTGAAGTGGAAATGAATACGGGTAAATTCACTTTTGTAGTAAGATGTAAACGTTTTTAGGAATCCCCTCTGAATGATTACAGTGTGCAGTTCCCCCGGCCTCGCAGTAGGTGGCGCTGTAGCCCTTGTGCCTCAGCAGCGGATGTTGATGCTCGCGTGTTCCTTTTCCGCACTGTCCACGCTGCTTCTGTGCTGCACTAGATCAGATGGACGCCTTTGATTTATTCCGAAAACTCGGATCTGGGGCGAAATTTGACCTGAAAAGGTTTGGTCAAGATGCAGCAAGATTTAAGGTATTAATACTGTGACCACTGGCTATCGCTCTGCACTGCAATGACTTATCGTTCAATGAAAGCTTCGTTAATAAAACTTTTGTATATTTTTTTCTGACTAATGCAATCATATTTTAGCTATTGATTATTATTTTAAGTTGATGGATAATTGTTGGTTAATTCTGCTGATCATTTGTTTGATATTCTGCTGCTGTGGCATAGGATATAGTAATATGATCGTTCATAGCAATATTTCTGTGTCAGTACAGTCAGTAAGATGTCAGCACTTACAGCTGTTTCCAGTGACACCCCTGTCATACCCTCCTCCTTTACAACTTCTGACTTGAGTACTATTCTAAGAAAAAAGACTATATTAGGGGAACTATTCGCATAAATGACTAGATTATGTAAATAACTGAAAAACCGATGGAAACCAATGCTGATATTGGGAAAAACAGGAGACTCATTTGAGCAGGTATGTATAAAAACACAGAATAATAAACGCAGTAGACAATTCAACATTCACCGTAGCAGTTATAGCAATATACGAAATTATTTAAATTGTGGTGCCAAAAAGTACTGTAACTCTTAACTGTTTTTGAAAAAAGATATAAGGTCACCATCATGGTATGGAAATTGGTATTTAGTATCAAGTCAAGTCTATTCATTAATATCTATATCAGGTCTGGAATTTTAGTCTTGTGGTATGTATACATAGAATATTGTGTCGTGTTTTGCTTCCAAAAATGTATTCAGTTCATATGTGTTTTTAGTTAAGATTGTTGCTATTTCCAATTAACCAAATTGCATAATTACGCACTGCTGTAGATGCAAAGAGCCAAAGGAGCAGACGCCTCAGATCCTCTTGCTACCATCGACTACTTTGGCAAAGATTCGGTCAGACAGCCGCAGGTGGACAATGAAGATGAGGCTGAGAATCAACATGAAGAAAGTGATGCTGGAGTGAAGAGGAGGAGAAAAGAAGAGTGGGATCAGCCCAAACCAAACAAGAAAAAGAAAAAGAAGAACATGGAAGGTGTAGGTGAGGGGGAAAACTTACAGGACTCTGGCATGAGGCCTGTTAGATTTCTGATTTAAAGGAGTAATCTATTTCTCAAGTTGTAAAGTTGCTATACTATACCAGAATGAGAGAAATGTATTCTTCTGAAATGATTGAATGCTGCAGTTTTAAACAGTAATGGCAACTTAACGTTGTTCAGTTGTCAATAGAACTAAGTTCCACATCATCATGACAAAGTTCAAGCCAAGGCATCAAAAACGCTATTATCTCAGCAAAAATGACAATCCAATATATCTGTTTAAACGGTGCTTTACAAATAAACTTCACTTGCCTTGCCAAAATTACTTACTAAAACAAAAAAGCAAATAACATTTTGAAGTACCTCCTATTATTGTTGTGATACTTGATAAAAAGAAATATTGTTACTGAAATTGTTTTTTTTATTTTCTCTGAAGCTCTATGTGAGCCCAACACAGTTGCTGATGGCGAGGGAATTTCTTGGACATCGAATTTGGACAAGAGGATTCAAACGCTGCCAAGTGGGGATAAAGAAAAGACCTCCCTCAAAAGACTAAAGCATCTTCATCAGGAGAAGGTGAGCAGAGAACGACATGCGTTTCCTTTCTCTTCTCATACACACACTTTATGTATGTTTTTGAATGATTTCTTATTGTTTTTTACAGGTGAATCGTGTTCGCTCCCAACATCGTATAAATGTACATGGCTGTGACGTCCCTGATCCCGTGTGTACGTTTGAGGAGCTTCAGTCCGAATACCGGCTTCATTCACGTATACTTCAGAACCTCACAGATGCAGGCCTTGATTCCCCCACAGCCATCCAGATGCAGGCGATACCTCTGATGATGCATGTAAATATAAACGCACCATGTTAAACACAGTGATGCTTTTTGGCCATTTTACGATCTTGCTTAAAAAAAATTGCTGTCAGGGTCGCGAAGTCTTGGCGTGCGCCCCGACTGGATCTGGAAAGACTTTGGCGTTCTGTTTGCCGCTGCTCACACACTTACAGCAACCAGCCAACTTGGGCTTCAGAGCTGTGGTCATCTCTCCAACTAGAGAGCTGGCCAGTCAGGTAAAACCACACATTTTTTATACACAATACATTTTTGTTAGTCCAAACCGAGAGGAGTCTTGCAAAAGTAAAATGAACAAATCGGACCTCAACATTCACAACATTAGAAAACATGTTGTCTTTGGCAGACTTGTAAAAAATGGCCCTGTGAGGCATTATTTGACTCTTTGGGCTGAAAGATGATTAGCTCAGTGAGGGTGGTCTTCTTCTTTTTTTTTGTCGTAAAAGTGTGATTTGAGAGTTGCGTAGCCCAGCTTTCAATATTGTATCTACCTGGAGCTTTTAATATTGTCTGGTAATAATCACATTACATTACACATCCATTGAAGTAATAATCGAATTGTTGCTTCTGTTTTCAGACTTACAGAGAGCTACTTCGCTTGTCAGACGGAGTTGGATTTAGAGTTCACATTATTGATAAAGCGTCCTTAGCGGCAAAAAAATACGGGCCTCAATCCAACAAAAAATACGGTGTGAAACATTTTCTATTTTTGTATAGAATGTTATTTGCAGAAGAGATGAAGGCTTTACTGTGCATTTTGCAGATATTCTTGTCAGTACTCCAAACAGAATAATCTACCTTCTAAGTCAGGATCCTCCAGCTCTGGATCTCAGCAGGTAAATATCACCAAGATGTGGAAGAGGGCATGCCATTGTTTGGATAACATCAGTTTTACGGAGTATTTGTTCACCCTGTAGTGTGGAGTGGCTTGTCGTGGATGAGTCCGATAAACTATTTGAAAGTGGCAGGAGTGGATTCAGAGAGCAGCTCGCTACTATCTTTCTGGCCTGTTCTGGTCCAAAGGTGCGCAGAGCCTTCTTCAGTGCCACTTGTACTCCGGATGTCGAGCAGTGGTGTCGTCTTAACCTCGACAACTTGGTGACAGTCAACATAGGACACAGGTGGACAGCTGACAGCTCTCAAACGAGGTTTTGTGTGTGTATTTACCAATGTTAAAATTTGTTTTTTTATGTTCTTTCAGGAATACAGCTGTGGAGACGGTGGAACAAAAGCTGCTGTTTGTCGGTAGCGAGGATGGAAAACTAGTGGCTATGAGAGACATTATTAAAAAGGTAATAAAGGTTCACCGTACGTCAAAGAAATACAAATACCCACGGCTGTACTTGCCTTTTATATTGTGTGCCCTGTATATTTAACTGTATATCTGAATGTTTCTGATATATTGTCTTCCTTTTTCAGGGTTTCTTGCCTCCGATGTTAGTATTTGTCCAATCTATAGATCGAGCACGAGAGCTTTTCCACGAGTTAGTCTATGAAGGCATTAATGTTGATGTAATTCATGCAGACCGCACACAACAGCAGGTAACTTTTCTCCATTGTCCATTTTTCTGCTCAGTCTGTGATTATGTGAAATGTAATGGCATGATTTTCTTTTGATAGAGAGACAATGTAGTGAACAGTTTTCGTTCGGGTCACATCTGGGTCTTGATATGTACAGCATTGCTCGCCCGAGGAATTGACTTCAAAGGTGTAAACCTGGTGCTGAACTATGACTTTCCCACCAGTGCTGTGGAGTACATCCATAGAATAGGTGAGCAGCAGTCATTGTAAATGTATATAAATATGAAATATATACAATATTTTCTTCAATGCACAGTATATAATATCCACTATTAGTGAACCTTTGTTGCCAGAATCTTGTGCATTATGTTTGACTACTTTGTTAAACTGATTTCACTTATGTGATATTATTTTTTTTGCGGATTTTGTTTGGAAAAAAAAAAGATTAAAAAATAAGTACCAGCTACATTTTATCTAACAAACTGGCAACCCAACTGTTAAATAAGATTAACTTTTGTGTCTGTGCTTAAACATTTCATTATCATGTTGTATTGTTTTGTTTCTTTCGCCTCAGGTCGTACGGGAAGAGCTGGACATTGTGGAAAGGCAATAACATTTTTTACAGAGAATGATAAACCTCTTCTGCGCAGGTATGCTTATTTAAAATGTCACTCCTGGTAAAATATCTAATTTTTAAATTTAATTTTTTACTGTAAAAGCATTGCCAATGTTATTAAACAAGCTGGCTGTCCTGTCCCTGACTACATGATTGGTTTCAAGAAGATTCACAGGTAATAAGAGTTAAACCTAAATTCAAATATTTACATGAAATACAGTTGCTTGCTGTCTTGATGACATTGTTGACTTCATTCTTTATTATAGCAAAGTAAAGAGACAACTTGAGAAGAAACCTCCCAAGAGAAGCACCATTTGTACAACTCCACGCTTTATGATGAAGAAAAAGCCTAAATCCACCCAGAAAGAAAAGAAAGGAGCAGGGGTCAAGCATAAGGTGACAGATGGCAACACAAAGAAAAAACAACAACATATGAGGAAAGGGAAAAACACTGAAAATGAGCCCAAGAAGAACTCAAAGAAAATGGGGTCAAGTCCAGGAACAAAAAACAATAAAAAGTAAGACGATGACTACTAACCGTACTACAATTATCTTTAGTGATGTATTGCACTGATTCTTTGTCATTATATTCAATAGGGAAAAGATGCCACTGAAAACCTAGAGGACTGCAAAACGGTTGAGAACACAACTATTTAAATGTGCATTTGCTTTGTAAATGATGAAATAACAATAAACGTTTTTTGATATGACATTTCATTGTTCATACTATCTCTGTCAGACGAATGGAGGGTAGTTTTCTTTTAGTTTTGTTTTTCAAGCCTTTCTTAGAGATCATCCCACAAGGTGCTTCAAAGGTTAAAATTAGGCACAAGCAAAGCACAAATTACAGTGTATTCAAATGGATAGCAGCCCATAAAAAGCAAGTTTATACATTGTGTTTTGAATGACTCAATGTACAGTGAAACAACATTGCGAAAGTATTCATTGAACATTTCAACATTTCGCCACATTTCAGGCTTCAAACATAAAGATATCAAATTTAAATTTTTTGTCATGAATCAACAAGTGGGACACAATCGTGAAGTGGAACGAGATTTATTGGATAATTTAAACTTTTTTAACAAATAAAAAACTGAAAAGTGGGGCGTGCAATATTATTCGGCCCCTTTACTTTCAGTGCAGCAAACTCAGTCCAGAAGTTCAGTGAGGATCTTTGAATGATCCAATGTTGTCCTAAATGACTGATGATGATAAATAGAATGTACTTGTGTGTAATCAAGTCTCCGTATAAATGCACCTGCTCTTTGATAGTCTCAGGGTTCTGTTTAAAGCACAGAGAGAACCATGAAGACAAAGGAACACACCAGGCAGGTCCGAGATACTGTTGCGGAGAAGTTTAAAGCCGGATTTGGATACAAAAAGATTTCCCAAGCTTTAAACATCTCAAGGAGCACTGTGCAAGCAATTATATTGAAATGGAAGGAGTATCAGACCACTGCAAATCTACCAAGACCCGGCCGTCCCTCCAAACTTTCATCTCAAACAAGGAGAAGACTGATCAGAGATGCAGCCAAGAGGCCCATGATCACTCTGGATGAACTGCAGATAACTATAGCTGAGGTGGGAGAGTCTGTCCATAGGACAACAATCAGTCGTGCACTAGACAAATATGGCCTTTATGGAAGAGTGGCAAGAAGAAAGCCATTTCTCAAAGTTCTCGTTTAAAGTTTGCCACAAGCCACCTGGGAGACACACCAAACATGTGCAAGAAGGTGCTCTGGTCAGATGAAACCAAAATCGAACTTTTTGGCCACAATGCAAAACGAGATGTTTGGCGTAAAAGCAACACAGCTCATCACCCTGAATACACCATCCCCACTAGGGGTGTGACGATACTTTCTCCCGCGATTCGATTATCGATATGCATTTGCTAAGTATCAATATCAATTTTGAAAAAAAAAAAAAAAAAAAAGATTGTTTTTTTTTTTTTTACTTTTTGAATTGGTATCAATACTTAATATGGCTACGTTACGCATCTCCATTCTATTTATCATGAAATAAAGAGTATTTTTTCTTTTTTTTATGCCATAAATTGGCATATTGTATATTTCTGACCAATATATATATAATCGTCATATCGTGATAACATCGTTATCGTAGTATCGTTATCGTGATATTATCGATATCGTGAGCTTTGTATCGTGTATCGTATCGTATCGTGAGGTACCCTTAGGTTCCCACCCCTTATCCCCACTGTCAAACATGGTGGTGGCAGCATCATGGTTTGGGCCTGCTTTTCTTCAGCAGGGACAGGGAAGATGGCTAAAATTGATGGGAAGATGGATGGAGCCAAATACAGGACCATTCTGGAAGAAAACCTGTTGGAGTCTGCAAAAGACCTGAGACTGGGACGGAGATTTATCTTCCAACAGGACAATGATCCAAAACATAAAGCCAAATCTACAATGGAATGGTTCACAAATAGACGTATCCAGGAGTTAGAATGGCCAAGTCAAAGTCCAGACCTGAATCCAATCGAGAATCTGTGGAAAGAGCTGAAGACTGCTGTTCACAAACGCTCTCCATCCAACCTCACTGAGCTCGAGCTGTTTTGCAAGGAAGAATGAGCAAGAATTCCAGTCTCTCGATGTGCAAAACTGATAGAGACATACCCCAAGCGACTTGCAGCTGTAATTGCAGCAAAAGGTGGCGCTACAAAGTATTAGCGCAAGGGGGCCGAATAATATTGCACGCCCCACTTTTCAGTTTTTTATTTGTTAAAAACGTTTAAATTATCCAATACATTTTGTTTCACTTCACGATTGTGTCCCACTTGTTGTTGATTCTTGACAAAAAAAATAATTTTTATATCTTTATGTTTGAAGCCTGAAATGTGGCGAAATGTTGAAAGGTTCGAATACTTTCGCAAGGCACTGTATCCTAAGGATTCTTGGATGGATTCTTAGATCCGTAACTTGGGTGCAAGTTACTCAAAATCTCTGTCACCTTTACAGTCTATGGCTGGCACATGTTCATGCAGAAAGTAACGAGGAGCCTGGCTGTGAAGGCTTCTATAGGTTAGAAGGCCATGTTTTTCCCATGTGTAATACTAGTCGGGAAAGAATAAGCATGATGTGTTAGTCACAGAGACACATTGTGAGGAACTACAGTATATTATAATGTAATGATGAGTAATGATAATGAGTAATGATAATGACAAGGCAACTCTAGAATACAATAAACTTGTAAAACGTTGTGCACTTTACAGTTACAAACCTGAACAGCACCAATTGAATAGCAGACAGAACTTATTCAACAGGCAGAAAACGTAGACTATGAACCTCAAAATATATATTGCTCCAGAATATTACTTATTGAACGAAAAAAATCAAAGCTTGTAGCTCAGTTTTTTGTTGGACCAATGGCTCTTATGCAGGCCCGTCCCAAGGGGGGTGCGAGGCCCTGTGCGAACTCGAAACGCGAGGCCCTGCCCTGACACTTTTTTCCCAGATCTGAGGAAAGTTTTTCCTGTTATAATCTTTGACATGAATTCAGCACCACCTCGCGCGGTGCTTGACGAGATCAGCACGCGCGTAACCGAGTGTCTTCGCTCCTATGCAGCGTTTGGCGCGCGCACGTACACACGCACACACACTCTACGTGCAATATTGGTCGCGGTCTTTTTAGCTGACATGTCTCTTTCGTCCTGTGGCAAAATGGTAGAGCAACTCAAAAGATTGAACCAAAAGGAGTCTTTTTCTTCTAATAGTTAGATTTGGGCAAAATGCGCCAAAATGGCTATGAGGCGGAGTCAATATTATTATTTTCTCATCAAATAACGTTTTTGCCATGCCTCCACACACTCTGACAACATACACTCCTCCTCCTCCACACTGACAACAACAAAATACTCTTCACCTCCTCCTCCACACACTCTGACCACAACAAAAACACTCCAGCTAGCTAAAGCTAGACATACAGTGTGTTTGCTAATGCTTTTAAAAATATGTTTTTGATGTGGATATTCGGACTAAACATTGGCAATAGCAGCGCTCACACACCTGTCACACCGCTGATCCTCCTCCTCCTCCTCTGCTCACACAAAGGGGTCTGCTCCTCTGCTCACACCTGTATCACTGCTCCTCCTCCTCCTCCTCCTCCTCCTCCTCTGCTCACACAAAGGGGTCTGCTCCTCTGCTCACACCTGTCTCACTGCTCCTCCTCCGCGAGTATCCATCTCTCCTACACTGCGATCATTCCCGTTACTTTCTTTGTATCTCACTCAGACACTGCTAAAGTTATCTGACAGTTTTTTCGGAGGACCCGTTGCATACATAGCTGCCCGCGCGCCTGCCTGTTTACAAATCGCTTTTGGTGAAAATTTGACTTTACTTGTAAAAATGTTCTTTTGATCAAACGAAATCAAAGAGGTCCAGAGAAAGGGGTTTAGGGTTCCAAATTTGGAGTGCAGTCTGCCCTTTGGGGACCCTTGAACTAGTGTATTTATAAAATAAAATAAAAGGAAGGAAGATTGCGAGGCCCCTGTGTGGTGCGAGGCCCTGTGCGACGGCACAGGTCGCACAGCCCTTAGGACGGGCCTGCTCTTATGTGTTTGTTATTTTTGTATTTCCTGTGTTTTGTTATGAACAAATCAGACCATGTGCTGTCTTTAACTTTCCAGAAAACATATTTTACATAATAAGAGCTGATTGGCTGAGTGAAGTTATTATCAATGGTGAAGGCTGGTTCGCCCTTTTTCTCTGAAATATCTGATCTAAAGATGTGGCAGAGGCCAAAATATACGCACGTGAAAACTAGAGATAGAACTACAGAAAGTGGAATTTATTATATTTATCAATATCATGATACTTAATTATTTATTTATTTTTACATATAATTTATTTTGGTCGCGAAGAAGCCACGCGAGATGTCTGAACTCTCGCCCGTGGATATACACGCGGAAACCCCGACTATTCTTCCTTTCTCAACATGGCGCCGAAGGTGAAGAAGGAAGGTCCGTAAATCCGGCAAAACTATACTAATTTACCACCAAAATATAGCCTTAAACGTTACAAGGCTTAATAGAGTTGCGCTAACGAGCTCAGCTATGCTAAATATTAACATTTTTTTGACTCAGGTCTGAAAGGGTAGGCATAGTGGTTGTGAACGCAAAAGTGTGTACGGCATGTATGGGAAACGTGAGGCAAAGCTAGTTAGCATGTTAGCTATAAAGTGCAGTCTTGTGTATGTATGCTTGATACATGACAAGGAATTTACCACATTCCATAGATTACCCCAGGTCACAAATGGGGGCCAGTCTGGATCTTTGTTTCCTCATGTGGGTTTCCTTTCAGTCTCTCAAGCTTTGGGGTGTACGTGAGCTGTTCCATCAGTGCTACATATGTTAAACCAGATTTGTGTTTGCGTCTTAGGGTATTCTCATCTGAAGGCCATGTGCCCGTTCAAGGTTTCATTCATATTTTTCACGCATTAACCAGGAGTCTCTATTGTTCCCCTCTTTAAATGTGCATGCAACTGTTGCCCGTACATTATTTGGAAAGTAGTTCTAAATAATTGCATCAGTTGCATGGTTCCGGTTATCGGTACGCACTAAAAAGTAAGCATTTGAATAACATTGTTCAAAGGGGATATTCAGAATTTTCTTCAGTTCATTGTAAATTATAAAGTTGGCCACTGTTGGATGCAGGAAGATTGAGCAAATGTCTAATGGTGGGCTGCCTTTTCTTTCAGCTGTCCCTGCCAAAACAGAGGCCAAGTCAAAGGCTCTTAAGGCAAAAAAGGCTGTACTCAAAGGTGTTCACAGCCAGAGGAAGAAGAAAATCAGAACTTCTCCCACCTTCCGTCGCCCCAAAACTCTCCGTCTCCGTAGGCAGCCAAAGTACCCTCGCAAAAGTGCTCCTCGCAGAAACAAGTAAGCTTTCTTTTCATTTGTAGTAACTTTGAGCAAATGATGGTTTAATGCGATCAAAGTATGATCAGTCCTGATTCCAACTTTTCTACACTGATGCATCCATTAGTGTTGGATTATGTGTGTTGATTTGTTAAGATTATTAATGGCCTCTTTTCAATAGGCTGGATCATTATGCCATCATCAAATTCCCCTTGACGACAGAGTCTGCAATGAAGAAGATTGAGGACAACAATACACTTGTGTTCATCGTTGATGTCAAGGCCAACAAGCATCAGATCAAACACGCTGTTAAGAAGCTGTATGATATTGATGTAGCTAAAGTCAACACGCTCATCAGGTGAGAATATAGTAATGTATATCTTTCAGTGTAATGCAGTAAGAATTTACCATCAAAGCTGTACATTACAAGTTAATGTTCATATACTGTCGTCTCATTACTGATGTAAAGATCAATTGATCAAGTTCTAAATGTCTGCTTTAGGCCGGATGGAGAAAAGAAGGCATACGTTCGCCTTGCACCTGATTATGATGCTTTGGATGTTGCAAACAAGGTATTTATTTTCTTAGTGTCCACTCTGTTGAACATGGCGCAAAGGATGAGAACTTTTGTTGTCAGAATGTCTGTGATGTTACTCAAAGGAACCACTGATGCCACATAATACATTTTAACTGTCGAACTGCTGTCACTTTTGGGTAACTTTTATATTTCCTTTGCAGATTGGCATCATCTAAACTGGCTCAAGAAATGGGAATAAATATTTGTACAAACTACAGGAGTCTGCGTTTCTTTGGGATTGTTAAAGGATACTGGAAAGTTAAAGGATTTTTGAAAGGTTCTCACTAACTTGAAAGCTAAGGCTAATTTTTGGTGGATCTCTGCTCAAAGAGCTATTTGAACTTTCAAACCAAGGGTGTTTCAAGAGCAATGTTTAACTTACAAGCAACTAGGTTACTTTTCAGTAAGTCTAACGTATTACAATTAATATAAAAAGCTATAAATTGAGCTCATGTTAAAAAAAAAGCATCTCAATCGAGTTCATGAATAACCTACCAAATGATAAGTTTCTAATATTGGTTGCATGAGCTTTTCACATCACTCCATTGTCATTGTTTTCAATATGTAACAAATGTTACTCGGTCAAACTACTTGGGTCAAGAATTTAACTATCAGATTACATTAGTATCTTACTAGTTTTAATAACTTTTTGAAAGAGTGGCATTAACTGTTCCTGTAGATCCAAGTTATTCTAGGTGCAATGCCTGGTCTGTCAACTTGAGATGCATTCATTTTGAAAATGGAACAAAGCAATCTTTCTGGTCAGTGTAGGTTGAATGTGATTAAGTTTGACATTGATTGTAGCACTAGGGTGCACTCATGTTGGATTTTAATACCAATCTATGGTAAGGGATGGCCTAGTGTGGCACAAAGTAATGCATTAGGTTTGCATATGTACAAATCAATAGAATGTGCACTCTGTTCCACGATTCCAGCTAGTGGCAAAGTCTTCTGAAGCCTAAAATTCATAACTTCATTTTTAGTTTCCAAAACTACATTTCCTTAAATGTCCTAAAACTGGGGATATAAAATTCTTATTGGTCTCCAACTGGGAACTTCCCTGCATTGAGTCAGTCACAAAGATGGCATTTATATTAATCTGGAATGAATAATTTAGTGATTTATTCATTTTGTAAATACATCAAGGCCTCTGTCACAAGTGTTCATAACAAGCTGGTTTAAGAAATTGCTTTAACATTCAACTACAGAAATCAGGTCCTTATGAAAGGAAGGTGCGAACAGTGCCTTTGACCAGGCCTCTGCAGATGGGACACTTGCGCAGTGATGGGGCACACTCCTTGCATACCACTAAGTGTCCACATGGAATAAAGACAATATTGACCTCTTTATCCATGCACACTTTACAGGTGCGCTCCTCCTGCAAACGACGCAGCTGTTCCTCCATAGGTAAGTCTGCAGATACAAATTCTGTTAAAGGCAAATTGAGTTATGTACAGAGACTACTCTGAGGTCACGTTGACTTTACCTGACAGATCTTGACTTGGCGATACAGCTTCATTTGATTGTGCTGTAAACAATATTAATGAGAAGAGCTGAACAGACATTGTAAAACAAGACAATTCCTTTATTTACCCATGAGATCTCTGAGTAGGTGGACATCATTTTTCTGGATCCAGTTTCTGAAAACCTCAGCTGCTGCATTGCCCTTAGTGAGGACAAGCTCTATCAGCCTGGCAGTTTGCTGCTGTGCTGATGTCTGGGCCTGGAGCCCACTGTATTCCTCAGCAGCTGTAGAATATTAAAGACAAATCTTTGAAAATGGTTCACAGAAGGGTAAAGTGTCTAAATCTGGGTTGTTAATACATACTAAAAACATTCTGGTCTCTTAAATGCTCCAAGACTGGTTCCACAGTTTTCAGGCGTTGAACAAGTGAAGCTTGGTGTCTCTTCACAAACGTGAATCCATCTAGAATAAGTTAGTTAGTAAAACACATAACGGAAAATCACAAAATGCAAAAAAACTAAAATTAACCCAACCTGATGCCATGGCCTCTGCCAACATCTCCCGTTCCTCCTCTCTTTTTTGGTCCTCAGCGCTTAGAAGGTCAGATACCAGCTCCTGTACAGTTCTGTAGTTCTCTCCACTGGTCAGGATTTTGCTTTGTACAGTTTGTTTGACAAGACTGCGCTCAAAGCCCATCTCTAGAGCGGATTTAATGACAGGAGTGTTCATCATGACAGCATCTTCAGAGCGCTCTTCTCCCGGCGCCAAGTGAACAACTGCGTTAGAACAGATTTGTGTTAATGCATTATTGAAAAACGACCAATGCAAGTGAAGACTGACATACCAGGAGGATCCACAAACTCTCTGGAGCCATCTCCATTGGTTAACAGCTTAATGATAGAAAAACAAATGGTGAATGATAAATTCCAGAAGAGGAGCACAAAAACAAGGGAACACTGACCTGTTCAAACAGACGGGGAAAACGAGCCTGAATTTGGTGAACAAAGTCCTGACCCTTCTCCTGGAGCAAATATTCACATCTGCAGCAAACCAGCATTTACATTAAGTCTCAAGTGTTATGTAAATTGGGGAAAAGCAACACAACAATGTAATTTTACCGCGGAAACCACTTCGCATGTTCCACCCAGGGATCATCTCCCGATTCCCAACAGCGCAGACCTCCATCACAACAGAAGCACTTCACATCATCATTGCGACCTGAAATTTATTTTTTATTTTTTAAAGCACACTTCATACAGATAGTTCATAAAATAGCTTTTACAATTTTTGTTTAAAAGGTTAATTTAAACTGAGCGTAAAATAAACAGTGAAACCCAGGTGCTTGAGTGGAAAAATCTTGGTTTCATACCCACGTAGTAGAAGCCTGCGTTAGCCAGCTGGTCGGGCCGGACAGGGATCCGCGAGGGCCAGTTGACAAAAGTAAGCCGCCTCTCCTCACTCTGGGCCATAGCAGGATTGGACACATTACTCAGGGCTGATGCTCCTGTAGAAAGCTGCTGTGTCACTGCTCCTGAGGCAGCAACCAGAGACACATTGTCAGCTCTGTCGCCTCGCACAAACCGGCAGTTTGGGTAATGCCTTTGATGCTCAGACACAGCTCGGTCGCCTGGTTCCCAATTGCTTAACTACAAACAAAAAAAGAGATTACTTTTACAAAAGCAGTTCTATAAATTGACTTTTTTTTATTGTCTGCGTTAAATAGATGACAATATCAAGAAGGTTATCATATTATGGTTTAATAATCAATTAATTGTATCTGTCAATCCAACGCCTCCTTTACCCACAATTTCCCTTTTCGTGTGCAAATATGATTCCAAGGTGAATTAATTAGGACACCATGATAGTATGAACACTTGGGCCGTTATTGTGTCCCCATTTGTGTGCGAGGGTTATTATTTTTATCATGCTAAAAGTTCACAAGAGAGGACTTGATAAAGTTTTAAGAATTGAGTTCGGTGCTGGTAATGATGACAGTGAGGACCAAAATGTGTGGAAAATAATCATGTTGATAATCATATATGACAAAGTACAATCTTGAGAATGTTCTGCTAACAGTAATAAGTAATAGGGGGGAAAACAATCTGGCAGAGGAATAAAATAAGATATGAATTGTGGGGCTAGTGGTGTGCTTGTGTGTGGCGATAGTGCCTGTATGCGAGGGTAGGCTCTCAGGCAAAAAATAACTAAGAGTGAGTGTTTGATGGAGGGCCTCTAGTAGCAACGGTGGGTCTGATATATAGAATGATCTAGCATGAGCGTTTCCCACTGATTGATACTTATTTTATGTCTTTTTTTTCCCAGAATATTATTTTCTTGGCAATAGCAAGGACACTACTTTGGTTGTTTTTGAGATTAATGCACAGAGTGGACCACAGGAGTTGTGGCAGGATAAGAGATCCGTTTAAATCACCACAGTTACCTGTCCTCCACAGCTGAAGCAGGCCACTCTGTCACCCTGACCGAGGCAGTAGAAGCCTGCTTTGGCAAGCTCAGCGGGAGTGATGACAGTGACAGTCCAGGAGTTGAAGGATTCCAAGCGGCCCTGCTCCCGGCGCATGTTGGGGTTATGGCATGTGGGCCTTTGATGAGACATGTCTTCAACACCACGAGAGCTAAGGGGACTGGATGGAGGCAACGCAGAGAAACCCATGTTCAAATATCCAACCGGCTCTTCACCCGGACCGTTTGCAGGATTTGGAGCAGCCGGACCAGAACCAGAAAGCTGCAAAAATATATATAAAAACCGGACTATAAGAAATAAACCACAAAATACTGTCGCTGTGGCAGAAAAAGTTTCACAAGTAGTCATCAGGATTAAGTTTTTAGCATCCAAATTGGAAGTCAACGCTGATAGGAGAAACGCCTTAATGAAAAGTCTATTGATACAGATAACTACTGAAACTAAACTGAAACTGGATGAGAACATAAGGTTTGATTCAGTGCTTTCTGTGGGGTCTTACAGGAATTGCTGGTGGGATGCGGAGAGGCGAGAAGGCAGAGTGACAGGATGATAGCAGGTTGGCAGTTGGAGGGAGGCTCTGGATGAATGAGCAGGATGGGGACAGCTGTTTGTGCTTCTCTGTGGGACAGTCTCCTGGTTGCCAGCCTTCTGCGATCACATTACACCAGAAGCACTGCACACGGTCCCCCACACCAGTGTAAAACCAACCCGCTCGTGCCAAACTTCTTTCTGTCACCCCTGACTGAGATGACGGGAACCTCGCAAAACTGGAAATGCGAAAAAGCTCTAAAAAGGACATGTTTTTTGGGTTAGAAAGCAAGTAAAACATTTAATCCAATTGTGGTAAAGTTAAAACGGTACCTGAGGAGTTGTCATATTGTAATTCAGGTGGTGGTCCATTCCGGCACAGGCTCATCAAAAATGGGTTATTTTTTAGTGTAAGTAGTGTTTCCATTGGATATATATTGGCCCAAAAGGGATGTCCATATAAAGGGAGAAGGGTTTGAGAATATCGGCTCATTCACGCACACACAAAAATTATATCAAAGACCAACCAAGACCAAATCTACCAACCACGAGTTAAATAACGCCTTAGTTCAAATGTGCTTTACAGGGTGGATTAAGTCTCTCAAAGCACTCCGCTGAAGTTAGTTCCATGTATACTGGGTGGTGGCAAGCTACTAAAGTAGCCACAGCTGACTTGGGGCAGACTGATGGAAGTGAGGTTGCCAGCGCCATTGGCTACTTGAGCAACCAAGATCTTTACACGACCTCCAAACTGAATCACCTCACAGCACCAGTCACTTCAGCCTGGATCCATGTACACTGAATTAAAACTTGAAGAAAACATAATAAAAACAGATTTAAAAATAAACATAATGAAACAAAACATAACCAAATAAAACATGGTCACATAACCAACACACACACAAACTATATGGGATATGTGCTCTCAAACCCCTCCCCCCAACAGGACATCACTTTGAAAGAGTTTAACCCGCCATAACGGAACTGCGAAACTCCTAAAAGAAAATGGTTTGCTTCTTTGATGTGGGTGATAGTAGAAATATGGAGTTCACTGGAGTCTGTAGGAAAAAGAACTGACATTAAAAACATACACGAGTCAACCCATTAACAGTCAGTCACACATTGCTCTCACACACACTCTAAAATAGATTAAATCATAAGATAAGATCATAAGGCTGAGTACACAATCTGTACCAGGAGCAGAGAGCCGTCAGCAGCCGCCGTTAAATTGATTAAACGAAAACATTATTATAATAGTTGGCAACTATTTTAGTAGTTGATTAACCATATTTCAAATCTAACAACCTTATGTCTAAAGTCATTTCTATGTTCACTTGAGCTATGGTCATTACAAAAAAAAAAACTACATTTCACTGACCTTTCAGGATATACAACCAGTGTTTCTTTTTTAATAATAAGAATAATTGGCCAAATAATCGAATTAATATAATCATTCATTACAGCCCAACATATGTCCTATACATATCTGTCTATTTTATAATACATTGACCATTTCTATGAGGGGAAATGAATAGATTTCACCGAAAGGTGGCCGGCATCATTTGGCCATTACAAACAACCTTTCATATTGAATATCATCACGAATGTAAAAGCAAGGTGATGAAAAACGATCCTTGCTTAGCTCCATGTTGTAAGCTAGCTGTGTTGATAATGAACATTACGTTGTTTGTGAGACTTTTCCATCGGATTCTCGCACAGTCACCATTCTTCTTGGTTGAATGGTTTTAAAACGTATTTCACTCATGTTTAACAACTGTACATTTGATCAAACGAGGACAATTTACGTTAAATGACTGCATTGTATCTAAGTATTGTTGCTAGTATTGTATTTGTTCGCAGCTAACTCTATCTGTCGGAATCTTTGTCAGACGGATGTTTTTTGGACCCTGCGACAAATATACTTAACAGCTAAACCACGCGTTTAAAAAAAATGCGAAATGTCCCACGTAATCTATTGAGATATAAATAATTCCCCTTACCTCCCGCAGAACATGACAGAATGGCTGACGGAAAGTACCGAGTGCCCGAAGAGTCTCGATCACACTTCCGGTTCCGCCCGTCTGACCCATGACTGATTACTGACCATAAGCCATAATGTCTACTGATCTTAAGTAGTAAGAGACAGCGATAGTCTGAACGTGAACGGGATCTTTATGGTTCAGAAGAGGCTTTAGAGCATAACGTATTGAAAAGTCATGTGTAAAGTTTAAATCTAACTATAGCTGGAGCCTTGAGCAAGAGTAGAATATTAAACTAATATTGACAAAGGTCAGAATACTTACATGCCGGTTGTCGTCATGGGTCAGCTGTAGTCAGTGTGTCGCTGAAACGGGAGGACTGAGGCGTTTGATACAGTGGTTCATGGTTTTATAATAATATCAGGGGTTCTCCGACTGCGTAATGTGCGCAGTAAGACCGAGGAAGTCCCCTCATCTTCCGTCCTCTTGCATCACTAGTTTCTGTATGTTTTAACAGAAACAGAAATTGATTTAAAAAAAAAAAGGAATATATATTGCTGTAAAGTAAGAATGTATTACCAGTAAGTTTCATATGCATTTTAGATGATGTAAGTAGACATTTGTTCTTTCCAGTTTGAGGAAACAATGACTCACTATGCTCCTGAAACAAGATTTTAAATAACATGTTTCTAAAAATGTCATTCGGACATTCAGAGTTGTCGACCAAAAGTAACCAAAAGTAGTGTAACTTTAGTTACATTTAAAAAATACAGTAATATTGTAACACAATTCATCGTTTTATCCAAGTAACTAGTACTATTAGAATAAGTAATTTACCCAACACTGAGTTTTAATGCATACTCATTTGTGACAAGAAAAAGCACATTTCAGGTGTGTTTATTAAAATGAGAAACTCAAAATGATTACTGCAAAAGTGGATTTTATATAGATAAAGCACATGCATAAAAAGGTTAAAAAAATAAAATGAAAAGTTCTGACAATCTCCCAACTCTGTATAGAATAAAAACGTTAACAGCAAATGTCACACACATGATAAATAGTGTAGTGTGTCATAAATGAGCTGTATGCAGAACCACAGGATGATTAAACGTGTCATTCAACAACTCAATATCTTTACAAAACCAAGCTCTTGAAAGAAATGCTCAGCTGGGCAACTCACAACTTCAAATTCTAAACAGTGTAAAAAAACAAAAAAACAAAAAACACAGCAAAAGCATCCCAGCACAAAATATTGATTATATTACTTTTACATATTTTATTTCTTGGAAACGAGGTCAACTTTTTATCTTAAGCAAAAAATATATATAAAAAGGCACAACAGGCTTCTGTTAATTGTTGCCACTTTGATCTCGCAAGTAAAACTGAGCAACATTATGTCATTGACAGATTTATAGGGCAAAAAATAAAAACTTTTCACATTTAGCGTAGATCATTTTCATTTGTAAACACAAATATTACTGTAATTCATAATTGTCACTTCTGCATTCCTCCGAGGACAATACACACTTATCCATCTCAGACTAGTTCCTGGATACAGTTCCTTTGAAAATGTTCGAATACCAAAACAAGGAATGTAATCAAACTAATACTGGGGATGTAACAATTTTAAGCTGCAGGTTTTTCCACCCTTTACAGTCCATACAGCACCGATGGATAAACTTATTTCCATGAGAAACAAGCTTTATATCGAAGTTGGGAAATACACATGAGCATCAACTAGGGCTGTCATCAACGTTTATTATAGTCATCCACTTGTGAGTTTTGTTTTTAAAATACTTTTACATTCTAAACTGTACTGAACAAAAAGTTCAGTACAGTTTAGAATGTTGAAATATGGAGATGGATAAAACATGGCAAAAGTGTTACATGGTTTTATATAATGCCGACGTCTTTGTTATAAATGTGACTTAAACTCTGAATAGTGCATTACGATAAAAATTCAGATGCTAGTCAACTAGTTGTTGCAGCCCTAGCATCAACACTATATTACACTATTATAATACAAGTAAGTAATATATTTTAGCTCTGTATAGATGCAAACACTGTTTAAAAAAGAACTAAGTCTTTGTAAAACATTTTAGTATAAGGCACATTAAAACACGTAAATGACACTAGCTTATAATTGAGAGTCACAACCTGCAAATCAAACTTTCTTTTTCCTTTAGATATTTCAATTGAATTTTTGTTGTTCCCAAAGCTCATATTTTATTTCACCTCAAGGATGCGCACTTTAGTGAATCTAAAGTGAAAGCATTTTTTTACACTTCAGTGTCCAAAGATGTAACAAAAATAATAATGTAGTGAAAGTTAAAGTAGTGTATTTTAAAAAGTTCATAATGACATAGCTTTCCTTGAACTAACTACTTTCCTGTTACTTGCTTCATACAAGACCAAACACTGGACGCTTTTTCAACTCTTATGAGCTTTTCTTTGTTTGGCAGATTAAAAAAGTGAAACATTCACTGCTTTGGTGAAGCCCCATCTGAGGGCACAGTCCGCCCATGAGTGCCTGTGCATGCCATATAAACATGTAAATATATCCACAAAGGCCTGAATACTTGCTGCGCACCGCCTTCTGCAACAGTCCCATTATCCATTTAGCGTTACACCGCTTGCACATCCATCACAATTCTCTCTATTCATCGTTGCTCTGTACCATCAACATTGTCCAATATTTCAGTCATGTAGCAAAAGTGTAATGTCACGAGGGCCAAGGCACCTAAAGCCAGGTGAGCAGGCTGTCCCTGTCCATGTGTGACCCAGAGAGGACCGTCTCCATGTCCATCAGCAGGTCTGAGCTCAGCCCCATCAGCTCATCACCCTCTGACATTGGCAACACCGGCGGCATGGACTCCTGGAGAGTCAGCGTGGAGCTCTCACCAGAATCACCTGGAAAGACAGCACCAGAGTAAAGGATAGCTTCTGAAAGAGTAGAGACAATAATGATGACATATGTTAATATAAAGCTTGGGTTATATATGAATGTTTTTTACAGACCATGTGTTTTACTATCTCCTATGATTTTGCTGCTTTTTAGAATAGCTGACTTAATGGTCTTGAGATTCAATTCAATTCAATGTATTCTTGTATAGTGCTAAATCCCAACAGTAGTTATCTCAGAGGACTTAACAAAACCTTTGAAATCGCAAACACAAATCAGAGAATCAAACAGTTCAAACACAAATATAGAACACGTTGGTCCATGGGGTGAGTTGACCAATGATCATGAATGTTGATAATGTTGAGATACCATTTTTGAAAGGGTGTTTTGCACAAAAGAGGCTGTAAAATCAGAAATATGTTTACCATATGTAAACATATTATATAAAGTCACACTTTCCAAAAAACATGCAAATGAACATTAACTTTCACTACCTCTAAACATAGTGGATCGGATGATGATTTTTGCAAAAGTTATTTAAAAAAGAATTACATTTTACTTCCGTCCAAGCACATTCCCAGTTTGATGCCTGTGAAATAACTTGATCCTATACGGTGTTAATTTCATAGTTTAAATGCAGCAGTATTTCCGGACTTGAGGAAGTGGTCCCGAGTTTACAAAGTGATAATTTGTTACTTTCTCACGCAGGAGTAAGGGAGGCGTTCTCCAGCGGCCTTGATTCTTTTGTAAGTGTTATTTTACCGGTGTCCATGTGATCCACTGGGCTGAGCATGTGGTCTGTAGAGCGCGGGAGGCTGCTGACGCTGAGGCCGCTGTCTGTGCTCTCATTGCGAGAGTGAGCCCTTCAATACACACATAAGAACGATTACACAGACAATAAGGCAATATACATGAGTGTGAAGCCTTTGGGGAGAATTTAAGGGGGGGTAAGTAAGCACTTACAAACCTACTTCAACAATTAGGAAATTAACCCTATAAAACAGACCAAGGTCACCCAAAACTCTTTACAATGTTCAGAAATCAGATATTTTTCCAATCTCTCCACACATGTTGACAGAACACACTGGCGCATCAAAGCCTACAACCAACACCATCCATTCAATCACTCATTTACATTAATTCCTATCAAACATGTTTTTAGCGGTAGGGGAAACCGGAGCACCCGGAGGAAACGTACGCAGACACGAGGAGTTGCTCCTCTTCTTGCTGAGAAGCGAGAGTGCCATTTCTATTATGTACTATATAAGTAGGTAGATTTACCCGTTCAGTGTTGGCTCATGATTTGAAGCTCTGATCCGAACGTCCAGCGGAGATACAAGAGTCTGTGTGTTTCTGTCATGGTCCATCCCACTGGTCATTCTGTTTCTTACTCCGGAATCCTGTGAGCAGAAACTGAGTACCTTTTCCAAAGTCAACAAGTATGAAAAGCTGATGAAGTGAAGCCTTTACCTGTGAGGTAACCTGCTGTTTACACCGCAGCCTCTCGTTTTCCTGCCTCTGCTGTATTGCCAAGCTCAGGAGCCCAGGGTTCATCTTCGCTGCAAAAATAATTGATCCAGTGTTGTTGGTAGCATTACTTCAATGAAAGAAGGAATATTTTTTCCACTCTTTGCGGTGATAGTTTATTTTTGTTGCAGCTAGTGGTTGTGGACAATACAATTGTTTCTCATAGCAATAACTAACAAATCTTCATATATAGTTTTGATAGTGTGCTACCTAGACGCGGGTCGACCCATGAGGTGCTCTTATTTATGTGATCGATGTAGTACACATCTCCATCTCCAGACACAGCCCGCTCCCAGCCTTCAGGCAGAGGACCTGAACAGCAACACAGTGAGTGAATATTGTGTTTGCATTATCAATAGTTTAAGGTTGAATCAGGCCCACGTCTGCTTCTGTGTGTGCCCTGTGCCAAGGTATCTACAGTGATGATCCCAGTAGTTTGTGGGAAATGTATAAAACATGTGTGCACTACTATAATAGAGTATATACTATTAAACCCAACAGTGTAGCAAAGGGCCCAAAAGATGATCTCCGAATAGCATGAAGATACAGAGATCACAAACTCAAGTTTGTTACATCAGGATTATAGACACTGGAATTATAATTGACAGACTCCAATAATGTGGCAGCAACAGTGTTCTTCAGTGAGGGACTGAAGAAGAGTTTTTACCTCACCCGTGTGACATCGCCCTTCAGTGTGACTGGCTTCACTATTATGCACAGTTAAATACAATAGTTTGGATTCAAATATTTTTAGATACTTAATAGCATTGGAAATCAATATTTCACCCAGCTCAATCAGGGTGATGTGTTTTATAAAATTGTGTACATTACATGAGAATACAAAAGGAAATAACGCGGTAAAAAAGGTCAATAATATAAATTATTGTATAAAGATTGTGTGACAAACACAAAGAGTCATACATTCGTCAAACAACGTTATAATAAATACAGTAAAAACAATATTATATCTCAGAGTGATATCTATCTTAGAAGCGAAGCAGTGCAGGGCTTGGACTTTGCTGGAAGACCATGATACCAGGTGTAACACAGACACGTTAGTGCTCAACTGTTGGCGCCACTAGTATGTCTTCGGGGCAGTTGTGGCTACAATAGTAGTTGAGTGTGGACTGAATGGATAATGCACAAAAAACTGGTGGAAATCCCTTTGACCATTTACAGTATTTATGACCATTTGTTAAACTGCACTATCCAAATGAAACACTTGCATACATAAATGGATAGAACATTGTAAAACATCTTTGAGACTAAGAAATGTTCTACATTTATAAAGAGGATTTAATTAGTAGTAGTAGTGTAAAAGCCATTCTGGGGAGAGGGCATGTGACACAGTACATTTAGATGCACTGTGTCACATGTCCTTATCAAACAGATTTGCATTATCAGCATAATAGAAATACATTTATATAAAAAATCTATAATGGTGATCACATGACTGAGTACTTTTGTAAAACCTGCTTAACATTCACATTCAAAACCAGCCCTTACTTAGATACAGTCTGTGTGCATGCATCTTCATAATGCACTTCTAATTTTTTTTCTTTTTGGTCTTTTTATTGTATCTTATAACGCTGTGTGAAGGACCATGACAGTGCAGCTGGTACCTGTATCTGTGCTGATGTTTGCTGGTTGCACAGTGGGAGCCTGGTTGCTGTGGGCATTGGTGTGGGCTGGGGGCCCAGAGAGAGGATGTTGAGCTGCAGCCGCCTGAAGCTGTGTCAGGCGAGGGTCGTGCCAGGTTGTAGTCTTATCAACGTGACTGCAAACACAAAACAAGTCTGAACAAATGTGATGTGAAAAACCACTGCAACCTGACGGGTAAGACGTGAGTGAGGCTCAACCTGCTTTACCTGTACGACCAGATGAATCCACGCTCACATGGGGCTTTTGACCAGCAGCTCTCATAAATGGATGACAAGTTTGATCTTCAAACTTTTTATGACACCACAGACAAAAAGACTCGTAGTGATCAGCACAAGATATCCTGGCTTGTTTTTGATACCCTCTTAAACCACCAATCATTCCCCTACACACCAGACTGAGACAGGGCACTTAAACCACATTGCCTAGTATAAACGACACAACGGCACTTTACTGCCACAGGCGCCCCACTGTTGCACCTGGTGATCCCAGAGGACTCCCATCACAGTACCAGCCAGATCCTGCCCTGCTTAGCATCCGAGATCTGGCGGGATCAAGCTTTCAACTGCAGGTGGCGCCACAATGATTGGATATTAAATAACTTGTCTACAAACACATCTAAACCAGTGACCCTCGCCAGTGTCTTGTCTGGATTAAGCAAACCTCTGGCTCTCATTACTTGTGCGCTTCAGCTGCTGGGGTTCAGGCAGACAGAAAAACAGCTGGATTTCACCAATGAAACTGGCAACTCAAATTCTAGTTGATAATATAATATCTAAATAGTCATTGTAAATGTGTTGTTTTTTTAAATAAAGAATAAATCAGTATAGACATCATGATCATAATAGGCCACATATAATTTGTGCCTCGAGTCGAGGGGAAAACAAAAGATGTATTTGTAACTTAAACAATATTATACTTTCCCTTTAAGGTTGTGTATGATTATATACATTTGTGGACAACTATAACTTTGATTAACCTTGCTACCGCTGTAATGATACAAAGTCATTCAAAAAAATACCTTGATCTTCACCAACAAAAATCTTAAATCTCACTACAAGTCAGAAGTTTTGATACTTTTGATGCTTTGTTTAGTAATTTATATTAATTAATTTTAATGCTTGAGAAAAGCTTCATGTCAGAATCTGATTTGAAACATATTAGGATGTTCTCCATCTATGGTGAATCTGGTGAATAAGGGTTTTCACATTTATATTTGTTCATTCAATTAATTACTGGTAAAATTCAAGTGATTGTGAGTTTTGCAGTCATAACATACTTGAGAAAATAGCGTTGCCCAGTGGGAGTTTTGGCCATCTCCCAGCCGTGGGGCAGGGGTATGTCGTCCGGGATGATGGGGGCAGTGGTCACGTCTGCCTGTGGGGGCAGGATGGCAGGGGAGGAGTGAGCGCGAACATGACGTGGAGTGAGCGTGTTGGACACACCTCCATCTGAACTGGCCTGACGAGAAAACAAGCAGGGTTAGCAACTGACATGAAACTACTGCTGCCACCAACACCGGAAACTCATGGATGGACAAGAACATGAGCCAAAAACCAACAAGCAGTGAAACCATCAGATTATAGGAGCCAGCTCACTCGTGTTTGAGCCGGGGTTATACAACATTTAACTTTTGTGGTAGACATTAAAGATCAAAGAAACTTAAACATTTAAAAATAATTCCTATGGACTAAAGCAGCTTTAGGGTGCATAAACACACATGCAATATACATGTAAAAATTTTTTACATCTGAAAAAAAAAGACTATTAACAGGAACTGCACTATGATCTTAATGGATCATTAAGACATTAATATTACAATCCACACCTTTATTGCCATTGTCTCTGCAAGTTCAGTGCACTACACAGATGTGCTTTCACCAAAAGAAACTGGCAACCCAAATGAAAGGCCTGGATAATCATTGTGAAAACCAAATATAAAATGTGAACATAAATATTAAATTCATTATATGATCAGAAAAAGCCACAATGTGATCTTGCTTCTGCACTTCTGTCTCTTTTACCTAAAATACAAACTATAAATGGACAAAATGGAGAAAGCATTTGAACAAATGTTCAAATGCTTTCTCCACTTTTAAATTATTTTGTAGTATCCTCTTGTAGCCTTGACTGGGTCAGACAGTTGCCTTAACCTTGAGGCAGTTATATTATGATACTGTATATTTGTTCAGATGTACACTGGCAAAAGTGACCCGTCTTAGAAACATTCCCACGTGAGTGCTGGAGAAATACTAAAGTGCAACAAGAGGAAACACTTCAGCCTCGTCCCCATTTAAACTAAAGGAATAGGGTAGAATGAATCAGCAAAATGACAATGATTGACCAGTCTGAGACATACAATAACAAAAATCTTAACATCCACTTTATGTAGTGTGATCTTCTGATATACTAATGAAGTTTAGAACATATAGTACCATCTTGCCTCTGTGCCTGTATGGTCAAAGGAACTACCCAGTTTACTGCATTCCCATAGGGCTAAAATAGCTTTTTAACATCTACCTGTGTATTGTTTAGAACATCTATGTTTTTTAATGTGGAATAGGAAAACAAAAGTTTGGACATCAACAAGTTATACTGCTATAAATGTAAGAAAGAAAAAAAACGGGCTGCATAACAGTGAACATCTTTGAGTACCACCCATTAAGTTTTTAAAATCCCCAAGTTCCTGTTCTATCAACTCTGTGTGAATGTATTCATAACAGCAACAAGACCTAAAATAGTACCAGGAACTGAAAAAGGTTCCAAAAGTGAAAAAGGCCAAATGTGATCAATCAAATTCCCTCTTTTTGAACACATTTTAAAGTCTCAAAAGTAAATTATACAAGATCAAATAAAGTAGGCCTCTTTGTACAGTGAGCCTGCTTGAGAGTCAGGGGTAACAACGGTACTCATCTGAGGTAAAATATAGATACTAAAAATCAACTCTGGTAAAAGTACTGAAATCATTCCCGAAAAGTGGAGAAGTACAAGCTGTAAACAAGTAAAATGCGCGGGTTTTAAGTATTGCTTTAGAACAAAACAACATAGTAGAAAAGTTTCAAACAGGACGAGAATATGACAACAAACAAAACAAGCAGAACTTAAAACCAAATAGTTGCCTGAACTTTTGAACTTTATAAGTAGAAATATTAAATATGTGGGTTTAAAAGTTAAAAATGGGTGTAAAAATTGAGTATTAAAGTAATGATACCAGAAATAATACTTAAGTAGGCCTACTTTTAGTTACTCCTCTGCTGAGAGTGAATTGATTAATGGCTTAACACGTATTATAAAAGCTAAAGCTGGGACATTTAACTTTCAAACCCCAAACAAGTTTTTCGCCCTCAAAGATATTTGATCCTACTAGTTTTCACATGCATGTATTTGTGGCCTTTGTCACATCTTTAGATCAGATTTTTCAGACAGTAAAAAACGTCAAATAGTGACTCATTAGGTCAATGCAAAAGATAAAAAATGATTTCTATTAAAAAGGAAGACAGTATGTTGTGGTCTGATTTGTCCACAACATGTTGCTTTTACCAGACTTTTTCTGTTAGGACAATAAAATTAAATTATTTAATACATTTAGATTTGGCACCCCAGCTTCAAGCCGAAAATTGGAAAATAGAATAAACTAATTCCCCCAAACATACACATTGACAATTGATGAGAGTTCTCGAAGTTCTAAAAAAGTTCTCAATTACATAATCTCTGGTAACCAAGTTTGCTGGTTGGATCATTTGCTAGTCTTTGATAGAAATGTGTGAATCCCTGTGGTGGTGGACTTACTTGTCTGGAGTGGCCTCGGGGCTCTGGCTGCGTGAAAAACGACTTGGGCAGTTTGCGGTCTTTCATGGGCACCGAGGGCCTCTGCGCTTTGCCCGGGTTCATCACTGCGTTGAACAGGGCCTCCAGCTCGGTCTGCGAGTCTCCGCGGACATGCACGATCTGCTGGCCAGCGGGAGGAGGGGGGCCGTAGTGTGCCTCCATGTCAACGCTCTATGGATAGTCCACACAAATCTGACCAAAATAAAGAAACAACAAATTCAATCAAACTGCAACAAGAAAGTTAGATTTCGAGTAACTAATGCGGGCTTTGGATGAACGATGATCGAATTTGTTTACACTTTCTCCCCCGCCCCCACCCCACCACTTCACTACTTTTTAGCGACGTTTTAAGTCTATTTCTAGCAACAACGCTTCAAACACAGCCACTCAGCTGAAACCATTCCTCAGGCCTTGGCAAAAAACAAGTCGCAAACTAGTTCTTCTAAGAGTGGATGGCGATGTGAACTCAATGTGAACTTAGTAAAGCTGGTTTCAGACGTGCACATACCTTCAAGCAGACAGAACTTCTTCCCCCCTCGCTCTTTCTGTCCCACCGCTGAAAAACACTTGGGAAATCACGGGCGCTCGCTCCACAGCCCGCGGTCCGCTGCAAACTCCGCGTCGGAACGGGAAACGACACGCACAAACATATGGAACCGCTGATAAATGTGGCTCCTGCGAAACTTCAAACTTTTTTTTTTCCTCTTGCACTCATCAACTGCGAGCCCAGATTCATGTGATATTGCAAAGGGGCGGGGCGCAGAGTTTAAAGACTAAACCCAGGCGCGTCTCTCGCTCCATGGGACTTTTACGCACCAGCTGAAATAAAGAGATCGCGCGCTGTCTTTTAAAACCTGACTTTATAATCTGATTTGATTTAGTGTACATACATTTTTCAGCCCAATAGTTTTGGCTGGTGGGCTGCTCTGGATTTTGGGGGTGGGGGAAATTGGAAGTTGGTCTGAGAAAACAGCCGCCCCTGATGAGGCCAACCCAAACGCAGCCTGTTTGTCCAAATGGAGACGGAGCCGCACAGTGCTGCCCCCTTGTGGAAAACACGCGCACTGCTCCTCAGCTGGTCAACACATTGTTCAAACCCTAATAAAGTATAAATGTGAAAGCTGTGTCTGGCTGATGCAGTTGAGAGTTGGCTATAATGGTGGAGCTATAGCTCTTTTAGAAGTTAAGGATATAGGTGTCGAAAGTACCAGTCATTTGACTAAAAGATAAAGGTAAAAGCTATTCCCCTATTTAAGTAAAAGTATAAAAACAAGAAAGAAGCCTTTTTTTTGAAGAATTGACAGATAATGTATTTGAGACATTTTGAGCATTCCCTTTCAAGCATGACAATAAACACTTGTAGAACAATTGTGGAACTGAATGCTGCTGTATAATAATCTGAATTTGGAAGAACAATAACTTAAGTCACTAAGAAGAATTGCTAAGCACTTAGCTTCTACTACCTGCAAATTAACCATGTTAAAATACAAGGAGCAGAAAGTACGAATATTTGGATTTAAAAGTAAGGAATCAAAGTAAAATGTTGTCAGAAAATGAGTAGAAAAGTCAAGTACTGAAACAGCATTTAAGTAAAAATACTAGTTGCTTACTGAATAATAGTAATAAAGTCAAATTTATGTTTTAGTTAGTTAGTTAACAATATTATGTAGAACATTAAATAAACATAATAAGGATGCATGGACTCAATAATTGCTCAATAAACTTTAGTCACCCTCCGTGTGTGGAAAGGGGTATGAGGTGCGGAGGAACTTGGAACCTTACTCCTAAACCAAATATGTTATGTTACCCCTGCATTTGTCTCTAGTCTCCTTACAGCATGTCTGATGTTTCCTCTAACACATGTTTACCAAAGTGCACTTGATAAACGTCAGGCCATGCCTCCTGTAAGCACTGAGAGAGGGAGTTGCATAATTTGAGGGAAAAGAAAAGGGCAGAGGAGATTTTAGCAGCCCTGCCCTGATTAGAGCCATCAGCACAGTCACGGCTGGCAGCTGATGTAAGAAGGTCTCTTTATGTCCCTTTAGGTGCAAAAGTGTCTTAACCACTGTGATGATGAAATATGTTATGGTTTTCCTTCTTAAACTATACTGAGTACTAAACATTACTCAACAGCATGTTCAATTTCAGGTGTTGTACCTGAAGAAGTTATATCATCAGAATGAAAGTCATATGGCATGAAAATAAAATCTCTGAAAGTTGTAATAACAATCAACTGGCAGCAGATGGCGCTGTCACAACATGTTTTTAGACCTGTGTGTCACCGGGACATAGCAGTAAAATGTTCGTCAATAGTTGGCGGACTTAGATTAGGACTTGAATACTTTATCATCTAACGACAAGCAATCCATGACATGTAACGATTTTGATGGAAACTCACACACCTTTAAAATATAAATAATTGTAAAATGTTATTTTTAATATGGTTTGGATTTTATTTTATTGTGGTATCATGGCGGAAGGATCCCTTGAGCCGCGCTAAGTGTGTGAAAATTTAAATTTAATTTCTAATATATTATTTGTATTTCTGTCGTCTTCAATTGGCTTTGCTTGAAATGTAATAGTCATTATACAGTCAAATCCCGAGTGTCAGATAGTGTACAAAGTGTCACAGCTTTACAAGAGTGTGTAACACTGTACAGATGTGGGGGCCCTGTGGCTCCATGCACATTCCTCCCACTGACCAGGCCGGTAAACATGTGCAGGTTTGGGACAACACAAAATCTTTTCTTTGGCACCTACTGCAAACTTTTCCCAAGAAGGCGACAGGCCGGACGCTGGCAGGAATGTGATGCAGCCCTCTTTTTAAGGTTTTCCACTTTGCTCAGTGCTTAAATGCCCAGTTAACTTGAGTAATTGGTCTGAGCCTTTAGGAGGCATGACTCAGTGTAACATGAGCGGAGGACACAAAGATTTGCTGCTTTTCCTTCACCGTATGTTGTGACTCCCTGCTAAGACATGAGAGAAAGTTTTCCCACTTAAACAAACCACATCTGGCTTACATGCTGCTGCCAACCATCTAACCTGCAAACCACCAGTAAAAGATGAAACGTAATCACTTTAAACACAAAATGGGATCTGTACTCTCAGCCATCGACTTCTTTTCAAATACGTTTTAAATATTTTTTTACTAAATCATTAAAGCTTCAAGAAACACTGAGTTTACTCCACTGAAGAGTTTATGGAGCCTGGTAGGAGGGACTGATGGAGGCGGAGAGGGAGAGGTGAAAACAGCTGAGTGAGGAACACACTCTGCATAAGTCAAGAGCTGCTCGTGTGAGAAGAACCAATTTACAGTTAGATTTTTGTGGACGCAAACTAATAATGTGGACTACTTCACTCGTCCTGCTGCTTGTGACTCTGCTCTTCTCTGCTGTACGTATATAATAGTGCAATTTCTAAGGTGCAATGTTATGTTTTCTATGTAAGGGGTTCTCAAACTTTTCACACAAAGAAAAACCTAAGAAATGATTACACCAACCACATCTGAACCTCCACGTGGTCTATAACAGGACCTTTGTGGTTTGAAAGGGGCTGCATCAGTGATGTAGTTATTTTAAATTTCAGATTAATCCAACTGAAGAAAAAAGTGTATCATTAAATTATTTAAATTCAGCAAACAACTTAAATCAGTGTGCAAGAAATCAGATGGAGCCCAGGCCCAGGTACGTTCATCAGAAAATGTGCCATAGAAAAACACCGGTCTATGATTTCCATACATGCAAATAATTTTTGTTCTGAAGAGATTTTTGTAATCAGACATTTGCTATACAAAATAAATGACAAGTAGTTCAGTTACAATGTACCTGTGTAGTTTTGGCAACGTGCCAATCAGCACTGCACTACACTAAGCAATCAGTTTGTTAAGCATGCAAGTGAAATCGGTTTTGTTTAAAATAGTTCAGTTCACATTCAACCATAATGATGTTGTATATTTATCAAATGATTGTAAACAGTTTTTAAAGTACAATTACACTAAATATTCAGGTAACTTGTGTTAATTTGATAGTAAGTTACCAATACTTTTTAACAAATTACATTTTTGAGTTACTACTACTACAGTAGAAGTAACTTTTTATACTGGTTTCTGTGCACTGCAATATTATTAATGCAAGCATCTTTGTCAGTGTTCTGAGAGCAGCAGCCACTTCTTCCATTCGGACACACTGAACGATGATGCTCCTGTTAAACCCTCCAAGTCCACGGTTAGTGCCAAAGGCTGGGACACATGCTCCATCCCATGTGACATCACAGTCAAACTATTACGAGACGAAAAACACTCCATTTGTGGTAAGACTTTGTCAATAGTGAAGACCCCGATGTGTAGATGTTTCACTTACCACAGACGTAAACAGGACAGCTGCAGCAGTCGCTTCTGGCCTTTGGACGAAGCACAAGGAAACTGATGAGAGACGTGATGGAGGAGCAGCAGCGAGCCCTGGAAATCCTCAGTGCTCAGGTCCTGATCCACAAGTATTTAGAAAGAATCAGATTTGGTTTGTTGTTTAAATGAAGTGTTGTACAAATGTTTTCAGGTGGCAGAGCTGATGACCAAAGTGCAGACGCTGAGCTCAGAGGTCCAAAGGAGCAACACAGAGATGTACACCATCAAACCAGCACAGTCACATGGTAACCACCTGTTTAGTGTAATTCTACATATTTTTATCCTAGTTTTTGATATTATTTCACCACAGACAAGTTGTCACCACAGACATACTTTAAAACAGAAATGGAAGAGGAAGACTACAGCTAACTGCTGATTAAAAGGTTGACAAATGTGGAGAGCCCATCAACTTAGCAAGGGGTGGTCTGGTAGGATGGTAGACCACTGGAAAGTTTGGCGCTACGCTGTCAAAAAAGCATAGGCTTTTGAACTTAAGGCACCTTTATGGAACAATGTAATATTGAACAATTAAATAATCATGGGTCTACACTGAAAAATTGAATCTTAATATGTAGGGCGGGACTGCAGCGACATAAGGGATAATCTATTGGCAGTGGTCCCAAAAATCCCAAGTGGTATTTACATCATTAATCCAGAAAACACTGAATCTTCTTTTGAGGTATGTGCAACAACCTACCCAATAATTTGATAATAACTCATAATTATAGACGTGGTCCTTGACTCGTTTTTGTGTATAGGTTTTCTGTGAGATGGATTACATGGGAGGAGGTTGGACAGTGATGCAGAGGCGAACTGATGGACTAACAGATTTTAAGAGATCATGGGGAGATTACAGCGATGGCTTTGGGAATCTAGCAGGTAACAAAAACCTTATTTTAAAAGATAAGATAAGTGAACCTTTAATTGTCCCACAGCGGGGAAAGTTGCAGCGCACATATAAGATAGTAGTAAGAGCACACAAAATATGCAATACAAGTAGCTGCTATGTTTCTTAGCTATTACAGTATTTACTATTTACAGATGACACGTACAGGCTCAGCTGAACAGCAATGGAGCTGTTCTCATTGTACTGTCAGTAGTATATATGGAGAAATTGCTTATGTTATGTTTTTTACATGTCCCTGTGCTGTGAACCAAATTGCCCCATTGGGGACATGAAATAAAGTGAAGTGAAGTACTGTATAAGTACCGTAAGTGTAGTACATTGTATTGCAGGTTATTGTATTATTGTATTGTTTATGTGTATTGCAGGAGAACACTGGTTGGGCCTAAAGAAAGTGTTTCAGATTGTGAGCCAGAAAGACACACGTTTCCAGCTCCATGTCGCTCTTGTCTCAAAAGATGACATCACATCATACGCCTCATACGATGACTTTCAGCTGGACAATGAAACTCAGTTCTTTGGGCTACACCTGGGACGCTATGCAGGCAGTGCAGGTGAGGTTTCATACAATAATGACTTCTATTGCCTAATGCATATCTGCTTATCTAGGCCTGTTTTTTGTCCAATTTCAAAACGTGTTGTGACACCGCACATATGTATAGCAACATATCACCATTTGGAATTATATGTTGAAAATCTATCACTTCTATTAGTTTTTGTTACTGAAGGTTATCCCAGTGCTATGAGTGTAAGGCAGGGAACATATAAAATAGCCCTGCTTTAACAAGTGACATACACTCTTACATTCTTAAGTATAACAAAAGAATGCAACATTGTTACCCTTTGTGTTCTTGTTTAAAGGTGATGCATTTCGCGGCTATGACCAAGACCAGAATCAGGACACGGCTCCCTTCAGCTCCTCAGATGTGGACAACGATGGCTGTAACCCGTCCTGCTCCTTCAGTAACCGCACAGTGGAGAGCTGCAGTGCTCTGCACAACCAGACAGGATGGTGGTTTAACCAGTGTGGCCTGGCCAACCTCAACGCATCCCCACAGGACACTGACTCGAGCCAGAGGGCCAGCATCCTGTGGGAAACATGGAGACAAAACGGGGTTCCTCTTGACATTAAAGCTGTGACGATGAAGATTCGGAGGATCCCAACCAATAACTGACTCAGTGCCACAGACATAGACACTGTATCAGTGAGGGTTCAATTCAGAACCCAATGGCCTGAATCAATCAATCAAAATAACTGTTAGCCAAAAAAAATTTCCAAATGTATGTATGAAATTGAAAACTCTCTCAAACCCAATCATTCTCTCCCAAAAACAGTACAATTAAAATAAATAATATTTTGAAATATTATCATATTCTTTATCATCATTCCGCCTTCATTCCAGGCTTAATAAAATCAGTTAATTGTATAGGCTAGACTTGCAGAGGTGTCCAAACCGGTCCAGAAAATAAATCTGCAGGTTAAGACTTGACTGAGCTTACTTGAGGAAATGGGTGGAGTCTACTCTGCTCCTGCTGGGTCTGATAGAAAACCTGCAGCCACAGTGGCCCTTTCTGGACTGGTTTGGACACCTCTGGGCTAGAGTTACGCCCCATCCTCTTCTGCTTTAATCAGTGCTGGGCTGCGGAGGCAGCAGTCTAAGCAGAGATGACAAGTTTTGCCTATCCACACACATTCACAAAATCCAGCGGAATCTTGATGCCTTCTTAGGCCAGCTAGAGAAACAGTACCCCCAGTGGTGTCCTGGGTCTTTCCAGGGGTCTCCTGCCGGTGGGACATGCCTGGAACATAAGTGGTAATTGTTATTATTATAGATCTATGGTGGTAACTGGTACATTTTCATTTTAATGACAATGGGAAAATACAATGGAATGTCCTGGTATTTTTAACCAATGAGGGGAAATTCCATGGACAACTTATTCTTTTCTTGACTGTTGACTAGAGCCAAACACACAATTTATATAAGAATAAGCCCTTCTTTTTTTATTATGCTCCAAGTCGCTTAATTGTATTTTAGTGACAGGATCCAAACTCTACAGTTTTCCTGTCAGAGATTTTTCCCACTTATAATGAGAGGAAGCTACAGTATTCTGAGCCTCTCAAAGAGTTGGTTTGTGCTTCAGAACTTCTGAGGCTCAAACAGAGAAAAAACAAAGAGAAAAACAGGTTTGAATATTCGTCATTTGTACTTACCTCAGGACCGAATTCTGTTGGCTAAATGCATTACAGTCGTATTTGAATTCAAGCAATACTTTTTAGTACGTTTTAAAACGTCACATGTTCTTACCTGTGATAAACTAGCAGGTAGTGACGGCTAGTGGCCACAGGGCGGCGCTATTACACCTGTTATTAATACTGGTGCTTTGCAAACACGTGTCTGTGGCTGGACTGTCATGAAATAACTTAAGGGTAAGTAATAAAATAATATTTAATATTTTGATACTGCAATTATTAAAAATAATGTTTGTCTGTTTTATATCGGAAACTGACTTTATACAGACTTACTTTACCTGTCGGACAAAAAACGTTTCTTGTTGTCATCTTGATTCTGAGGCAGTTTATGTGTTATATATAATAATAATACTCAGGCCTTTATCAGTGCCCCAGGACAGTGACTGTCAGCGGCAGCAGGTCCTCGCTCCTACAGTCTATGGTCCTTATTCCTTACAAGGCAATTCTGCAGGAGCACGTCTTATCTGATCTCACTGCAACCCCACATTAGCATCAACATAGAACAAGCACGTTTATTACGTGTTATTTAACCTACACATTTAATATGTATACGCTTTTAATATACGTGTTATATTTTTATATTTCAGTTATATATCTGTGTAAATATCTTAGAAGCTGTTCTCAACTTCTAAACTATTTTGATGAGTCAATAATTCTGCACAATTTCACAAAATAATCCTCCAGAAAACCATCTGCACTCGATTACTCCATTCTGAAGTTCCAATGTTCCATTGTCCATATGATTTATTCATATCTCATTAATATGTTCTTTATTCACTTAAGTTTTGAGTCCAATTCTGGGCACATAACTTTATATTTATTTTTAATTAATCAAGTTAACTGTACTATTTTAATCTAATCTGTCCTAAAACCACATGGCTGTTTTCCTATAATTGCTCTTTGATTAGCATTGCAGTGACTGGATAAACTGATTGTATGTGTTTATATGTGCAGGAGGAGTCGTTTTCCCACAGTGGACCAGCAGTACACAGGAAGTAATGTCTACTGGGAATAAGGACCCCAAGGAATCTCATCTGCTGTTCATCAGGCGTACGTCACTGGTGCGAGCGGCCAGTTCACTCCACACAGCACTATCTCTGTAAACAAAGCCGCCTGAAATAGCACTTTACAAGCCATTTATACAATAACCTGATAACAGATTTTATACATATTTAAACTCATTTAGAATTGTTAACAAGATTTGTGTCTGTGTGGAGTTTGCATGTTCAGTTTTGTCCGGGTGCTTTGGTATCCCCTATCACTAACATATGTGATAAGAATGGCTGGTTATGCTTGGAAAATGAGCTGTGCCATTGTGTGAAGTGAATGGAAAATACATGAAAATGGTGCTTTGTGTGACCATGTTGTGTGAAATGTGCTTTATAAATTAAGATGACTTACTCACCAAAATAAACCATAGAATCTCTCATTTTTATTAAACACAGACAATGTAAATGTAGATCTCAGAAGGCTCAAATTCCACTGGGTCTAGTTGACTCCTATGATCCACTTAAGGCAAATCTGACAATCCTCCAAAAGATACAGATCTGTTTCCAAGTTCACTGACTTACGTGACTAGTGGACCAGTGTACACACTTGCTTGGTGCTTTCACATCTCCTCAAATTAAGCTACATTTTCCCTAAGTGAACCAGAATTAGAATTATGTACCCTAACCCAAATTGTCTCAAGGTCAACTCCCAAATCTAGGATCCATGTGTATAACTCAAGTGCAGGTTGTGAGAAGTTCTCCCTGAAGTAGCTGATATTGTTTTGTGATTTTTTTTTTAAAATTTGAACATTGTCAATATTCCACTCCAGATTATAGCGTAATCACTCTACCATATTGTAAATTACATACATATATACAGTATCTCAAGTAGAAATCACAACATACATGGTCCTTAACATTACTGAATATCATTGACTGTATTTTGTAGAGATGTGAGTGAAGCAAAAACATTGGAAAAAGTACAACAACTTTTGACTATAATCATCTGCTTTCACTGACTACTCCCTCCTGTCGACCATCCTTCCTGACTGTGTGAAAATCGTGCACCTTGTCAATGAAATATAATAACATAAAAAAAAACTAATCCTTTCTTCCCAAAATCTCTGCTAGAGAAAGGAAGCGCCTTATTCAGTGCACTGTGTACATTTAAGTCAGGTTTGTAAATATAAGTGCAGTTGGACCAAGAAGGATGCATTCTTTCTCCAGGACAGTGGGAGGAGGGACACGGGGAGGAGAGCAAGTGTGTTGAGTTTGGTTGTGCGTTTAGGTTGCTGGTTTTGTGTTTCACTTTTGGGATGAACCACAGGGCACTGGCAGCTGACCACGACAGCCGTCCTGTGGGTTACACCGAGGGACGCCGCGCTCGCAGCAGAGACAACCTGCTTGATGACTATGGAGAGGAAAACTGCTACTACGGACGCTTCATGGGGTCAGTCCATAAACTTGTATGTTTGGATGTTGTTGCCAAGAGTGGAGAAATAACATTTAAAACCAGACCACATGAACCAGTCACAACCCAACTTTACTCCTTTTTGTGTACTATCTATGTAATGCAGGGGTTCTCAGACTTTTCACTTTGGGACTCCAACATATTCAACCCCCAGGACCTTATAATATTAATACATTTTAATCCAGTAATGATTCAAAATGTGTATTGTAGTGTTATTAATTTCAGTCATTTATGGTGTTTTTTGTAAATTGACTTTTTTGAGCTTTTACAACATTGTTCCATCATCAAGATGCATCCATGTTGATATCACATAACTTCTGGCACACATGTGATTGTTGTAATAGTCGTTGAACAAAATGACATTTCCAATTAACAGTTATGATTGTCATACATTTTGATTTGCTAAATACACAAAGAATTACCTTTATAACTTGTACAATTGTTATGGAACTGTTTTAAGGTGTGTGTATTTACAGGCCCAGCAGCTCGGAGAGGCAGCTCATGGCTCGCCTCACTGCGGTTAAGCGGCGGCAGGCTCTGCGTGGTCAGGCCTACATGTTTTCTGCTCCGTCCACCAGTTTGTCTGAGGTGGAAGAGCGCTTTCTTCAGTCGGCGGAGTACGGAAACATCCCTGAGGTGCGCCGCATGCTCCTGCACGTGCCTAATCTAAACGTAAACGCTGTGGACTACATGGGCCAGAATGCACTGCAGCTCGCTGTGGCCAACGAACATCTGGAGGTGACAGAGCTGCTGCTGGGGAGGGAGGACCTGGCCCGAGTGGGGGACGCTCTTCTGCTGGCCATTAGTAAGACAACAACGAACCTCAACGTTTTTTTATGTATATGTTATAGATGCATTTAGTGTAAACAAACATAAAAATACTTTGAGCATAGCTACTCTTTTACACAGGAAAACATATCTGTTCTATAGATCCATATTTTCAAATCCTGATCTTTAGTACCAGTTATTATCAAAACCCTTTGCTGTACTGACATAATATCATTAGCCATTAGACCACCCCTAATAGATTGCTATAGTGGGGTCTTGTGAAAGTGCAATGTTGTAAACAAACTAGACCACAAACTGTGGTCTTCATCTTATTAGAGAACACTAAGACAGATTGGCCCTCTGATTGGCTCATAGAGGGCCTTTTTCACTTTGCTGTAAAAAAACTGGTCTATAAATGTGACCAAAAAATGCATGCATGTAAAAACTAGTTATTGAACCAACTGTATAAAAAGCGATAAACTAGTTTGATGGATTTGATTGAGTAGGTAAAAGTCAGTTTGAATGTTAGGTACCCCAGCTTTAAGATCAATAGCCTACCTGATTACCATTATATGCTGCTTGTTTATATTAGGTATCCAGGCTTGGCACTGGTGACTTGTAGTGGAGTGAAGTTTCTTATGTTGCTGTTTCATGTTGTGCTTCAGGTAAAGGTTACGTACGCATCACCGAGGCTCTGCTTGCTCACCCCTCGTTTGAAGACACTCACCGTCTGACCGCGAGTCCAGCTCAAGCCGACATGTTGGACGACTTCTACGCCTATGATGAAGACGGGACACGGTAAGAAGGCTTTGTGTTTAAGAAGTGCTGTGGTAAAGTCTAAAGAGCAAAGGCAGCATGCATTCCACAGAGGAGAGGTCCCAAAGAGCAGGTGAGTGAGTTTTATGATGCGTTTTGTTATACAAACAAAAATAAAGAATAACTTATAAAGAAAACACAAATGTTCATGCAACCCAAGTTAATACTAGGATTATTTCTGAAATGCACATCTAGAGACTGAATGTTTTGCCCATTTGTCTTTGCCAAAACAACTCAAGTCTGTCCTATTAGATGGAGTATGAATACCTCATTACTTGTGGTTTTGGTCTTTCAACTACAACAAAAGTTTATGGTTGTAAACAAAAATGGTAAAATGTAGAATTTAAGTTTCAAATATGTTTTCAGGTTTATCTTGTTTTAGTTCATTTCTGTTCATTAAAACACGGTTCTTTTTTTGTTTCCAGGTTCTCTCATGATGTGACTCCCCTGATCCTGGCGGCCCACTGTCAGGAGTATGAGATTGTGCACACGCTGCTCAGTAAAGGTGCTCGCATCGACCCTCCGCACGACTATTTCTGCGGCTGCGACTCCTGCAACTACCAGCAGCAGTTCGACTCCTTCAGCCACTCTCGGTCTCGGATCAACGCCTACAGAGGGCTGGCCAGTCCATCCTACCTGTCGCTGTTCAACGAAGACCCAGTATTAGCCGCACTGGAACTCAGCAATGAGCTGGCCATGCTGGCTAACATAGAGAAAGAGTTTAAGGTGATATTACGTTATTTGATTTAAAAAAAAGAGTGTGTTATCAATATTATTCTAGTACTATTTGAAATTTCCCCACTGAGGTTCTCTTCTTGCAGTCTATAGAACTCCTCCAACTGGCATCAGTGTGGACTGCCTTGAGCCTTCACTATGTGCTATAATAGTGAGGGTAATGTTGGTGATGAACATATCTTAAAATACTTTTTTTATCAGTGAGTTAAAACTCAGAAATGTCTTTGTTCGACCATCACTTCTTAAACTACAGTTAATGTAAGTGCACATGCGAGTAGGCTCGTAAAAGATCTTTGTCCAAACAAGAGCGTCTTATAAGTCTCTCAGCAGTAATAAATCAGAAAAAACGGTGGTATGTACTAAGATTTGAATTCATCCTAAAATTGGATTTCCAAAAATACAAATGTCTTTGCAATAAAATGAATCTGATTAAGTAAAAAACAACTCAGCCTCTCTCCCTATGATGATATCAAGAATAAACTAAAGACTCACATGTTTAGGCTCTGTTTCCCTGGGCATTAGTCTGTTCACTGTGTCATCTCTTTGAGGCGCACTGGGCTGCTGGCGTTTTAGTGGACTGTTAAATGTGTTAATGTTTTTATGGACTTGTAATGTTTTGTTATGTTGTTAAGCACATTGGGGTCCAGGTATTTATATGAAATATTCTATACAAATAAACAAATTCTATTATATTGTAATCTGCAGAATGACTACTGCCAGCTGTCGAGTCAGTGCAAAGACTATGTGGTGGGTTTACTGGACCTGTGTCGCAGCACGGAGGAGGTGGAGGCCATCATGAGCGGAGAGACTGATGCCGAGGACATTTACGAGCTCCCGGTGCGACCGTCCCTCACTCGACTTAAACTCGCCATCAAATATGAACTCAAAAAGGTACAACAAAAGTCTAATGCATTCCTACATTTGTCTGTGTTCTTTTTATATGTTTGTGCATCCATTGCTCTTGTGTGCCTTCAGTTTGTGGCCCATCCAAACTGCCAGCAGCAGCTCCTGAGTATCTGGTATGACGACCTGCCTGGTCTGAGACAGCAGACCACCGCAGTCAAGCTCCTGGTGGTTTTTGCTGTGGCGATGGGACTCCCTGTTCTCGCTCTGGCCTACTGGGTCGCCCCCTGGAGCAGAGTATGCAGTAGTGTAGGCCTGTCACAGTCACTCTGTGTGGAGTTTGCATGTTCTCCGCGTGTCTGCGTAGGTTTCCTCCGGGTGCTCCAGTTTCCCACTAAAAACATGCACAATAGGTATGAATGTAATGAGTGAGTGAATGGATGGTGTTGGTTGGGGGCTTTGATGCACAAGTGTGTTCGGCGGCCCGCTTCCGTCATCACCGTGTAAAGCGCTTCAGGTGACCTTGGTCTGTAAAATGAGCATACAAATAAACATTACTTACTTACTCATTTTAATGGACTCAGAAAATTATTGCTATGAACATTAATATATTGATGATGTTCTGATCTTTCTATCATTCTTGCTTTGTTGTTCGCAGGCTGGGAAAGTGATGCGGAGCCCTTTCATGAAGTTTGTCGCCCATGCTTCTTCTTTCACAATCTTTCTGGGGCTTCTCATCCTGAATGCAGCTGACAGATTTGCTGGGACCACTATTATGGCCAATATGACCCACCACGAGCTTCAGAACAGCCTCTGGTCAGACCCCCGGCTCCTGTACCGCTCCACCACCACCCCCTTCACCTGGATGGAGATTCTAATACTGTCCTGGGTCATCGGTATGTGTTGGTCCATGTAACGTTTCTAGAGGAGGATGTTGAGTGTTCTTCTGGTCATTTCTCCACTTGGCATAAACACAACTTGGTCCTCTCAGCTTCTACATATGAAATGCTGGCAAAATGATCTACTTGCACAGCTTCTATATCTTTGTATGTTTGGTTAAAGGAGCAGTATGTAAAAATCTGGCACTGCACTCTCCCTGACTCAGGTTGCCAGCTATGCAGACAAATCCAGCTGGGAACATAATAACTGAATAGACAAGAGTTTTGTCAACAACATATCTATAATAAAACACCTTTTTCACAAAGGCCCTATTTCTTATTTTGTCATTAATGATTTGAGAATTATAACAAGAGCTTTTTTAGTTCTGCGGCCACATGTTACTTTACCAGTGACATTAGCTTGGCGCTGTGAGTTCTGGCAACCCGGATCACGGACTCTCTGATTGGTACAATAATGGAGGGCGGGACATCGAAATGAAAACGATACAAGATTTCGGCTGAACTGCTGTTATCAGTTAAAGAAGTATTTGCAAAGCATGGTTTATTAATGCCTTTTGACAGATTAAGGCCATTTAATGATGCCTTGACATGAAAGTCTTACATATTGCTACTTTAAGTTAAGGTACGCTTTATTTATCCTCGTCGGGCAATTTGTCCTCTGCATTTGACCCATCCTTTTGTAGATTAAATATGAACATTTCTTTGACCTGTAGCTTTCATGTGTTGCTCTATGTTGGTGCAGGAATGATCTGGGCAGAGGTGAAGGAGATCTGGAGCCAGGGTCCTGGGGAGTATTTGGTCGAACCCTGGAACTTCCTGGACTTCGGGATGTTGGCAATTTTTCTGGCCTCTTTCAGCTGCCGTGCATCTGCGCTGAGACATGCTGACTCTGCCCAATCCTTTGTCTATAAACATTACAGCACTTTGAGCAACGTGACGCTGCCCCCTGAGATCCAATACTTCAACCTGCGTAAGTCGCCTGTTTAGTTTAGTACATATACTTTTATTGTTAATTTAGGTTTGAATATTTAAAACAAATACATAAAAAATGATGGTGATAAAAAGAGGGCTATTAGATAGAGAAAATGTTGAAATGAAAAAGTAATTCATCTTGGGTTCCTAACTTTTCTGTATACATTTAATATATGTTATTTGTGCTGTCTTTAAAGACGGTACAAAGTTAAATGTGAACTTTTTCATACTTGTATGAAGGAACCCTGTCACTACTCACTATTTGATGCTTTGGGCTGAGTGAGAGTGTTTTTTTTCACGTTTCTGTCTAAAGCTTATATAAGATAAAAAAATACATGCATGTGAAAACTACTCCTTGAACCAAACGGTTTTGGCAGATATGAAATAGTTACCTGGGTTTTACTACATCCTTGTTTTTTGGGCGGTTTGGAAAGTTTAGCAGCTTTAATGCTTGCTTCTTCAGTTGGAGCGATGGAAGTGACGAGGAGAGATCTTCATGCAAACACACTTACACCTAGTTTAATTTTCAGCGCGTGTTTTGTGGGTGCCTTCCGACCCTCAGCTGGTCTCCGAGGGCTTGTACGCGGTGGCGGTGGTTCTGAGTTTCTCCCGAATCGCCTACATCCTCCCGGCCAACGAGAGCTTCGGCCCGTTGCAGATCTCGCTGGGCCGGACGGTCAAAGACATCTTCAAGTTCATGGTCATCTTCCTCCTGGTGTTTCTGGCCTTCATGATCGGCATGTTTAACCTGTACTCTTACTATCTGGGAGCCAAGCAGAATGACGCCTTTACCACGTGAGGATTTCTCTGTTCTTAAACTACACTTGGAAAATGTATTTATCACCACAGAGGAGTGTCAAGTTAGTTTGTTGGATGACAAAACATTTTTTTAATGTATTTTAGTAAACCCTGGAAATGTAAGTAAGTAAGTAATCTTTATTTATATAGCGCCTTTCGGAAACAATACATGGAAAGGAACAATGTATTTACATTTTGGACGTTATTCGGTTCATTGTCTGATTTCTTTTAAAGGAATGGATTCTGGACTCCTTGTTGGAGGCCTATGCTTTTTTTAGTCTGAAAAGTAAACCAATAGCTGAAAACGCATCTTTTTATAATTTTGTGAAAGACAGATTTAGAAGGATTTTGAACAAATGCAGCCATCCACAGTAATCTCTGATTGGTCCGAACTCTCCTGTGTTACTCTGGTCCTACGGAAGTAAAACCACTTTGCAACTACCACACAAGACCAGGAGAACCAGAGCTGGCCAGAGCGTGTCACTCCAACTAATGTTTGCAGCGTCCATTGTGCGAGCATGCAGCAATATGCACAGGCCATAGATTTGAGTAGGCAGACATCTTGGAGACCCGGGGCTTGGTTAAAAGTATCCAAAATCACAAACAGTTTATATCTCAAACCAATTTGAGTCCAATGATTTTGAAAGTTTTTCTTTGTGAGGATCAGATTGGAGTTAAACACACAAATGAATGCATTATTTATTACACTGTGGTAAGCTAGTTATCTGCAGTAATGGGATTTACCAAACAATTTTAAAGCAGTTCAGGCTAATGAGCAGCTGCTTGGAAGCTGAAGTGCAGTGGGCTATTTCATCCTTAAATATTTTGACAAGGAATGTAAATGTTTCAAATGTATAAACAGACCCAAAAACTCATCAGTGCCCACGGTGGCTATTTCTCCACTAATATTTAAGATTTACAGGTTGTCTTTGTTTGTTCTGGGGCAGGCTGGAGGAGAGTTTCAAGACATTGTTCTGGGCTATTTTTGGGCTTTCGGAGGTCAGATCTGTGGTCATCAACAACGGACATAAATTCATTGAGAACATTGGTTACGTCCTGTATGGTGTCTACAACGTCACCATGGTGATAGTGCTTCTCAACATGCTCATAGCGATGATCAATAGCTCCTTTCAAGAGATCGAGGTGAGACACAAATGTAATAATAATAATAATAACAATACATCAAACTTATAGAGCGCTTCTTTGGACACTCAAAGACGCTTATGCTGTATTCAAATGATAATACAGTTAAAAATAACAGTTTATTAAAAGTGTAAGATATGAAATCATTTTCCTGTAGAATGACGCAGATGTGGAGTGGAAGTTTGCTCGAGCCAAACTGTGGTTCTCGTACTTTGAGGAGGGCAGGACGCTGCCTGTTCCCTTCAACCTGGTGCCCAGTCCCAAGACTGCACTGGGTCTGGTGACATCGCTCCGATCTCTGGTTTTCCATCACATGTTCGGACACAGCGAGGAGAAGACGGAAACACAACTCAACCAGGTATCTATCACATGTTATCATTATACTAAATGTGAGGGAAAAACAAGGGAGAAACAGATTTAACACACTGCCAGTGTTAAAATAAAATAAAAACATACTAATGGTTTTACTTCTTATCCTCAGGAAAATGTGATTGAAAGCAACATTTTGCACAGTTTTGGCCACACAATAGTTTGATACAATGACGCTTCAGTTGTGGGGCATATAGGGAACACAATGTAAAATAATGATCTATTCTGTGGTAAAGCTTGATTCTGAAAACACCCACAAACCACTGTCTCCAATTAAGACATTTATTACTTTATTGCAACGTTTTATCTCTGTTTTCACATTTTACTTAATTATGATTCAACATGGTGTTTTTTGTCTTTTTTCTCCAGTATAACTTTTGTCAACATCAGGACTGTTCAAACATTTTACTTCAATGCATGCTCAAATACATAAAAGTGGAGCGCCGGGGACGGGAACATATATTTTCCAAAGGGTAAATAGAGCAGATATACAATATGGTTAGACATAGACAGGATTCAATATAGATTTCTTTAAGATGAGCATTTGGAATAAAATTCTCATCACTGATTGAGGCAACATGAGAAACATAGTTTGGACAAGCCTGGACAACAAGGAGATAACCACTCAGACCTGGGCGACATAGATTTACCAACATCTCTTTTAGTACAATCAAAATTCAACCTCAGAAGTTACACTCATGGAATAGACACGAGAAAATGCAGACCTTTAGCACCCCCTAGTGGTTGTGTCTGATGCTTTGTGTAATAAAAATATACATTTTGTTTTAGCTTGGAGACAGCAAATTGTCTGGATATAGTACTTCCTCAAGTCCAACGCGGTATCAGGTCTGAATAAAAATGTATCCCTGTTATTTGTTTCATTTATGTACAATGCAATAAAACAATCTAAATCGATTTATGTTTGAGCAGAAGATCATGAAGCGACTCATAAAACGCTATATCATCAAAGCGCAGGCCGACAGAGAGAGCGACGAGATCACTGAGGGTATTAAAACATTTGTGCTCAGTCAAATCAAAGTTATTCTTCTCATGCGTGTTTATTTACAGGAGAGCTGAAGGAGATAAAGCAGGATATCTCCAGTTTAAGATACGAGCTGCTGGAGGATAAATCTCTGAACATGGAAAACCTGGAAGGACTTCTGCAGAGACTGGCTCAGACTGGAGCTACATCTGCCTGACCCACAACTGAGAACATGTACAATATTTAAAGAGCAGAGAAAATGTGAATATAAATGAACCCCTTGCGCTTTATGGCGTACTATTTTTTTTAATGTAATATTTGTATTATTTGAGTCTGTAATAAAGTTTGATGACTCTTCACCGATGATAACTAGTTCTGTTTATTGACATCAATTCATCATTCTCATCATCAATTGGAATGCCTAGCTTTTTTGTTCAGGAAAAGTCCCACAGTCCATGTCTTTTACAGAAATTTGATGAGAAACAGACAAAAGCTGAGGAGATAGAGGACTCCTAAAATCAAGGACATAAATAATTTAATAGAAAAAGATGTAGGGAATGGCTTTTCTGTTCAGACCTGGATTCATGAGCTCATTAATTATGCAAGTCGTCTATGAGAAAAACTGAAGTGCAACCTGTTGTGTTCATTAACCAAAACTCCATGAAATAATAATATGGTTTATTTTGAGGCAGCAGATGTCAGATTCCAGAGCATTTCATTTATTTACAGACATTAATTTTCTTTTCTTTTTAGTAAATTTAAGTTTAGTAAATCAGGGACACAGTAGAGTAAAAGTCAGAATGATTGAAAAACAAATCCCAATATACATACACATGAATATACATGTTACATAGACCACAGTTTCTATCTATTTCATTAAATATAAATTACATCTTCAGTCAGCAGCTATTGTAGGAACTATCAATGATCCTAAAGTCTCTCCTTAAAATGTTGAAGTCAGTTAAATGTAAGAAATGTAGTTTTCAGGGATGAGACCAGTTCTTCCTTTGTACGTGGCCTGAAGCCAACCGGGCTCCACAGAAGGATACACTGAAAACGCACGCATCAAGTCAACACCAAGCCCCATGCAAAAGATAATACATTATTTATAAGTCAAAAAACAGAATTTTCTTTTACCATTTGTGAACAGTGCCCCCTGTGGGAAACTGAGCTCGTGGCTGTGCTCTGCCTCACATGAGTACAGAGCCTTAGCATCTCTGAATGAATGAAACAAAATAATATACAGTATATGAGGTACAAGCATATAGACAAAATAGTTAGTTTTGATGACATCGTAGACCTACCTTCCTGAAATGTCTAAGGCTGAAGAAAACACTGAACTTTCTCGCTGTGGAGATCGCACAGACAATCTGCAATAAAAGGGCAAGAAGGTCAAATCACTATTCAAAATCCAGTCAATGTTGTATGGAAATGGGGGTAGAGTTTATAAGAATTAAAAATAAGATTAACTTCACTTATAGAGTGTTATACTATAGTTTGAATACAATAGGTGGTGAGATGGGCAAGTAGGCTACCGTATGGATTGGTGGGAGTTGGTAAAGTCAAATTCCCCATTCAAAATCCACATATGAAAATGTATTATTATATTTAGTGAATTAATAATAATAATTATTAAATATTGAAAACTTGTTTGGGGCTGATCAGATATCTGGTGAGTGATGACCACAATATCTACATTTACATTTATGTTTTTAAGCTTCCATTGTGCTTTTTGGGCTGAAAACAACCATGCGGTGGATAGTTTGTAGTAAGAACGTAACCATATCACCATCATGCCTTCAAACTCTTGATAACTAGATTTTTTTAATGTGGAATTTTACTTCCTAAAACTGGAAGCTCCGCCCACTTTGCAAATCAATCAGGAGTAAATGTAATGCTGATTAGTGATGGCTTAAGGTGCTGGGATTTATGCAGTAAGCGGCTCAAAGTGAGTGCTCGAGGTCGGTAAACAAAAAATTCATATTACAATAATAAAAATATTTGAAAATGTTTACTTAATTTCTGGAGATTGTAAAAAACAAAAGACTGCAAATGCTACTTTTAATGTGGGTGGCTTCAGTTCAGCTAAAGCTCTGTCTTTTGCGTTACATGTCATGAATTACAATGACATTTTGACTCTGACTAACTGTCTTAAACTTGTTCCATGTGTTTGATCAGGATGTGCAGATGTTGCAGATGAGGAGCAGTCAGACTCACAGAGACCCAGGGCTCTGGTATCCGTTGCTGGCTGCAGAGAGTTTGTGACTCAGGTCCGAAGCACAGCGCATGTGGAGTTTACGTGTCACTTCCTGAGGGTCCAAGGACATGAGGCTCTGCACTGAACCATGGCAGCTTTTGTAATCTGTGCACAAGATAAAGACAATATTTATATTACCAAATATATTTCAACACTGAAGCAAATTATTTTCCTCGTGAATTTACATTTATTACATATTGAACATTATAAAGAATGTACTGAAAATAACTCTTAAGTTTTACACAAATATAACTCTTTAGTTTTACACAAGCTGGCATAGGAATTTCCCTGGTTTTGTGATCCTGTTTTGAGAATTGGGTACTCAACGATAGCATTTAAATAGGATTTTGGATATTTGTGCTAGAAAATAATAAGATTATATTAACTTCAGTTAATTCAATGTAGAATTTTATGAAGCAGAACTTGTTCTTGTTAAAAAATTGTAGCTCATTGTTGAAAATACCTATACTTAGATTATAACTGAGGTATCAAAAATTGTATTGAATATCAGGTCAATTGGGATTGACTAGTGTCGAACACTAACCCCCAATTTACCACAATCGTCTTTAGTTTAATCAACTTTTCAGTGTAATGGGCCTGACAATTTCTACTGTTTTAGAAACATGGGTGTAGAACGAGCGTAATTACTTTATACACCATCATGTATGATTAGGATGGATTCCTAGTTTTCTTTTTACACATCACTGTTACACCTCTGTGGGGAAGAGGGTGGTCTGGCGTAGAATGTGTGTCTGGTGTAAATTTGAATGCTATAAAATGTATGTATCTATCCCTATGTTACCCTTACGTTATGTCAGCGTAAATTGGGGGTTACTTGTGCGTACAGGTCTCAAAGACACACCTTCTGAAATGTGCAAAGACGTGAGCGAAGAGGATGTGGAGAGTCGATATGGAAACAGTGATGAAGAAGAGGATGAAGAGGAGGAGGTCCTGTGTGGTGTTGGAGCAGTTTCCTCTGTTACTTTAGTCTCTGTGCTGGCGGCGCGAGAAGAAGAGGCTCTGCGCACAGTGAGATGCTTTGGGGGGGGCTCTTGGTGGGACATTAGCGAGGACAGAGACGCAGTGGAGTTGCCTTTAGCTGAAAGAGTCCGGTCTGTGCTCGAGAACAGAGAGGAGACAGAGGAGACTGACGGGGTCTGCAGCTGGGACAGGCCGAGCTTGGAGGACGTCCAGGAGGAAGAGGACAAGGAGGACTGAGAGGAGGGCTTAGGAGGAGGCGGGCCCGGCTCTTTTGAGTCATTCTGGGAGCTGGAGGAAATGGCTTGAAGTGACAGGCCGGACTCAGCAGCAGGAGAGGAAGGAGGAGACGTCTGGGATTGTCCGTTTTTCTCGGAGGAGTGAGAGGACAGAGACTCCCTGCTGCCCATGGGAGTGGTGCTGGGGCTGCTGCTGAACGTGTCACCTGATGAAGAGACAGTGGTTAGTTTTAAAGCAAGTTCCTCGCACTAAAAAACAGTTTTCTCATGCATATATTTTTGCCCTCTGTCAAAATCTTAAAATCGACTTTTTCAAACAGAAATGTGAAAAAGAGAGAAGTGCCATCACTCAACTTTTGTTAATTTTTTAAAGGTAGTTATCTCAGCAGCAGGAATCTGCCTCACATCACTGTCAATGATCAGTCAGTGTAAACCTCTACTAAAGGATCTGCCATTGCTTCCTCCAGTACTGGACATAATTTACACAACACAAATAGTACAGTAGAATAAAAAAATCTGTCATTGATACAGTCAAATACAAAAAAGAAACAAAGAAAGACCAGCCGCTTGTTAAAAGCCAAAGAAAACAAATGCAAATTAAGTGAGCAATGTATATTATTTTGAGAGAAGCAAGCTAAAACGGCTGCAGTTCCTCAGTCTAAAACAGAACCCTGGTATTGAGTTTCAGTCTTACTGTCATTGTCCGCCAGGCACAGAGTTGGAGGGTAGAGACGAGCTTTTCTCTTCCCAGATGACAGACAGATGGCTTTACTTCTGCGAGGAGTGGAGCGCGAGGAAGGAGCCTGAGGCAGAGGCGCTGACAGGTCGGGAGGCTCACCAAAGATCTGACACAGAGAAGGAAGGAGTGTCAATTTATCTACAGAACTTTCAACCGAAGGCTGAGGAGTTTGAGGACTCACTTTGTTGCAGTTTTCAATAATAATTTCCACCACAATGTTCTGGAACTTGATGTTCATCATGGCGGCTACTGTTTCCTCCTGTGACCTCATCAGCGTGGGACCAAAGATCATGCCCAGATTCGAGACGGTCATCATGTTTTGTTCGCTGTGAGAGGAAACTCTGCAAAGCCCCAGTTTGACATCAGTCTGAGCAGTTTAATACATTCATATAACTGATGACAAGAAGTGAATTGTCTACCTGAGGAGGTGTTTGGCTAAAATCTCCAACATATTTCTGTTTTTCTCTGGCAGTTTGTGGACAAGGGTGTGTATGGCTCTCACTCTGTGTTTCAGGTCATCATACCCTGTTAGATAAGACAGAAGATTGGGTTTTTGATCTGGAAAGGGCTTTTACCTAACATTCAAACCAATGGAACAACCGACAAATCGAACTATGTAATGTAATGAAAGAGCTAGTTCTGAGCTCTTAATACAGTTTGGTTCTATCCCTAGTTCAAATGCAAGTCTTTTTTCTAAGCTTTCCGAAATGGGATGAAGGGAGGACCTGCGATTACTGTAAGATGACAGCACAAAGTGGTGTGATTTTTTTCCAAACTGATTTGTAATCCTACCCCAAACATGTACTTTTATAAGATTCTTTCTCTTCCTTTATGCTTCAATCTTGAAACAGCCAAAAAAATAACGCACACATAACTTTAGAATCTAGAACATTGTGTAACATAAATGGATCTTACTTGCAGCTTTAATAAAATCTTTATGGAGCCTGTATGTCAGTAGAGGCTCTGCCAAGCATCTGTAACATAAAAAGTAAATATGAGGCTGTGTCTTGAATATATTGTTCAAACAAATGCTTTCTCTTTTGTATCACCTGAAATAGTTCTTCAAACCACTCGTGATAGTTTTATTGTCCCAAGTCTCAGCATCCAGCTGCACGTCTGAGGCAGCTGTTGATGCTGGGGTAAAGTCATAAAAAATAATGTGGAAGATTAAATGTGTTGTAAATTAATAAATATTCACTTCATCACATTAAAAGATATGTTTTTCAAGAAACAGAGAAATCTCTTACAAAAAACACTGGTCATGAGTCGCTGTACTTTTGAGTTGACTCCTCCAGTTCGGTACAAGCCCAAGGTTGTAAGGCCTTCAACCACAACACAAACACACTATAGATAGCAGTTGACAAGATTATACTCATTTATAGATAAAAAAAAAAGTGCACTGTACCTCTTGATTCAACCAACTCAATACACTTTTTGGCAAAGTTGAAGCCAGCATCATTCAGAAATGCTGCATAAGAAAATACCAATTATCTAATGTGGATGAATGAAAGTGCTTTTTGTAGTAAAGAATAGTATTGACTTACTCTCCTCCTTTTTGCTGAGCAGAGAAGGTAGTGTGTAGATCTAAATGTATTGTAGAACATGTTAAAACAGTATAAATAGAAATTAATAAGAAAAACACAAAAGCACATGCTCATACCGGCTCTTTCCCATCCATTGCTTCCATCCAGAGCCGTCTGTTTGCTTCAGAGAGAGCTTGCAAAGTAATGACACCATGTCTAAAACAAGAGTTTAAAGTTTATTACAACTAGTTTACACAATATCATACGTTTTCCAGGTGAATAATGGAATAATAATAGTTTCCAACCTCTCCATCACTTCGATATCAAAACAGAATCGCTTGTCGATTGAGTCTGTTTTTCTTCTCACACATGAGCGTAACCTTAACATCTCTGCAGCCCCGTTCACCACACCGTTCTACAGAGATACACAGAAAGATGAACACAACGCATCTTTAAGGCTATTTTGTATTACTGTAGCTGTCTTTAAGTAATGAGGCACCTGTCTGTTGGATGGTCTGGGGTCTGGGCTGCCCATTGTGAACATCTTGGAGCTTTTCTCATAAGTGCAGTAGTACCTTGTCCACACGCTGCCTAAAGGACCTGGTCACACAAAAGATGAAGTTAAAAAAAACATTACATTTTCTTTGTTCATCGGGCATTCCGTACGTTTTTCTTGTAGGTACAGATATCCCTCCATAGTGTAAGGACTAGGCGCCTTGAAGTCTTCCTCTGCTGACCTGATCCTCTTCATCAGACGCTCCACCTCTGCGCGAGTGCTTTCAAAATTGTTCCGTGCCTAATTGATAATCATAGAAAGATAATAAGTTATCATCTATATTCATTTATAATATGCATTAATCCCATCAAATGTTGCTAATGAAAATGTAACCAAAACCAACTATAAAAAATAACCTTATACATTATTCACAAATGAAGTCCAAATCCTAAAAAGCCTTGATTAGTGTTGCTGTTGTAAAAAAACTACTTAAAATTTCAGATAAATTTCACAGAAAAATCAAATTAAGATCTTGAAATTCTATAATTGTATATTGTCCTTTTGTATTATTATTGTTGTGTGACCTGCCTCGGGACTATGGATGTAAATCAGCAGTTTTGCTACAATCTGGCACATTTACAATTTGTGTATAACTTGTATATGATTGTTCATTAATGTGTGTTGTCCGATCAAATAAATAAATAAAAAAAAAAAAAAAAAAAAATTGTGGATTCCTATTTCCTCCAATATTACCCAGTCCTTGGAAACGTATTCATTACTGAATCCGATTCTGGCTCGTGATCCCATGAAATACTGGATAAACATTAAAATGTGGTCTTACGTTCTGCAGGTTGAACTGCAGCTGCTGCTTGTAGGGGTCAAACTCACTGGCCAGCTCGTAGCCCTCGTGGTAAAACGTGAACAAGCCCTGGAGGAAGGCCAACAGCTGCAGAGATGTAGAGTTTTAATGTACATTTAACACATCATCATACGTCACAGAAATTAAAACACACAAACAGCAGCATAATTGGACTATCACTTTACACCATTGTTTATTGTTCTGTTCCACTATCTCTGAAGCCTGAGCGACAGAGAGTGCAGTGAGAGCAGGAAGAGCTACTGTAGAAACAGGAAGTGGGCTTTCCTGATCTGTGTAATTAAAATATTTTTTTCACTGGAGTGTAATCTGTGTTTTTCAGAAACTTGTGGTGAGGCAGCGTGTGTGTGATCGAGTCCGAACACGCTGAGTCATTACCACCCAGCTGCAATTGTCATTTAAATGTCAAATCATAGTTTACACAACTGAACTGCTCACTTCTGCTACCTGCGTGTTTCCACTCACCGGCTCAACAAACTCAAACTTCTTCCTCTCCTGGACCTCTTGGATTTTGAAGACATACTGCAGCGATGCATCATAAAAGATCTGCCGGTCTTTGCTCATCTGTGAATCAGCCTACAACAACAAAACACAACTTTAATTTTCTTTTCTTCATTTATAACTGTTCATAACACGCCCAATAGTTTACCTCATGTAGCTGTGATTCTTTCTTTTTAGATGAAAGACTCAAGTGTTTTTCTAAAACGGAGTAGTACCTTTCGGTCTCCTTGTCGAACTGTTTCTTTCCCTCCTTTGAGAGGAAAAAAATGAGTCAATTATTTTGGTTAATAAATGGAACACAATTTACCATAGACAAAGGCTTCTGCGTTTGTCATTTAAAACTATTTATTTCTTTACAAAAGGCAAAGGGCAACCAATTTCAACAAGATGTAATTCTCCAATAATAAACAACTTATAAAATACTTGATTTCATCAAGTATTATAATACTTTTTATTCATTATTACTATTTTAAAAGTAGTATCTAGTTTTTAGTATTGATTATTTATTGGAGTTTCAATATTTATATGAACAACTGAAGAAATTACTTGGTATAAATCCACTTTTCCAAGTTATTGTTATTAAACATTCTTAAGCAGCTTTTTTACTGATTAGTACTAATTGGCATGACTGAAGGGTTGAGTATAGGACCAGCTTTTGCTTATTTATATCTACACAATATCTTTAATGTGCGCAGCTGCTGAGCCCCACAGCAGCCTCACAGACCACTGCCACATTCTGCACATTTCCTCAGTCATCGCCGGGCAATTTCACTTTCAGCTTTATTAGTTCCCACTTCTATTTTTGTAACCTTTTGACTACAATGACTCCTTCAATATCTGCCTCATAGTTTCTGTCTACAAGAAGACCACAAAAAGAAGAAAAAAATGATTGGGAGACATGCCGCAGCTGCTGAAACAAGACACCATGTCATTTGTGTTTACACTGCCTCTGTGTGTCCAGCTATATGTCTGCAGAGAGCTCCTGTCCTCTCATTCCCATGACCTTGCTACACATACTGCAATCTGACCTATATCGTTAGTGGAAATAGCCCACGGCCAATTTAAATATTACCTTTTGATCTCAATGACAGTAGCTTAAACAAGTGCGCACTGGTCCACTGGTCATCTCAGTGAACTCACTTAATTGGTAGATTGTTACATCTACTTTTGAACCCAGACCACTTGACCAATCACATTACTGTATTTTACCTTGACTGCCCCGATTTGCTCTTTTCGAAACCTTTCCAGTGGCGAAATCAACACGTCATCTGCATTTTGAATCTGGCAATGAAAACAAAGTCGGTGAGTTTTGATAACTATTGAAATCCACACAAAACATTGACACAAACTAATAGTTGCAGGTTTGTATTCACTGATGTTCTGCTTGCTTAAAGCTGGTATACCTAACCTTTTACTCATAAATAATACATTTTGGTTTGTCCCAACAGAAATATTCTTGTAAAATGTCACAAATCAGACCAAAACATGCTTTGCCTATTTGTAAGAAAGAACCATGAGTCACTATTTGACTTTTTGTGACGGTTGGTTCTCTCCTTTTCACTTTTCTCTCTAAATAAATCTGATTTTACAGTGGCCAGACATACAAGCATGTGAAAACTAGAGATAGAGCCAAACTGTTTTGTGAGCGCGGAACTCGTTTGATGGATTTCTTTGGTTTTGAAAGTTAGGTACCCCAGCTTTAATAAGATCTTTTAGTAAACAGCTCCATAATGTCGTCATAGTAACCGGTTTTGTCCAAAGCCTACAGCAGCCAGTGCAGTTTCCTAATGAAAGCTGCAGCTGCTTTGAATCGCTTGAGCAGTAGCAGAGAACTTTACTGAATATTTTTAATGAGGCAAATAACTTCAGGCTAACATGGTCTTTCAAAACTAAACCAGCCTGGGCATTAAGCAGCATAAAGAAAGCCTAAAGATCAGAAAGGCAATGATGTGAGTCTTGTCAAGATAAAAGCTTGTGTGCTTGAATGCATTAGTCATTACAATGCACAGTTTGTTTGGATTAAAAATAGCACAAATGCGTCATCGTCAGAATTACAGAAAGTATTCAGCATTTCCCAAACGGCATTTTATAACAGAGGACAGAAAATATGGGAAACATGCAGAGGGTGTTGAGTTAATCTATCAAAAACTCTTTGTGTTTGCATTGGGTCTTTGTCCTCTTTAAGCATGGACTATAAAGTGTCTCTGTAACATCGCTCTGCGTTGATTCCAGCAAAAAACAAAAACAAACACAGATAGATATGTTGTAGGATAACAATAAATACACAATTAAACAATTATTACCTGAATTTTGGGCATTTTGTAATTTAATAATATTTCAGCTGTGGAGTATTGAATTTCTATGGATAATTATTGTATCATTCAGCTGCTTATTTCAGTCATGTGAAAGTAGGTTAAACATTATCATGATATTATCAATACATTATCTATTATTTTAGGACATTCCTTTTGTACAACTTCTACAAATGTCTAATCCAAATCAACAGAGAAGTGCTTTGTGTCTTTAGAATAATAGTCTTTTCAGTTTTAAAGAAGAGGCCAATTAGGGGGAAATGCCCTTTAACTCAATAATGACAGCATTATAAGGTGTTGAGTCAAAAAGGCTCTACTTCAACTGGAAAAGGGAAAGAGGAAAAGCACACACAGGGAGCCATTTACGGACTTTCCCAGGGCATTCACACAAGGGAAACGGCCGAATGAGTTCCACATGGTTCTTCTGTAACCAGACCGTGGATAGGCCCACAGCGCACACACCGACACAGAGTAATGTATATATGTGTGGTGCGCGGGCTCCTCTGAGCGCAGACGGCCGGGCCAGACTCTAGTTACTCCCACACAAATGTCTGCACTGAAGGGGCTTTTAGTCCAGAGGCAATTTTCCCCCGAATCACCATGGAGCACTCCACACTACGGCTGGAATGTGGCTTTACCTCCAAAAAGTGTGAATAAGAATGGTGAGAAAACCAAAGTGGGATTTGACAAATGAGAGGTACATTCAGATTTGGGGAAAGAAGTCGAAAAGTTGCGCAAAACCAAAAATTACTCTCTTGGAACAAGCAGGCAATCAGCCCACTTTGTGTGTAGTTAAAATTTGCAAATCTTGATGTAAAAGATTATTGAGTTTAATTACAAGTGGGTTCTGAAGAGAGTAAAAGTTTGACATGACATGACATGACTCCATTAAGACACATGAAAATAACATACAAAATTACTTAAAGGCTTAAATATCATGTGCTTCCGTCATTTAGGTTTAGTTATCTGAGCAAAATGCCTTTGATGATGTCAACAGTATACAAAATAATGCATATTTCTGACCATAGAACACTCAACAATTATACAGTTAGTACTATTCAATAATATATTTAAACTAGTTCCACACCTTTGAAAAATTAACGCCAGTGAGATTTACTGGAGAAGAAAAGTTAAGGAAATGAATTCATTTTGACCAATCAGGAAGCAGCGGGGGTAAGCATCTCCAGCGATAGTTTTTCCAAAGTCTTCAACAAGTACCTGATAATCCCTTCAACATAGAAGAATAATATAAACATTATTACCAGACGTTTTCTCTCCTCTTCCACTGTGCTCAAGAGCTGGGAAAACTCCTTCAAGGACTGAGCTGTTATCAAAAGAAAACAGTCAGTTAACAGTGAAGAATTCAACTTAAATCATGTTCATCAGAGGACACATCTGGGGGCCTCACCTATATTTATCTCATCATCGGTCTCAGCGTCTCCGATACACTCAAATTGAAACTCCTGCAGAGACTGGGAGAACCGCTGTACGGCCAGAGACAACGCTGAAATGGGAGAAATATGTTTATTAACAGGACTGATATGTCCCGTGAAAAACATAATATGGTAACTATTTGTACAGTGCCACTTTCAAATTGTGCTTCAATAGGGATTCAAAAGGTCCACACTCTCTCAAAACAAATAGTTCCGTGAATGATGAGCAGCTGTACACAATTTATATTTACTGATTAATATGTGATGACGGGGCTATAAATGGACTGTATATCTGTCAGAGGGGCTGCAGCATCAATGGCAAATGAATAGAGCAGCCAACCAATTCCAGTTGTAATTGGTATTTTACTTTTTTAATTCTCGGGTTTTGATGTGACCACAGTTTTGTGTGCTATAACTGTACACATGTGTTTCCATTAAAATCACCTGGGGATAATAAAGACGCTTTAAGTTGAACCAGAAATTGCTTATATTTAGGTAATTAATGTTTATGTTTTGAGGGAGCCTGTATGCATTTGTGTTTCTCAATAATACAGGAGACTATTGGTGAGCCTCATAGTCAAAGATTTTCCCCATTGTCCAATGAACTGATTCATTTGTAATATAGTTAAAAGTGTGTTTGAACATACAGTACATTTACATTTATACATCGCCTGTGCCGCCATAGTCTCTGCAGAAATTGCATCAAATTACAACTTTCTAAATAACAGAGAGGAAGGTACAACAGAGCACTGAGTTCACACACAAGAATCTCTTCAGTCAAAAGTTCATGGATGTAGTTAATAAAGAGGAAGTGGTTTTGTTGTGATAGACAGAGATGTGAACTTTAGCGCAGCTTTTTTGAGACTGACTGAACAAATAAGGAAATTGGATAAAGATTTTTTGTTTACACTCAAAGTTGTGACCATCTGAAAACCACATATAAGCAACACTTCAGGACAAATCCCATAAAAACAGCAATAAAAAGAAGGTATCATCGTTGATTACAAAGTGCAAAGTGTGATTCACATGAGGACTTTCACCACAAAGAAAAGCAGCAGGAGGTAATTTAACTGTTTCATAACAACTGTTACAGACAAAATGGTTTGTTTACATGTGCCATGCTTTTAAACACAGACGCCTCAAGAAATATTCCAACGATTATTAGCACTGAAATACCAAAACATTGATGTAAGAGCAAAATATGTGTATTAAAGTGGCGTGATGCCCTTTCATGGTGGTAGTGTGAAGATTGGTGAGTGTCGTGTTACGTTTAAGCTGGGGATGAATACAAGGAAAGTAAGAACATTGTTATGAGCTATGACGAAAGGGTTTTAAGGTATTTCTCAATAAGTTGTCAAGCAGACTTGCTGATTGGCATCACAGAGATTTTGGAATTAATATTTTTTTGAATATAATGTGCTTGACAAGTTCGGCCTAAAATCTTTGTTTCTTTTGACAAAGCAGTCAATTACTACCAATAAAACCAGTTTGTGTTTCCTGTTTCCATTTTATTGTATTTGAGCAGCGGGCAAACATAAATGCACTGTGCTCATAGGGCGTAGGAAGATGGACAGTATAAACTTAGGAGATCAGTCTAGTCTAGTAACATTCAATAACAAGTCTGAAATGTTTCCCCTTCCATTAAATAGCTTGGGATGAACATACGTAAGTTAAAATACAAGCAGGACAATATATAGCTCAGTCATGTGTGGAACAAGGTATGGCAAATTTGTTTCAAGAAAGACATGAGATCTTGGGTGTATAAGTTAGAAAAAGTTACTTATTTTGAACAGGTAATTATTACTTTTTCATCACTAATCTAAATCTTTTCATGTGAACAATGTGAACAAATTAAATAATAAACAGTGATATAAAATCAGTAGAGCAGTTGTTTATTCCATGATCTAACACAGTTCACTTTTACTGCTTCCACATATACTGCCATTGTGTCAATGAGCAAGACCCAACCCACCCACTCCTGTGTGTAAAGTGTGTGAAAGTGGTTCCTTGATCGTAGGGGAAAAGTTATATCTGAAAGAACTTTCAAAGAACAGAGCACCACAGTAATATTGACAAAAAAGAAGAATGCCATTAAGCTTCATTTGTAATCTGCACGGCACATTGAAAAATACATCTGATAACGGATGGAACAGCCGTTGACAATAAGCAAGATCCAACATGTGTTTCTTGGGTTGTTGTAGAAAGATGAACAGGTTTGTTGTCAAAGAAAAGAAGGCTCAGAGTGCATTGCTGTGCAGGGGCAACCTTTGAAACACCACAGAGACTTAAATGAATTTATGACTTTGTAATAGTCCTGTGCTGTTGGGCAAAGTGCCAGAGTTAGTTCAAGACAAAAGCTTACAAAAGGAGGTTACCATGTCTGTGGTTTGAGAGGAACTTTGTTACCACATTAAATGAGAGGTTTTGCACTTCTATAGTAATTAGGGCTTTCATACAAACACATTATTGTGAAGTTTCTAGGTCACATGTTGCATTAATGATGACAGATTATTAGAACTCATGTGCTGTGTATTTGTGCAAAAATACTGTCTGTCCTACAACTGCTATGACATATCTATACAGTATAACTACAATATTCATAGCATAACAACAATATTAATCATAGTGATAATAATAACACTAGCAAGCCCGTTATTGAACAGAACACCATTACAAGCCTTATGTTATACACATGTAGACAGCCATAAAGAGGTTGCACGAGTATATTCCTTACCTCTAAGTGCGGATATGAGCATGTTGCCATCTTTAATAAGGTCTTTTATGAATCGGTTGGTCCTGTCTAGCTCCACTTCATGGCACTGCAGTCTCTCTCTGAACTCCGGACTGTCTAGAAAAGAGTCGCTAAACTCTAAAGTAGGGAGACCCATCGATGAACAAACAGCTTTTAAATGTCAGGCAGAAGTTAAAGACGTCTCAAAGGGATGGGAGTGAGTCGAGTCTTGTTGAGCTCTGGGAAAAGTGTCCAATCTTTTTTTTCATGCCTTTTTCCTTTTTTCCCCCACGGAACTTCCGGACACTGGATACAGCAGCAGCTTATTGCAAAGTTTTAAAAGTGTCGTGTTTGTTCCGTTTTGCGACTATTTTTGAACACGACAGAAAAACAGCTGTAGTGGTCCTTCCGATTGCTGTTACCGCTGAAAAAAGTCAAAGTGGTCAATGAAGAGCAGAGTTTTTGCAGGAATCAAAGCCGTGCACGTCGCGACACACGTCATGACGCTCCTGCTAACCACTGCTCTCCGCGGTTACTATGGGGACGGGAGACTCCTGCTGGAGGGACATGCGTTATTATAGTTTTATTATAGTTATCTGCTCCTACTGTTACACAAACACATACGTGCAGTTTGAATTAAGGACCAACGTGTATAAAATATGTAGTAATTTCCAGCTAGTTTATCTTTTGACAAATGACTGAACAAATAATTAACTAACAATAATTATGATGGCTTTGAAATGGTATAATTAATTGAAGGGTAATACATGAAATAATGGGTAATGAACGTATCCATTTGTATTTTAGTTGTATTACTAGAAATAAAACATTTAGTGCCTGGGTGTGGCAAACCATAACCTACAAGATAGCAGTGAATATTTATCACTACTCACTCAGAATGGCAGCAATTACGGATCAAATATTTTTTACATAATTACTTGAATTTACGTTTGTTAAACATCTATTCATTTGAATTCAAAATGTAGGTGGTATTAATGATAAACACAACATTTTCATAGTATTGAGTGGCCAATTTGCTGACTAGCTCAGGTCAAAAGCTTGTTCTGTATAATAATAGATTTTCACCCACTTCACCGATTAGAGAACTACTGTTTTGTTGAGTGCTTTCTGGAAATGTTGCTATAATGGATTTCAAGATAGTAAACAAAACAAAAAAAATGTTAAAAAGTTGATCCTTTCCTATATTCTCCCTATGTAAAACTCAATATCCTGAAAAAGTACATAGATGGAAAGCCTTTCATGATACCAGTTAAAACACTGTTAACTAGAAACTACATCCATCTGTTACTCCTACTGTGACTTGTCTAACACTTTCAAACACAGCAAAAACAATTTAAGTATTTTATTCTGAAACTTGACAGGTTAAAACATGCAGTTTGCTGAAGAAGAAATATTGCTGTCAAAATGCCAAATAAGGCACAGTGCAGAACGCTCCAGGTAACCAACGCAGAGAAAGTATGTGATTTGTGACTAGCAAAAGGTCTAGAAAGAACAGTCTATGAAGAATGTGAAGAGGCTATGAATGTGATGATTGTTTCTTGATTTTGGTGGTCCAAAATTCATTTACAGGTGGGCCAGTTGTTTTATTGTCACAGTGAGGTCTGTGACGCCGACTTGTGTCACTTTCAAGAGAAGAAAAAAATGCTATGGCAACAGTAGTAAACATTCTCCTGACCATACTGTATACACAGCTTATACCATAGCGGACATAGACATCTGTAGAGCTCTTCACACCCAGGTAAAAAAATTTCAAATGAATTTTCAATGATGTTTAAAAGACATGTACAATTATTAAATGTAACTATTTTGAGATAAGATATTTAAAAAAATCAATGAGAGGAGAGGGTTTGTCACGGTTTTATGTATTCAGGTTTTTGTCTTGTTTTTTGATTTTCTGTAAATGTACATGTTTGTGTTGGATTTGATACCATCACACAGTAAACAATACAAAAAACAATATTGAATCTGACATACCAAGGTTTTTAATGTTGATGAGAGCTGAACAATTTTGTGATGCTTTTGACAAACATTGTCATTAAAAGGCTTTGAAGGTTCTTTTAATAAGACAAGAAAATAAAGAAAGCTAGTACTGCTTAATTACCTGATAATAAGCAGTACTATAGCTATTAAAAGAACCTTCAAAGCCTTAAACATAACAAGACAAAAGGAACTTTTTACATTTAATTGTCATTACAATTGTATGCAATTTATGATGGTTGGGGGTATCTTCAAAGTCAAAATTAACTCAAAAGGTCAGTAGAATAAAGTGTGAGGAAAAATGACAGACCTGACAAATAATTTAGAAAAAACAATTTCATTTTTTTCTTACTTTTTTTCTGATTGGCTTTTATCGGAGCTTCTGTACTTTGACAAATCATTATTTATTTCACACTGAACACAATTTATGATATCTTCACACTAATACACATTTGAAATGGGGTCTGATGAAGCAGATGCTATCACAACCCCCTCTCACCCATTCAACACACAATACAGTACGAAGAATCAACTACAATGGTAAATGTTTCACAAACCATTAAAATGACTAAACTTTTCATCAATGGAATGTTCTTTTCTCTATTTGTTATTTTAGAAAGCGTTAATGATGAACCAAGATCGTCGTCCAGACACAAGGGATAAAATTATTCTGGAACATTCAAAATCAAGGCTTCCTTTACATCCACGTGAGATTTTGCTACAACAAGTTCGGCCCTTTAGAGGAGAGCTCCCAGCCGTCGCAGGTTCCAGAAATAACATTTCTAGATAAGAACAACTAACTCAAAACGCTTACTTCATCACTGCTTTTCTAAGGATTTCTGCTGTATCCAGACAACCCTACTAAGATGAAAACTACAACACAGGAAGCATTCTGCTTCAGACCTCTCCAATTTCAGGACAAAGGCAAGGGTTTTTATGCATGAATTATTCTCTTTCTTTACTGTCTTTCCCTCTGTCCCTTCTGCCTCGGTCTTCACCTCGTTCTCTATCCCTTCTGCCCTCCCCTTTGCTTCCATAGTCTCTGTCAAATCTCTCTCTTGTCCCTGGTCTGTCCCAATTCCTCCATCCACCTCTATCAAACCCTGGCCCTACACCACCATCATTCAATATGCTAATAGGTTTTTGGAATGGTTTGTCTCTGCAATATATATATCTAATGCAATGTAGACTGAAATGTGCTGTTTCTTCGTCGCACAGGACAACAAATTGCTCAAAATAAACATCACCATCAGGAAATTCAACTAGTGGACACAGAGCTCAAAGATAACCAAAGTGATACCTCATCTTTGGAAATGCTAAATCAAGATCCAATTGATATGAAATCTCAGTATCAAAAGGATTTCCCTCCTCCAACATCTTGTCGCCGAAGAAGGACTCCAGCTTTGCCACAACCGGACAATATTGGCATCAACCCGGCATTCAGGTGGGCTGAACAGGCTTTCACATTGATAGATGTTGAGGTATATACTGTACTAACTGATGTGTTGGATTTACAGGATTGACTTCAGCACAGTTCAAAGAGAGACCTTTCCCAGTCGGCCAATTGGACGTTCAAATATTAAACATACCAATAAAAATCAATGATAAAGGAATCAATGATAAAGGAAAAAATGTCAAGAACTTGAAAGATTTATTAGAAAACCTTATAATGTGTTGTACTACTCCACTCCTTATAGGTTCACATAATTTACTGAACTAGTGGGAGTGAAAGCTGAGCAGTTTGTCCTTCAACCTTTTTCTGAATGCCTTCAGACAAACTCACACTGAGCAGAACAAAAACCACAGATGAGTCATGTATAAAACTTAAACCCTTTTATTGAAGACCGCAGAGAATAAAAGACTCCAGCCTTCATTGTGTTGTTTGGATTTTATCTGTGCCATAAGCCACGCTGTCCACAATTTAATGTTTGAGCAACTGGTACCGCTTTGCCTGATTTGTTTCACATGCCATGGGAGACCTTCATGTCAGCTAGTGACGACACCAACCTAAACCATGTTCTAGGCAAGACCTGGACAGGCAACCGAGTGAAGGAATGGATACAAAATTATATATTTAACATTGTATAATATATATATATATTAAATATATATATGTTAAATATATATATATATATATATAAAATATATATACACAGACCATCAAAAGAAAGCTCACGGAAAAAAACTTTTCATGGAAATAAAACATTTGGGTTGTTTTATTTAAAAAAAATATATAATGTTCAAAAAAAGATTGATAGATTAACTTATAACACTTGGGCAGTCTGTGTCGTGAGGTAGATCAATCAAAGGCATTTCTGTAGTATTCTGCCAAGTGGCTCCAAGTTTCTTCATTTTTAGTCGCCTAGTGATGTATTTAGTCGACCAGGAAGGTCCACAATAGCGTCCATTATCAGAAATTCTGTAATGTCTTTATGGAAAAATATATTCATTCTCATCTTCTTTCACTGTGCCTGCTCCTGTCTCGGTGTTCGCGGTCTCTGTCCTTTCGGTCTACTCCTCGGTCTCTTTCTTTACTGTCTTTCCCTCTGTCCCTTCTGCCCCGGTCTTCACCTCGTTCTCTATCCCTTCTGCCCTCCCCTTTGCTTCCATAGTCTCTGTCAAATCTCTCTCTTGTCCCTGGTCTGTCCCAATTCCTCCATCCACCTCTATCAAACCCTGGCCCTACACCACCATCATTCAATATGCTAATAGGTTTTTGGAATGGTTTGTCTCTGCCGCCAAACCGCAGCTGTCCAGACCACTTCTTTCCTCCTAGTCCCCCTCCTAAACGCCGTGGGACCCATCCTTTCAAGACCCTTTCTTGCTCCATGTCCACAAACACTTCATGTTGGTCCACCACAAGTTTGTCGCCGTCCCTCCATGCTCGACGCACGGCGCGCTCTTCCTTGTACTCAATGAAGGCGTAGCCCTTGGACACACCAGTCACAACATCACGCACAAGCCTCAGCCGCTGGATGTCCCCGAACTGTGAGAAAACCTCGCGGAGTTTATCCTCGGTGGTGGCAAGATTCAGACGAGCCACGAAGATGGTAAGCAGCGGATCTCCAACTACGCCCTTGTTCGGTTTGTAGCGAGCGACCATAGCCCGAAAGATCGCGCGGTCGTGGGGCTCTTCGTCCGTGGCATCGATACTCCCGGCTTTTAGAGGATCGTATTCCCGGCATATCGGACTCCAGCCACTCATGTTGAAAATATAAAGTATTATTCTTTTATTTCCTGTTGCACTGCTCTAAACTTGCTAGAGGAACTTGCCCAAAAATGGTGTTTACATTCCCTTATTCGAGTGCATAACTTTGTAACCTCCGGAGGGAACACAACACTGACAATGAAGGTTCCTAGTAGAGGTCCTGTTGTGAAACGCACGTTCTGGTTTCAAACTAAGTGAAATGGTGATATTGGTAACGCCAAATGGGGGGAAAAAAATGACATTAAATGAATTTATTAAAAACTATTTTTATATACAAAATACCAATCAAGAAAAAAATCTCAATCTTTAAATTGATGCCTTTTGACATGGATGTTCCCGACGTTCAAATATCTTTGAGTCAACAACTTTTAAATTGTACAGTGGGACAATAGTTCATAGAGCCATTACATATCCTCTACACTCCATTTGTAAGCTTCCTCTTGTACAGCCTTCTTGTCTGCCATCCTCGCATAGCGTTTCTGTTCGAATCCATTTGACCTGTAAGGAAAGCAACAGTCAAGATAAAAGTGCTTTTTTATTTATTTATAGAATTTTTAAAAAAGGGACTGAATGAAATGTTCTTTTTAAATTACATCCACAGCCTTTATATGTGCTCCCAGACAATAGGTAAATATGTACTAAACATATTTGACCTTTTCTGAACAAGATTAAAGCAAAGAATGATGTCTATAATACTTGTATGTATAACATGTTCAAAGAGATTATGAATTTATCAGACCACTAAGAGTGCAGATTACATATGTTTAATTTTGTATCAAGTATACCAATTCTAACACAATTTTAAAACACGATTACCTGTCTACTCCATCCCACCGATAACCAGGAAGAAGGTTGAAACGATTAGGTGGTGGTGCTGGGCCTTTGTATCGGGGTTTTTCTATTAAAAAAAATAAACAAAATCTAAATGTCGGTGTCTGTATTAGTAATGAAATCCGTACATCTTTCAGACTGTAAACATACCTTTAATGCCCTGTGATTTCAAATTTCGTTCCTTCTTGCGTCTGAGCATTGCAGCCATTGGATCTCCTTCTCGTTCTTGTTCCCTTAACATTTTGTCCAAATCTTCATCATCATGACGCCGAGCAAGAGGTTTTTGTGATTCATGCAAGGCATCCTCAAGTCTCTGTTGATGCATCTGACCCTGAACCAACCTGTAAACAGTTTGGAGACCTTACTTAGGATTGCAGATAATACAGCATTTAAAATACTGGCGTGTCAAAACACAGTTTACCCTCTTCCCCATTGAGCATATTTTTCATCCTTGGCTGCTTGTTCTCCCGCTTTCTTTTTATGTTCTTCTCTCTCGGTGTCTAAATCCCGCCGTTTTCCAGTCTTGTCTCGAAAAATGGTCTGAGCATTGCGAGATTCATCTACATAGATAGAAACATACATTATGGCTCAAGTAGACACAATCGTTGAAGAAAGCATCTTCAAACCTTCTAATGGTTGGTTGTTTTTGTCTCGGCGTCTGTTTTCTTCTTTCTCAATCCTCAGGACATCCACCGAAACAAGACCAGCCTGTCCACCAGAGAGCATTCTCTGGGCCTAAAAATACATATGCCATATATTTATGAATTTGTTAACATTCTTGAAAATCCAAATAACTGCTTTGTGGCTCACATGTGACTGTCCAGGCCTACGAGGAGGTGAAAGATCTTCATCTGAGCTCTGTCTACCGTGAGGTCGCTTTCGAGGTGGGGACTGATCAGAGTCTGAATCTTGTCTTGCTGTGGTTCTGCGTCTTGGTGGAGACTGGTCGGAGTCAGAAGCTTCTCTCTTTAAACTCTTTTTTCTTGGCGGTGATTGATCGGAGTCAGAGTCATGCCTCCTCCTGTCTGATGATGATTGATGATGTTTGGACAAATGTTTTTGACTTGAGATGGCCTTCCTCCTATTGGGCGAGGAATCTATAGAGTACAGCAAAAAGTTATTTTGAAAGGTTTTACATAACTAGTGATTAAGAGATTACAGTTTAACTAGACAAGCACACCTTTTTTGCTAGACTTTTCTGAACGTTGTCTTGAAGACGACCTATCTGGTGAGTCATGGCGACTTCTTCTTGGAGGAGAAGCATCAGCTGAGTCGTGGCGCACACGTCTTGGTGGAGAAGCATCAGGAGAGTCGTGGCGAACACGTCTCGGTGGTGAAATATCTGGAGAGTCATGACGTGTCCGACCTGATACAGGAGGCTCAGGGCATTCAGTCTCTTGTTCATTTGCATCATCCTCATTTTCATCAACTGAAAAGGAACCGTACATTTTAGCCACATGTTATAGTTTTATTATTAAAACTCCAGCCAATAAAATACCTCCAACGATTTTCCATCTATTACTGGATCTAAAGAGTTCAAGCTGTTTAATTTCTTCTGGTCGCTCATCAATCACTTCGGCAATCTGGTATATAAAAGATATGTATTATAAAAGAACCACTCTGATTAACTTCAACAACATAAACGTATTATTGAGGATTTAAGTCATCTTGGCTCCATTAAAGATGAGTAGGTGCTCAATCATTATTTCAATGGGTGAATAATAATTATAAACTATTTCTGGCGTTTATTACTTAGGACTTACCACGGGCTCTTCCTCCTCCTCAGCTTCTTCTTCCGCCTTCTCTTTAGCTTCTTTTGCAATTTGTCGCCAGTCTATGTCATCGTCTACTATTTTAAGCCTTTAAGATAGGATAATAAAGATTAAATTAAATTCTAAGTTCCATGGCTCGAACAGACTACCGCGTAGAGTTAGCATTAGCACAACAGCTAAGCTTCATCCCCAGCGGCACTCTAGACAACTTACCCTCTACCCTGTAGCTTGGGGCGCTTCTTTTTAGCGTTACCCTTCGACTTTTTTCCGTCTTCGCCAGATAAATAACGTTTGAGATACTCGGCTTTGGACAATTCCGTTGCCTTGTTTGTGCCCACGGAAGCCGCCATTTTTAATTTTTGGTCTACCTACGGGAAACGACGGGGGTAAAACTTAATTGACTACACAATGTTGTATGAAACGATACTGATGTTCCATGGTTTCAAGTTCTCTTTCATTTAATTTCAGAAGGAAGAAGACAGAGAAAAATGTGCTTCATTATTTTTATTTAAAAATGTATCATGATCAACAAACGTACTCATCAGTCTTTTCTCCTTATTTCTAAAGTATCCATGTATCTTAAGTAAATATAAATCCCCACAAGGCCAACGTTTTATTCTTATTCTAAGACACACATCGATTTCAACTAGGCCTACACGGTATGCTTACAGCAAATTAATAGTGTGATGTATGCAGATAAAATTGTCCTGAAATTGTGAGACTATCTTAAAATCCAGTTTGAAACTGTTGTTTAGCTGTGCATACAAATTCTTCTTTTGCCTAGCACTATGCTTCATGATTTTAAAGTTTATTTTATTTTATTTAAAGTACCTTGAGTTGCCTTAATTCTGTATGAATCGTGCTCTACAAATTAAATGCCCTTGTCTTGGCAAAAAGGCAGATGAATATCATGTTGGTGCTGTTATTTCATGTTGTGTAAATTATTTGATGTAGGCTAATATGTAAATCTAAGTATATTATGTCCCTATCAAATGCAATAAAAATGAATAGGCAAAAAGCATCTTAATAGTAGATATGCTGCAGGAAGATGAGGAGACCCATCGCCCAGATGCAGGAAGTCTTCCAAATAACAGCTGAACAAGGTAACAGCAAATCTGTGAAGAAAATCAAAACTAATATTATGCAGTTGAAGCGCAAATTCAGACTGGAAGACAGGGAGACCTGGTGCCCTGCCACACTCCCTCTACTCCACACATGCGCTGAGCTCATGAGCCTCAGCTATACAGTCACACACCTGTGCTCATCAGCATCACTTCACGGCTGCATTCTCAGAGCTGCTATAGTACAGCAACCCACCTCCTCCCCATCACTGCATATTCATTCATTGTGTTATCAACTCAGCTTCCTTTGCCACCATAGGGTCTAGGCCCTGGAGAGTTTGCAAGCTCATAAACTATTCAAACCCCTCTATACATACAGTAATTCTGACAGGGTTTAATTGCCAAATTTAATGTTCAAATGCAATAAATAGATTTGTACCTCATCGTGCGTCTTCCGGGTCTAATTGTTATGATCATTCCAGACTTCCAGATTGAAATGGCAAATTAATGTCAATACCTTTTTCTATGGTGATGGTGGCAGAATTCCCAGAGATCTTGCACATGTATGTTGTGTTGTGTGGGAGCGTATCTGTGTAGCCAGTCATTGTCAACCGATATCCCTGAGGCTCCAACTCTTCGACGTAGCTTTTGTCCCTAAACTGGGATTCAGATGCTGCTCCGGAAACGTTGGTGTTAATCACTGCCTCTTTGCTGCCGGACGACCAGGAAAACTCATAACTGTTAATGCGACTGGGCTTGGGTTCCACCATGCAGTCAACTCGAAGGTCCCTGTCGTCCTCAATGCACACCGAGATTAGGTCAGACTTGGCTGGGATAGAAAACACTGTGATGACAATTAAAATACACAGTCAATAAAAATGCATTTAAAATATTTTTTAAAGTTCATTGGAAAAAAGACAATATAGGGAAAACTTCATGTACATATAAAAAAGTAAATAATAAAACACAAAATAGACAATAAATTACATAATAATAACGTAACATGGTATGATTAGCAATAAGTAAAGGTGCATTACCAGCTTGTGGCCAGGTTACAATGATATATTATGGTTTATTATTAAAATAAAATAAGAAAAAAGTCTGTAAAAACACCAACCTCCCAGCAATCCGAAGAAAAGCAGTGATTTGATCATTGTGATCTGTGTTTAAGACAAAATACAAATATAAAAAACTTTGCAATGAAAACAATGACACGTGCCCTTACAAATAGATACATTAGCAGAGAAAATACACAGCAGTATTAGATGCGTCACTTATTAGCAAAGCACTAATCAAAGCCGGTTACACCCTGAACATGTTTTCTGCAAGTCATTCTGTTCTCCTTGTGCAGCTACCTGCGGTCAGAGCTGGTCCTGGAGGATGAGGCTCTTCTCAGCTGCGTAGCAAAATGCCGATGGAAGGTTCAGAACAGCGGCTCCGCAGAGCATCACTTGTGGGATGATTTGAGGGAGAAACGTGCGGAGAGGCGGAGGTGGGATGTGGCTGGTGTGGATACTGCTGATGGGCTGTTCTCCTCTGCAGAGTCTGACGGGACCATGGACGGGACAGCTGAGCCTGGCAGACAGCACGTGCTCCGACAAAACACACGTCATCATTTTAGCCACTGGCACCCGCTTATTTGTCTCCCTCACCTTGAACGGCATTCGATGATGCTGTATGGTGTTCCTCCGTAAGCACACCAATCTGAAATACATTATCATGCCGATTGTTCATGTGGCTATTTATAGAGTTTACCACCACCAATGTCACAGAATGTTGCTCGAGAACATTTTTAGCGAAGTCAGACAAATTATATATTTACAGTATAGCCACATAGACTGTTTATGGCACATCTTTGCCGCCACCTAGTGGTCACCGTAAGTAAGTTGTATCTGAGGAAATCAATATGAGAGTCAACATCACCTTATTATCATAGAGCCATGGTCATCACAGGTGTAGCCCATGCTGTATAATATCAGTGTAGTCTGGCCTAGCCTGGCTTTAGCCATCCGTAAACTGCAGTCAATAATTATTTCCCTACGAAATGAAATTTGTACGATGGTGTGGTAAGACGAGGCTATCACAGGTGCAACTTTTAAATAGTTTTTAATAGTTTTAAGACAGAAATATTTCCTATTAAATGTATATGCTTCGACAAAGACAAGGAAGAATGACACTTGACATCACAAAGAGGTCTACTTCAAATATGCATAAAAGGCCTACATTCTGCAGCCTTTAGGGCAGCACAACAAATATTCAAACCTCCTTTTTGCTGTGATAACGATAATATCCAGGCCTTAGTCATAAACCCCGGTCAATTATTGTTTCCCTACAATGAAACAAGTACGATGGCATGATAAGACCAGGCTATATAACGATAAAGGTTTATGTTCAAATATTTTGACAGTCAGGAACAATTCATTTGCTTTCTTTGTTCCATTGGTGCCAACGTGAGAGCTGAGGGATTTGGACACTATAATGACCCAAACTCGAACGCCCCCCGTCCATTGGGGCAGTTGTTTTAAAATAGCCTGACAGAGCCTTTCCTCTCTTTGGGGCAGACAGCTCTCTCGGTGACAGCTAGTTGTCAGTCGGCATGAGGGGAAGGCTATCTGGGAAATAATCTGCCCACGCGTTAAGCGGCTTTATACCCGTCAAGTCTCAAGCGGACAGAGACTGCACCCTCACAGAGGGGGTCCGATTCCGAGCCGGTGACGAGAAAGTGGAGGGGTGCGAGGTCCGCTAGTTTGGCACATAGTGCGCACAGAGAGGTGGCGCATCTATGGATGAGAGCGGACCCTGAGCAGCAGCACATTCAAAAGCGCACAGTGCACGGGAATTCAGTTCACAACACGGGACAAGTGAAGGAGGCTCGGCCATGGAAAACAAACGATGGATTTTAATAATGGGGATTTGCCTCATTTCAGGTATGCGCTGAATCACTGCCTTTTGGAATTATTTTTTACTGCAGTGAGATTTAGTAGTCGATGGTATTACCCATTTTTGTGATTAGTTGCATGAAAACTGAAAACAAATGTTTGTGTTGTTTCAGCAGGTTACAGACACTTTAGTTAGGTCTAATTCTTTTCGGCTAATCTGGAGAACGTGTTTATAAATCACTGACAAACAACATGGAGCTAATGCACTTTTTAGAAGATATAATATAGTTTTATGTTGTAGGTTTCCATATCAGTTGGAGGGCAGATGCCAATAAAACTATATGAGAACAAGCCAATTTTTAAAATCTAGAATATTATTCTTATGTCTGAAAGTTCCTTATTGGTCACTGGTAACCTTTATATAGTATATACTGCAGAATATGTGTAACTTTGTATCATGTGGATTCCCCTGAGATTACAGGGAAATATGCCACAAGGAGTTTGAATTTTGACAGATAAAATAAGAACCCTTTCAAACTATGTTTCAGCTGCCCTCTTAGATTATTTGGAATGTTGTGATGTCACATGAACAAAGTGGATAGTGGAAATTAACACCAACCACACTCTACAAAGTTTAAATATAGAAGTAATTTAGATATTTAATCCAATTGAAATACTGTAAATGTGTACCGTAGTATACTGTAGAATGTAATAAAAAAGACAAATACAAATATACAGACTATATGCACATAATAGAGGTGATAAAATACTGAAAACATTGTTATTTCATGCTTGTTGTTTTCCAGATAAGCAAATCTTGACACTCAAATTGATGCTTATAGGAGGAAGACCACAACAAGTAATGATGTTAAAAAAAATCATTACATGTTGTATGTATTGTTGTGGTAAATACAGTACAGAGACATTATCTTTGTCCATCCCACTTTACTATTAAAGTAGCTATTTATGGCATTACCCTTTCGTAGAAAACGGAGTACAGTGGTGACAGATGCAGGCACAAATCCCCTTTTTGAAGTCAGCAGGTCCTTCAGAGTATTTTGAACACAATCAGGTTTACATTATATGAATTGAATTTGAATTGTTAAGCAGGTGTTTTCTTCAGCCCTGATGTGACCTGTACATTTTGCTTCCACCTCAGTCCATTGTGTGAAAGAATGACGGAAGCTATTGTCCAGAGTGAACAGGTGCAGAGCTGATTACTCGAACATCCTACAGCTGCTGGAATATAAGAGACAAGAAAAAAACAATGGTTTAGATGTGTGAATTGTAGGAATGCCTAGATGTCTTTGTTTGTTTATAATGTATTATTTAAAACAATCTGTTCTATCCACTTCCCTATCTTTCCCCCTGGGGCAGTTGACCAGTAGCACCCATAGGACATTTTCAATATTGCCAAAAGCAAAAAAAAGAGGAGATATTATTCATATTAAAACTAGTATAAGAACTTGATTTAAGTGTGAAAATAAATCATCCATCCTTCCATCATTACAAAGCGCTTTGGGTGACTTGGTCTTTAAAATGCACTATATGAATAAAGTAACATTACTCTAGTTTTAAAAAGAGTTTGATCATAGAAAAACAGTTTGAGTGAGCATGGTCTTTGAAGTGTTTAACCCTTGTGGTACCATAAAAAGTACTCGTATTATCTTTACCAAAATGTATAAATTAAAGCATCACTGTGGTTTTGAAATTGGTTATCGACTATCAGGTTGTTTAAAATATAAGTATTATGACACCATAACTTTACTGCAAGGAGTATTTAGAGGATTAGAATATCATGGACTTTTGGTGCATTAACTAATATGCATTGCGTAACATCTGTCTATACATTTTCCTCTTGCTCAGATGTGGTCCTAGATTATAAAATGAATCTTGTTAATTGCCCAGTCCTGATTTTTGCCCTGTTTATTTGAATAATGTGGTGTTTGAGCCATTTGAGAAGAGCTTTACAGTGGCCAACACATATAGTGACATGTGTTGATCCTGGGACATCTGCTGTGATTGCTGTGTTTAGCCAGAGTTAAACCAGATTCTTTGATGGGTCCATAGTAATTTTCCTCTGTGCATACGTGTTGAGAGTGGGATTGCCATGTTGCCGGGGATTAACAGTGCGCTGGTGGCAGGAAGGGTGTAACGACATGATTACTGCCAAGCTCCAGCAGCCTACTCACTGTCGCTACTGTAAAAAGAAATACATTTGGAAATGCTGCCCCCTAAGACGCCCCCAAAACTGTCAAAGAGTAGAAAGGATTAAAGGTATAAAATTGCCTTTACAGTGCCATGGGAAAAGTTTCACTGAGCTGTGAAAAAATCTTTTCTTTTCAAAACAGCAGAATATTGAACTAATGATAAACTTTAAAGCAGTCACATACCCAACTTAAAACTTATAGTGAATAAAAACTATGAATAGTAGGGATTTACTAGGTACTAAAATACTTGCTGTTGTGTTATTCAGATTTTTGAACAGTCAGTAAATATAGATCATTTAAACCTTCAAGCACTGCTATTTAAATGTTTACTAAGAGTGTGTAAAAATCTGATACACATGGGCACACACAGACTGGAATCGATTTTTGTTATGTATGTTCAGCAAATTTCCCCAATGATCACTGATAATCCAATATCTGATCTAACTAAAACCCTTTCATTTCAACATTCTTGAGATACCCAAATGTATTGTACAATCTCATCCTAAAAGGCCAAAAAAAAGTCTAACAAAAAGAGCTATTGGGCACTAAAGCTTTGTTTTTGCAGAGGTCTTTACACTGCAGATTATGTTTGTATTGATTTAATTTCAATTTCTTCATTAAGTATTTTGCCGTTCTTTTTCAACAATATAACACTCCACTTTACAAACTTTGAAATAAATGAGAGTGGAACAGCCAGAAAGACATCCACTTGAATTTGACCATAATCCAGCAGAGTCCACAGCTGGAGGCCAAACACAAACTCGCTGATGCAGAAATAATCCTGGGACGCACATCACAAACAAACCGGCCTTCTGTCCCTTCTAAGCTTTTTGTCTCCATGTCCCTTGGGAGAATTGGCCTAACATTTGAACCTCTGAGTGGATCTTATTCATATTTGTTTGAATAACTCGTCCGTCTTTGCAACCACAAATGCAGTGGGGGATATTGTAATCCAAGAGCTAGATTTTGAATGGGAGCCAAGTTACAAGATGCAGACCACGTTTCTATGGGAGATTACAAACTACAATAACAACAGATGATGTAATAGTAAAGAGAGTGCCCCAGAATGATGCAACAGAAATGTAGTTTGGGGGTAAAATGTCTCTCTTCAAGACCTTTTTACCCTATAATGGAAGAGGAACTATTCATCCTGGCTGTTGTCAAGTTGATTTCAATTGAGAACTTACAACATGTCACTCACAAAACACTATATTGAGAGAGCCGCACTGAACTAAGTCAAAGATTTTTAATTTATTCTTTTTTTTAGCGCCAATAGTAAGTTAGAGTTCAGTCTTATACGTGAATATGTTTGACCTTCTTTAGATATAGTGCCTATGTTCAAAAACTGGATCAGGATTACAAGTTAAACAATGCGTCAAAATCTATAATAAAAATGAAGATCCTATTAAAGCATCTTCTCTATAATCTTTTGTTAATCATTTGCTTTTTGATTACACTTCTTTATATTACATAAAGAAGAGACACCCAGAGTAAATACAAGGCGATCTGTGTATAATCCCAGATCAATCACAGATTAACCAGTTAATCTGCCCTCTTTATCTGTTCCTCTGATTTAATCAAGTTTTCTTTTTCAGACTATGAACATGATAAATTAATCAATTTATTTGTAGAGCACAAGGTAACACACATGCTTCACACATAAAGGCATTTTATCATAAACAATAAATTCACATACGGCTTGAAAAACAAGCACAAAGACCGCACTGGAAAATTACAGAAAATTGACCCTGCAGTCTTTAGTTTATATTAACATTGTATAAACTGAAATTAGAAGATTCATGCATGATATCCTCAAATGTGCCCCTTTCAAGACCTTTGTATAAAGGTCCATTTATCTTTTAACAGTTTTAACTAACTGTGCTTTTTTTCACGCTCATTCTTGAATGGTCATTCCGTCTTCCAAAGTGAAATCTGCATTTGTTTATACATGCATTGTGTTGTTCAAATGACTCATCACTATGTTTGAATGAAGCAGGACATCCGTTAAAAAAGCCCCCTCATGTTGTGATGCACTGGCTGCTCCCGTCGGCCGTAGGACAAAGTGGCCATTGTCTCATGTTCCCATGCCCTTTTTCCTGCCCATGTGCTGCTATTTAAGCATTATCTTACTGTGACGTGATGAGGTCATTTCCCATACAGCGAACAATAGAGGAATACAGCTCCCTCAAAGAGAAAAAGAAGGTCGAGAGAAATGCAGGCCGGAGGTGATGATTTCTACGTTTAATTTATTGATTTAATGCTTCCTTATATTACAACATGAGAGTCACTAAATGATCAAATGCAAAAGCACACTGGCTGCCAGAAGGAGTCACCAGCTGGGGCCCTCACTATTTCCAAGAGAGGAAAAAGGTGAAAAAAATGTGGCTTAGAAAGAAGCATGTAACACTATGTATAATTTAAGGGAAGAAAAAAAGTACATAAAACCAAAATGCAAAAGTAATATGTGTATTAAGCATATAGACCTAACCACCCTCATTTAAAAGCACCACCTAAAAAGTGCTCTATGAGATGTAAGACGTTTACATTTTTGAGTTGACAAACTTGCACCAGTGATGAAGCTAGTACATGAGAGAAGCCTAGCTCTATTGAAGAAGATGACAAAGTCTGGGATTGCGTCTTTAATTCAGACAGAAGACATGTTTTATTGTCGATGGTAGAGACAGCACGAACAACACGAACAACAGAATGCAAGTGTATTATACAGAGCGGAGGCATGGAGACCTCCAATCAGCAGCTTCCACGGTGTGCTTGTAGCTTGGCCTTCAGATAGACAAAACAAGGGAAAAGTACTGGCTTCTGCACATTGATAGAATGATGAGTATAACTTTAACAAAAGTTGCTTAAAAGTGTTATGAAATCTCACATTCCCCCCTCTGGTCACACATTCCTGTGTGACCATCAGGATTGATAAACAGCAACATAACATCATAACTCAATACTTAAACTCGGTACTTCACTCGGTACTTCAAAAAACTCAGAACTCGGAATACTTCAAAAACTCAGAAAACTCATAAAACATGTTCAGATCTTTCAGAAAACTTGTCAACAATCTTCAGTAAAATACCAAACTTCATCAGTCGATGGTGGTTCCAGATATTGCTTTGAAAACAGTCTCTCCCACTTCTCCGTTTTGATTTCTTCAGGCTGCATTTGTTGTGTCAAGCCTTGAATTCTTCTGTGACGTGTCTTTCAATGACACGTTTCAGCTTCAGTGTCCAGATTCAGAAATCCAATTAAGTCCAAATTATGTCCAAATTCAGATATCCAATTGTTCCAAATGATGTCCAAATTGTGTAATCCAATTGTTCCAAATCATGTCCATGCAAAAGAGGACGATGGTGTTGCTCATGTCTCAGCAGCTCACAGCCTGACTGGAATCAGGGGCTGTGCAGATTGTCCAAGTGTGCTGGTCCAGATGCATGGTTTTCTGAGATTTCATAACACTTTTAAGCAACTTTTGTTAAACTTAAACTCATCATTCTATCAATGTGCAGAAGCCAGTACTTTTCCCTTGTTTTGTCTATCTGAAAGCCAAGCTACATGGCACCGTGGAAGCTGCTGATTGGAGGTCTCCATGCCTCCGCTCTGTATAATACACTTGCATTCTGTTGTTCGTGTGCTTTGTTCGTGCTGTCTCTACCATCAACAATAAAACATGTCTTCTGTCTGAATTTATGACACGATCCCAGACATGTCATCTTCATCAGTTTCTCTTGAGGTTTCTCAGTTTTGGCTTGAAAAAAAACAAACACATTTTTGTGTAAAAAAAAAAGTCTTGTTCTGTAGATGTTACAGACAATGCCCGCATCCTTCCACCACCTGAAGAAGATGACATAGTCTGGGATCGCGTCTTTCATTCAAAAGTCAAGACATGGTTTTATAGTCATTGTTACGTCACACATCGAAAGACGTACGTGTCACACAGAGACAGTGCACATCACAGTCAAAATAATCAGTGTCCTTGTAGAGTCCTGCACGTAGGCCATATTGCTATCTAATCCTAACACAATAGATATACATATATATATATATATATATATAGCAGGAAGACAGACATTTTTGATTTTCCCAGTCTTTCTGCTTTAAGTTTAGTATGCTTAGAAAAAGGTTGTGCCCTCTGCCGCATCTAGTATGTGTGATAGAAGGTTATGAGGAAAAAAAAATCAATGACGCTACCCATTTAACATTAAAATACTCAATACTACGCCATTTAAATATGAAGAGCCCCCCTGGCTATAGATCATAGTTACACTGTAACATCCATCCTCTGCTGTTAGAGTCAGTGCGGTCAGCTCCTAAGGCTCGTAATTATGCAGGGATAAAACATGGATGTACAACAGGAGAATAACCATTGCAGATACTGCCTCTCACATTTTCTATTAGGGAAAAACAAAGGCTCACTGAGTTATTGTTGTTTTTCCGTTCTGACCAAAACAAAAGTATTATTGAAACAATGTAACATTTACATAATTATTACATATTTTATGCAAGCTTAGAAAACAACCAAATCTTGTTTTGGAGCTCAACAGTTTCCCCCGGGGAAGATGACCCAGGACGTCACATTTGTTTGTGTTTACTGAGGCATTAATGAGAATTAGAGCAACCACTGTTGCGACTAATTTCAAAAAAATAAATCTAAAATTGAATTTAGCTTGAAGTACAGCGGTGAACTGACTCATTTTCAGTAGTATCTGCATAATTTTCATATCTCACCTACTGTATGATGGGCATTTTATTTTTTGTTAACTTGTATGTATACATTTGCAATCCCCACTAAATGGAAATAATTGAATGTCTGTGACTGTCCTGCATAAGGTGTAGGTACAGTTCACTGCAAATGTAACAGTAGTAGCAGTAATGGTATTAGCATCACTTCCCAAATATTTTCTACCATGGTTGTTGACCTCTCACAAGCTCAACCTCCACAAATTAACCCCACAGCAAAGTGGATTTACTGAAGGAGATGATCAAGTCAAGTCGTGTGCGTATTTATATCTTCCTTTAAGCCGTCACCTCTGACCACACTTCACCTCTCACTCCCATGAACCATATCATGTTTGACAGTTGACAGCTTGTGAAGCAGGAACTTTGCCAAGTAACAATTGACTATACATTTATGTATATTATGGATATTATGATACACATAAATATCTATATATATATATATATATATATATATATATATATATATATATATATATATATATATATATAGTTAACAAAATAATAATCAAATCAACTAAATGCTGAACTACAATAAACAAATACTGCACAGTAACAACCAGCTAAAACATTGTGAAAAGTGTATCTTATGCACCTGTTGCTCACATTATGGAAACATTTTGACTTCCAAAAATGACTTCAATATAACTTTCTGGAAGATTGTTCTGGACAAAATGACAACGGTGATCAAAATTGAACCTAAACTGGACTAAAGGTCAACTGGCAAATTAATTTAATGTTATTAAACTGCTGCTGGTTGCATTCTGGTATTAGCCTCTTACCATCTGAGTGACGACCAAGAGCACTGGTACTGTGTACTAGATTAAGATTAAGAAATCCTGTATCCATCCCACAGTGGGGAAAATTCAGTGTTGCTTCACAAATTACAGAACAGTAGGAATGTGGAGCACACAAAATAGGATAACTCTAATGCAAGAAATATATATTTATATGCACACAGAATTATGTAATACCCTCTATTGGGAGAATATTGAGGTTGTAAGTAGCTCTGTGGGTTCAGTGAAACTACTGTACATGTTACTGACAAGTTGAGTTTTAACCAAAAAGTTCTATTTTGGTTTTATCTGATCATAGGACATTCTCCAAATGCTCTCTAATGAACTTCAGATGGGCCTGAACATGTACTGAATTCAGGGGGACACGTCTGGCACTGCCTCCAAAGAACACTATACCTACTATGAAGCATGGGGGTGGAAACATCAGGCTTTTGGGCTTTTTCCCTTTTTTTTACTGCAAAAGAGATCAGGACCATTGATCCGTGTAAAGGGAAGCATGAATGAGGAGAGAGAGATTTTGAGCCAAATCTTCCTCTCATCAGCAAGGGCATGATGATGAGACGTGGCTGGGACTTTCAGCATGATAATTATCCCAAACACACTGCCCGGTTTACAAAGAAGTGGCTTTATATGAAGAATTCAATTTCCTGGTCTCCAGATCTAAAACTTATATAGAAAATCTTGGGAGGGCGATGAAAGTCTGTGTAGCTCAGTGACACCCTCAAAACATCACTGCTTTAAAGAGATCAGCATGGAGGAATGGGCCAAAATATCAACAATATGTGAAAACCTTGGGAAGACTTACAGAAAAGGGTATATAACAAAGTATTGAGATGGACTTTTGTTGTTGACTAAATAATTATTCCCCACCATAATTTGCAAATAAACTCTTTAAAAATCATCACTCATGTTGCTCTCAAAATTTTGTTTTCTAATTTTGACTCTATTTTACTGACATCTCTCACATAGGGGCGACAGTGGCTCAGTTGGTAGAGCCTTTGGGCCTGAAGGTCATGGGTTCGAGCCCACCATGAGACCTACTTCACGACTCCCACTGTTGTCTGCTGTCGTTGTGTCCTTGGGCAAGACACTTAACCCCACTTAGCCTGAAGCCCCCGCTGAAAGATCAGGGCCCCTGTGGACTCACTACCTGCAGGAGGATCAGTGAGGGGCTGGTGCTCTGTGTACTGGGTGTAGCTCTGACTGCCACCCCCCCGACCCAGAAATGGATTAAGGGGAAGAAAATGGATGGATGGATGGATCTCTCATATTTTAAAATTGACTTGCACAATTGGTGACTGACAAAATGCTTTTTTGCGCCGCCATGTTGCCACAGTGCCGAGAGGCATACTGACATTCACTCACAAAATAGTAGTACATATCTTTTCTTAATCCACAGGAGTGCAGGCACAGAGAGTGGAGATGGAAGAAGAAAAGTCAGGGTTTGTGGGATCCAAGGTGGAGCTGCGCTGTCGCTTCATCAACAGCTCTCCCCCAGTCAAAATCTCACAGGTAACTGCAACTACAAACACACTTCTGCGCTTTACTGGAACCCTGCGGCTTATATAGTGATGTGATTCTCGGCCCCCACTACCCCCCTCCTCCTCCTCCTTACCAGCACCGGGTGAGTACTGTGGTGCAAACACTGACCCCTGTCCGTCTGGCAGTGTAACGACAGTCCTGCCACTGAACTGTGCTGACTCAGTTATGCATCTGGAACCTAACAAAGTACAACAGAGTTCACTTTTTAAACCAATAGAGACTGTGTGTGTTTCTCGCACCAGCTCAGAAATGTGTTTTAACTTGAATAAACACAAATTTAAAAGAAGGACAGCAGTTAGACGGTCCAACTCTGGAAATCTAATTCCAGTTCTTTGTAATCAATCAACTAAACCCATTGACACTGATATTAATTTTAACCTTGCTCTACTTAATGTCAGATCACTATGCAACAAATCATTTTTAATTAATAATTTTATCTGTTCGTATGATCTTGATTTTATGTTTATGACTGAAACATGGCTTGACCATAATACAGGAGATGCAGTTTTAATAGAAGCCTCACCACCAAATTTCAAATTTGAACATGAAACACGAGAAAATAAAAGGGGGGGGGGGGGCATAGCAGCAGTTTTTAAAGATCGTATTGTCTCCCATAGAGTGTCTCTTGGGAAATTTTCATCATTTGAGTATGTTTCTTTTAAAATAGAACAAAAGAAATCTTCTTCCATTCTTATTATTGTTGTGTACAAGCCGCCACAGTCATGCCATAGTTTCACTGATCATTTCACTGAGTTGCTTTCAGTTGTGTGCACAGATTTTGATGGTTTGGTCATTGTAGGTGATTTCAATATACATGTAGATAATGCTAATGATAGATATGCAATAGAGCTGAGCTCTGTGCTGGAAACCTTTGGTCTCACTCAGCATGTGAGTGGCCCCACCCACAGCAGAGGACACACTCTCGATCTGTTAATTACCAAGGGGGTTAATATTTCAAATGTAAATGTGGTCAATGTTGCTCTGTCTGATCATTTCTGTGTATTTTTTGACATGTGTCTTGATTGTAAACCACCAGCTGAATCTTCGGTTGTTAGAAGAAGACACATAAATGATAATACAGGCGAACTGTTCATGGGGAGGGTAAACTTTGAGAACACGTTGTGTGTTACTGTAGATGAATTACTTGATTCTGTCACCACCACTGTTTTGAATGTTCTGGATACAATTGCTCCTGTAAAGGTTAAAATAGTTACAAACAAGCAAAAAGCGCCATGGACTAAAGCAGACTCGGTCAGGGCACAGAAGAGAGAGTGCCGGAAGGCCGAGCGGAAGTGGCGAAAGTCAAATCTCAAAGTTGACCATGAGATCTTCAAAGATGCGTTGTGCAATTTTAACAGGGAACTACGTAGAACGAGGGAAATGTACTTTTCTGAAACTATTGAAGGCTGTAGCAACAATCTACGTGTTCTGTTTTCAACAGTAAATAGATTGACGAATCCCCCTGTTAAGATGCCATCAGAACTTACTTCCAAATCTAAATGTAATGAGTTTGCTCAGTTCTTTAATGACAAAGTCCAAGGTATCAAAAACGCCATCACCTCCACGATAGAAATAATAATCCAACCGCCAGTGAGGCTTTTTGGGCTGACGCACTTTACACCAGTACAAATTGAAACTGTCCAGGAGATAATCACTAGTCTGAGTTCCTCCACATGCAGCCTGGATGTATTACCTCCTAGATTTCTCAAGTCAGTTCTGAGCAGTCTTTTACCTTCACTTACACAAATAGTTAATATGTCTCTTGAATCTGGAACATTCCCAATGGCCTTGAAAACGGCGGTCATCAGGCCCCTCCTAAAAAAGAGGAGTCTGGAAGCCCTGGCACTCAAAAATTATCGGCCCATTTCAAATCTGCCTTTCATGGGAAAAATTCTAGAAAAAGTTGCCTATAAACAACTTACAGAATTTTTAATAATCAATAACGCTTATGATATGTTCCAGTCAGGGTTTAGACCCCACCACAGCACTGAGACCGCGCTAATAAAGGTAACAAATGACATCAAACTAAACACTGACGCAGGAAAAGTCTCAGTCCTTTTTCTGTTAGATTTAAGTGCTGCTTTTGACACTATTGATCATGGCATCCTCATTCAGAGACTTGAGGACTGGGTTGGTGTTGCTGGCACCGCCCTAAGCTGGTTTAGGTCCTATTTACAAGACAGAAAGTTTTTTGTGGAGATCGAAAACTGTACCTCAGACCACTTGGCCCTGACCTGCGGAGTGCCACAGGGGTCAATCCTGGGTCCTCTTCTGTTTAATATTTACATGTTGCCTCTAGGTCAGTTGATTCACAGTAATAATGTCTCTTATCACAATTACGCTGACGATACTCAGGTCTATGTGTCCCTGACAGCAGGAGAGCATGAACCAGTGGACTCGCTCCTTCACTGTGTCCAGCAAATCGGTGATTGGATGCAAAATAACTTTCTCCAACTAAACACCGACAAAACTGAAATAATTGTTTTCGGACCCCAGAAACAAAGAGAGAGCGTTATTTGTCACCTCCAGGCTCTCTCTCTACAACCCTCAAATCAGGTCAGAAATCTAGGAGTGATAATGGACTCAGACTTAAATTTCAAAAGCCACATAAAATCTGTAACATCAGCAGCTTATTACCACCTAAAAAACATTGCTAAAATTAAAAACATAGTGTCTAAGGCAGACTTGGAGACTCTTATACACGCTTTTGTCTCCAGTCGGTTAGACTATTGCAATGGCCTGCTCACAGGTCTGTCCAAACAGGCTGTAAAACAGCTGCAGTACATTCAACATGCAGCAGCTCGAGTCCTGACCAGAACTAGGAAGTACGACCACATTAGTCCAGTTCTCAGGTCTCTGCACTGGCTTCCTGTTCCTCAGAGAATAGACTTCAAAGCAGCTTTACTTGTGTACAAGTCTCTCCATGGTCTCGCGCCAAGGTACATCCATGACATGTTTGTGCCATATGAACCGACCCGGACTCTGAGGAGCACAGGGACTGGACTCCTGTTAGTGCCCAGAGTCGGTACTAGACATGGGCAAACTGCATTTCAGATTCATGCGGCTAGAGTCTGGAACAGTCTTCCTGAGAATGTGAGACAGGCGTCTACTCTGGCATCTTTTAAATCTAGGCTCAAAACAATTCTGTTTAGCTGCGCATATACAACTGAATGATTTTATCTTTTCATCTTTGTTTTTATCTTTAATCTTTTTAATGCACTGTGACTATTTATGATTTTAGTCCCATCTGTGATTTTAATGTTTAAAGGTTTTTAATTTTTGTGATTTTATTTTTAATGTTTTTAATATATCTTGTGCTCTTAATGTGTTTGATTTATGCATGATGTGATAGGGGATGTGAAGCGCTTTGCGTTGCCTTGTGTAGGAAAGGCGCTCTACAAATAAACGTTGATTGATTGATTGATTGACTATTATTTTGTGTTTGATTTTTTTTTTTTATTGTTGGAGAGTTTGGTTCTTATCCAAGCAGAGTTTATGGACTTATTATTTTCACTGCATCATATTTGAGTAGCTATAGGACACTTGTTTGTCGGTATATTAGACTGGTGAAAAAGTACTGGCATGAAAGGTAACAGTTAAGTTGTTAAACACTGCATCATTATCCAAAGATACGCATTTCTAAAGAAAATGTCTGTGTTGCCTTTAGGTGACGTGGCAGAAGCTGGTGAACGGCTCAAAGCAGAATGTTGCCATCGCAAATCCTTCTCTGGGTGTTTCTGTGGCGCCCCCGTACAGGGACCGCGTAACGTTTAAGAACGGAGCGGTGAGACGTCGGACCCCGAACCTGGAGGATACGACCATCACCTTCTCATCGCTGCGTTTGTCAGATGAGGCCGCGTACATCTGCGAATACACCACGTTCCCTGCAGGGAACCGAGAGAACACGGTCAACCTCACAGTATTAGGTCAGACACAGATCCTAACACTAATGACACAATTGTTGTTGGGTCCTTAGGCAAGATACTTCACCCACATTGCCAAGAATGAGTCTGGTGCTTTTTCTGAATGATTGGTGGCGGTGGGGCGACAGTAGCTCAGTTGGTAGAGCATCCGCCTTTGGGCCTGAAGGTTGTGGGTTCGAGCCCACCCTAAGACCTACTTCACGACTCCCACTGATGTCTGCTGTCGTTGTGTCCTTGGGCAAGACACTTAACCCCACCTTGCCTGAAACCCCCGCTGCTCCTGTGGACTCACCACCTGCAGGAGGATCAGTGAGGGGCTGGTGCTCTGTGTACTGGGTGCAGCTCTGACTGACACCCCCCGACCCAGAAATGGATTAAGGGGAAGAAAATGGATGGATGGATGGTGGCGGTGGGAGGGGCTGATGGTACATACTGTTTACTGTTTACCCCGCTTCTGTCAGTGTATAACAATTATTCTAATTATTTATTTTAAACTTTTGTGCATTTGGGCAGCTGGTGTTGTCTAAGTGTAAATAAATCCAGTTGAAATTGACATTGACGTTAAAAGACCATTGTATATGTACGTATTACCTTGTTTATATGGGGGCCGAAATGCAGCTGAAACATGTCAACAAGGTGAATTTTGTGTCTAATTTAAAGAAATAAATTACTATTTGGATATTTAAAAAGGTTTTGAGGTCACATACTGCAAATAGTGCTTAATCCATGCTTTAGCTCATGTAAATCCATACTTCTACAAGCATTCATCATAATAATATACTTTCAACTACCATTGAAATTGTCTCCTTCATTGTTCCGACCTTTTTTAAAGTTTGCCCTGGCCTATGAGTTCATGTGATTGGATTTGGAATAATGTCCTGGTTTCATCTGTATATGAGTTGTTTTGTTTTGTTTTTAAATGCAGACTTGGTTATTGTGCTATCCAGTTATGAGTCGAGCCATAATCTAATCCAGAATGATATGATTCTGCATCATTTCATATCAGTTAAAACATTTCAGGCAAATTAAATTGTCTTCTATATTTTTACAGTTCGACCAACGACGGAGATGAGCCTTTCCACACCAACCCTTGTGGCGGCTCGATCTTCAAAAGTGAAGACACCAGTGGCCACTTGTGTTTTAGCAAATGGCAAACCTGTAGGAACCATCAGGTAGGAACTATGGAAGAGGAGTGCCAAATGATAATTATAAACACTGTACAGAGCAGGTTTCAAAAGTAGTTTCAAAGTTATCAGCATAGAGACGTCTCAACGACACATCTTCACTGGACATCTCGGATCTCTCTCTCTCACACACACTCTCTCTCACACCCACACACACACCCACACACTCTCTCTCTCTCACACACACACACACACACACACACACACACGCACACACGCACACACACGAACACACACGCACACACGAATAATTATTATGCCCAGGAAAATTCCACACTCTGCACAGTTGAAGAGGATGTCTTTTTTCCATTTAAGAACAACTCTAGGTTTTGCTTGTGTACAGTCATATCATGCTGTTTGGACTTTCATATTTCATATGGTTCTATCCTCAGTACAATTGTATATAGGGAGATTATCATTTACTAGATGTACTAAGGGCCATTTACAAGATCAGCTGTCAGGAAAAATACATGGATCAGGCTTTTTGAAAAACATAAAAAAACTAATAGCAAATGTTCTCACAAACACAGCACAGACTCCAACTCCAGGACTCCAGTTGTTTCATATAGATAATATATATATATTCAAAATATGAATTCAGGTAGTTAGCCTGCACAATAGACAAGACACCACTACTTCAGCAGTGTTATAGCTTACTATCAGTAGTAGCAGTGTGTGTTCTGGTATGTTGTTACGCGTCGTGTAATAGGGCTGTCTCACGAGTGCATGATCCGCAGGTGGGAGTCACGCGTCCCGGGGGACGTGAGCACCAGAGAGTACAGGAATGAAGACGGGACGTACACGGTGCAGAGTGACTATATCCTGGTCCCGAGCAGAGACACGCACAGAGAGACGCTCACCTGTGTCACCACTTACAACGAGGAAGTGTTCACAGAAAGTGTCACTCTCGACATACAGTGTAAGCACCCTAGCAACAGCATAAGCACCTTAGCAACACATGAAACATGTCATTATTACGTTAGTGGCAAAACAGTTACAGTATTATTGTTTATTTGAACTTCTTATTTGTATTGCCTCAAAAAGTATTAATGCCCCTTTAAAGTTTAGAAATGTTGTCATGATACAACCCCAAACAAAGACATTTCATTGGAGAAAGACCTAAACACCCAAGAGGTTAAGGATTATGTTTGGGAGAATACTAAAGCATACAAAGATTTTCCAACCTTTAAACATCTGGAAATGGAAAATACACTTTCTGCGATGTTTGTAAATTACCAAACTCAATGTGCATAATACATCTGAGTGAATATATGAGCTGGTTTGTCAAAATCTAGACCTAAATCAAAATGAAAAAAAGGAAAAAACCTTCTCCAAGTAATCTCACAACAACAAGCCCATCCATGAACCACTGATGATGTAGCAACATGAATGCAGAGTTGTACTTTCTTCCATGAATGATAAAAGAAAAATGTAGTGTAGATCTATGTTCACAATTTTAACTGAAAGACACCCTCACAGATGAGCCGGACGTCATGGTTGAAGGCTACGATGGAAACTGGTATTTGAATAGAGAGAACGTGCAACTCAACTGCGTGGCCGACGCTAACCCCTCCGTGTCTCTGTATCAGTGGAGAATGTAAGGACTACACACAAACCATACTTACATAATACAGTGAGTTTGTTTGCTAGCCCTGACGTTGAATGTGTCTTTTCATTTGTATGACAGAATTAATGCTTCTATACCAGAGAATGTTGAAATCCGCGACAACCTCCTAATTTTCAAAGGACCGATCACATATGAAATCCAAGGGACTTACGTGTGTGAAGCCACAAACAGCATTGGGACACGCGCTGCATCAGTGGACATCAGTGTAATTGGTAGGCAGCTTCATGGTTCACATGTAAAGACAACAATGGGTAAAAACAATGTAAGTAAGTAATGTTTATTTATATAGCGCATTATACAGACCAAGGTCACCCAAAGCGCTTTACAATGTTCAGAGTTCATATATTGTAAAGCATTGCCCTCTCTAATGTACTCTGAGGTTGCCAAAACTAAGACAACACACAAAATTATTATCACAACTTTTATACAGTACAAGAGTAACAATAATGCAACATTGGTCGGAGGATGCTTTACCACTCATCTCTGATTTCCATTGGGATAAAACTCTCAATAACCAATTGAAATACCAATTAATATATATATTAATAATATAATATTAATGAAAGGCATCACTATCATATAACTTGAAGTACTGAAGTGAACAGTGCTGATTCTGATCTGTGTGCTAGTGTGTGTGTGTTTGTGTGTATGGGTGTGTGTTTTTGACTGGATGTTGGGGGTGAATACTACTCTATTAATGTTTCTGTTGTGTTATACTGTTTGTGTATTTGTACGGGATTAATCTGATGGACATGTACTGAAAAAAGTGTTAATTAAATTGAAAGAAAGAAGAAATATCAATCTGTGATCCCATAAACAAATACATTAACTGTGTGCATTGCGTTGTAGACAAGCCTTTACCCCAGATTGCCACAGGCGACGTGGTCAGTGTGATTGCTCTGTTATTGGCTGCTGGAGTCTTACTGGGCATCACCATTACCGTCCTCATCCTCAAAATCAGGAGCCGCAAAGACAGCTCATTGTAAGCATCAATAACTTCATCTATAAAACAAGAATAACTCATGCCTTGTCTCTCTATTGACACGTGCTCTACCGTTGTGTTTAGACAAGACTCTCCATCGAAAAAGATTCCCCCATCACTGAGAAAGAGAACAGACGATATCCAGGTATTATTTGGGTGTATTTCTGGATTGTATGTAACTGTAATTCAGAATATTCAGAATCATTTCATTCAATTGACAATATCGTTTTTGGTGATATGCAACAATCTCTATATGGCTATGGCTTTCAAGTGTTTATTCTAATAAAACATAATGAATAAAAAAGCACCATCTTAAAGTTGCTGTATAGAAAGTATAAGTGAGCATTCATAATATTTTTTTGTTTATTGTTTTGTATTTTATTCTCAGCATTCTGGCAGATTTTACGAGGAGCTTCCGAACACGGCTGACTACGTGAGTTACCGACTGGCCTGTAATAAGGAGGACTATCCGGAGCCGTACTCGCCGCCCCTCCAGCCCCCTCTGTCCTTCCTGCCCCAGCAGCCGTACCCCTCGGCTCGGCTCAGCAGCGGTGGCAGCAGCTGCAGCGGAGGGACCCTCTCCAGAAACACTTTCTCCCCTCCCACACACACAACTGCTGTTTTCAAATACCCCTCTGTCCCAGGAGTGAGCCCCCCGCCTCCTGGAGCTGCATACACCTTCCCCAAGGAGCAGTATGTCTAAAAGAGAAAAAGTCTAAAAGGTGTAAAAATTATACAATTGGGACATTTTTACTGAAAGTGGACAGTGCAGCTTTCGGGCTAAGCAGCCCAAATTTGAAACACAATATTTTATGTTTTTTACATGTGTACATTTTATTAGGCTTTGTCCACATAAATATTGTTTACATGCAGAATTGCGTAAGACAAGGTGAACTGGCGCAATCATTAAAATGCAAAACTGATTACTCCAATTTTGCTTCAAATTTTACAAATGTTATTCCAATATTGCTATTTTTAGAGGCTCAACATTATTTCCTGATTCCAGAAACTTTTATTTTTCAAGAAATCATGTTTATTTTTTATTGAACCCTTATTTAAAATATATTGTTTCTTTTAAATGACTATCTCCAAATTAGTTTCTCCCTAATGTGATGTCATCTTTGAAAGTTATGGATTCACCAATAATTTTTGACATATTTTTTCATATTGATATTTTTATTTACAACAGGTTTTATTCCATCAAAGTCAAAAATCAGAAAAACAGACTACAAGCGTGATGAGACTACCCCATAGAACCACAGTTGAAAAACAAAACAAAGTTAATGCTTAAACCAGTCCACATTCAACTTAAAGTGGGTTGTTCAATAGTTTAAAATCTTTTAATACATTCTGAAATGATTGCTTAGGGAAAACCAACATACTGTAGATTCAGTATTAGTCCTTTGTGTTTTTATGGATGTAGCCTTATCTTATTTTACTTTCTTTTTTCTTTGTGTCAAATATAAAAACACTTCAGACAATGAAATGAAATGTTTGTGCGACTTAACTATATTATGATCCTTTGTGGTGAAGCCGACCCCGCCATCGTCCCTTACTTGGTCTGTACATGGACACACCTCCAGAGTCAATAAGGTATTTAATTGCGCACTGGGTGACGCATTAATATTTAGTGTGAAATACACAAAAATATCACATCTTGATGAGGTGGAAATGTAATACAATCTGGGGAATATTCAGGAAATAAATGTTTCTGTTTTGAACATTGAATTGCATTTGTCATCTCATCATGGTTGTTTATCGACCTAACTGTTCCTACATCATATTTTATTACCTGCACGACCTCACTCAATCTTCACATGGAATTTATGTCATTGTAAAAAAATATATTGTGTATATGTATTTTGTATTATCATTTTTGGAGAAAAAAATGTTTTTATTCACATGTTTTTTTGGTTTTATTTATGTTACCTGTGCGGTTATAGAATTCATTGACGCTGGCTGTTCATGAACATTGGATTTTAGTAATAAATATTTTTTTCTAAATCACAGGAAGTTGTGCAGAGCTTTTGATGAGCCTGGCCAGCCAGACCCACACAATTCTGCCTTCATGGGTCATAAAGTAGATATGGATTTGAGTCCTCAAATAAATATTCCACATAATGTTTGCGAACAATTTTGAGAACAAATACATGATCACATTTATAATAAAGCTTTAATTGTGTAACTGTGGTATATACAGTATATGTAACTGTTAACTATAGTACTGTGCTTCAACAGGAAACACAATATATACATGACATGACATCCATCTTTAAGAATGATAAAAGCCAAGGACAATGGCCACTTAAAGGCCACTCACATCAGCTGGAGCTCAATGGGGAGATAGCGTTTCCTCTGCAGCCACGTAACTATACACTGTTGATCAGATGTCAAGCTCAGCTCATTTTGGGGTCAGCAGTGGCCTTTGAGTCTGGAGGTTGTGAGTTCGATTCCCACCATGGGACCTACTCCAATTGCTCCCACTGATGTCTACTGTCGTTGTGTCCTTGGGCAAGACACTTAACCCCACGTTGCCTGAAGCCCCCGCTGAAAGACCAAGGCTGTTTCACCACTGACAGAGCAGCCATCTTCCTGTGGACTCACCCCCTGCAGAGGATCAGCGAGGGACTGGTGCTATGAGCATTGGGTGGCAGCTCTCATTGCCACCCCCCTGACCCAGAAATGGACAATAAAGGGCTTGAAAATGAAATGAAATGAAATACCTATTCTCTGCCACGTTAGACTTGTTTCCCTATTCACTCTTCCTCCTTATAACACTATTATTTTACCATTGCACAATCTACCCCTTCTATCAGACAATACTTCTCACAATCACGTAATGATAACCTGTCAATTGGTCACTCATCATTCATTTAAGAAACTAAAATTGGTAAATATATAATTATTTTTTTAAAGTAACCGGTCACTGCGCTACTTATGAGGATTGTGGTGAGATTTAAATTACAGCATTGAAATTCCAAAATAAATGTGTGTCACTTTAGCTTGTATGTAATGTATGTATACTGCTGCGTTCAAACAAAAACTGTATTTTTTTTCTCAGCACAAAAAGAATTTAATCCTTACAATGTCAGTTGTTGTTGCGTTGGTTTCTATTGGCTCAGCTGCTGTGGAAACTGATGCACGGAGCAGCTTCATTCATGAGAAATGAGCTGGTGTCTGGTTTCTGCTTTTCTCAGCCTTGGCTCGACTATGATCGAAGCCATCACAGCAATTCTTCACGCACTATAATATGGGTAATTAATATTTAGATGAATAATAACTATAGGGCAAACACTCAAGTAGGTAATGTACCGCGACAGTGACCGTTCCATTTATTTTCCCAAAGACTTTCAGGAAAAACAATATTTAACATGTGAAGGGGAAAAGAGTTATGTGGGAACTAAAGATGATGAAAAATATAACAATAGTTAATGTTAAATAAACAGTTAATTCAAAATGTGTACTTTCGGAGTAAACCCTATGTTTTTGATCTTGGTAAGATCTTATAACAGTTTAGGAAGATTCATCTAGTCTTCTTAGTAGAATTAAAAGTATTGGAAGAACCCAATACTTTTAAGATCTTATAACAATTGCATTTTTTTTTGTAATTTTCTATGGGAAAATAAAAATGTACTTCTAGAACCACAACTGTATATGAGCCCTAGGAGAAAAATATAGCCTTTAAAAATACATAATAAAATATTTTGTCAAACAAATCTAAACAAACAAATATGCTATGTATATCGATATAATAAAATTACCTAAATCCATCTCTCTTTGGCAGAATCTAAACAAACTAAATTATAAGCCAAATGTATCTATATAGTGCATTATTTACTCAATAAAAAATCACATTTAAAATGATTTGAAACATTGAATATAGTTATATACAGAAATATCAAGTTTATTTATCATGGACGTGTTGTGTTTAGTGTGACTTTAGTTACAGTTTTGAGTAAGAGTCATCTTGTGTTTGACGTAACCTGTGCAGCTATGTGGGACTCTATAATACATGAGCTTGGTATCGCTGTGCTATTCTAACCCAGGCAGAAAGAGAGAAAGGAAAAAACACATGAATAATTGAAGCCAAATCAGTTTAGAGCACCTTCAGCCCTCCTCCTGTCAGTAATGAAGTCAGTGCGTTCAACTGGTGTCCGTGACAGCGGCTGAGACACAGGGACTTTTTCCGTTTGTGTTTTGGAAACTTAAAAAAAAAAACATTTTTTGAAAAGTTTTGTGACGAGGCAGTGAGACTGTGGATCATCATGATACCATGGTGGACCCACTGCTAGGGCTGCTGTCTTTTCTGTGCACGAGTCTGCTTCTCGTCTCCACTCATGGTAAGGCAACATTTCATCAGTTTTACTTATGTCGAACATTAAACAGGTATAATGTGAATTGTGAATATGTGTATTATTATGGACAAACGCAGTACTAGCGACTAGTAAAAATACCAAATTAAAAAGACAATAGTCAGAAAAATAGTAAGAGAAATAAACTCACTACGAGGTGGTATGTTGATATTCAACGGGTCTTACTATAATAGTTCACCCACCTTCCCCCTCCCCATTTTTCTAAATGGCTAATAGTTCTTAAAACGCAACTTTTAACATGATAATTTATCTATTTATTTATTTGACAGGGACAGTACAAAAAAACATTGTCACCCACAGGTAACCGATGTCAAGTACACAGGGCTTCTAGCCAAAGGTTAGGCTTTTGGAGAACAGTGAAGAGTGAAGAAACAAGTTTAAAAAAAGAGGGGAGAAAAGAACAACACATCAATAAAATATAACTGGCCCCATTTGTCCATACAAGATCCAGTTTTAGTGCTCACACTTCTGATTTTCCTTAAGCCACTTTTGTAGGTCTTCTTGCAGTTTCCATAGGAGAGATGACAAAAAGTTTAAATCTTTAAACATATTTGAAAGTGTTCTAATAAAGGAGATGTTAAAATATACTATCCATGGTAAATCAAATAGATAACTAAATATGTTTTTTTTACTTTAAAGCAAATCATAATCTATTGGTAGGTATGCTTTTAAAGTATTACATTTTCTCTGAAAGTAATCTTGTAACTGTACACTTGCAGGGTACCTGACACCGCCGGTCCCTTTCCCGTCATCACTGGAGAAGCTTGTGCCGAATCCGACCGGGGAGGTGGTGTACAAAAACTCCAGTGTGTTTGGAGTCGTGGACAAAGCCGTGATCCTCGATTGTGGTCCGGCGAGACCGATACCCGATATCTACATATGGAGTTTCACCAAACCTGGCTCTCAAGAAATCAAAAATGTGGTGTATAATTTGGGCAAAGGGCCGAGGATGCAGACCTTTGCCCGCATTCTGGGGCAGGTCACGGTCATCTCAGACTCTGCTTCCATTAGTATCGAGCAGCTTGCTCTGGCTGCTCACGGAGTGTTCACATGTCAGGCCATTTTTGACACAGACAGAGAAGCGCGGTTTATCTACTACTATGTGTACCTGACTGTTTGGGGTAAGGTTCTATGATTATTGGCTCTCTGTTTGACTAGTGGTGGTCACAGCCACCACCAGTCAAACAGAATGAAGGGCTCCATTTTCATCCATTGAATGAGTTGATGATATGACAAAGTATAAAGCTTCCCTTTTTTCTCTTTACCTGGAATGTTTCCTAGAATGGCATTAAAGGTATCCATGGACACAAACAGATGGCACCACTGTTGATTTAGAGGTGTAATTATAAGGATTATTTGTGTAGCACTGTAGCAAAGTGTAGCAAAGTTCCCTTGAGACAATAAAGTATCTAATCTTATTCTGTGGAACATTCCAAATACAGAGGCAGACAGGTGATCGTCTTCCACCAGAAAAGTGTCACTGTGCATCTTTGAATCCCACAATTTGATAGTATTATGCTTAATAATACCATGATATTGCAATATACAATTTGTGTTAATAGTTTTACAAAGATAGTAGAAAATAAACATGTATATTCTATATTCAAGTTTCCTTTTTAAAGTAACAAAAATGGACATGTTCTTTCAGTTCCCATCAGCAAACCGTACCTGGTGTTGAGTGAGCTCTCCCCAGTGGAGGGAAGCACTATTTGGATGCGCTGTAATCTGGAGAATGGGACTGGTCCAATACAGTACGAGTGGCACCATGAAAACATGAACGGCAGCGTGACTGTTATTGGGCCCGGAAACTCCAACGTCATCGACGTGAGCAAAATCAACCGCAACAACACCGGATGGTACCTCTGCCGTGCCCAAAACCCAGTCAACAGCGAACAGTCGGACCGCCACTGGTTAAGCATCATATGTAAGTGAATATGTCACAGACCGTTTATTACAAATGTTGGTACAATATTGTGTGACATTCCTGAAATGCCATTTAAAGCTATAAAATATGTTACGTCAACTTTACTTTGAACTCAAATAACAGTGCTGTGCCGCCATAGAAAGTAGCCTTGAGGGGAATTGGGAAAGCCGAAGAGGGTTGCGTTTGTGTTCAGAATTCTAAACAGTCTATAGTTCACTATTGTGATGGCAAGCAGCTGAAACTTCTTTCCTGGTAACTTTCCTGGTCAGACTTTTATTATTAGTCTACAGATACATCCTGAAATTCCTGGGCCTATCCACATGAAACAAAGTTTTTACAAAGTTCCAAATCTTCTTTGGATGAGTCAAATGACTCTCTCTGTCGTTGAATAATATTCCATAATGTTATCTAGTAGAAATGACTTTGTCATGATAATAAGTTGGCAATAATGTGGTGAATCTATTCACTATCAAACATTTAGACATTTCTTTCAAAAAATTATTCTTTCCATTGAGTTGTATTTGTACCTGCCCTCCAGCAAAACCAATTGTACAGCACTTGTACTTACCTTAATACATTTATAAATAATGATCAAGTATGGCTTCATCATTATTAAATACAGTATATGTATGTTATACATAGTCCCTAACTTCTGTATTTATTCTTTGTCCGCAGTTGGTCCTGATGAGCCCAAAATAGACGTGACTCCGTACACAATGACCGAGCGTGGATACTCGGCTTTAGAGAGAGAGACTGTCTCTTTACTGTGCCAGGCTCAGTCCAACCCTCCCAGTCAATACGTGTGGCTCTACAACAACTCTCAAGTGTTCGGCGGGCCTCAGTACACCATCACCAAGATCCTCCGCATGCACACGGGCGACTACACCTGCCTTGCCCAGAACACCTACCTGAACACCCGCTCCGTGAAGTCCATCAGCCTGACTGTCTACTGTGAGTGGGACCTTTCAAAGTCATCTTTTTATATTTAACCTACTACACTCTTTGATCTCATTTCCTCTGTTCATCTATCTAACAATCAACACAGCACATGCACACATTTCTGCAACACGTACAAACACATACACACAACGGAGTGAGTGACCAGCAAGCCATTCGGATCGACGGGGAGCTCAAGGGGATTCTGCCGAAAGGTACTGCGACATTACAGGACTGACAAATCTGGTCTAAGCGAAAGACCGGAGCTTGTCATCTGAAAGACGTTTTCAGAACCTTGAAAGCATACACAGAGTCCAATAATGTTTTAGTTATGACAAGGGCAAAGAGGTATACACATGGGTAAGAGTGGCATGCTTGTTTAATAATAAATTTAAATTTCTTGAATAATTGTTCTTGATTAATATATTTCTTCTAAATAGCAGACACCAGTCTTTGTTTTGTGAAATTTCATTAAAGATATAATGTATAGGCATTTACACAGAGTTTTTCTGCTTTACGAGGGTAAGCCATTTTCAATATGTCTAGAAAAGGTGGCACTATGGTCTGATTTACTGCATATTATTTCATTCAGGGACAAATGCACTGTAAGTATGTATATTTTTTCTCCTCAGTTGGTCCTGATCTTCCTCAAATAGTCGCAACACCCAACACAAGGACACAGTCTGGATATACAACAATTGAAAAATACACTGCCATTGAGAAAGACAATGTGTCTTTACTGTGTCAAACACAATCCAACCCTCCAAGTGAAATCAGATGGATCTACAACAGCTCCCAGATTTACAGTGGACCAAAGTTAACCATCTCCAGTGTCAGTCGAACACAGACTGGAGACTACACCTGTTTAGCCCAGAACGCTTTGCTCAACACCAACTCCACAACCAACATAAGCCTAACGGTTTATTGTGAGTGAATACAGAACACATTTTGTGTCATTCACAGATTTCTTTTCACCATGATGATATTGTGATTTATATAACAGATCCCCCAGAGGGCCTGCCGGTATGCTCCATGGAGGCAGTATTCAACCACAGCTCTTTGAGGCTGGTATGTCTCTGGGCCGGAGGATACCCTGCTCCAAACCTGAGCTGGAGCAGTGACTTAAATTTAACTCAACAAGAGAAAACTGACACAGACCAAGTGAAGAACACGGCCATCTTTGTGGCTTCCGTCAACAATACATCAAACAACAGCTCGTTCTTCTGTAGAGGCTCCCACCCTGCAGTCCCCCAGGCCGCACAGTGCAGTGTGCACACATGTGAGTGTGGAATACTATGTAATACCGGATTACAGTAGAACATTACAACATTAAAGTTATTATCTACCTAATGCAGATGTTCCTCCCGAGGAGCCCCAGTGTTTTTTCAGTGTGACTGACCTCAATGTGACACTGTCCTGCCTCTGGGAGGGCGGAGTCCCGAGGGCTCTGCTGTGGTGGGACGGTCCAGGTGGGCACAGTAAATCTGGACTGGAGAGCTCCAACAACATGACCATACGATATGGCACTCTGCGCACTGAGACGCCCTACACTTGTCATGCCAGACACCCACTTTTGTTTCAGTCAAGAACCTGCAAAATCACAATGGGTCAGTGCACTTTTTTCCATATTGTCCAAATCCTAAAACCAAATACACAAACACTAACAAAACTCTGCAAATGTGTGTCGCAGTTGCAGTCAGTAGCCCCTCCCTGTCGGTCAGTGAGACATCTCCACTGGAAGGATCATCTATTTCTATGATCTGCAAAGTCCAAAACGGGACAGGGCCAATCCATTATGAGTGGCACTACAAAGCGCAGAATGGAGCCAGGTTTAAAGTTGCTCAAAGCAATAGCACCGTTCTTCATCTAATCAATCTACAACACAATCAAACGGGCTGGTATCAATGTGGGGCCAGTAACCTGGTCAACAGTCAGACGTCTGATCCAGCATGGGTGGACGTCATTTGTGAGTGCTGATTCTTACATTTAATTTTATAGTTAAGGGTTAAATAAACTGAGGGGGCCACAATCCAACAGGTTTAACAGTCTTGACATATGCAGTTTGCATCATTGTTTTCATTAACATACTGCAAAATATACTTCAACTTTATACTTAAGACTCCACAACACATACATGAAATCCATAATTAAAGATGATGATGATGATGATTATGAAAAACTGAAAATTGACTTTCATAGAATTTTCTTTTTTTTTTTTTTAAACCATCTTCTATTACATACACTCCTATTGGACTGGACCTTCCTGAATTACTCACATGTGGCATTCAGGTGAACCTGTGGCACTGATCAGGTGTAAAAGAAGTCTAGATTGCTTTGATAGTTGCTTTCTGTTCATCTTAATTGTTGGGTCTGGTGTCTCTCATCTTCCTCTTAGCACAAGTCAATGATTCTCCATGGAATTCAGCCCATTTATACCATGACCAGCGAACCATAGGAGAAGTGTATGTCATTAACACAGTTCAAGTATAATTCAATCAACAGAATTAGTTTTATTTATTTATTTATTTAGACATTTATTTAAAGAGGAATAACCCAATGAGATGCATCATCTCGTTTTCGTGCGGGTCCTCTATAGTCAGGTTACAGCAGAGGTAGTCTTTTGATGTACAACAGCAGAAAAAGAAACACAATGATAAAAGAAACTTGTACAGATTACAAACACAAAAACACACACGTGCACATACACACACACACCAACTCTCATTTTGTCTCAAAAATACATCAAACAACAGCTCGTTCTTCTGTAGAGGCTCCCATCCTGACTTTGCCTAAGTCATTTGATTGTAGTTGTCCCACTCATTACGAACTGGAGGTCTATATATATATATATATAAAGTGTGTGAGAGTGGCTCTTCTGAAAGTTAGAAATGAGGTTATGGAACGAATAGAAGCAGAAGGGCTATTCCAGTCTTGAGGGGCTTTAATAAAGAAAGCGTGTTTCCCTACGTCTCTGATAGCTCTGGGAACTGTAAAGAAAAGAGTTTCATTGTGACGTAGACTATAAGATTAACTGAAAGGAACTACGTATTGCTTTAGGCATGATGGAAAATTGAAGTGGATGCAGTTGAAAATGAATTGAAACCAATGGTGTTGGCATCTAGCTGTAAGTGTGAGCCAAGTTGTTCATACATACAGTAAGACAGTGATGTGTCCTGTAGGGGCAGCGAAGAATGAATCTGCAGAGACTGTTATGGGTGAAATTTAGAGAGTGTAGACAGGTGGTGGAAGTGTTTTGATAAACGAGGTCAGCATCCAAAATTGGTAGGAGCAATTGAATGACAATTATTTTCCTAATCTCAAAATTAGAACAGTTGATTGATGAAGAGTTTTTAGCTGAAAATTCAGTTTGTTAGCCATGTATTGAATATGAGTTTGAAGGAAATATCGGCATCCAGCCAAACACCTATGTATTTAAAAGATGAAACTGGTTCCAGAGAAGTTTTAAGGAATAAGAAAAGAAGTTAACTCCTGAGCAAGAGACAACATCAGAAGCAGTTCAGCTGTGATGTGAAGTAAAATGTGCAGTTTTGGGGAATGTTCAGTGGGTGTATAGCCCATGGGATTGGAGAATATAAGAGGGTGGCAAAGCAGCCTCACAGTCTGAGAATACATGCTGATGGTCACTTAGGATGGCCAGTATGGACTAGTACCTTCTCTATCATGTCTGAACCAGGTTTAGAGCAGAGAGCTCCGTGCACAGCCTTTGACAACCCTGGTGTGGGTGTGAAGGCTGGAGGAGGTTGCTTTCCTACTTTTGACACATTAAGAGCAGTTTGCAAAAAAGTCCACTATCCAATTGAACAGTGCAGTATTTGGTCCAAGTTAGTGAAGTTAAGCAAAGAGTTTTACACCTGGATGGTGTTAAAAGCTGAACTGGAGTCCAAAAAGTGTTCCAGTGCTGGAGCATAGTGGCATCCTCAGCTGAACAGTTCTTATTGTATGCGAATTGGTGCGGGTCGTGTGATGGTGGTATTTAGGGCTGCGACTAACGATTATTGCGATAATAGATACAAATTAACAATTATTTCTTCCATTCAATCAATGTTTTTAAGAAAGCAGATATGCAATTTCATTGATAAAATATGCAGAAAAATCTGAAGTGAAACCACCAGAGAACCCTCTAATAATTATTATTTATCACTTAAATGAGACATTTACACATTTCCTTAAGATTAAGATATCTTTTATTTGTCCCAAAGTGGAGAAATTTTAGTGTTGCATCACAAGTTATAGAATAGTAGGAAAGAGGAGCACACAGCACACGTTAACTGAACAATAGCTGTCCTAATTAAAATAAAACAAAATCTCTAACTCTAGCATCTATAATAAGTATAAAAACACTATCTTGAAAATAATAATAGATATAAAAGTTTAACATTATATATAAAGTATAAAGTACTGTGTATTCTAGTGCAAGTAAAGTGTTGTTATATGTTAGCATCTGTACATTAGCAGCTGTATATTGCACATTCTGGTATAAAATAAGGATATTGCAACGATGCATGACTAGTGGAAAAAGGTTGGAATCAGGTTGGTAGTGTTCATTAGTCCTTATTGTTTGTTGTACAGTCTGAGAGCAGCAGGAAGGAAAGACCTGCAGAACCTCTCCTTCACACATTGAGGATGAATAAGTCTGCCACTGAAGCTGCTCTCCAGAGCAGAGAGAGTGTCCTGCAGGGGGTGACAGATATGGTCCAGCATAGATGTTAGTTTGCTCAGGACCCTCCTGTCCCCCACCTGCTGCACTGTGTCCAGGGAACAGCCCAGGACTGAGCTGGACTTCCTGATGACCTTGTCCAGCTTCTTCCTGTCCCTCTCTGTGATGCTGCTGTTCCAGCAGACCACACCGTACAAGAGGCTGATGCCACCACAGAGTCATAGCAGGTCTTCAGGAGTGGTCCCTGCACTCCAAAAGACCTGAGCCTCCTCAGCAGGTAGAGGCGGCTCTGGCCCTTCTTGAAGAGGGCGTCCTTAATAATATTGTATTCAATTACAACTGTATGCATGTAATTGAGTTTGTACAGTCAGCAGTTAAGGATTATCTGATTACTAAACTTGTTGCTGATGATTGAAGAACATGTTTTTCATGATTACATCCCTTGTGGTATCACTCCTGTAGTGTGTGTGATTAGCAGTTTGAGGCGTTGGGCAGGGATGGAGGTGAGTACCACATATCTGGAGTCTGTTTAGAGACAGGACTATTGTGGGTGCCTGAAGCTGACTGGATCCATGATATGGACAGTGATGCACAATAGATGGAGGTGAAGACGTCACAAGTTCTACAACACATTATTTCCACACCTGACCCAGCAGTGTGTCTGGTCGGGCTGCTTTCCTGAAGGGGACATTTGGAAGACACCATCTCATGTGCACTCAAGACTGGGGCAGGGTTATTGGAGGTTTTCTTATAATATAATAGTCTGTGATGACCCTAATGCCCACTCAGACCTGCCATGGGTTTATGTCAGTGTTAAATCTGGCTTCAAAACAAGACTTGTGCAGTGGTTTGTTCTCCACTGAGGAAGACAACAGACCCAACATTGCAAATGACACAAACCTTTGAGGTTTTCTTTTACTTTTCGGGAACTCAATACCACTTTTCCATGATCATGTATAACTTAATACGCATGATTACATTACTTTTTGTTCTCATTCATCAATCAATGCGGACCATGATATTCTTTAGTAATTTTAATGATTTATTTGATTTATTCAGACAAAAAAAAAAAAAACAATGAACAGAATGCAAAAAATAGAAACCACAATAGTGTTTGAAAAGGTGTTTGTTCACTTATTTAGTTCCCACCACTCTCACTCCTGTACGCATGTATGACAATTGACTATAAAAATGTTTTATATATCTGAAAGGTATACGTTCATGTTTCAAAAATACTGACATTGTAGGACACAACATCATCAACATTAATAAGGCTTGAAATACTTCACTCAACTGTTTAATAATACATGGGCTTGATTTTCAGATTTCTTTTGTGTTCTTTTGTTAAGTATTCATAATGTATGATAACTTTGACGTTGAATTAAAAATATACTCAAAATAATGCAATAACAAAACTGTTCAGAATTTAAGACTACACTTTGTGGGGAACAGTGTTGCTGAAACCATTATTCAAATCTCTTTACAGATCCGCCAGTGAACTCCTCCTCATGCTCCATGGAGGCAGTATTCAACCACAGCTCTTTGAGGCTGGTATGTCTCTGGGCCGGAGGATACCCTGCTCCAAACCTGAGCTGGAGCAGTGACTTAGATCTGACTCAACAAGAGGAAACTAACGCAGACCAAGTGAAGAACACGGCCATCTTTGTGGCTTCAGTCAACAATACATCAAACAACAGCTCGTTCTTCTGTAGAGGCTCCCACCCTGCAGTCCCCCAGGCCGCACAGTGCAGTGTGCACACATGTGAGTGTGGACCATCATAGGTCATAGGCCATTATGTTCATCAAAATGAGGTTTACTCAGTCTGTCAATCAACTACAATATTTACTTGCATTTCTGGGGTAAACACTTAACCTAAGATAGTAAATGTTATCTACCTAATGCAGATGTTCCTTCCGAGGAGCCCCAGTGTTTTTTCAATGTGACTGACCTCAATGTGACACTGTCCTGCCTCTGGGAGGGCGGGGTCCCGAGTGCTCTGCTGTGGTGGGACGGTCCAGGTGGGCACAGTAAATCTGGACTGGAGAGCTCCAACAACATGACCATACGATATGGCACTCTGCGCACTGAGACGCCCTACACTTGTCATGCCAGACACCCACTTTTGTTTCAGTCAAGAACCTGCAAAATCACAATGGGTCAGTGCACTTTTTTCCATATTGTCCAAATCCTAAAACCAAATACACAAACACTAACAAAACTCTGCAAATGTGTGTCGCAGTTGCAGTCAGTAGCCCCTCCCTGTCGGTCAGTGAGACATCTCCACTGGAAGGATCATCTATTTCTATGATCTGCAAAGTCCAAAACGGGACAGGGCCAATCCATTATGAGTGGCACTACAATGCGCAGAATGGAGCCAGGTTTAAAGTTGCTCAAAGCAACAGCACCGTTCTTCATCTAATCAATCTAAAACACAATCAAACGGGCTGGTATCAATGTGGGGCCAGTAACCTGGTCAACAGTCAGACGTCTGATCCAGCATGGGTGGACGTCATTTGTGAGTGATTTATAAAAAAAATTATCAATTAGTTACAAAGGATCTCTAAATCTTTATATAATTGTTTTATCAAAGACCCGCCAGTGAACTCCTCCTCATGCTCCATGGAGGCAGTATTCAACCACAGCTCTTTGAGGCTGGTGTGTCTCTGGGCCGGAGGATACCCTGCTCCAAACCTGAGCTGGAGCAGTGACTTAGATCTGACTCAACAAGAGGAAACTAACGCAGACCAAGTGAAGAACACGGCCATCTTTGTGGCTTCAGTCAACAATACATCAAACAACAGCTCGTTCTTCTGTAGAGGCTCCCACCCTGCAGTCCCCCAGGCCGCACAGTGCAGTGTGCACACATGTGAGTGTGGAATACTAATTGAAAAGTTTAAAAACATGGTTACCATTAACAAGTAAAATTGCTCCCTCTTGAGCTCTTACTGACGGACTGAGGAAACTCGTTGTGTGAAACAGCTCATGTATATAATCTTACTGATGTTTCCTTCATACAGATGTTCCTCCCGAGGAGCCCCAGTGTTTTTTCAGTGTGACTGACCTCAATGTGACACTGTCCTGCCTCTGGGAGGGCGGAGTCCCGAGGGCTCTGCTGTGGTGGGACGGTCCAGGTGGGCACAGTAAATCTGGACTGGAGAGCTCCAACAACATGACCATACGATATGGCACTCTGCGCACTGAGACGCCCTACACTTGTCATGCCAGACACCCACTTTTGTTTCAGTCAAGAACCTGCAAAATCACAATGGGTCAGTGCACCATGTCTGATATTGTCACTAATTTGTTTGAATGTACGACATAAAACAAGTCTTAATTTTTACAACAATATAATTTCTAATAGCTTCCCTCAGAAAACCAGACTTAATAATGAGCGCTGCCGATCCGCAAGAAGGCTCCACAGTCTGGATGCGCTGTAGTCCAAAGTCTGGGACTGAGCCGATCCACTTCATGTGGCAATATCGAGATCACACAGGAAACATCTCCACAATGGAGGAAACAACTGCTGATCTCCAGCTGACTGTCAAACGTAGCCACATGGGATGGTACCGCTGCCTGGTCAAAAATCCAGTCAACAACATGCAATCTGATTGGACAAAATTAAATGTCACGTGTAAGTATACAGATGTAATTATTTCTTCGAATTCTGTGGTTTAAATTAACATGAATATTGTGCTAATAGATGGCCCAGAGCTTCTTGACATCAACATAACTCCAAAAGCAGTGGCAGAGCAAGGATACATAGCACTGGAGCAGGAGACGGTGTCTTTGTTTTGTCAGGCCCAGTCAAATCCAGCAAGTCATTACATTTGGTTCTACAACAACTCACAGGTTCACAATGGGCCGCAGTTCACACTCACAAACATCCTTCGAACTCAAACTGGGGACTACACCTGCTTGGCCCAAAATGCTTTGCTCAAAACTCGCTCCAAGAAGTCTATCAGCCTGACTGTCTACTGTGAGTGAACCCTTGAATTAGTAGTGACCACTATCAGGGTGCGTTCACACTTGATCCCAATACTGATTCCCTTGGAAAAAAAAACCACTTTGTGGAGATATGAAACCACAAACAAATGATCCCTGATCCACAAGTCACTTAACTTTGAAACAGTTTAGTTGTCTAAAGAGGCATTAATAGAACATGTTTTACTATAGATGTTGATATTCAGAAGTCACAGCTAATCTAATACAAGCTATAACAGGTTGCCAGTTAATGTCCTTCAAAAATGTAGATACACTCTTTATGTAGATCCTTTAGTCTGTAGCAACCTTTTTCAATCCCTCGATGTATTTTACTCTTTTGTCAATTAAATTTGATGGGTTCAAATGCTGTGATGATGGGTTTAAATGCTGCAGTGATGGTCTAATGCTTATGTTTCTTTTTTATCTACTTAGGTGAAACATTCTCACTCACTCATTGATAACACACACATTTATTTCTCGTCTATCACTTCTTCACCTGCTTGACTTCTCTTCTCTGGTTTTACAGTAAATATATATTATGAGGATCACTTTGCTGCACACACTAATTGGGTGCATTTCTCTGCCCACAGACCCCCCCGATGGTCAACCCATCTGTTCTGTTGAGGGAACACTTGAGCATTCTTCCCTCAGACTGCTCTGCAGATGGTCTGGTGGACACCCTTCTCCAAACCTCTTCTGGAGCGGAGCCCTTGTGGATCAGGAGGGAGTGAATACGAAGACCAACAGCGCCACCTTGATGTATTCACAAGGCACGGCATCCAACAACAGCCTGTTTAAATGTCAAGGATCACACATGGCTTTAAAACAGACAACAGGATGCAGTGTTCAACCATGTGAGTAAGATATTAACTTGTTGTGTAGGGAACATACACAACAAGCACCAAAGGCACATTTTACGAGAAAGAAAAATTATGACTAGAATAAAAATTCTTGCTTCCACAAATAGAGGCAAGACAGAGTCTGGATATGGATTGAAAAGCATTCCTTCCCTCTATACTGTATTGAAAGGCTTGCACATCAATAGATCAATCAATTGAACCTCATATGTTTTCTTAAATTCCCAACTGATTGAAAAACACATGTGGACAAGCCTGTTATATTTTTCACAAATAATCAAGAGTAAAATTGCTTAATTAATGATTTTTTTTATAAACATTCTATCGTCGCTGCCCAGTTAGATTGCATATTTAAATTATTATTTACCAACGTGTCTGCGTGTTCAGATTCTCCTTCAGGGGCCCCTCAATGCTCAGCCTTTGTGACCAGCAACAACCAGAGACTGATGCTGTCGTGTTCATGGGACGGGGGGTTTCCAAAGGCACTGGTGTGGTGGGTGGGTCCAGGTGTTCAGGGTTCAGCTGGAACAGAGGCCACCAACATCCTCATCCTCCGCTACGGGACAGTCCGGAGCCAGCAGCCTTATATCTGCCACGCAAGACACCCCCTAGAGGCGCAGACACGGACCTGTACTGTTCCCCTTGGTCAGTATGTTTACACGCAATTTATTGAAACCTGATTGTTAAATCCTATTCATACAAAGCCATTTAATATTTTTCCTTGGCTATCAAATTATTTTCAAAATATGCAAACATCTTTTTATAGTTTGCAGACTGGATGCCCACAGACCACTGATTTACTTTTGGATGAAATGATACATTTCCTGACAATTCAAATCAAAAATTATAAGTTAAGATAAGAGTTCCTTTATTTGTCCCACAGTGGGGAAATTTCGAACATGCACCAACTACATCCAAAAAATGTCTTCTGCAACCAACAAAAACTTGATAAAGAACCTGCGCATGATAAATTTCCATTATTTGTAACATTTGATCATTCACCCCATCTGACTGCACCTGGCTCGCTGCTTCATGAGTCATTTCCATAATGACCACAGAGACCAGGGGCTACACAAGTGTTCTCACTGGTGTTACACTGTTCACTTACACAGGGCTTGGATCACAAATACGATGACTATTGTATCTAGCTTTCTATGTGGCTTTCCTTATTTTGACAATTGTACCAATTGTACCTTACAGGTGCTACATGAAATAAATGGTACAAGTGGCAACTGCTAATGATTTAACATTGTGTAAATGTAAATGTTGATTGTCTTTTTAACTTTCCAGAGCCTCCGGTGTTGAGAACACAGCGCAGGACAGTGACTGTATTTGAAGGCACTGATGTCCAGCTTACATGTAGTTTGATGGACAATAATCTGCCTTCAAATGAAATCATCTGGTTCAATAATAGGGGTGTGGGTGTGATGGACACTCCAAAGTACCTGCTCCTGCGCTCCTCCGCCTGGGCCAACCTCACTGTCCGCGACACTCAAGAGACCCAGGACAGCGGCCAGTATCGCTGCACCACCTCTAATGCTGTGGGAGGAACAGAAGTCAATGTCACCTTAGTTGTCAAAAGTAAGTGTTGTATCTTGTTTAAAATTAAGGACTTTTTTATGACTCATGCAGTACCATTTAAACTCCAATATGCAATATTCAGCCAGGTCCCTTTTGATTTTTGTTTTAGTATAGCCCCTAAACAGTTGCTCTTTCTACTGTCAGAATCACAACCCAGAGACAAGCTACCCTCCTTCATATTTACCAAAGGTGAACATTAACAAAGAGGTCAGCCACACCAATGTTCCATAGTAAATACTATAGAAGAGTATAGCTGGTGTCTGGACAACTTTTTAACAAGTCTCCTTATATATATTCCAGCAGGTGGAATATATAAAAAATCACATTAGCACTGGTCCTGCATCGTCCTAAAATATTTGTTTTGATCGGAAATGAGTGTGATACATCTTAATCATGATTGTTCAAGGATTTAGAGTAGTTTGATGGTTAATTTTTTTCAATTAGCTTGAGTCCAATGATCCTTATGATCGACTTTGTATTATCTTCTCAATTGCTTCCATATGAATGTAAGCAATGTATTTCATGAATTGAAATATTGTTGTAATTGTTTTTGTTTTCTGGTCAGGATCCGTTCTTGGCCTCAGGAACAAAGCATTTTTGCATGGAAAACGGGGGGAAAAAGGGCGTTGAACTAATTTGTCCCCATTTTTGGACAGGACACCCCATGCCACCCAATGCATCTCTGGTCAGCGTCATGTACAACAGCCCTCAGAGAAACCAAGTGGATCTGGAGTGGCAGGTGCACAACGAGGAAGCCCACAGTGGAGGCTGGACAGGTTTCATTTTGGAGTATTCGTGGATGTTTGAAAAGCCTGGTCGAAGAGGGGGCACAAACCAGTCTATTATTTTGGCCCACCCAGAGAAGATTGCGTCTATATGGTACAATAGCATCCTCCAGGACCCATCACAGCGGACTCACACGCTTAGCGGACTCACCCCGACTGTCACCTACCAGTTCAGGATCACCTCTATCAACTACCGAACCTTGGGACACCCCTCTGCACCAATAACACCAGGTATGATCTAGACAATACCAAAAAAAGGTTCTTACCTGTTTAAGGAAAGATGTTTGAGTTTATGTGATTATTTTTGGAGACTAACAGTGTTTCTTCTTCTACTCAGGTGAAATGAAACAATGCAATACATTCACAACTAGATACACACATTCTTTCCTTCTTTTTCTTCCGTGACTATTCTGCTGGTGTGATCTTAAATTGTATTGTATATGAAAGTATTAAGCTAATGCCAGCAATTTTACATTGAAGTCAGCCTGTAGGCAATATCACCAATCAATAGGGTACTTTTAAATTTTGATTGACATATTGTTTACAGCAAATAACCATAACATTCATATGTAAAATTGTTTGGATTGAATAGTACATTAATGTAAAGTAAAGAAACACAAAAATACTTCAAGCCTCTATGCCAATGAGTAACTGTGGTGTGTTGCAGCGGAACCTCGTCAAACCTCATTACCAGCGATCATCGGAGCAGCGATCGGAGGGATGCTGTTCGCAGCGATCCTCACGGCACTGCTGCTGATGTACATCATCCGCAACCGCAACAACAACCCTCGTAGGTTCACCACACTGGACACTGGAGCTCACCACTGAGGCAAAGACAGAGAGCTTCATGGAGGCCTCAGCTCTCTTCATTGAACTTTGGAACAACCCTCTGGACCAATAACACTAGGGATTATTGTGCAACATATAGACGTTGCAATATATTGGCTATCAATTAATCCACGTATTGATATGTTAATTAACTGCTTAACATCTGTGAGTCCTATTTAAATGACTGAGAACACATGTTATACTAATGTTACATTATCTTTCTAAAAAGCTTAAATCCAAAATCCAATTTTTAATAATCCAATTTAAAAAAATAAATCTGTAAATCAGTCAATACCTGGCGTTCTTCTCCTACTTCTCATACTCAAGAACTCTCCACAATAAGTTATGCAGTGAACCTTTAAAAAAAGAAAAACATATTGATTCAATTTGTTTACATCTCTCAGCAGCTACGTATAAGTTAATTTTAATAATTAGCAACGTCCTGCACAATAACAGATTTCTTTCGCACTTCATGAACCTATGGTAATTTATATTCATCATTTAATGTTTGCTGTTCTTTTGACAGGTCTACACGATCTGCTGTTTGGCAGGTAAGACCATTTGTAAAGACTCATTTAACACATTTAAACAATTTAAAATACTGAAATAAACCATGTGATTTATTTGTATATGTATTTTTGTCCTTCAGGCAGCACAGTCAGTCAAGAGAAAACATCAACTTTCCAGAGGATGAAGTGATGGGATCTGCGGGGGGAATAGAGGATATTGGTGGATTATCAAGTTCAGGTAAGAAATACGTACAGTAAGGGATAATGAATAGTACGCAGGTCATTATCAGAAAATAAGTACCAACAGGGTTGGGGTCTGCTTCCACCCTTAAGTATTACAAGCAGAGGTTGCGTTGCCATGCGTAGCGGTCTTTATTGTATTGAGAGGTCGGTTGACCAGTAGGTTCTGAAATTACATTAAAATCAATAGAGCGTTCTACTGCTGCTGTGAGGAGCCGTATAATAAACACATTTATTACATTCACTGTGGAAACAGGTCTTATTACACATTACTGTATTTTCCCCTCACTATCTGAAATGTAACTTCTGACTTTGTAAAAAGTTATAATTTAGAGGAATTACTTCTCTGAATAGTGTAGCGTTAAGCCAGTTTCAACAATATGCTTATGTATATACTTATTTTATCATGTATTTGCATGTTTTACCCTACTGATGTGTTCTCAATTGGCATGCATTTAGTTGCCTAAAAAAAATAAGCACAGCTGCAGAATTAAAGAAAATACAATACATTTTACATAGAAGATGAACACACCTCATCATGGCTCAATATATCTGTGACTGATGCTGACATCTATCTGTCCAAATGTGAACTGCAGGTGCCACAGTGTCTTTGCCCCGAGCCGCTTCTCCCCTCGCAGCCCCCTCCCAGAGCCCCGGTCCAGCTCTCTCCACTCCACCCTTTGACGACGGCAACGAACCGGTCAACGTCACCATCACTGTCAACACTACATAGGCCTACAACTTCAAATACTTTTAGTCAATTATCCATTCAAATAACCACACTTTTTGACTATTGCATCTAACATTAACTGTATGTCGTGGTATGGTCACAAACACTTTTTTTACTTTATTGCTTCTACTCGTTGTGCAAGTTTGATGAATAAACGTTGTTCTTTTAAATAATATTGTAAACAGAGAGATCAAATGCTCTGATAGTACGGGTAAATAGCCAAAGATTGTTATTTTTATATAATTTATTCAAAACATATAAAAACATAATTCAAACATACTAGACTACCAGCAAACAACACTGAAACATTGTGATGTATAGTGAAACTTAATTTTTAGACAAATTCACATTTCATGAACACAAAAAGTAACCTTGATAAAAGGACAATGAAACAGGAACATCTAAATCTATTGAGTCTAGAGTGTTGAGCTTTGTTGAAATACCAGAGGATGAGGTCAGTTTAGAGGCACCAGGACCTTCTGTGTGCTGATGATGTCACCCAGTTTCTGTTTAATCTTAACAAAAAGACGTTTGAACTCAAGCCCGTCTCCCTGGAAAAAAATAAAATAAGGATTGATAAAACGTGATTGTTTTTACAAGATGCTTTAGCAAAAATAAAAGTGAAAACCAAAAACAGTCTGCTTACATATGTGTGGTCTAACACAACAAAAAAGTAGAAATGAGGATTTCTGCTTATTTGTTGTTCTGAGGATTAGTTTTATTTAAAAAATGAATAGCCTCAAGTAAATACAAATTGTATTTTTAAATACTTAGCATCAGTGGGTAAATATAGACCAGTAAAAATCATAAATGGAACTTGGAGAGCACTTGTAGAGTGCAGACTCAACAGACAAAATAATCCACGATCCTGACAGTGATACAGATGAGAACCAAATCTAATAAATTGTTTAGCTTCTAAGGGAATTTTGAGCTCACAGACCCGTACCAGATTCTAGAATCAATATTAAGTGCTAATTTCCCCCTGCAGTCTCTTGTCCAATTTAGTTATTGAAAATGACATCCATCCATCCATTTTCAACCCCGGTCTGCCAATCAGAGCTGCCGCCAAATTCACTGACTCTCACCGGACCCTCACTGATCCTCCTGCATGTCGTGATTCCACAGGTTCAGCAGAAATTTATGAAAACTTCATGGAGGCAATATATACCCATTATTTGAGGAATGTGTCATGTCAATTGCAGCATTGCAACTTGCCTTCGACAGCCTGAAGTCCAGCAGCACCTTGTGATTCATCTCCAACACATGAACTTTGAAAATGAGTTTGTTGTTACGTCTGTCCAGTGTACTCAAAGTGACCTACACAATAGAGTAATTTAAGCAAAAATCTACGTAATACACATAGAGAATTAGTGAGATATAACAGACCTGTTTGGTGCAGGTGATTTTAAAAGTGATAGCTAAATTAACACTGATGTCTTTGAGGGCGCACAGTGAAGCATCAGCGTCCACATTAGTGAAAAACCGCGTCATTCTCCGCACTAATCTCTGCCAAGGATTCTGCAAAACAACAGTGAACATAGTAAAGCACTTTTACAGAAAGTGGTTTGTGATCGGAGGATATGAAATACCTGGCTGGCCCCAGGTGTGCCCAGAAGTTGACTCCCGAGGAGCATATGTTCTGGTTTAATTGGTTGAGAAAAACTGACCAGACCCTCGCCTGGACCGTTAAAGATGTTCTCACAGCTTCCAGGAGCAAAATCGGGCTGAGAGCTGGAAAACTGCATTCGGTCATCACTGAAGGAGGAAAATAACAAACAAAAAACAATATAACATAAATTTATTATAGGGTATTAAAAAGGTAGTGCAGTTATAAGCAGTATAAGACCAGAGAAATGTCCAATGCCAAAACAATGGCTAACCTTGACAAATAATTAGTATAAATGTACCTATTAGCCCGGGATAGGGCTGGATCTGTGCGAAGATGTTTGCTTCCTGGAGGCAGCAACTTCACACCTACAAAGGCATATCATAAACTAATCCTAACCCAATGCATGATTATGTAAAAGGATGAAAATATAATTTCAAGCAAAACCTGCCTTGAGTGAACCAGCGATCATTTTTTATGTCACAAATCGTAATCCTCTTGTCAGGGTCTGACAGCAGCAACTTTGCTAATAAACCTGAAAACAAAGGTGAGAAAAGACCAGATAATGTACAATGGTACTTCTATTAGATTGGTCTAATCTTAAATTTGCATTTAAACTTTTAATTTGTCAATGTCAACTTTATTTGTATAGCACATTTACACAACAAAAACAAAAAGCGACCGAAGCAGAAAAACAATAACATTTAAACAAAGAGTTAGGTGCTTACACAAAAAAAATTTTGCAAACGACGAACATACAAAAGATTCAGAGTATAGTAAACATACTTTATTAGTCACAAACCTCATAAAATTAAATATTCCAAACACAAGGTAGGCCCAGATATGAAATTAGCAACTCTTAGCCGCAATGAGACCCAAATAACAGATAGAACAAACGACCAAGTTGAACACATTATACTACTCCGAATGGGGGACAGTGATCAAAGCCACAAAAACACCGTTACAAGTACCTCAAATATCCCCACGTAAAATTTCTACAACAATAAAACGACGCAAGCCCCACACCAAAGAGCAGAACAGAAACGACCGGCGAAGAACACCGCCAAACGACTCCCAGTGCCGACGTACGGCACCGCCAGAAAAAAAACAAGAAAGACGCATACAATAAATGCAAAAATAAATAATGAGCCCTACAGAAACAGAACAAGCAACAACAAAAAACCCGCACCGACGCAAGCCCAACCCCGAATCCCCACAGTAAAATTTAACACCAAGCACGATCTAAATAAAGCACCCCAAGACAAACAAAGGAAAAAAAGAACAAAAAATCTCATCCCAACGAGATTTTAAAGTCAATAACTTGTGAGAGAGGCCAAGTGTATGTTTAACCAAGGAATCAAACACCTGAAAAACAGCCTGTTTTAAGTGCGTGTGACAGATTAAAAAACAACTAAAAAATAATCCAAAAATAAAAAACTACCACTAAAACCAGAGATAAAAAAGAACAACAAAAATACCTTTAGTTCAAAAAAAACACAAAATGGACATACAAAAAGGGAACACAGGTCAACGTCACATACCGAGCTAAATTCAGAACAAAACAAATCAAAATCCACAAATACATGCCAATAAAAAAAAAAACTAAATTAAAAAATCGTGAAACGAGCTAACAGGGGTTAAGACAACCAACCTACAAGCTACCAAGAGCCACAAATCAAAACGAAAAGAAAAACAAAACAAAGAACGTGCAAAAACAATCACTAATCACACCCCCTTTGTCACCTCCCCCGAGCCCCATACGAAATCAACAAAAACAACACCATACGACAACCACAGCTATCAGCACCATAAAGCAACCTATAAAAAAAGACGCCTATGGAAGCCAAGAGCAAAAACGAAGCAAAAGCCAACAAGCCCCCCGAGACACCAGTATACCCCCCCTCTGTAATCACCCCCCTCGACCGCGACTGGAAAATTGCACAAAATGCAAAGAGAGAGAGAGGGCAAACCACCGAATAGCAAGTGCCAAACACGTTAACAATGTACCGAGCCTAACAACTCCCTCCAGGTGTCCAAGCCATCGAAGGGCCAGAGGAGGTCCGACAAGAAAACAACAACCGACACGGAAAGTACCCCAAAGAAGCAACAACGCACAAAAGAGAAAACACGGATCCGATCACATAGCAATACAAAAAAGTCCATTGACTCATGAAAGACGAAACCAGTGTAGCAACTCAAAAAAAATCAACCGAAAACTACTGTACAGACCAATAATCTCAACAAGGTGTAAACATACATACAAGAACAACAGAAAGACAAAATGTAATAGTTAATAGACCAACACGCAAAAATGGAAAAATTAAAATAATTTACATTAGACGTATTTAATGAGAAGGGTGCACAGGCAACAAAATAAAAGGCTAAAAGCATACAGAAAAACTATTATACAATAAAACAAATAGCAGCAAATGTTTTAACATCAAAAATACATATAAAACAACAAGGAACTAAAAAGGCAGTCAAAAGACAAACAAAAATAACCAAAGGACAAAGCCATCTGGTATTAATGTCATCTGTGTAAAGATCAAAGTCATGATACACATGAAAAACAAGAAGAGTGACACAAACATAGAAAAAAAGCTGTGAGAGGAAAGAATTACCAATCAGCAAAGTGAGAAGGAAGGTGAAAATAAAAATAAAAAAAATAAACAAAATGGACATAGAATAAAAAAAACAAAATCGTACAAGAAGAAACAAGAAAGCAAAAAGACAACAATCAAAAGAAGATGCACAAGATAGCATGAGTGGAGATAGTTCCTTCAAAAACCAAACAAACAAAAAGTAAGATACTAGCAAAAGGTCAAACATTAAGGGACAAAAGACCAAACAAGATAACAGATCATAGTATATAAACTAGTATTCTAATAATCTTTTTAAAACACACGAAAAAACAACAAAAAAAGCAACAATCACAATAAGTTGTTAAGAAAAACAGCGATTGAGCAAATAACACATTTATGCAAAGAAAGGCAACAAGCAAAATCAAAACAATATGTAAAAACAAAACGCAAGTAAACAACAAAGGGACAATTTCCAAATATTGGAGAAGACGAACATATAAAAATTAGACTCTAGTAATTTCTTAGTTGTTAATTGAAAAAAACACTAGTTGAGATGTCAAATAACACATAAAATTCTATATAACAAAAAAAGCAACTATACAAAACATTAAAAAGAGACATATTGTCTAAAGGTCAGTAATCGCAAAGCATCATACATGAAAAAAGCACCAAAACCAAACAAAGAAAACAAACTAAAAGAATAAAGACGAAAAAAAGAGGTGGACAATGTCATGAACTGACCACCCTGACCAAAACCTGTATTACGAGTACCACAGAACATGGCAAAGGAAACAAACAAATATGATTAGAACAAGAAATGTACAAAAAGGACATAACGGAAAAACGTTACTGAAAGAAAGATATGAAACATTAACTTAACAGTACGGTCACATCTACAATAACGTAACTTCATAAACACAACAAAAAATCAAAACAACATCACAGTAAAATCTATAACAAAGAGTAACAAGGAAAAATGCTGCTCAAAAAAAAAGAACACAGAATGAAACAAACGATTTAACTTGAGGGTTTTTGTTAAAGTTAAAGCATTTATCACACAAATATGTGTTTTATGGGTATGCGACAGTTTTTGAGAAAAAACACAACCTAAAATTTTTAAACACAAAATAGCCACAAAAAAGTTTAATAACAAAATAACAAAAAACACAAACTTTATTTTTTAAGACACAAGATTACAAAAAAAAAATCTTATTTTTAAAATTAGTAATATATTTTGAATGCTTTACGAATATCTACATACTAATTTAAGTATCCAGAAGGAAAAAATCTCACAAGAAAGTCTAAGTGTAATGTCCTAAAACAAAAATCAAAGTCAAGGCTCATTCATGTAAAGATCAAGAAGGAAAACAAATAATTATTTGAACCTGTAAAGGAACATCAGATGTCAATCTGAAAGCTACCAGACGCACCCACAAAAAGAAAAATACGATGGAACACATATTTTACACAACAGGCTAATAGCTTCAATGCAAAAATCTACGATGTTTTTTTTTTTTCTTATATATCTATATTTTTATAAATTATTTGCTCACAAAATTTTAATTAACTTATCATTTGTAATCTCTTTATATTTTTTCTTATTTTGAATCTTTTTTTGTTCACCATTAAAAATACTTTTTTTTCAAAAGTAAATAATTTTTTAAAACATATTTTATTTTAATTTTTAAAATATTGATAATAATTTATATATTTCTTTTTTATAAGATATTATATTTATTATTTCATGAATATTTAATCATACATTTCTCTCTCCATATGTCATTATTTTTAAAATTTTATTAAGTATGTCCTTATTATTACAATTGGGTATATAGAATCTATAAAAACAGCGAAAAAAAGAGGCATATCAATTGAAGAACTACGATACTAAAAGAGAAGCTGACACACAGAATACCACAAACGGAAAAAGGACCAAAAAAAATGCCAACGAAAAGAGATGGCAAAACAGAATAAGAAGAAAATCAAATTATCAGCCAGACAAAAGGGCCAGCGGACGGACACAATAACAAAAACCATACACAACAAACAATAAAACAGATCAAAATTCAAGGATTTATGACAAAGCCACAAACATGCAAGAAAATGGTTGAACGATGGTTTCGCCATTCAGCATAGATTTAAAATAGTATGAGTCTAATCAAAATATATTACAGGGATCGATTTCAAAAACCATACACAAACCATAATGGGAACGGAACGACATTTAAGCAAAATATAATATAACACATTTAGATTTTAACACATTTAAGAATAATAATAAAAAAGAAATCTTAATATAAAAAGACACAGCAAAATATATTTAAGATATAAAAAAACAACAACATTTTATCAAGTATTACAAGATAATAAAACATATAAAGAATTATACAACCAAATAATTAGAGAGATATCTAAACAAACAATTAAGATATAAGAACACTATAAAAAAACAATTAGTAGATAAAATGAAAACATTATAACAAATGTCTAATAAATATTAAATACAAAACACATTAGGGAATGAGAAAAAACATTTAACAAATTTGAATCAATATAAAACAAAATTTTAAGAATAAATACAAAACACACAATATTAAAACAAAATTTAGATAATCAGATAGTAAAATTTAAATAACAGAATAATAAATAAGCAAATCATTAGCAAGTATCAGAAAAAATAAATAGAAAAAGACAAGATATAATAATATAAAAGTATATAGATAACATTTAAAAGCAAATATACAACATAATCAAAACATTTCAGAAATATTAAACATTTAAGCGATATAGAATAATAACATTTAAGCAAATCAAATAGAGTCACAAAAAAAAACATTTAGTCAATAATAACAAGAAATATAGGAATAAAAACATATATTAGGAGATGACTTAGATAGACAAAACATAGATTAAGAAAATCAATAGGAAATATATAGTTAGAAATCTACATAGAAGACATTCTTAAACCCAATTATAGAAAATATAGGATCTATAACAAAATTTACAGATATAACATATGAAGATCCTCAACTATGAACAATCTAAAAAAGATTTATAGAGTTAATAAACATAAATAAAATAAATAAATCAATTTAACATGATATTTGACAAACACCATAAACATATAAAAACGAGTGATTGGTATTTAAACAGAATTCTGTCTTAAAGAAAAATGTGAAGGCAAAAAAGGATTGCTAAAGAAATTGTGCACAGGAAAAGATAGATCTAAAATGATTACGAAGAAAAAACATGTTCAGAAAATTCTAAAAACACAAAATGTTAAAACACCACGAAAAAAAAGAAATAAATTTTTCTTATACCATCTGGACCACACTAAGAAAACAACCACATAAAACCAAACGAAACAACCAACATACCAGCTCTCTACCACAATAACAAATAACAAACCAATCACCGCTCTGCAGAGACAACGAAGAATGTAACACAGCAAGAAGGTAAAGATAATTACAGTCCTATGATGGAAAAAACGGAGGCCTGTTGTGAGGTTCTAGGTACAAGAATGTTTATACACACTAGGTAAAACAAAAAGTGCTCTAGTAACAAGTTGGCAAGCAAAACACACAAGTGTATTGTATGAACACACCATGTGGATATGTCTACCAAGAATAATAAAATAATACTTGTGGAAATGTAAGGATGAAGCGAAAATATTTAGATTATAAAGTGAAAAACAAAAAAAAATCCTTATAATTATGACTTTAAATATTCTAATCAGTAATGGAACAAGACAGGTTTCATATGTAAGAAGCAGGCACATAAATACCTAATGCGGAGTCGAAAAAAAGCTCGCAAAGTCAGGAAAGCGAAAAACAAAACCCTTGGAAAAAAAAGAAGAATAACCACCAAGATAGAAAAAATACTCCAAAGAACAGGTAAATGTTTAGTGGGACCAGCCCAGTATCAATACCGCGTGGACCAGTAAAAAATGACGTGACAAATGATATGCCTGAGAATTGGTTAGAAGGGAAGACTATGAAAAGAAACAGATAGTGAAAACGAAAGCATTTAGTGTGCAACAGAAACAGGATCGATAAGAGTTACGTGCTTAGTAAGTTGAAGGTTATAATTCACCAAAATTTATCACGACCTTAAATGGGACGTCAGATCTCGCTTTCTTGCCATAAGCATTAATCATAATATCACAACTCTTATAAGACATGACAATGGTAACAATAACACTTTTGTCCTCTTGGCGCAAAGCAGGCGGCCCCCACCCAAGATCCTTAAGAAAAGAAAACTCCGCAAATAAAGGGCTGTCACTGTTACTAGTAAAAACGACAGAACCTCAAATAAAAGAAAAACACCACACGCAGAACACAAAATAACAGCAAAGTAATCACCATATGCAAAACACAGTATTAACATAAGCAGTGATTAAGTAGACTAAATAGACGCAAAATGGAACCTTGATGAGTATTGTGTGTCAATAAGAATCAAGTGTCAGACAAAAAAAGGAAAAAAGCAGCGAAACCACGATACAACGTTACACAAAATAAGTTACTAATACCTAAGCCAAACTTCCAAGTGTCATTTAACCGCAACCGAACTCTCCATAAGCTCCTTCTCCAAGAGTCTGAACAACGTCCCAGTCTTGCACGAAGGGCACTGCCATACTGCAAAAAGCGAAAAGACGTTTTTCTAGGAGCAAGTCTTCACAGCTCCGTTGTGCTTTAATCACACCTGAGCACTCCGCTGGCAGACACTTCTCTTCTACCGCAGGGTTCCAGACGCAATGTCCACAAACAGAAGAATGAGTGAATGACACTAACGCATGGGTCTACAATAATAATAATGACAGTAAAGCGGTAATATATTAGCTTCAGTAGAATAGACGCAGTGAAGTCACCACAGGAGAATTTGGCGCGTTGTTGTTGTAATTCTGACGTCATCGTCTTGACTTCCGGTTCCAATTGGCACTTCCGCCCTCTAGTGGTGGAGTCATGTATTGCGTCAACTGCCGAACAATCTTCACATGTAAAGGGGCACAAAAATATGTCTACGTGAAGTAACAGCTAAGTAAGCAAAACAATTCTTATTTTTCTTTACACACTATCTGCCAAGTCATGTGAAAACCCTATACAGTCTATGGTAACAACTGCATTTATCAAATAATTAGAATTCCGGTGTGCATAAATGTGTGTCTAGCTAGTTAGTCCAGTAAAGTCAATATTCACATTTAATAGTGGGTCAAAAGATCATGTCCAAAGTAAAGCACAGACATGTTTTATTTTTAGGTAAAATGTCATGATTGGTTTCCTGCAGTGGTTTGAAAGTGAACCATCAACGCATTTTATGTGAAAGGATATCAATAAATGACTCAATCAATCGTCTGTAAGTAACTGGATAAATGTATTCACTGGCTCACCCACATCAAAAGATTGAGATGACTTTATCAATGACCAAATCACTTTGTCAATAACAAAGGCCAAACGATGTGCTGGGTTTGGGAAGCAATGAAGCAATCATGTGTTTTTTTGAGTTCTAATCTACAGCATGGTTAAAAAACACAACTGCTGCATTCAATGGATTTTTGAGTTTCAATAACATCACTGTTATTATGATAAATGAAAAAAAAAAGTTTAGAATAAATACTGGTTTATTAAAACATTTATAGGAAAGTATCAATGTCTCATCTTCAGAAACAATCCTTGAAACGAACAGATTTTTGTATATTTTAGATCAATTGATTTTTTTTTTCTTATTTGAGATTCAGTTAATGAGTAACAGTCTGAGCTAAAGTTCTCATTACTTAAGTTTCAAAGCTCATTTTGCGGTGAATGGTAGGCAAAATAATATATGAAAGCCTTTGTTTGGATTTAAGAAAAAAAACAGAATGGCAGTTTGCTGGAGCTGGTTTGCACTGTTTTGTCTCTTCAACCAAGGTAAGATCATTTTGTTTCTAACATAAACCAATGTGTTTAAATTGGCTACTTATGTTGGTAAAGCCTGGAAGCGCCGGCAATCCTTTTATTCAAATAAGTTATATATTTACCCTGTCAGCCATCTGATCCTGTACTTTATATTGGTGTCTTATAAGTCCATGAAAGGACTGGGCATATAATTTTATGCAAGACACAATAATACATACATATTTCATTCAATATTCATTCTAATACGGTTGAAAGTGTTTTTTTCCTCTGAGGGTAAAGGAGAATGCCTTTAATTATGTGCAATACTCATACATCAAACAATAAAATAAAAAAAAAACATTTAATTTAAGGTTTATGTACTATTTATTTTTTCATTAATATATTTTTTAGGAAATCTAGTTTGGGGCTTATGCACAGAGCAAGGAGTAGAGATTGAAGGAGGAAGATACACTTTGTCTAACCAGCTGGAAGAGGGCAGCTTACTCAGATACCACTGTGACGAAGGTTTCTATCCATATCCTCACTTGGTGCGCACCTGCAACTACAATGGCCAATGGGAACCTCCACCTACAAGATCAAGATCCAGGTCAAGATGTAGATGTATGTCATCTGATTATTATATATTATATATATTTTTTTCATACTTAATGAACATTGTGTTGGTTTATTAGTGGTTGAATGCCCAGACCCTAGTGTACTGGAAAATGGCAATGTATGGCCCAGTGATGAACATTACTTCTATCAAAACAACACCAGATACGAGTGCTATGGCGGGTATACTCTGTATGGGTCTTCACACCGTACCTGTTTATCCAATGGGAAATGGAGCGGTCCACATCCTGTGTGCCGTCGTGATTGTATGCAGTTTATATACATTTATTTATATTCCAATCCTTTTGTAATGTCATAACTACGATCTCCAATGTGATCTTTAGCTGGAGACCATTGCCCAGACCCTGGAATCCCTCCAGGTGGAACTAAGACGGGAATTCTGTTTAACATTGGAGATAAAGTGACTTACTCCTGCAACGACAATACAATGATCTTGGTTGACTCTGAGGAAAGAGTGTGCCAAGAAGATGGTACTTGGAGTGGCAAAGAGCCCACATGCTACTGTAAGAACTACTCAAATACTACACCAAAACAATTATAAGACAGACAATATAATATATCACACAATATATCATAAATGTTATGAGCTAATGCAGTAGTGTAGTAATAATGTTTCCTAACCATTGTTTAGTTTACAATATCTCCACATGGTCTTTTAAATCAGAACTCTGCTGCATTTTGTATTATGAGTTACAACGTTAGAATGCTCTCCTTTCAGACCCATACACCTTTGACACACCCCTCGAGGTTTCACATGCATTTGGTGCTGAAATCAAAAACACTTTTTCGAATTTGCAGACAGAAAGCAGTAAGTATTACCAGACAAGCTTCTTGTTGTATTACTGCAGCAGCAGCAACAATAATAATTTTACTCACACATGTATGTTTTGTATCTTTTATGTTCAGCCGTCATACAGGAAGGGAGATCAATTACTTTGACCGAAAGTGGCATACTTAACATATACATTGCATTGGACATCTCTTCAAGCATCGATCAAAAACAGTTTGAAAATGCCAGACTGGCTGTTCTAACACTCATTGATAAGGTACCAGGAGTTATTCCTATATGACAAGCTTTTAGTTTTTGAAATGGAATTGAATTTTGACATTTCAGGCATGTTCTTTGCATGTTTGTCATGTTTCATACACAGTACTTGCTGGACTATAAAGCACATGTAGCGGCTGAAAACTCGTCCATGAGCCGTATACAAACAACAGGACACAGTGTGGAGTTAACTACTTTACTCAAACCTGTGAAAGACCAAAAATATTAATTTTTAGTCACAGCGGACACACTGGCTTCCCCCTCTGAAGCATACAACGCGGCTTTTCGAGGGGGAGGGGAGCAAATAATATTTAAACAGGATTATCAATCAATCAATCAATGTTTATTTCTATAGCACAGTTCGTACAGAATGCAACCCAAAGTGCTTCACATCGGCAACATTTAAAAACAATTTAAAAACACACTGTAAAATCAAATACAAAAGACAGTTTAAGAAAATGAATAAATATATATATCAAAAATAAAATTATGATCCGATTTCTTGATGATCAGTCGTAGGCACGGCTGAAAAGAGCCGTTTTCAGCCTGGACTTGAACATAGCTAAAGTAGGAGCCTGTCTCACACCTTCGGGAAGACTGTTCCAGATTCTAGGTGCATAGGTCTGGAACGCTGCCTCCCCATGTCTAGTCCCGACTCTTGGCACCAACAGGAGGCCAGTCCCCGCACTCTCAGAGTTCAAGCGGGCTCGTACGGCACCAGCATGTTGCATATGTATTTTGGTGCGAGGCCGTGGAGAGACTTATATACAAGGAGAGCTGATTTAAAATCTATTCTCTGAGCCACAGGAAGCCAGTGTAGAGACCCGAGGACTGGACTAATGTGGTCGTACTTCCTGGTTCCTGTCAGGACTCGAGCTGCAGCATTTTGAATATACTGTAACTGCTTTACAGCTCCTTTGGACAGACCAGAGAGAAGGCCGTTGCAGTAGTCTAACCTACTAGAAACAAAAGCATGAATGACAATCTCTAAGTCTGCCCTAGACATTATGCCCTTAATTCTAGCAATGTTCTTTAGATGGTAGAAAGCCGCTGATGTTACAGATTTAATGTGACTATTGAAATTGAGGTCCGAGTCCATGATTACTCCTAGATTTCTAACCTGATTTTTGTAATTTGGAGACTTGGAGAAGGCTGCACACACTTTCTCTGAGTTTCTGTGGGCCAAACACAATAAATTCAGTTTGTTTGAATTTAACTGAAGAAAGTTATTTTGCATCCATGAGTCAATCTGTTTGATGCAGTGACAGAGTGACTCAACTGGCCCAAGTTCACCAGAAGCCAGTGAGACATAAATCTGCGTATCATCTGCATAATTGTGATAGGATACATTTTGGCCTCGAATCAATTGACCTAGTGGCAACATATAAATATTAAAAAGAAGGGGGCCCAGAATTGAACCTTGGGGCACTCCACTTGTTAAGGCCACCTGGTCTGAAACACAGTCCCCAATCTCAACAAAGTACTGTCTGTCCTCTAAGTAGGACTGGCACCAACTTAAAGGTGCGTTCAGACCAAACGCGTCTTGAGCGTCCAAAGCGTCGGGTTTACATTGACATAACATGGGGGACGCGCGTCTAGGAGCGTCAAGAGCAGCGCGTCTTCGAGCGTTTTGCGCGTTTGGCACGGCGCGTTTTGAGATTTCGAGCGTGCGAGTTGAACAATGTTGAACTTTTCGGGAGAAGACGCGAGCGTCTACCAATCAGGAGCCTCCTCCAACAGTGACGTGGAAACGCATTTCTCGGCAGGACCGAGGGGGACGACAACACAACAGCTATGAGGAGAAGCTCTGTGGTTAGCACATGAGCCCTCCAGACTATAACCACCGTGACATGGAGAAGGCTAGTGAGGAGGTTGGTGTCTCTGGTAAGTTATTTAAACTTTTCACAATTGCTAATACTTCCTGCGCAAAATCTGTAATGTCATCTTTAGGGAGAAACAAACCCACAGATTACATATTAAAGCTACACAGAGGAAACAGTCCATGGAGACAGCAGCTGTAGTATTCTAACATGTAGCATGCTAACACTGTTATCTGTATTCATATAAAATAGATTGTGTATATAATTTATAATCCCATACTAAGACTGGGAATACTGTATAATTATTAACATTTACTGTATATATATATGGCTTATGAATCACTTTTCATACAATAGTCTGATGATGAATGATGAAATAAGCACATTATACAGATGCTTCTTTTGTCATTAATAAAGGACATTTGCAGATGACAGTCTCACTTCCAAAAGGTTTAAAGTGGTTAGCCACACTCCTAAGTTTTATTTGTGTGTATATTTCCAATATATTATTATTCTGTTACTCCTCAGTGTCTGTTTCTCCTGCTGTGTACCTCTAATATTAAATACAGGAAGGATTTCTGTATTTTATTTTGAGGTGTCCATGTGTTAACATGATATTTGTGTTCTTTTTCAGAGACTTTTGGTGAAATGGAACTCAGATTTTCTCTGACAGCAACAAAATCACACTGCATCGTTTCTCCAGCTTCACTGCGGATTAACAATATGAACTACAACAAACATATTTTCATGTTTTATTTAATCATCAGTCATGAATAGTTAGAACAGTGGGATCTGCATCTCTGAAGACGAGGAGCAGCAGGAGGAGCAGCAGCAGGAGCAACAGCAGAGTCCTGGGCGTCTGCCTCTGACACCTTCATAGAGAGCCTGGAAATAAAAAATAAAAGATAAAACTTGTTGGTGTTATTATAATTTAGTTTTTTGTGTCTGAAATGTAAAGGGTCATGAAAAATAAGGTATTATTTACACAGGTACATATTTGTCAGCAGTACTTAAAGTTCTAATTGAGTACATTCAACTCTAATCTGATCAGTAACAGTCTGTTGCTTTTCAAGACTTCAAAAAGAGCAGGAAAGAGCCTTTCCTGTGTTCAATTCCTTTTTACTGATGTTCGTTATAATACAGATCCATGGATGTGCTTATTATCATTATAGATCCATGGATATTCCTTTCTCATCAGAAAACACACGTTATTACATTTATGTAAGTGATGCACAAACGAGGGCCATAGCAAATAAATCAATCTTATATCATTTATCACATCTGTGTGCATTGTTTACATACAATATGACTTTGTAAAAACGAATGATTACTGCCAATACAATTGTTATAATAGAGAAAGTCCGTAACAAAAGCCTCGGATTTTCAGAATTAAGATTGTGAGAGCTCCACTGATGTGTCCCCGCGTTGAGACGCTCTTTCTCGGCTTGAGCACTGCCCGACCCACGCTCTCTGCACTGGAGAAAAGTCCGACAATGTTCTATTTGATCACCAAACAGACCTCCGATATGACAATAGAGGGGGGTATTTCTCGCCTCAAATGTTATTAGAATTAACTTTTATGTCCTAATTAAAGCGTATTTTACACTTTTTACCTTAATCCTGACTCCCTTGTCCTTCCCTCTCCGAGTTGTGTTGGCAACAGAGCAGGCCTGCCCAAAACGCTCTTCCTTGACGCGCCTCGAGAACGCTGCCTTCTAGTGTCCTGGACGCGTGTGACGCGCCTCCAAGATGCTCTGTGACAGCGTCTGCCACAATTTGTCACAAGCGTCCCAAGACGCGCGTCAGACGCAATTTTGCCGCAGAAAACGTGTTTGGTCTGAACGCACCTTAAGGCAGTGCCAGTGATGCCAACCCATCCCTCAAGTCTCTGCAGGAGGATCTTGTGATCAACAGTGTCAAAGGCTGCACTGAGATCCAACAGGACCAACACTGTGGCTTTGCCTAAGTCACTGTTGACGCGGATGTCGTTGGACACTTTTATCAGGGCAGTCTCTGTTCTATGGTGGGGCCTAAAACCTGATTGAAACAGGTCAAAAACATTATTCAGCAGCAGGAAATTGTTTAGCTGCAGGTAAACGGCCTTTTCCAACACCTTCCCTAAAAAAGGCAAATTTGAAATGGGTCTGTAATTGCTGAGCACTGCAGGATCAAGACTGCTCTTCTTTAAGAGAGGCCTGATCACTGCAGTTTCCAGAGGACCAGGGAAGGTTCCTGACTGAAGTGATGCGTTCACTATTGCAGTGAGTGAAGGCAACAAACTGTTAAGAACAAGTTTTAAAAATATAGTGGGCAACACGTCAAGGCAGCAAGTGCACGATTTCAATTTTAAAACAATTTCTTTGACCTATTTTTCAGTGACGGGTGAAAAAAAGGACAGCTCAGAAACTGCAGTTGTTTGTGTAGAAATTTGTGATGTGGGATTTATTTCTCTTTTAATGGATTGAACCTTTTCATTGAAAAATACAGCAAACTCATTGCACTTAAATGTGGAAATTAACTCAAGAGGCAACTGTGATGGGGGGTGTGTTAATCTGTTCAAAAAGGTTGCAAAAAGGGCATGGGAGTTATTTCTAGAGTTATTTCTAGAGTTTTCAATAGTCTGGGTGAAATACCGCTCTCTTGTAGTTCTTAAAATACTGTTGTACTCATGCTGCTTTAATTTAAACATTTCGTAATGGACATGGAGTTTAAGCTTGCGCCATTTCCGCTCTGCCCTGCGGCACTCTCTCTTCTTTTCTTTGACAAGGTCATCATACCTCCAGGGTGCTTTTTGTATACTTTTAGTTTTCTTGGTTTTAATGGGGGCGATGGCATTCATTAGGCCGAGCCAATACGTAGTATTGGGGAGGCTTATTGTTATTCGGTGGTTTCATATTATTCTTTTTCCGCCGAAACAATTCGATTTTTGACCCTGAAGACATGCACAAAAGTCTCCACATGGGGGGTCTAAAACGACTGGTTCGGCGAAACATTTGATAAAACGGACGTTTCGAGATTGTCCGACAAAAGGCGAATCAATAGCGGTCATACGCTGTATTACTGAATTCATTTTTAGCCTCATCGGACAAACATTTTTGCCCCAAAAAGCTCATTAATTCACTTTCTGGCGCCCCCAGTGGTCAAGTGTAGGACTTACAACTTTTGCGTAATGTAATGTGTT